CACCGCCGATCTATCCATTTTACCATTTTAGTCTGTCCATCGCAAATGTATACATTTCATTTTTTTTAAGTAAATATATCTTCTACTAAAATATAAAATTACTCCACCATTTATATAAGATTACACAAATGCCATCAAATAATACCACTTAATACCATAAATGTTGAGGGATATAATGGTCTTTATGTATATCAATTGTACCACATAGATAGAGGGTGGACGGAGGGAATACCATTTTTTATAATTACATTAAATTTTTACTTTTAATTCAATATATACATAGATAACCATTTTTATATAAAGCAAGTTAAAATAAGAAATAAATAAAATATATATATATAGGGTTGTTTTTTCTAAAATAATATTTTTTTTAGTATTTTTTGTAAATTCGTTTAATATAAAATAGTTTGATAGATTTATTGGTATAGGTAAATTTCGCACTTAAGTTATGTTCTCTCAAATTTATTTATTTTGCACAGCCATAGTTTTTATATAAAATTATTTTATTTTATTTTTTATATAAAAACATCGCATATAACAATTGTCTTATCAGAGGAAAAAACACACACACAAGAGTGAGCAATCCTAACAAGCAACATAAATGCATTTAATTATTACTTTCTTTGTATATATACCGTGTTTGCTACATTGTAGACCCGATATTTTAGAAGAAGTGTAATTAGTAGATAATTAAGAACATATTAGTAAAAATAATTATCCTATAATATAAATAATTATAAATTAATATTAAGATAACTAATTTATTTAATTAATATTAAAAAAATTTAAAAAATTTAAAATGAGATTAAAGTGTATAATAATTATTTTCTAAAAAAAGGAAAGTGATATGGTATGTGGGACGGACAGAAACGGCAACGTGGACATGATATTTGGGACGGAGGAAATATTATATATATAAATATATTTATTCTAATAAATTTTGTTAAATAATATTTAAATGAAATAATCCAACTTGTAACGCCAGCCCTACTAAAATATCAATGCTAGCTAATTATGTGTGGTCAATTAATTTTATTTGCCAAAAATACGAAATTAATATATTTGTGGTGTTAGAAAAACATGAAAGTGACTGATGGCCATTTTCAATATATATATCATAAAAATTAAAATTAAAATTAAAATTAAATCCTACTAAATATTATACTTCGTCTCTTCTAATTCAAAGTAATTTTTTTCTATCATTTTTGTTTGTTTTATTTCAAATTATTATTTTTTATTTTAGAAAAAAAATAATTATTTATTAATACCAAAATACTCATAATTTTACTTAAATTACAAAAATATAATAACATATATAATTACTTCATAAATAAAATTAAAATGGTAAAAATATAAAAAATTCTGATACACTTTCACTGATACAATACTATTATTTTTTAATCAATTATAAAACTCCAAAGGTCCCTTTAATTTGGGACGGAGTTAAATATAATACTCCTTCCGTCTCAATACAATATTTCTGTTTAGTATTTACCATTTTTGTTCGTCCCAAAACAATAGTCTTATTTCCATAAATAATCATATCACTATAAAACTACTTTTATTTTTTTGTTATTATTACACAATTACCACTACTTTTTACACTAATACACTCACAAGGGCAAAAAAGTTTTTTACTCATACTTTTTACCCACTACTGATATAATATTAATATTTTTTAAATTCTGTGCCAAATACAATCAGACTATAGTTTGAAACAGAGGGAGTAATATAGTGCTATTAGTTGGTGTCTATATCTCCATACTATTTCACTTTCAATTGCCCATTATATAAACATCAAATAAAATAAACTATGAATGAATTTTACCTTTTGATGTCATGGAAATAAAGTAAATCCTTAATAATGCAATTAGTGAAATCTAACTATTATAAGCTCTTATACCTTTTCATTTTTATTTTTTTTTTAATTTAAATAAATTGAAAAGAAAATTTGAAAATATTGTAAAGTATTTAGTGGATATCTACCTATTATGTCACTTACGCATGGTCCTTGAGGATGGGTAAAAATAGGTTGTATTTAATTGCGGTGTATTTTTCCATTAAAAAAAACATGATATGTTTTTCTTTATTAATATTAATATAGTGATAAAATGCTCCAAAAAAAATAAAATAAAATTCTATATTGCAAAAAATATTTTGTGAAAATTGAAAAATTGTATTATTATTCACAATGAAGATAAAGACTTGTATATAGGTATCAAATACAAACTCAAATTTATATCTAAAATATCTCAACATCCCCTCAAACTCAAATAGTATAACAGAAATAACCCGAGTTTATAAAGAGAGATCGAAGCAGACACAACCACAGTCGATCTTTTTTTTTTTTTTTTTTTTTATGTTTCTTTACAATGTTAAAAAAAAAAAACACACACATTCAATTCACTACTTAAATAATAATAATAATAATAATAATAATAATAATAAATGACCAAATAAGAAAACTATTTAATTTGTTAAACTAAAATTTATTAAAAACCACTTTAAGATCATATCGACATCTTAAATTTTTTATATATTTTATATTAATACTATTATTATCATTAAAATATATGTGATATTATAATTTTTTTAAAATTAATGTGTATAATTATAAAATTCTTTCGTAAAAAGTTAGGAAAACATTGTATTATAAAACCAACCTGTATTGTTTGACGGTCAATGTCAACTTCGATGAACAATTAATTTGTGTGTTTGTATATACGTGTATATATATATATATATATATATTTGAAAACGATATTTATTACAAATATTCTATCCCTTCACAGATTGAGATGGAAGAAATGATCTCTTAGAGACATTGAGAAGCCATATAATATAATAAAATATAATGCATGAAATTTTAGGGGTCAAGGGACATACAAATAATTCATATATATATATATATATACACGAATGTTTGTTTTTTATTTTTTATTTATTTTTTATTTTTGTTATTTCTTTTATTTGCTTGAAGAAAATGAATTTTGTGGTGCATTTGAAATTGTAAAGTTTGTTAGAGGAAGACTTGTGATCACATTCTAACATGCAAATGTTCGATACATGAAAGCAAATACTTGGTAGCCATGAATTTAGATTCATCGACTTTATTTGTCTTGTATCGTTTCATGTGCATTTATAACGATAACGGATATTATCAAGAATATTATTGAAATGCGATGAATTTTTTTTTTTTTATCGATAAATTGAGTGCCACCTTGGAATTTTAGTGTGGTTTATTTGCACAAATTGTTAATTAATTTACTTGTTATGAATTGTGATTATCAATCTATTAAAATTTGGTCTATGTTATTTTTACTTTCAACAATTGTTTGTAGCTTTAGAATGTGGAAATTTAAAAACCCTTTCCACTTATCAATTGGATTTGGAATAAAATTGAGTTGAAAAGTGAAATTTTAAGAATATAAATGGTATGTCCTATAATTTAAATCATTTTATATTTGAAAAACATTCTATATTAATTACTAACATATATATATATATATAATTATATATCACTGCCCGTTATTGTGCAATGTGTTGACACTATAATAAAAAAATAATTAATAGACAGTATAAATACAAATAATACATAAATTATTAGATAAAAATATGTAGTTACCTTGTATGAATACTGAATTTAATAATAGGTTGTGATTTTCTTTGACTAAGAATGTTAACATAAATACAATCATAACAATGAAGTATCACCACATATCATAATTAAAGTGTGTTAACTACAAATTTGTATTGTTTTTAGACATTAATAATAAATGTGCTAAATCAAATGAAAAGATCATAACACACAAACTTATAATGATTCTATATTTCAAACACTACAACTTAACCGTTATTATACCAATAAAATGTGAGATTACAAAATTATTCACATACCAAAATGACAAAGTAATATTTATAAAAATCAAAATTATAAGTTTTTCTAAAAAATGAAATTGCTTCACTTAGAGCATCCGCAATGGGGCGCATGCCACATCATCATTTAAAAATAAAAAATAGAAAAAAAATAAGAGAACCGTGCAGAAATGCTGGAAAGATGTGATTCTAGTGCTATGTGTCCCAATTTAATTGAGACATATGACATTTAGGTATATATATATATAATATATATTATATATGTTTTGTTTTTGTAATTTATATTGAATTTATTGTAATATTTAAATTTTGTAGTATTTTTATAATTCATAATATTTTGTATTCTACAAAATCATACCAATATTGAATATATTTTATCAATTTAAAATTTAAAATATATAAATACAAATATTATATAATTCTATTGAACAAATCAATATTAGTAAATTTAATTTAATTTATTAAATAAAATGTAATTATAAATTTTAAAGCAATTAAAACTAAATTTAATTAAATAAATAATTAATACTACAAATTAAAATTATAATTAAAAAATAATATATATATATATAATACGAAAATAAAAATTTATTAAAAAATTAGGATGAGTATCTTGTTGTGAATATAAAATAGAAGAGAGTATCTCCGCTGACGTGGCAGAGAGAGAAAGTGACGTGGATAGAAAAAAGTAGTGGAGATACAAAAAACGGATATCTCCGTTGGGGATGGTCTTAACAGTCAAATTTTATAGCAGGCCAAGTTTAAAATGGAAGAAATTAAAATTCCCAAAATTACAAAATACAAAGATGTACTATTTAAAAGCAACTATAAAGCCCAAATAAGTCAATCCAAAATAAAATATAAAAAAATAATATTGGCCTAGCCCAATAATAATGGACTTTGAGCCCGATTCCTCTCTCTCTCTGTATATAAAAGACAAAACTCTATGAAAATATAATGCAATTTTTAAACTACAAATAAAACATTTATGATTCACAACCAAATATCCACTTTTCATAACGGGTTCAATAAATATTTTTATTTTAATAATAATTACTAATTATTTTGGTATATAATATGAAATTAATGTGAAAATACTAATATATAAATAAATAACAAAACCCTCAAGACGAAGTCAGCCATTTTTTCTTATTAAATCAACAACAGATCTGTAACTGTTCTGTTCTGTTCTGTTCATCAACATCACACAATAAACATTACATTATTGTTATTATCATATTTCTATACATACATACCCCAAAATGTTGTCAACCATCTAACCTATTAACACATAATAACATTCTTCTTCTACACTATACATATTAACATCTCGTGTGGAAGAAACCTAAACTTGTTCCAGGATTCAGAGCATTTTAATAACCCAAAGCTTGTGTTTTTTCATATGAAGATAAACCAGAGAAGGCCCAATCAAATTTGCATCAGATAATCTTTTGCAGAGTGTAAGATAAATGTCCACGTTACCTGGCTGTTGGATCCTTCTGCTCAATCCTTGCAGCACAGCAATCCGGTCGATGAGCTCCGGGAACAGTCCCAAGTCAAGCATCTTCATCAGCGTCTCCGCGGCATTCTTGAAATGCCTGCCTTTGATGTAGCCTCTCAGCAGCCACGACAGCGCTTTTCTTCTCCGGACTGAGCTGGCGACTTCTGTACGGGTTAGCAGCCGTCCAACCGAACTGGCTTCCCCCTGAGAAGCACACATAGCTAAAACAATGTTGTAAAGATCTCCATCGGCTTCCTTACCTACAAGCTTCATTTTCCAGAGCTGCTGTTCAGCTTCGACTCCACGGCCGGCGCAGACATACATGGCTAGAAGGCGTTCGTGGATGGCTCCGTCAAGAGACGGGCCTCCCTCTTCGGAAGCCCAGTTGGAGAGCCTAAGACCATCGGCGAGAAGATCTTCTTGGTATTTTTCTACTAGATGGACGTTGAAAACGTCCAGCTCTGCAACTAAACTGGTCTTCGTGAAGCCTTTTAACTTACGCAATGCTTTTGCGAATTCGTTGAGTTCTTTGACCACAGCTGTCATTGCTATTAAGTAGCTGTATACCTCGGGTTTCAGCCCGGATTCTCTTAGATGAATCACTAATTTGGCAGCATCCCGGAAGCTCCCTTCCTCCTGAAAGAAAAACGAAGATAGCAAAGAGGTAAGATTTATTACCTAGATTAAGGGCCAGGGATTTGCTTGCCACTGCAACCCTTTTGCAGATAACAGACAAAGTAGAGCAGTACTTGCACAAATAACTTAAGAAGGGGTGTGTAGATAATGATTCATTCACCTGGATTCAAATTCAATTTGGTGATTCAAAATTCGGTTGAGAATTGGTAGTTTTGTGAATCCGGTGCAAAAATGATTGGATATATATAAATTTAGAATTACCAATATTTGCGCTGGTTTGTCCATCGATTTAGAAGCAATTCGGGAAAAAATAGAATGAGCAAACTGTAATATTGAAACTACTAGAGAAACTTGTCATATTTAAATTTAGAACAGTGTATTCAATTTAATCAGAACATAATGACGACATCCAATCTATAAGGCCAACAAACAGTGGAATGGAGGCTTAGACATAATAAAGACAATTGACATCATCAAAAAAATCAAAGATTTCAGGCGGTGTACTCACCATCATCAACACGACACTTGGCCTACGCCTACTGCAAGGATTTCTATTATCGACTAAATTTAGTTGTGATGGTATAAACGTCGACTTTTGTGTAAGGTGGTTCATCTTTTACCTCATCTTGATTCAAGTAAATAATATAATCATTAATAAGAAAGTCCAGTCTCCTATTGTACATTAATAGGATCATACTATTACAGTAAAATTCTGAAGTCATAGCACCACAAGCATATATTTATTTGGTTATTTTGGAACATTATATTATATATAGATACTTTTTCATAAATTTCAAATTTTGTACATGATCTAATTTTGGAACATTATATTATATATAGATACTTTTTCATAAATTTCAAATTTTGTACATGATCTAAGGTTCTTAATGACGATTCAATTCTTTATAGCTATCTATGTCACACACCATGGTGCTTGTTAGCTTGCACGATAGCAAATTTGTAGAGAAATCGTCTTACAATGCAAGTTGCTTCATGGAGCAAGTTGTATTAAAGTGCAAGAAAATTTCCCTTAAAACGAACTATCTTACAGAGTAAAATCACGACACTAACTACTCTATAAGAAACCATTACCTTGTCTTCTAGTTATCGATACACCTTATTTGCGAGTGGTAATATGATCCCCTCTCCATTCTACTTCCCCTCATCAAGATTACCATAGATTCTTCCGAATTCGTTGACATAATCTAAGCCTAATTAACCAAACCACATGAATCATATGCTACTTCTATGGTTACTTCCCATTACTCATTGATTAAATTTTCCCAAACCTTTCTTCTACTATGTCGAAAGCAATTAAGTAAACAATAAGGTAAAAGAGATATCGACGATTACCATCATCTTCCACGCAAGATACCCCGCCGGACCACCCTTGTTGTCCTCATCGTCGTCGTATGATATCCCTCTCTTGAGCACCTCCTTCACAAACAACACCACCTGATCACGCTCCCCTGCCTCCCAATACATCGAAACTGCCTTCTCAATCATGCTGAAGCTCGTCTTCAAACCAACACAATCCATGTCCACCAATAGATCAACCACATCCTCCACTTTGTTCCTCCCCTCCACCAATTTCCTCACCCACGCGCACATTATCGACACCATCAACTCCATCGTCTCCTTGTCAACTCGATTCTCCTTCTTCAGCCACTCAAAGACCTCCAACGCACACCAAGAGTCCCTCCCTTCCTGCGCAAAGTACACCAACACTAACTGCAGCTCGCGAGCCGACAGCCGGTCGTTCATTTCGCCGAGCACATCCGACGGCTCCCGCGCCATCCGCTCCAACTCCTCAATCGCCTCGAAAAAACCTTCGCTCATCTCCTCCTCGTCGTCGCTGGTGATGAACACATCCAATTGAACCGATTGAAGCTTCCTTCTACCCTGGAGTACACACCCCAATCGCCCTCCCACCGGAACCCCTAAGCATGATTGAATCCTCACTCGGTACTGCCTCCCGACCGCAAAATTGCACTTGTTCGAAAAAGCACAATTCGCAACCGCCAAATTGCTGCTTCCGGCAATTCCAGAGACGGAAGCCATCAATCCGACAAATACAGAATTTCAACTCAACGAAGTGATAATCTCCTAGAAAACAAAAATAAAAAAATAAATACGATTAAAAAAGAACACCAAAAGAGGTATTTGATGAACTCTATATATTCCTTGTGGCCCTTCCCGTAGCTATACAGAATTCCGGCCGAACGGCAACCATTTGCGCCGGATCATCGATCGTGGAACAAGAAATTGCGTGGGAATAAGAGGAAGAGCAAGAGGAAGTTGGAGATGAATGATCGATGGCCGCTTATAAGTGTGTGCTTATTTTTGAAGACACGGAAGAATCTTTTGTTGTAGAGTCGATATCTTTTTCATTTAAAAAATATAATAATAATAATAAAATTAAAATCAATTAATAATTGATTAAATGTTAGCTACTGACTAATTAATTCGCACGGTGTGGCTCTGGACTTTTAAGTGTTTTCTCATAATAATAATAATAATAATATTAAGGCATTGATCCCAATTGTTGTTTTCATAAATTAACATAGACTAATCATAATTTGACAAGTAGTACATTATAATATTATGATTGCTAAGAAAGCACGTCCAATTTAAAAGTAATATGAGGTTTATTTCAAGCAAATTAAATAAGCAAAGTGCAAGAAACAGCCAACCCGACCTGAATTAAAAGCATAATTCCTTAAACTAGTTCATATTTATTGTTTACATCCTTCCATTTCATCACAACACATACATACATACATACATACATACATTATTATTGTGGTCTCCAGTTTAACAGAAACACACAGGCAGAGGAAGCTGTGTCTGAACAAACAGATATTGATTCCAGGCCAAAAAATTATTAGCAAAACAAAACTGGATCGAATGAATGAATTGAAACAGATCATCAGATCTCCTCCAGGACCCAACCTGAATTTTCGAAAACAGGTTAAGACTTTTTGCAGCTCCATCAAGTGATGCACACTGATTGCTACCTTAAGTGATGCACAATGCCTACTGATGTTGTGTATGTGTGTACACACAACATTAGTGAAAATGCTCGATACATCGTACAGTACAGTTGCTCGGAACACTTTCTCCTATCCACCTAAACCATATATCATCATCACCCGCCTATGCCAAAGAATGTCGTTGAAAAGGTATATCCTATCCTATCCTATCCTATCCTCTTTTACCAATTCAGCATAAGCCCCGCAGCAAATCTTAATAAACCGTGTAAGGGCACCGGGGCAAACCAACCATACTTCTCTCGCTATCCAACTTTTAAAAGCATTCATGGTGGCATGGCATCCAATTTACATTTGATCCACCAAAGAACATAAACTGGAAAGAACAAACAGGATGGTGGTTTCTAGAGATTTAACCAAAAATGAAACATGTTTCAAAAAAGCAGGTACTTCATTTCAAACCCTTTTGCTGAAGGAAATCAAGAGCCAGTAGAAGAAAAGTGAATTGTAGCAAACAGGCTATACCAACTTCTGCATAAAATGATAAAAGTAAATTGCATCTGCATCTGAGGGCAAGATGAATCTTGAAATGCAAAACAAATGCAGCAAACTTGGGAAAAGCATCACTCACCTGATAAGTTTCAACCTACCATTAGAGCAGCAATGGGGAGAATATCCACTTCTCTCTATAAAAACATTCACACAGCTCTAAATCAATCCCACGTCATATATAAATAACTTCCCACCTCTGAATGGAGAAAAAGAAGTATTGCTCAGGGAATGAACAACCTACCTCTCATCTCCAGTTAGAGAACAAATCCGCTAACGGAATAATAAGTAAAAACACCTCCCATCAACATATAATAGTACATTAATAGCCCTTCTCGATGATTGTTTAGTATGGACGCGAACGGTTTCCACCATGGTGAGAACCACCATCTCTGTAGTTGTCTCTCCGTCTATCAGCCCCGTAGTTACCTCTGCCACCACTATGTAATGAGAAAATAGTCAACTACAAGTTCGCAGGGGATTTTGCATGGTAATAAATAATTTACCATAGCAAGTTCTAATGATACATACAGATCATGCAGTGTTCCAAGAATGCAGTGGCAAAACTGCCATTTTGTTTTCAACCAATGCTACTGTGCATAGTTAAGAGTTAAAACACCAATTATAGGGTCTTATAAAATGAGGAAGATTTTTACCTTTTCAGTTATAATCTTAATCTTATCCAATTCTACCAAAGTGAACTTATAAAAAAGGTAAACAGAACTGGTGAAAATCATGGAAAGCTTGAAAGTATCAACAAACAAGAGAGCTGGTCGAAAGTTTATGAGACCCTAGAGATGTTGGAACGAAGATGATGCTCTTAGAATTTCAACTAAAAAAAGACATCAATGAGCAACACAAACTATATAGTTACTGTACCTAAAAGGGTAAAAGACCAGCAAGCACACTAGTCTTGTTAGACACATACTTCTGATGTTTATATGGAACCTTCTTAACACATAAAGAGCATCTAACTTATCATTCACCATCACCACTACAATACTTGGAAAAGACATGACAAATATTCCATGCATGTCCTACATAACATAAAATAGCTAGCTTTTAAGCTCGCTGCATGTAGAAACGTAGCATACATCTATCCTAAATACACAGCTGCAGCACATATTCTACTCTGCAGTACATCTGGGTAAATTAGCTAGCTTTTCCAAGTGAGTTGGATACTTGGGACTTAAGAAACATAGCATAAATTTATCCTAAATCCCCAGCTTTAGCATATATTCTACTGTGAGGCACATCTGCCTTTAACACAACGCATTCAACAATCACTTAGATCATTGCTTTTGCAATAACAGAATGGACTGTTATATAAGAGCATGTGGTTAATGAAAAAGTTATAGCATGCCTATAACATAATTTTAAAAAAAATAAATAAATAAGTGCACAAGGCAAAACTTATGATTTACTAAGAAAAAACTCCTTCCTAACATTACTGTGTGTGTATCTTAGACAGTACCGTTCTACATATTAGTGTAAAGTGTCGTCAAAATTGGTGAGTAAAATTGGCAAGAAAATATAAAGACGTGAAAGGGGGCATATACTTGAGGCAGCTGACTTACCCAGAACCATATGAGGGAGCCTTTGGAGCAGATTTTTCAGCCATTGAAACGCTAATTTTGTGTCCTCTCAGGTCATAATCTATTTGGAAAAATCATGGCCATCAAGCATACATACAAACACACAAAATTGGGGAAAAAGATCACAAAAAAATGCAATAATTACTATCAATAGATAAATAATTGATTTAAAAACAACCTAGATGAAGGGCATACCATTAAAAAATCCACCAGCTGCATGAGCTGCTGATGGATCTTCATAAGATAATACTGCATCTCCTTTACTATTTCCTTGTTCATCCTGGTATATTTTAATGCTCCACGGCCACTGGTCCTTGAATCCTCGCTTTTGTTTGATTCTTGCAACCTAGTAATGCAGACATAATTACTCGTTGCAAGAACATAGAATTTTCCATGAAAATATATACAGTACCTCAATGGTAAAATGCACACTTATTTGTTTAAGACCCACATTCTAACATACATATATATGTATATATCTTACTAATAGCATGTGCTCAATTGTGATAAAACAGAGGGGTGACTAACATTGGGCTAACACTTGTATATATAAATTAATGAATGCAAGATAAAGAGAAAAAGGATTTACTTGGCCAATGCTCCCAAACAATTCCCTAAGCTCATCAATGGTGACATTTTGAGGCAGATTTGATATATAAATTCTTGAATTGTCACAGGAATCGCCACAATTTTCATCGCACTGTTTGACTTTTTCATTAGTTTCAACTGGAGGCCCACCATAACCCCCGGGATTTCGACCCCCACCATACCTACCGGGAGGCCCACTTCGTTCAGCACCTCGGCTATCACCATGAGCATCGCTACTATAATTTGTAGGGGCACCATATGATGGAGGATATGAATCAGGGCCCCCAGTATAGCTTGATGGAGGAGGAACAGCATCAGGAGCATAGTTAGGGTTCCCACCATAAGCATTAGCAGGAGGTGCACCATAAGGAGGCTCAACTGAAGGACCCTGTCCATAACCACCATCATCTCTTCCTAGGCCTCTACCATTTCCACCACCATAACCATTACCACTGCGGCCACTGCCACCATCATGATAATTACCTCTTCCACCACGATTCCCATCAAAACCGCTACCTCTTCCACCTCTGCTACCACCGCCTCTACCCCCACGATCCTCTCCACCAGCTGGAGATGCTGTACCACATCTGTTACATTCTGTTCTTCGGGCAAAATTCACATTCCCACAACTACATGCACATGAGACATTAGTTATTAGAAGCAGAAAAGCGTACTCAGATCTCAAATGCATATTTTGAACCATCTTAGTCAGGGAATATAAGCATACATGTGTATATTAATGAATAAAATTATTTCATAAAAATTAAATAGCTTACATAAAAAGTAAGAAAACTGCTACAAGCACAAGACTGATTAAAACTGCTATAATCAACTACACCGGGGGAGGGAGTGGAGGGGGGTGGGAGTTTGTAAACTCTCCAACTGATTTTTCTCCCATTAATAGAGCACAGGAAGTTTTCAATTTAATCATTTAGAACCTACAAACAACGGATAACTAGATGCCCAGCTCCACAATAAAACTAGAATGAAATCCATTAAATCCACCATTCTAAGATAAGGAAGGCAACAAAAGAAAACATGTGCCATATCAATGCATGTCATGATCACTCAAGAATCAAGATACTGTCATGGGAACTATTGACATGTTATGATTTCAAGAATATTGATTTGTCACTTGAGATTCAAGAAACATGTCACTGTAACAAAATGTGAGCTGCACTTCTTGTTTCTTGGTTTTTTTATTTTTATAATTATTATTTTTGTTCTCTGGGGGATGGGGAAATGGATCAAGTCAAGAATGCAGAATAGTATGACTCATAACCAATTTGCATTATAGCATCTACTTTACCCACAGCATATAATTTAATCACTGAGATAACATTAACATTAAACACTTCATAGAACAACTTGAGATCTGTGGAAACAGACTTGGTTACCTAGGATTAGGGCAACGCCAATCTCCATCCCTGCCGCTTCCACCGCCGCGGCCACCGCCGCCTCCTCTTCCACCGCCTCCACCTCCACGTCCACCACGATCCCCTAAGTACAAAACGTGGTATTTAAAGTTGCATAAACGAAGCAGAAACAAAAAGTTAACAAAATCTTAAAATCAAAAGAAGAAAATCATAAATCAGAAAAATACCTCGATTACCACCGAATCCTCCGCCTCCTCTGCCACCGTAGCCTCCACCGCCGCCTCTACCACCATAACCTCCACCGCCGCCTCCATATCCACCCCCACCATAACCTCCACCGCCGCCATAGCCTCCGTATCCTCCGCCTTCAGAACCGCCGTATCTTCCACCTCCGTAATCACCACCCCCACCCGCACCAGATCCGTCGCCTTCTTGACCATAGACACCTGACATCTTATTGCTCTCTTCAGTCAGAAACCGAAATCGAAACTCCTCTGAAACCAGATTAGCGGATAGATTAGTTTCCCGTTTCGCCGAGCGGAGAAGAAGGAAGGAGTCGCGAGCGAGGAACAATTAGGGTTAAAGGGTATAGTTGTACTCGAGGATAAAGTGCCCTGATATTTATGGTGGTTTTGGGAAGTGTTATACTGCGCTTGTGCACACAGTAACAATTTTCTAAACGAATCACCACCGTCCGATTCTATCACCCATGAGGGCATCTGCCCCCTTATTTTTCTTTTTTATTTTGTATATTTTTTTCGGCACACTTCAATATATTCCCTTGAATTTTTATTATAAATTAAAAAATAAAATTTTATTAAATTATTAGAAATATATAAGGTATTTTTAATATTTTATCATGTGTATTTTATATATAAAATAATTATATATAAAAAAAAATAAAAATATTATAATATTAATATATAATTTTTTATTATTATATAATAAATAAATAATTTTTTAATATGATATATTGGAATAATAATAATAACTTTTGGTTGAAATGAAAGACTATATATTATAATAATATTTGATTTTTTTTAATTTTTATATTATATAAATTTATATTTTATCTATTCTAATTTAAAATATATTTTATTTTTTCCAAAAAAAAAAACATAACTTTGTGTTTGTTCATGTGAAGATTTGAATTTTTTTTTTTTTTTTATGTATAATATATAAAATTGTGTAAAAAAATGCTATAAAATATTATTTTTAAAAATCCCAATACTAAAAAATTCTTGCATTGGATCCAAAATTTTCATAAATATTACTAAAACAAAATATTGTATTACATATATATATATTAGTCAATATATAATATATTTTATCCGCTATAAAACGAGTAAGTGCAAATATTGGTTTGAAAAACAAAAAGAACATATTCCTATATTTGTAAAATATTGGTTCTCATCTATTTTATATATATATATATATATATTTAAAACATATATTACTACTGGTAAAATATTAATACTACCATATTAAATGATCATAATTTTTTATACAATTGTATATTATAATTATTTGATTGCATTAAAATTTTTATCATCAATTTATTGTATATATAAAAATATATTTATGTAATATGTATTACATTTTTATCCGGTAAAAGATAATCCTTATAGCTAGAGACATTATTATTTAAATAGTGTAAATTAATAAATTATTAATAATCAATTATAATATTATTTTATTCTTTTATATAAATAGTATTAGTGATATTTTAAAAATATAAATTAATATATATTATTAAAAAAATTAAAATGTATATTTAACTTTAAATATATTTAGCTTTAAAATAGAGAATTTTAAATATAAATAATAAACTTTATTCAGTAAAAAAAAATATAAATAAAATATTTTGAATAGTTATATCGTAATATTATTTATTACACTATATATTTATAAAATAATATTTCTTTCGTTTATTTTTAATATAATAATTGATATTTATATGTATTTTTTAAAAGAAATTAATTTTTTTTTTATTAAATAACAAATTTGTTCCTTTATTTTATATATAAAAAAATATAAAAAGTTAAAAGTAAAAAAATAAATTCAATATATATATAATAGTAATTATTGAATATTTTAAATATTAAAATATAATTTAGTTTGTAGATGGAAAGAATACTAATTTATTTTAATTAATATAAAAAAATAATAATAAAATCTTCACACATAATTCAAATAATAAAAATAAAATTTTGGGCAAAGGAAACCCGACCAATCACGTTCCACATTTTGACGGTATATATCGAAGCACGTGAGAGGTCAGAGGACAAGATAAGTACGCACATTTGCGCACCACCGGATACCAAACTGCACCACAATTATACCGCCGGCCGCCGAAACCCTAGGGATAACTCCACCTCCTCCTCCTCCTCCTCCGCCGCCGCCGCCGCTCGCCGGATGTCCGATCCATTAATGAAAGGCTGCTGCCACGTGGTGGCGATACCGTACCCCGGCCGCGGCCACATCAACCCTATGCTCAACCTCTGCCGCCAAATCCTGAAGAAGCGACCGGAAATCGTCGTCTCCTTCATCGTCACGGAGGAGTGGCTCGGCTTCCTCCCGCCGCCGCCGCATCGGAGCTTGAGTTTCCACACAATTCCGAACGTGATTCCCTCCGAGATCGGCCGAGCCAAGGACTTCGCCGGCTTCATAACTGCCGTTCGCACCAAAATGGAAGCGCCGGTCGAGCGGCTCCTCGACCGACTCCCGCCGCCGAAGCCAAAGGTGATTGTCTACGATACGTACTTGAGCTGGGCGGTGGCGGTGGGAAATCGGAGGAATATTCCGGTGGCGTCGTTTTTCACAATGTCTGCTACTGTCTTCTCCATCTTTCATCACTTCGATCTCATTGTTCAAAACGGGCATTTCCTTTCCGGCTCACCAGGTTCGGTATCTTATTTTACTTGTTTTTATGAAATTTAGAACACTAGTGATATTTATGGTAAGTAATTTTTTGAATAGATAAGAAATTATAATTTAAAAATATAGAGACTAAAATGAATAAAAGAGATCATAAATATATTTTATCCAACTTTAAGAAAAACAAAATAAAAATTAAAGAATAGAATAATAGTAAAAAGATTTAATGCTCCCTTTGTTCCTTCTCTCGGTAAGTTATCAATAATAAATTAAAATATTTATTTTTTATTTTTTATGTAAGTAAATTTATTGGTATTTTAAATATTTTTTACATTATATTTCAATTAAATAAATTAGTTTTATATAGTAAAAAATAGAGAGTTTAAAAAGTATATAAAATTATTTGTTATTTGAGAATAAATTTAAATAAAGGGGTTTTGAGCGAATACAAATTTAATTAAATTAATTTATATTTTTTTATTCAATTTATATTGTTATAAAGTATATTTATACAATTTTTTTCAAGTAATTGTTTTCTCTAATGAATTAACAAATTGATTTTTTATGGTAAACTAGAGATTAAAAGTAAGTAAATGAACTAATGGTAAAAAAATAAAAATTTTGTTTAAAAAAAAAAATAGAACAATAATTATTGGATGTTCAAAATATAAAAATACTACTATGACATTAGTTTGTGGACGAATGAAGTATTTGTTAAGTGTATTTAAAATGGGATGGAATATTTGATACTATATCCGTCTGCCTGTCACATTTAACTTTTTGTGTAATTCCTTATATCAGTATTACAAGATACTAATAAAAATATTTTGATATAATAATTAATATTTAAAGATCAACACATTGAAAAAATAAATGAGACCTGTAAATATAATATTTTACAAAAATATAACTATTTAAAGGTATGTTTTTTTTTTATTTATTATTATTATTGGAAAGTGATGTTTAATTGTAGATGAAGGGGCAAAAGATGAAGTAATAGAGTATATTCCGGGAATCTCTTCAATAAGAATAGGCGACCTTCCCACACCCTTTCATGGCAAAGGCAAAGAAGTTTTACCTATAGCCTTAGAAGCCATTAAATTGGCAGCTTCCAATTCCCAATTTCTTCTCTTCACCTCTATCCACCAATTGGAATCTCAAGTTCTTGATTTCCTAAAACAATCTTTACCTACCAAACTCTATTCCATCGGCCTTTCCATACCTCAATTCTACGACGATGACGACGACGACGAGGCGAGGCCCGGGTACATGCAATGGCTGGACGCTCAGCCACTCGGCTCCGTATTGTACATTTCGCAGGGAAGTTTCCTCTCGGTATCGAGCGCGCAGCTCGACGAGATCGTAGCGGGGGTGCGGGATAGCGGCGTAAGGTTTATGTGGGTCGGTCGGGGGGAGGATTTGGCGGCGATCGGGAATAGTAACGGGATTGTGGTGCCGTGGTGCGATCAGTTGAGGGTGTTGTGCCACAGTTCGGTTGGGGGTTTCTGGTCGCACTGTGGGTGGAATTCGACGAAAGAAGGGGCGTTTGCAGGGCTCCCGATGCTCACATTTCCGATATTTTGGGATCAAGTTACGAATAGTAAGATGATCGTTGAGGATTGGGGGGTCGGGGTGAGAGTAATGGGAGATCGTAATTATGGGTTGGTTAGTAGAAAAGAGATTGCGAGGATTGTGGTTGAGGTTATGAGGTCGGAGACGAGGGAAGCGAATGAGAGAAAGAGACGAGCGGAAGAGATTAGGGATATTTGTAGGGTTGCGAGTGAGGATGATGGATCGTCGAGTTTAGATCTTTTGGGGTTCATCGAAGATATATGTGAATAGTATTGAAAGTTAATATTTTGATATTAGTATATTATTTGTCTTTGGATTTGAATGTATGTTGTTGAATGATTTTATTGATTTTGTGGGTTTGTTTGAATAATCATGTTTGATGGATAGTGCCTGATGAAAAGTACTAATAATGCTACTAATAAAAGTAAAAAATTATACTCGATTGTTTTCATATATATTTACATTATCTTGGCATGGATCACTTCTCCGGAGGGCTTTTCTGTCGCTCCTCCTGTCCATCCTATGGGAAGGGGAGGGACACATGACAATTTTATTATTATTATTTTTTTATTTTAAAATTCATAAATTTTTAAAAATTACACTTTGAACAATTTGGGATTCACACAGAGTCAATAATGATTAAACGTTATTCACTCTCAAATGAAATCGATTAAGAAATCAGAAATCGTCGCGGTCGTCTCTTCAGTCCGTCTTTCGTCGTTGCTGTGCCCAACCCACTTTTCTGTCGTCGTCGTGCGGTCTTAATCGTTAGTTTTTGGAAAATTTAAAATTCAATAAAATTTTGAGATTATTTGCAATTTATGTTTGATTTTTTTGCTTTAGGGTTTAGGATTCGTTGTTCTTGGTTCTAATTTAAATACGTGTTTTGGATTTTTCAATTTCGAAAGGGTTTTCATTTTGTCGATTTAGAGCTTTTAGATTTTGTTGATCTTGTGCTAAACTTTGATGTTGTGGGTTTAGTATTGATTCTCAATTGATATAAAAACTCAAAATAATTCATATAATAAGTTCTTTAGATTTTATAAAATATAAAAATTATATACATGTGTTTCTACAACAACAAATATTTAGTATTTTTCTTTCTTTGAGTGATTATAGACATGCTTTCAACTATAATAAATAAACAACGGCAGTAAAAAAAAATAATAATAATAGAGGCTGAAGCAATAAAAAACACAAGAGAAAAAGAAATAAATTTGTCGGAATATATGCTTTCTGATCACATACAATACACAGACGATGACCGAGTATTTGAAGATTAAAAAAAAAAAAAAAAGGCTGGAACGACCATGAAATTCGAGAGCTCCGGAAAAAGTAAATATAAATACAAGAACCACCGAGTGTGAATTGCTGGTGAAATCGATGATAAATATTGAATGAGAAGTAAACTTAATAATGTGAAATAGAATATCACAGAGAAAAAAAAAAAAAAAAAAAACCGGCAAGAGAAAAAATGACGAGGGATTAAAATGCAAAATAAAAATTTTTATTTAAAATTAAATAAAAAGACATTGATATGGGTGACCCTCCCATAGGATGGACAGGGACTACATATAAAGCCTCCGGACAGGTGATCTTATGTCCATTATCTTAGTATGTTATTTTTATAATGAAATGTTGTATTAAATTTTCAAAGCATTTCATTTGATACTTAATTTTACCTATAAAAAAGAAATCAAAAGACATAAATATGAATAAACACACTACCGTTTTGTATAAATATATGAATTTTGATGGATAAATGTATTTTTAGTATTCTATGATTAAATATAATTTTGTATTTAATTCATTTTTGTTGAAAATGTCATCTAAGTATCAGATAAGTAATGTGTCAATTTTTAACATGTGAATTTAAATTTATATCTTTACTAAATTATATATATATATATTTATTTATTATTACTTTTTAATAACGTATGCAACCGCTATCATTTAGCTAGATTTGAAATTATGACCTTATTGATCATTTCACCAGAACATTCTTTGCGTACTCGTCGAAGCTTATTTTGTTGACATAGTTTATAAATTAATTTATTTAAACAAATAAAATTAAGCCCACAAATATATAAATTAATATGTTATAAATATTTATGTATTTATGAATTATTATATTAGCACCAGTGGTCTAGTGGTAGAAAAGTACCCTGCCACGGTACAGACCCGGGTTCGATTCCCGGCTGGTGCAATCCCTTTTGCGCTCAATTCCTTATTTTATTTTTATTTCTTATTGCACAATAGGTATTTTTGAGGGGGTTAGGTATAAAAAGCGTGATTTGTGAAAATCGGAGCAGATAAAAATAAAAAATAAAAATGAATGCGGTTGCAGACGCTGCGGTGTACAACGGCGCCTACGGAAGCGATTCCGACGCGAGTTCCGACGACTCACCGGAATATTACCAGCCGATATCCAATGTCGAAATCGGAGATGATGACGAAGAAGGAGAAGGAGAAGCAGAAGATCTCTCCAATGGAGATCTAAACCCTAATTTCCACCACCAGCTGCTACCCAACGGATGGATGGAGAACGGATTGTCGCCGCTCGATCTGCGCAGCGACGACAACGAAGCGGAAGAAGAAGCCGCGGCGGAGGCGATCGAATCGGAGATGGCGATCGAGCGGGCGTTCAGAGAGGACGAGATGCGGCGCGCCGCTCCGCTGCCGGCGGAGGCCGCCGTGAGAGTGATGGAGGCGATGCGCGGTGTCTCGTTCTCCGGCGGAGCGCCGGATTGGGCGAGGCAGGTGCCGGAGGGCGAGTGGCGCGATCGGCTCCGGCGGCTGAGGACGGAGCCTTCCGCCGCCGTGGATAACTGATAGATTTGAATATCATAGAAAATGCCTCACTCAGATCATAGGTATAAAATCTGTCTCCAAATTCAATTATATATATATATATATATATGATCTAATACTTATTCTTTTGCAGGAATAATCTTTTCATTTCATATGAATAAGGTTGAATAAGGTTGTGTTCCGGTTAGAGTTGTTAAACGAATCGAGCTTGTGATCTAGTCAAATTCAATTTGAGCCGAGCCAAGCTCAAGTTACTATTTTGGTTTGAATTCTTAACCATCTGAGCTGAATTTGTATTGTTACCAAGTTTGAATTGAACTTGAACAACTAATACTCAAAGCTCGTTCAACTTATTTAGCAGCTTAGGTATGTTCTATGGGTGTTTCTTTTTTCTTTTTTTTTTTCATTTTATAATATTGAATTTTGAGTAATTTTGAGCCATAGTTCTCTTCGAAATGTGTTCTGGTTTAAATTCAAAGTGGATGGACAAGACAAGTCACATTTATCATATCATGGCACCAGCAAGAAAATTACCAATTTCAATTTAATAACCTCAAATCAAAAGTAACAACACCACAAAGGCCAAGAAGAATTTATTCATCACAAACTTTTGGTAAATGGAAGTAGTTATACGATAAAATTCAAGTCTCAAAAACAATGATGTAGTAGAAACTTCAGTGATCCTAAATTCCTCATGCTGAAACTTGTAAGTTACACTCAATAGATAAATACTCTACTACTTTCCACAAGCCTTTTTTATTGAAAGGATTTGGATAGAAAGAGGGCGCACCTTCCGAAAGTTTTAGGCTCCAATGTTCTCAATGTCGGCACCTTTGTCCATCCTCTTCACGATCCCGGCTATGACCTATTCAGAAAACATCGTCCGATGAAAATAGCTCGGTATACCAGAGATTGAACTAACTGTCTTTTAGCATTTCGTTACATGTGTGTGTGTGTCGGGATGTTTTCGATTTGTGAGATTAATTATACATACCTTTCCAGGTCCCAATTCATAACTTTTCTTCAATCCTCTTGATAACAATGTCTTTACTGTAGTCTCCCATTGTACGGGCGAAGTCACCTGAAATCATAAATGCACAGATGAAGTGTGTATTGTGCTTAGGATCGAGCTAAATCAGCAAGGCTTGAATTTGGCTAGAGCTCGACCGGCTCATGGAGATGAGGCCAAACATTTTTTGAGTTCGAAACCAATTTCACTGACTCAACTGGAAACGACTGAATTTTGAGATCAATATGCTTACCTGTCTAGCAAGTATCTTTTTTATGGTGCTCGGATCAGCATGTGGCTCTGCATCTACATTGGATATAACTGGTATTCTTGGTGTTCTGATTGCCGTTGATGCTAAAGCAGCTTCCAGTCTTGAAACAGCTGGTTCCATAAAACTTGTATGGAAAGCACCAGCTACAGCTAACCGAACCTGGGCATGGAGTATGCCGTTAAATTCCAGTTTGTGATATAGGAAATGTATCGTGACAGGGAATCAGATTTACTGTCATTCGGGCTTTGAATGATTTTGCTTTTGCTTCAACTGACTCAATTCCTTTAAGGCCTCCAGACACTGCATAGTTCCCCTGTGAAGGAAAGGGCTCGGGAGTCAGGACAAATATTCGAGCGTTGAATACTAGATATCAGATATGGAAGTAGTGAGCTCACCGTACACAAGAAATTTGCAATTTGAACCTTGTTGCCTTCATCTACATCTGCATTGGCAGCGTCACAAAGCTCTTGCACCTTGGCAGAGTCTAGACCGATAATACTAACCATGGCGCTTTGAGCAGCATCAGAAGCTTCCTGTCGATAGCAGAGATCGAACAAGTTGTAATTCAAGAAGTACCAAGACAATGAATTTAAATCCATATAACCAATTAGGACAATGGCTACAGTCCCAAAAGCATCGACTCTAGCTCCAGTTCTTTATAGCTTTTAACATTTAGAATAATTCTATGTAAAACATATTTGCATATGTTTTCTACTGTCTCCAAAATCAGACCAAAACACTTGTTCTGTTTCTTTTCTTGTATATATATATTTTACAAGTCAGGTTCCTACACAGACTGGTTCAACATGGAACGGGAATTAGCAAATCATAACTCATACCTGCATTGCTTCACCCCTCAATTTAACCAGCTTCAGCCCATCCTCAAAGCTGCATGATGAAGCAGAATCCATCAGAAACAACATGTTGGAGATGCTACTACAATAGCTATTTCATGTTGCTCGGATGATTTAATAGCATTATAGCATTCGATCCTAACATAGTCACCTGAAAGCTTCTGCAAATGCAAGAGCTGTGTATTCTCCCAAGCTTAGACCACATGTCACATCCACAGAATCAATTATTTGCTGACCCCCTTCACGAGCTCTGAGCACCTCAACTGCAGCTAAGCTTGTTACATAGATAGCCGGCTGAGAAAATGGATCCATAGAACAGGTTAGTTCAACTACCAGTTTCTCTCAAGAACGAATGATCTTACTACTTTAGCCTACTGTATGAATGGGTTTATATTGTAACTTGTGCATTCGTGCTTTCATTGCATCAAATGTATAGAATACATGTTCTTTCAGGGAAAAAAGTACCGCAACTACTAAAAACTACCGCAACTGTGCTATGGAAATAAAGACGCATTAGAAAATTAGAGTTGCTTTCCCTTATTGAGTGATGACATATGTTTGTCGCATAATAAGATTTTTATTACCACTTAGTAGGGGGAAACTTTGCAACTTATAACAAGGATAAGTACCTGGCTTAGGACAGTGGAGTCAAGCTTCTCTTTTGGTCCATTAATGCAAATATCCAAAAGGTCGAACCTAGATGACATACACAAAAGAAGAAAAGTATATTTGGTATATAATCAATGTAGCCGTGATAACAAGTTACAATGCCAAACTTTGTCTATTATTTCCCTTGAAGACTGTGTACACTTAACAAGAATTTCTGCTTCTGTAATTTTTGCAGAACATATAGAAGTGCTTTTAGTTGCAAATCTTTGACATTATCATTTACCCAATAAATTTCAATTTACATATATTTTCATTACTCCAGCGAGAAACACATTATTATAAACTGTTATAAATTGCACGTATATAAAGCCAGTTGAGAAAAAGTTAAAAAGTTCAAATTTGAGTATCACAAAAGCAAAATACTATAGTGTGGTGTTAAATCTACCCCAAAATTTCATTAGCCCTCCTGTACAATTCAGCAGCAGCAGGCACTTTTTGAGCCTCCACTCCCATTCCAACAGCTTGTGCACCCTTTAAAGTTGAAAGAAACATATCACTAATCATGACAAAATGAGTCCTACAATCAGTAACACAAATCGACACAGATCTCTAGTTGCCACTTCTAAATTCAAACTCATCACAAAATACCAAAGATGTGCCTACTTAGCTGGACTCATCAAGCAACAGTTTCAAACTCCATCAACCGACAAAGCACGTGTGAAAGTAATTTTTGGAGCCTTGGACTTAACTCATTCATAACAATCAGTAAAAAAATTCCTAATATGGTCCAAGGCTTATCATCCACTTTGGAAAAAAAGAAGACAAACAGAAAAGTATATACCCTCATTGACAAAATGAAACCAATTGATTTTTTTTAGTTGATTTTTGATAGATTAAGGTGGTTTAAGTTATAAAGTTGCAGATCCTTCCTGCAAGAGATCGATGAGATTTTAAGTCGAAAGTTTCAATATAGTATAACAAAACAATCAATCCAAACCAAGCAAAGGAGATTCCGTTCCATTTAGAACCTACCTAGGTACTAATTCAGGCAATTCAAGCAAATTGAAAGAGATGTTTAACTATCTACGCCTAGAAAATAATAATTTCAAATTGGAAACCAACATTCATTCTATTGGAAAAGTAAACAGATTCTGTTGAGCTTACATTGAGCTGTCAATAAGCACAGCAGTAACGCCAATCCTTCAAAACTTATGCAATAATTAGCAAGATAACTACACAGAACCATTATTCACCAATCATACCCAACGACTCAGCTGTATCCAAGCATTACCAAAATAACTCAATGTATAAAAAAAAAAACCTAATTCAAATCTCACCTGGCCGGGGAAGAGGAAAGCTGTTGAAGGCTTGTAGTCCTTAAACAACGAGTCGTCGACAACAGCCGCCTCCGATCCGACTGCCACGCTCATGCAAAACCTCGATTTCTCCCAATGACACCGTGAAACCCTCCGCATCTCATTTTTAAACAAACAGCCGGAGCTCCTGACGGATTCGGATGCGCCGAAAACGCCTTTGCTCAGAGAAATCGAAGGAAGCGAGATTGCGGAAGCCATTGCTGCGCACAGAGATGAAAATTTGGCAAATCGATTGAAACTAACGCGATCGAGAGCGAAGTGAGAAGAAATGCATGCAGTGATTAAGAAAGGGTTTGGCGGAGAATTCGAAGAATTTGGCTTCAGAAATGTCGCCCGGCCAACGGCTATGATCTTCCGCATTTCCGCAATCCATCCACGAGGGTGGGGATTTTTAATTTAGTCCCTCGACCATAAGGATATCATATTTAATACCCCTATACTCTATGCAATTATTTTTTCCACTATTTCTCAAATTGTTTATGTATTTATTTATTAGATGAAATATCCTAAAAATACATTTATATATTTAATAAATTTATTAATCCATACTTAACAAATATATATCAAATATAGCTATCCACCTCCACACCACATAACATCTTTTACAAGACATCTTAACATAAACATTCATTTATATTTCACGTGCACTCAGCATCATGTAGCAATAACAATGTAAATTATAGTTATAAAATAAACTATTTTTTAGTAAAAAAAAAATTATTTAGCATATTAATGGACACAAGAATAAATATATTTGATTCGTTGATTAGAATATTTTAAAATTTGTATGTTTGCTTTGTATTTTTTATATTCTCCCTCCGTCTTATAACTAAATATATGTTTTTTGTATATAATTTTAGAAATATTAGTATTATATTTGGATGTAGTATGAATAAAGTAGAAACGACTAAAATAACCTTATTAGTATGTGTGATATAAAGGTAATGACATTTGTGTAATAGTCCATATTGTAAATTGTAAGGGTATTTGTAATGTTAGGTAGACAGTACAGTTACTAAAAAGGAAATGAATATTTTGTTATAGGACGACATAAAATGAAAAAATAATACTTGGAGGGAGTATTAAATACGAAAAATCGTATCGATAATATAAATAATATTATTTTCTTTTGAATTATTAAATTTTTATAAATTAATAAAGCATATAATATACTGTAGTTTATATAATTATGCGTATTTATATATATATATTATTTTTTTTAATACTCCCTTCGTCATTCAAATTTATTCTCACTTTTTTTTGTTGTCATCCAAATATATTCTCGTTTCATTTTTTAATAAAAAAATACCACTTTTTTTTTTGCAAAAATAAAAATAAAAATAAAAATTTCTATTTTTACATATTTTTCTTAGAATCCATACCCGGTCAAATGAACACACAATTGGACTACGGAGGGAGTAATATTCATTGTGAATTGAGTCTATAAAAAATTTTTTGGGTGAACATATTCATAATAAAATCAAGGGTAAACTGTTTTTTTAGTCCCGTAATTGGATCTCCTTATTCTTTAGTCTCGTAAGTGGAGCTGTCGCAAACTAGTCCCATAAGTGAAAAATTTTCGCTGTTTTAGTCCTCTGGCGCCGGAGACATCCGCGTGGCTCGCCGGAGGTGACGTGTCCGCCAGGTCAGCGACACTTGGCGGACACGTGAATTTTTTTAATTTTTTTAAAATTTATTTTTAATTTTATTTGTATTTTTTTATTTTTTTATTTGATCCAATTAAAAAAATGAAAAATAAAATAAAATAAATCCACGTGTCCGCTAGGTGTAGCTGACCTGGCAGGACACCTGGCGGACACGAGCCACACAGGCGTCTCCGGCGCCGGAGGACTAAAACAGCTAAAATTTTTCACTTATAGGACTAGTTTGCGACAGACTCCACTTACGAGATTAAAATGATAAAGAGGTCGAGTTACGAGACTAAAAAACACAGTTTTCTCTAAAATCAATAATAACAAGGGAATGGCGGGGATACGCTAGTCTCATCATTCTTTGTGTTGTAATATCAATGTCGGCAACATTTTGTATTTTGTATATGTATTATTAATTAAATAAATCAATTTAAATGAATTAATTAAATAAATAGGTAGGTAGGTTGATGTTACATATTAATAGGTAAGGATAATTTAACAACTTCCATGCTTGCCAATTATGGTATGCTTTTCCATAATTACTTGACAGCCTATTGGTTACATCTTAAGCAAAAGTCTTATTTTCATTTTATTTAAATTTAAATTTAAAATGAAGTGGACTAAAATCCACATATATATACTACATTCGTCCCACTATAATTGACACTATTTTTATTTATGTCTGTCTCGTAACAATTGATACATTTATATTTTTGGTAAAAATTATTAAATCAAAACATATTTAACAAATATAAAACTTAATTAACTACATAATATACAACATTATAAATGGCTTATGATTGACTCAGAACCCCTTTATTTTTACCTTTCTCTTTCCTCAAAAAAATAAATATTTTTATCTATTTTTAAAACTACACGTTGTTTTATAAAATTGATTTATGTTAATTATTTATTTGTATTATAGAAAATTTTATTCTCTACAAAATGATATTCATATTGCATATATTTTTAAATATTTAAACATATATTTTAATTTTTTTAATCATATATTAAATTTACTTTAAAAATATAAATATTATTAATTATATAAAAAAAATAATATAATAATATCATAACTAATTATTATTAACTAATTAAACACCCTTACTTTAAATATCGTATTCCTAATCAAATTGTTCAATTCCGGTAGGAGAGAGGAGTATATTATAGTATTTAAAATTATAACAAAGTATCTATTTTTCCATTTTAGTCCGTCTCATAACAAAGTATCCATTTTCTTTTTTATTAACTGTATTATCTACGTAATATTACAAATACTCTTACAACTTACAATATATTATACAAATGTCATTACATTTATATCATACATACTAATAAGATTATTTTGGTCATTTATATTTTATTTATACTTATATTTTAATATAATATTAATATTTTTAAAATTACGTAAAAAAGCAAATGGATGAAGTATTATTATTATTATATTGTTGGGCCAATGATTATTTGCATGGGTAAGGAGGTGCCTTGTGCAACAAGTGTCCAATGATTAATCGACAACAAATTGAAACAAATTAATCAAAACTTTGGAAGATGATTTACGAAGGGTATGTTTGATTTGCGATTTACATTTGGATTTTAATTTTTTTTATTTCAATTTAAATTTAAATAGTATTTTGATATTATATTTTACAACTAATAAATAAAATATATTTATTACGAATTGAATATTAAACTTCCAATTAACAATTCTTGAACTGTATATTAGATTTGAGTAAAATCACAGTACAATGATTTGTTTAGATAGAGATTTTTGGGAGTTCTTTAAATTTTGAAAGTTTAGAAAAAGTAAAAAATTAGTACTCCCTTCTTCACATATAAATAGTAATATTTGTTTTTTCGTGTAAATTTTTTAATATTAGTATTATATTAGGTTGTAGTAAAAAAAGACAAAATACTCTTATTAGTATTGTGTAATATAAAGGTGGTGGCATTTGTATAATATATTGTAAGTTGAAAGAATATTTATTATGTTAGGTAAGTAGTACAATTACTAAATTATGAAATTGTATCATTGTTTTTGGATGGACGAAAATGAAAAATGAAACTATTCATGAAGTATTTGATTTGATGTTTTGTGAATAAAAATGTATTTGATGTGATATTTTTTTGAAAAATGAATAGTATAATGGTCGAAAAAAAAATATGTGTGAATTTTTTAAATGACAATCTCGTTTGATAGTGCTTAGACATTTTGTTGTATTTTGAAAGTATAAAATTGTGAAAAATGATGTATATATATATATATGTATATATATATATTTATTCTAATAATAAATAATATTATCTCCATTCCATATTGGGTGTCTTGGTCACTGTAGACACAAGAATTTAGGATAAATATAATTAGTAGATAATTAAAAATATATTAGTGAAAATAATGAACCTATAATATAAATCATTATAAATTAAAATTGATATAACTAATTAATTTAATTAAAATTTAAAAAAATTAAATTAGAAAATTTAAAATTAAATTAAGATAGGTAATCATTTTTTAAAAAAGAAAGTGACATGAGATGTGAGACGGACAGAAACGATAACATGGACATGGTAAGCAAGACGGATGGAGTAAATAAATAGATATGGAGATGGATGATGATGATTTACATGTAAAGGTAAGAGCAGACAAGACAATAATGAAGACAAGAAACATGTCGTGAGGTAGATGTGGGACTTAAATAACAAGCTGCTGCTCCTCATCCTCCTATACACACACATGTTATACATACATGTATATATATATATATATATTTATTTATTTATTTATTAAAAATCTTAAATTGAAACTAAAATAAAATAAAATAAAAATGCAAATATGGATTTGTTACTTTCTTGTGTCTAATTTTAATTTTTATTGAAATAGTTATTGAAGGTTATATTTAGTGAAAGAACATACTTCCTCGATCTAGGATAATTATGTCAAAATTTTTTATTATCCGCTAAATTTATATATAATTTATCTATAGTAAAAAAATAAATTATTCATAATTTTATTATTTTTATTTAATAAATAATATTCAAATTATTTTTTTATATTTTTGTTAATACTATTTCAAATGATTTCTTTACCATTTTAAAAAAATAATTATATACTAATATTAAAAATATATTTAATTTTTATTTAAATTATAATTAAAATAGACTGTGAAACTAGCGTATATCATTTGGTTGGGGGCATTGCCCTTGAAACCCCCTGCAGGCCGCTCTGCGCCCCCAAATCCTAATCGAGAGTGTTTACAAGCCCTTATGAATGTTATATGCATAGTTGACCATAGATCGATTTGTGTCGAATTGGATACTTTAAATATATTAAATATTCAATCCTAACTTAATATATTTATTATCGAATCGAATTCGTGTTGACCCTTGTATATAATTAAATCAAAATTTTGTATTAAAAAATTAAATGATTTTTTGTCGTGTTACCGTCTTATATTAGTTTTTATTGGCTCGAGTATAATGTGTACAATGAATTATGTTAAATTATTTAAAATTGAACATAGTTTAAATTGATATACAATCAAATTATTAAATTATATTTATTTTATACATATAATAAATTATTAATCAATATTAATATATTATAATCGGATTGTCGTGTCGGGTTCGAGGGTCTCAATATTAACCCGACCCGTTTATTATCGTGTCGCAAATTCGTGTCAACATGTATATATAATCGAGTTAAAATATTTGACTCAAACCCAATTATGTTGTATTGAATTGTCGTGTCGTGTCGAGTCGAGTAAATTTTTGCTAACTCTAATTATATGAGGTCCCGGAGCTAGCTGGAGAGGAAAAAGTGGCGGAAGTCCGGGAGCTTGGAAGAATTATATAAATTACTATATATGAGGTCAGTTGTTCATCAATATATCCCTCGCTATAAATAGATTGCTATTCTCCTCAGCCTTTTCCCACAATGCCATGCCACCACTACTCTCTCTCTCTATATTGTCTTCACATATACATACACTATACATACACACATTGCAACCATTGCTCTCTCTCTCTCTCTAAATATATGTATATATATCTATATATAAAGCCATCAGATAAAATACCCTTTAATTTTGTGTTATATATATATATAGATGAATGGAAGAAGAGATAGAAATTAGAGAGAGAAAGCTATATATATAGAGAGAGAGAGAGAAGAATGAAGAATAAGAAGAATAGGAGTAAAGGATCTGTAAAGCTCAGGAGGGATAGCGCCATAATCGATCCATATATATATATATATATGTATATATACAATGGCGCTGTCCATCTTGAGCTTTATAGTTCCTTCTTGCTCTCATCCATCTATATATATACTCCCTCCCTCCCTTAATAATCTATCTATTTTTTTATTTTGGTTCGTCCCATAACAAAGTATTCATTTCATTTTTTTTAGTAGTTGTATCGTCTACCTAACATTACAGATACCATTCCAATTTACGATATATTACACAAATGTCTTTACCTTTATATTATTCAATACTAATAGGGTTAATTTAGTTATTTTACCTATATTTCTATTTTATCCCAATATAATACTAATATTTCTAAAACTCCATGCAAAAAGCAAATGAATATATAAATATGGAACGGAGAGGAGAGAGTATATTTTATAATAACTATTTCATTAAAAAAATAACCACAGAAAACTCAAAATTTTGAAAAAACAACACATCCTATGTATATTTATTTAGGTACAGATCTGTGTTTCTTAATTTGTTATATATATATAAATATGTGTGTGTGTGTAATGTTTAAGTTTAGATGCAAAGCAATTCTGAGAAAGGTGTGTTATGTGTGTGTGTGTTTGTTGATCATTATTATTAATATAATTTATTTATTTAAGGAATGTTGATACTTTAGGGTTTTATTAATTAATTAGTAATGATTAGTTGTTTGTTGGGAAGCACACACACAATGACGAAGAAGCTTATTAGCTAGCCCTTTTTATTTTCTTTTAATCCATCCATCTTATAACTCTTCATTGTAATTACCTATAATTACACGCACATTTATATATATATATATATATAGTTTATCAATATATAATACATATTTTATTCTTTCACAAAAAAAAAAAAATTCAATATACTCGCTCTATCCCATTGGAAGGGTAGCGTTTGCTTTTTGCACGTATATTTTTTAATATTAGTATTATATTGGATTATAGTAAAAAATATAAAAATATCCCTATTAGTATGGTATAATATAAAAGTAATGACATTTGTGTAATATATTGTATGTTGAAATGGTACTTATTATTATATTAAGTAGATAATACAATTACTAAAATAGAAAATTGTAATCTTGTTTTGAGACAGATGAAAATAAAAAATGGTAACCTTAACAAATGGAGTATGATATTATTCATAATTCACATAAAAAAAAATTACATCAAACTCTTTATCTCCAAGTAATTTCTATATGAAGTTTTGCGTTAGCTTACTTGTTTTAATTTTGTATGTTGGTTTGTATCATGATTTATATATGATATGTTATAGCAAAATAATATTATAGTTTTTTTAGTAATTACTAAATATTATGTACGTAAAAAGAAAAAAAAATGAAATCAAACTGCAAATAATATATATATATATACTTCCTTCGTCCCAAAAGAAGTGTTTTATTGAGAATTGGCAAGGGAATTAAGGAATAATAGTATTTAATTGAAAGTGGGTATAAAGTAGAATGTAAATGACTACAATATCCTTGCTTTTTGAATAATTTTAAAGATTATGTTAGAGTAATAATTATGGATAGTATGGAAAAGTACGAATAATTTGGTTATATACATGTAACATCCTTTTATTTATTTATTTAGAATATTCAAATAAAAAATACAAGTAAATAACATCCTTTTATTTATTTATTTATTAGATGAAGAGGGATGAAGATTAAAGTAACAATTCTTTTAATGGCTAATAAATTTGAATAATGCAAATATACATACACAAACATTTGTTTATATATTTATTTATTTATTTATGTCTATTCTGTAGATGATATTTGAAATTGGTCATTTATGGAGTATATTTATTTTATTTTACACACGCTGACATGTATTGAATACGCTGGTTACTACAGTAATGATTATTCTTGCTGCACTCGTATACAGATGTTATGATGTATTCTTATTTTTTCGAATTTAGTTTAAATATATATTTAAATGTTGTTAATTATAAGAGAATATATATAATTTTAAATTACATAGTAAAAAAATTGAAACAAAAATACAAGATAAACAAAGTCACGTAGACTAGGGTGTGTTTAAATAAATAAATCAAAGATGCATTTTTTTAACACTTATGAGAGCTGATTGGAGACTCCCATTTACAACGTATCAAAAATATAATATTTTTTACTTCATCCAGTCATATTCATTTATTTTTTGCATTAGAAATATTAGTACTTCTTTCGTCTCGAAATTAAATATTCATTTATTTTTTGCACGTAATTTTAGAAATATTAGTATTATATTGAAAAATAGTATGAATAAAGTAGAAATAACTAAAATAACCTTATTAGTATGTTTGATATAAAGGTAATGACATTTGTGTGATATAAAAAAAAAAAAAAAAAATACTTTGTTACGAGTGTTATGGGACAGAGAAAATATATTTTTTCGATATACTATAAATAGTATATGGGTTTTCTGTATTTTTTCCATCCATAGGATTGATTGGTTTCTTGGAATTTTTTTAATTAAATATATATATTATTTCAAAATAAATTAGAAAATCAAAACACACGAAATAAATGTATCCATATATATATATATATTATTAATGCGAAGAATATATATGAAGGAAGAAAGCGAAATGCAGGTGAAGCATTTGATATTTGTGGGGAAGACAAATAATGTCTCTCTCTCTCTCTCTCTCTCTCTCTCTCTCTCTCTCTGTTCTTTGTATTAATGCCTCTCTCTCTCTCTCTACAGAGTCTGCAAACAAATGACCCATTGCTTTTAAGGCTATCTGTGATTTTATTTTTATTTTATATACATAAATTTTATACTACTTTTGTCTTTGGATATTAATTGATATATATATATATATATTTTTTTTTTTTTGTTTATAAATTATACTCCCTCCGTCCCACTTAAATTGCCATTATTTTTATTTTTGTTTCTCTCGTAACAATTGATATTTTTCTATTTTTGATAAAAATTATTAAATTAAAATATATTTAGCAAATATAAACTTAATTAACTACATAACATACAACATAACATAGATCCACTCAAAACCCTTTTATTTCTATCTCTTTTCTCAATAAAATAAATATTTTTATCTATATTTAAAACTACATTATCTTTTATAAAATTAATTCATATTAATTATAAATAAACAAAAATATTTTTTTATTTACTTGTATTATAGAAGATTTTATTCTCTACAATATATAATTTTTAAATATTTAAACATATATTTTAATTTTTTTAATTATATATATTAAATTTATTTTAAACTATAAATATTATTAGTTATATAAAAAATAACATAATAATATCATAACTAATTAATCCTCATCGCCTATCCTAATCAAATGATTCAAGGGAATATTTATAAGAAAGAAGAAAAATTAAATATAAAAGACAGTATGATCATTGCAAGTGTTTAGAGTTTAAGCATGAGAGTTTAAACATCGAAAGTCTACCTAGTTTGCCTATTATCTAACAAATTCTTAAATTAAATGATTAAGAATACATGTGTTATTTATTTATTTAATTTTTTATTATATATATATATACTTCTTATAAAATATTAAATTACTATTTAGATGAAAATTCAATCATTCAAAAAATCAAAACAAAAAAACACACGTATATATATATTTCTTTAATTCGAGAATTATAAAAACTATTTCACCTTTATGCATGCATCTCTATTCACCTTGTAGTTTTATATAATAATAATAATAATAATAATAATAAGTTGTGGGGAAGTTTTTAAATTAGTACAATAATGAATGTTGAATATATATATATATATATATATAGGTGTGGATGTGGACACTGGTTCAGTTTTACTTCATCACCATCATTATTCTTTTTATTTTATTTAATGCCTCTCACCCACTTATTCTCCACATGCATACATTTGAAGAGAGTTTCTGAAATTAAGTGAAAATACAAGGGGATTTATTACATGTGATGTAAGATCATAAACAAAATTTCAATTGATAATACTAATATAGAGATAATACTAATATATAGAGATAATAAATATTGCAATACTAATATATCAATCAAACATTAGAAAGACTTGTTAGTGCAGAAATGGACTCGTAACCGGTAAAATTATGAATTAAAATCTCGACCTCTCTAGGTCTTGTCTGCAATACACTAAAACGCATGTAGATGAAAAGAGTATATCAATGCAATATTCTATATGGTAATACCATAGACAAACTTGGCTCAAAGCATTTTACTTTTCTTAACACAATCTCAAAACAAAAAATTCTATCAAAAGACAACATTTATTCCAAATCAAAATGGTACATGAAAAATAATAATAAAAAAAAAAAAAAATTGTCATGAAGCCAATAAATCATCCTCATGACATAAAAAAGGCTCTTTCGTCACTCTTTTCTTCTGATGAATAATTAAGTATAAAACCCCAAAGACCAAGCCAAAACAAAAAGTGAAGAACAGATTGGATTGGGTACCCTCAAATGGTGAAAACAAATAACAAATTTCGGACCACACTACAACTGAGCCTTAACAACCTGCAACGATTTCATTCTCACCTCACAGATTTTCAGGAATTCCGACAGCAAACTGCGCTGTCCGGCAACGATCTTCCTCACAACTCCTGCAGGGCTCCAAGACTGCACTGCCTCAAAAATTCGGGGGCCTACTTCACTGCCATCCTTTGTCGATGAAAGGGTCGATTGAAGTATTTGGAAGACCTTCCCGGGACCATGGCTTTTGTTGTTCTCTAGAAGTGAGGAGAAGATGGCATCGGAAGTCTGATCCTCGGGAATGTCCAGCTGCTCTTTCAGCCATTTAGTGACTATCTGTATTGTGTCGCAGAGAGACTGGATTGAGTTCTGTATTTCGCGCAACACTTGGGAATTCGAATGGGACTGTTCATGGGATCCGCCTTTCTTTTTCTTTTTGTTGGACGGGAGTAGGGCCCGGGCACAGGACTGTATGATCAAGGCATGCCATGATAGGGGCTCGGTTACCAGCTGCACTAGTAAAGAGAGTTGGGTTCCGGGAGAAGATGTGAAGGATCCGGCCGATATGAGAGTCTCCTTGACAAACTTCCTCAGTAAAATATTGACAACATTCCAGGTGTTACCATTCGGAAACTTGATCTCGTTGGAAGCTAAATTCCAGGCATTCAGGAACACGGCAAAATTCATCCAATCAATTATGTCTGGATTCAAAGAAGCCTGCAAGGGTTACTAAACATTAGCGGGGTTGAAAAGTGGGAACTTAGGATATCAACAGTGTTGCTCACTACCGTAAGCTCTTCTCAATAAATAAAAATTGAATACCTCATTAGTTTCCTGACCACTAGAGAATCCGGAGACAAGCTCTACTGCATCTTGGAATGGGTAGTCTAAGATCTTAGCATACCGCTCCAGTAAAATTTTCAGCTCCAGTGAGAGCTTTGGATTGATAATTGACCCGTTGGATTCTATGTTCTCTTTCACTGAGCCTGAAGCAGAATGTATTGATAGATATATCATCCTTGGAAGAAGAGATCTTTTCTCTATGGTTTTGATAACATTTCCCTGCATTTTCTTGATCTGCTTATCCTGGAAAGTAAAAGACAACAACATAACCAACTTAGCTAGTTCCCAAACAATAATAATATTTAACCATGAACACTAGATTTAAAGTTCACATCAGTGTAGACGAACAGAAAGATCTGCCGGGCACAGAAAGTAAAAGTCTTTTATTGGATGTAAGTTTTGAGTTGATGTATTTGCATTTTTATTTTTGAGATAAGAGAGAAAGAGAAGAGAGAGGATGACTTGATTGTGTTTAAATGGTCAGTGCGAAATCAACTAATCATGAAATTAACCGTTATAAATATGAGTTCCATCAGTATAGCATCACACTGGTGGAAGAGGGAGGTGCAATAGCATTACTTTTGATTAACAATTCTAAAAGTTTAATCAAAGTTGTGTTCTATAAACATGAATGTGCTCGTAAACAATAGATAAAATACAGTGCATGCTCACACTCCTCATTCAATATAGTCATACGCTCATATGATTACTTAACAAATAAACAGAGAGAAATAATAACCAAACAAGAAGATTCACAACAGCACAGGATCAGGATCTCCTTGTGAACATGCACATAAATTAAATATATATGTGATTAAAAGAATTATAGGACTCAGTTTTGAATAAAATATGTAACCAAGTATTCAAGAATACACATTATCTTGGTTATTATTGATTTACACATAATGTGTCACAAAGGCGAAATGCTTAGTTTGAAACCTTAATATGCTTACCTTGTGTTCTTTGGGACAATAGGAGATATCTTCAAAGGGCCCTGCAACCACAGATGTTTATAAGCCAGAATCCAGATAGCAATTTGAAAATCAAACCAACCAATAAATAGCATGTGGAGGGTTTGTCCATGAGTTAGGAAATGGTGCAGTTATGTCGGTGACTACACAAAGCAAGTAAACAACTATTGCAAAGAGATAAGTTTACATAAGGGATGCCAAAAAAAGACAGAGACTAACCCAAGAGATAATTTTTATCATAAGTTGGAGTCCACCAAGGTCGAAACTCCAAGTCTTCATTAAATGTCATAGACTTCTTTCCAATCTCATTTGATAGCTCAATAAAGTGAGTTCCCCAATTCAAGCTTTCCAGAATTGCCTAAAACATAAGTTTTGCTCAAAAATATTTAGTTGAAAGGTAGTCAAACAATCAAAAGTACGATGAATGACAACTAGAAAAGCACAAATTTAAAAAATAGTCACCTCTTCCTGATCAATATTGTTTGAGTTTTGCTTTAGCTGTAAAATTTGTGTTTCAATCTTTGCCATTAAATATTGACTAGAGCGCTGCAATCCTTCCTTGAATTGGACAAATTCAATTACCTGGTAAAGAAAGGACAAAGGATGTTTAAGCTTGCACAGAGCAAATTCAAATGAAGCAGCTAAAAGTCATGAATCGGTCTTGATCTTTCCTTCTCTCAGATGGCAGGAAAAGGGTCGTGAACCAACTAACAACTATCAGATTCAACATCAAACTGACCACACAGTCAAGAATTTAAATCAATGTTAAAATAAGGCACAACGCTATTCAGAGCAATCCACTTACTTTTGAGTAGTTCCTATGTCGATAAGCCAGGAATGTGAGATCTGCAGATTCTCGAAAGTGATCATCCATGAATTTTAAATACTCCCTCAAGAGATTATTCAAATCTGCCCACATGGGAGATTCTAACATCTGAGGTAAAATGTGGTGAGATACCGTCTCCAACAAAATATTCTTCACATCCAATGATTTATAGCTACATTGAAAAATAAATAAATTAACTAATAACCAGAAGAATTGGAAAACAACATACTTCAAAGTAGCCAGTAATATTAACCTATATAGTAAACACTGGAGCGTATCGAATTTGAAAGGCAAATAAACAAATGGCTATGCCGAATTTTGGTTTACCTTTCATAAGCTAACGGGAGAGAATTCCAAAAAGAATAAAGATGCACTAACAATATCTTATACTGCCACACATATCTGCAAAACAGCACCCCAAAAATTAAACATAAGCTTATGATGCAGCTATATCGTTTGTGACATGCAGTTTCAATATGAAGCTATTACACTCATCTCAGAAATAGAAAAGAATGGAGTATAGATCCGCAAAACATTGTGCAGTATGCTTCAGCAAAATCAGGGTTATATTATGTTGTAGTTAATAGAGAAACAAAATCACCATGCCCAAAAATAAATAATAACTAAATACAAATCAAAAGTAAACTACCCTGATTTAAGCTTCAAGATGTCAAAGTTGAAGTCAAGTACCATTTAGATGCTAGATTCTAATTCGCTGTTGAGTACAAAAAAGATCAAAGTGGTTTGGCATTCAAAATGTTAAAGATATACATCACTATGAAGATCATGGCCGTCCATGTTACCAGTGATCATTATTCAATCAAGGTTGTCCCTGTGACTATTAATTAATTTGGTCATGGAGATGTCTAATCAATACGGGCAAAGAGTATATCAACAACATTAGCAAGCTACCATCTCCCGAGTAACAAGAGTTTTGAATGCATAAGGATGAAAGCAGTAAAAGAGAAAAAAAAGAAACACTTTCTGACCTTCGGATTGCCAATCCAAACTCCAGAACCATAATTGACTCTAGCAAATAGCTGAGATTCTTAGTCCTCCAAAACAGCTTCACCACAATATAGAAAAATATAAGAAAACAGCACAAAAATCAAACATGGTATCATATTACTAAGAATGCATCCACAAAGAACCCTAATAAGTACTTTCACAAACCACAAAATTCCTGGACACAAAATCCAGATACAGAAGAGACAGCACAAACTATAGGATAGATGGGTGAAATAATAGTTATTCCCCATCCAATGTTTCATCATGGCTTACATGAGTGAACACAAACATCGAACTAATTGGTATAAAATAGTGTAATTATTGGAAGATGAATTAGTGAAAGGAACAAAACTAGTCAGACTTCAATGGAACGAAATAAATTAAAAATCCTTGAGGCTAGTACATCAGATGGATAAAACTTGGAAAAGATTGAAGCATCTATCCACCACAACAATAGCAAGAAGTAACGACCAAAGTCATAAATAGGACAACATATCAAAAGAAAATGTAAAGGAACACAGCAAAACCAATACGAAGGGATATGGTGTCCAGGAAAAAGCAAAACTAAATGTCTAGTTAATTATAATAATAGCAGCCACTTATCATCATAGAAAGGGTATTATTCCTAAAACCGTGATAAAAATATTCTAAATAGTTCAGGTCCTCTTTGTCCCTAAGCCATATCAATTCCAACAGTTTCAACTGGAGCACCAATTTGAGGAATTTTGTGAGCATAAATCCATACCTGCACCAGCAAATTGCAGGCCATTGACAAAAGATCTTCACCATGCATACTTTCCTGCATATCCAAATCTTTTGACAAGGGGAGATTCTTACAGAACTGTTCCGTCATTCGCACAGCTAAGTCCTCGAGGTCTGTAATAGAAACACAACAATTAGGAAACTAACAAAAAAATTAAGTTAATAGTATGTGGTATCAGATCATGTTAGCACATATGGATAAGTCACAAAAAAATATGCAAATTACACAATATAAAAAGCAATAGAGGATGCTAAATAAAGTGTTAAAAGGAACACAACCAATCAGCTATAACTTTGCAAGGTCAGAGATACATGTTATGAAGCTGAAGGAAGCAGAGAAACATAACATGATCTATAAGCCATTAAAGAATCACTACAGGTCGTGTGTTTTGGATTCTTAATTGTTTTTTTTTTTAAGTTTTAGATGTGACTTTTTGGGTTGGAAAAATATTTTACTCTACATTGCATAGTGCGAAAGTGCGTTTGAAAACATAAACAAACACACCATAAGCCTTCTACAGAAAGAATCCAACAAATTCACAAACAGAGAAAAGTGAAAACAGAACATAGTTCCAAAGAAAATAAATTGAATCTAAACTACATGGCAAAGAATCAGCAACCATATAAATTAAAAAGATGTCTTATGCCGTACCATCCACAGGAAGGGTGAATACATCACCAATTAAGTTCTGGATTTTGAACATATTTATAGTCTGGCCAAGTGCTTTTGCTGGCAGACTGGCACTAGTTTCGCACTCCTTCGATATTTTTGAGAAAAACTCATTCTTCTTATTATGATCAAGAACTTGAATAAAAGTTTCAACATCTGTATGGAAACAAGCCAAGTGACCAAACCTGGCATCAAGCATTGCAGCATGATCAAAATGAAGCCAACATTGAATGAAAATATTAAGAAAGTGAAATATAAATGTGGCCAGCATGTATGGACAATATAGCATGCAACAACAAAAGTCAACTGAAATGTAAGTAAATGACTAGAAGGCAATTACATGCACAGCCATTTCTCATGTTTGCACTTCCACTATTTTGGAATATGCTGTAATTTGAAATAGTGTGCATGAAACATTAAGGTGAATCCAGATGCATGACTCATGAAGCTGGATTTACGAAAGTAACACACTTTTATGAAACCTTAATTTATATATATATTTGAGCGCCACAACCAATCAGTCAGCAGGAAGAAACATAGATGAAATCAGACTACATGATTTTTGCACCCCATTCGGATGAAACATGCGATGTAACAACTTATAATTGGAAATGATGATAGTAGATCTATCCATTATAGCATACCTGATAAAATACTCCATCAGATCCTCAACTAATTTTTTAGCATCACCTTTACCAAACAGAATCCTTCTCCTTTCAATCTCAAGATGTGCCAAATAAGGACATCTCACAGTATCCTTGCTTTCTTGCACCAATAATTTATTTATGAAGTTCACTGCATTGGACATACGTGAATCAAACTGCACAAAGAAATGAAACAAATTAAATGCTGTAGAATGTAGTAGTCACAAAGTAATTAACAAGACAGTACAAAAATTTACCAGTTCCTCTGATATACGCAAATTATTGCAATCAGATCTTTGTGAATGAATGGAATCATTCTCTTTGATCAATAATCTTTCATCCTCCAGCAGACAACCAAGGTATTGCAGGAAACACTCCCAGTCATCAGGACTACACGTAGGGAAAAAAAAGGCATCAAATTCAAATCTTAGTTTCAGTATAGAGGAACCAAGAAACCAAAGCATAACATAAAGATAGCATAAATGCAATTAATGTAATTTGCAAGATATAATGATTTCTTCTTTTCCATTAAGAAACTTCCATAACTATAGTAATGCCTGGGAGTTCATACAATGCCCAAGAGTAGACTACAAAAAAATCTTCTACCTATATAAATAATCCTAACATGTTCCAGTTGAAAAGGGGATAACAATTTGACCGTCCATAATTCAAGATTCAACAATAGTTACATGATCTCCATTAAGAATGGTATACAGCGACACATTCCCCCCAAGGCAAAACAATTTTCCTGCATTGCATTTCTGAGGAAACACAATATATATGATAGCATTACACATAACAGAATAACAGCAACTGGGCAAATGTCTTCCATATGTAATCTATTGATTCTTATATTGCCAAAAAGGTACACTATAATAAGGTAAAGACAGCATAAAAGAAAACCAAGGTAGAAATTTGGAGTTTGTCAGACCAATACTCACTAGGAAAGGGAACATTACTCATGCAAATTTCCTCACACTCAACTTCATTGCACATTTGATATAGAAACAAAATGTAGAAGATAATTTGGAGAATCAACGAATTTATGTGAAAACTACATCTATGAATAGATTGAGGGACGTGATCAAGTTGGAGATTATATAGTAGCATTCTTATATTTCCCTAGGATTGTCAAAGCATAGAACTAGATCAAGTAATATAAAACTTATGAATTTCTTTTCATAAAATTTTTTTAATACATGAAAATTCAGCCAGTTTCAGGAGAAATTTACAATGCCTCAAATATAAAACAATATTTAATAGCCTACAGAAGCATGGTAAGCAAACAAGACGAATTTAGCAATAAAAAAAGTAGCATCTTGGCAGTAAGAAATGCATACCATAGTTCAATAATCTTTTGAAATATACCAGCAGCTGCAGTGTAATCTCCTGCCCTAGCAAGAAGCCTTCCCTGTCAACTTAAAGTTAAAGGAAGCACGCTTAAATGAAGAAAATATATACTATCCATGAGAGGAATTACACAAACGGATCAAACTATTAGTGAACAATGTCATTGTCAACAGAACAACCACATGTATGCCAAAGAATAAAGATGACACCACTTTGGTCTACTTATGTTTGATAATAAATATCACCTAATACCCCTCATATATTTCAGATTATTAACCATACTGCATGAAAGCAATAGGAGTGCATCAAAAGAGAATCGCTCAAGAATCCTTGTAAATAGAGTTTAAATTGGAAAAGGACATGTAAACTAAGGAAATGATGAAACAAGGCTCAAATTAGAGATATTACAATTGAAATCTAGATATGTTCCATAGTTGATGTTACATATTTATCATCCTGTTGTATGGGCTTGCCTGCACCACCCTAAGTTCATATGAGAAATGGCAGAGGGCCTTAACCCAGATAACATAAAGGGAATATCAAGCTTATTGGGATCAAATTACGATAAGACTTTTTGTACCTTACTCTGGCATTTAGGCTGATATAATCTTCACATCTACTCTTGTCTACATTTGCCCCTCGGACATTATGGGATTGCCTATATCCCCTTAATCACATTAGCACACTACCTTCACATGATAATTTTAAGATTGTCTCCTAGATATGGATGCTTGAGTAAAGTTTGGAACATTTTGAATAAAAGGGAACTACACTTTTTCCCTCTGATGTTAATGCAGAAACAAATGTAAATTTACAGGTCTACATAGAATTGGGATCAAGCATACTTATCCTACAAGGAAATAGTGGTGCAAGTTCCTAGGCAGAGCAACCAATAAACACATGCATGATATCACAGCTTCTGTAGTCTTTAACTAAATGGCTTATATATGTTCACACACACACATAAATACAAGAAGCTTTTAAAACAAACAAATATAATAGATTCAGAATCAGACCACAAGGTAAAGGAAACTCGGCATAACTTTAATACCCTGTTTCTAACGTTGTGTATGACTCTAAATATTTTACTAACTGCAAAAATTACTTGGAAACTTTCAAGAGTATCACATCTAAAAATAAGATATATTTACACTATAGATGTAGGAACACAAAAAATATCCCAACAAGAAGATAAATGCTGTAGGACAGAAATATTCTACCAAGTACCTGTAGTCGTAGTTTGTCTGCTTCAATCATCATAAGGGATCCTAATTTCCCAGAGAGGATTTCCAATGCATCACCATACTTCTTTTGTTGCTCCAACAAAGACATATACACACTGAGAGCTGCATCAGAATATAGCTGCTTCTATGAGTACAACATTGAACATACCCCATAATTAATTCATCTCTTTCAAAATATGTAATAAAAATACACAAGAAAAGACCTTCTGGCTCATGCAAACCATGAGAAGCTATATGTTTCTTTAATAAACCTTCGGCTAAAAGGAAAAGCTTCTCTTCCCCACTGCCGCAACAAACCTTTGTTCCGTTCAAACACCAAAAGAAAATCACAGTTACCAGTAAGATAAAGGAGCAATTAGCATCGAAATAGAAAATTCATCTCTACTAAAAATGCTTAGGTGTCAAGTTAAGAGGTATCATAAGTCAGTAAATTCAAACAAAAAAGCCCAAAAAATTGAGCTAAATTTAGCATAGACGGCCTAATATAATGCAACAAAATTTTCATACAGACCATAATCATTCACTCAATTGCCTCTATAGTCAAATTTACTTATTCTCAAAATTTCTTATATCATATGCTCTATGACTAACCACCAATCTTATATCCAATCACATCATCATGATCATGCTATTATGCTTTATTTTAAATTAAATAAATGATTCAAAGCTATTTGCTATATATTACTTTTCAAATCAACAAAACACACTAGTTCGAATAACCACACACACATCCAACATAGCAACTACGTCACCTAACTGAGGCATATACCTGTAACTGAATACTGCAAACAGCCCAAAGTAGGAACCTTTCTTCACCAGCAATCTTGTACATTTTTATAGCTATCTATGAAAGGACAGAAGAGCCAAATATTATACAAACATAAGATTAGCTTAGAAGAAGGCCAACATAATGTAAACAAATGTGGCATGGAAACTAAATTGCACCAACCTGTTGCTGCTTGACAAACGAATACTCTCGAACATAGCAGTTGAATAGGCCCATCATCAATTCCAAATTATTGGGATATTTAGCACATGTGTGCTCGTAACAGCTTGTCGCCATATCCACTGATCATATCCACAAGTAAATAATGTCAAAAGCTCACTAAAGAATAAATACTCACTCATACCATCTAAACCAATAAACACTCTAAATGCTTAATCCCTCAAGCATAATTTCATTTGATACTCACAAAATCCTACACCTTACAACTAAGTATCAATTCTGTATCTAATCACATTATATACATATATACATACATAGACATATTACTTCATCTCATTTCAAGAAACTCAAAATACACACTAGCATGACCCAGAAAAATACGCGAAACAAAACAAATTAATGACAGCAGACAACCAAATACTAACAGTGATCAAGTCTCTGGAATACAATCTGCAAAGTGCTGAGGGTGAGGTCGTCCACGAAGACATTCGAGTCATTGGAGCACAAAATATCTTTAGCATTCAAACAAACAGATAGCGCCTCCTCGTTCTTTCCCATTCTTTCCAATATCAAAGCCTTCAAAGCCTGCAAGATTCGCAACACACACAAAAAATAAATAAATAAATAAATAAAATACAACACCACATATAAATCATTTAATCGAATCTACTTCATTAACAAAAAGAAAGAAAAAGCAACGAAATAAAATAAATTTGACTGACCATGGCGTAAGGCGAATTAGGGTATTTCGAGAGCAGCGCGGCGGAAAGCTTGAGGGCGTTCTTGAACTGGCGAGAATCAACGGCGTCCCAGATTGGTCTCACCCGCCGCTCAGGTATGCCGCCCGCTAGTCCGAATTTTGACGCCATTGCGACGGAATACGGGTTTCTGGATTTCCTTATTCCCGATTCAGGTGGAGTGGAGCTGTTGATTGGAATTGGGATGTTCCTCCCTTGGGTGCTCCAGGCAAGGCAACGCAACGCAGCCACGGAAACGGGGTTGGGATGCGAGCGAACAGTGGCTTAACCTAGCTGAGGTAGAAGCCCCCGTTGTATTACACGACACGACACGTAGAGTGATTGGAGTGGAGTGTACACGCACGCACTGCTTAAAGTACAACTTCCAGGACTTATTTTTACGAATTAATTTTACTTTCGTTTTGTATTTTGTATTGATTTGATCGGATATGAATTTAAAGATTTCAATAAAAGTTTTTATTTTTAGAATGAAAAAACATAAAGTAAAAAATATAGTATTTATTGTATAACTGGTTTAATATATAATTATATACTTATTTGCAGGCATAAGAAACTCATTTTCTTAATTTATATTTTTAGGTTTTGGTTTTTGTTTTTGTTTTATATTTGTTAAATAAATATTATTTAAAAATTGTAAATAAAATATAGAGCATCAATCTATTTATAAATGAGTAAACCTAATTTCATTGAATTCATAAAACAAAAATAAAATAAAATTACATAAATAGATTTGATTTTACAAGCAGCTAGCAATTATATAGACTTTTAATTTTATTCCTCATTTGATAGATAAAATGTCCATTGTATTGTCAGCCGCTTAGTTTAAGTTTCTCGCACAATTCATAGCTTGTATTGATGAGGTTAATTGTAACTCTAATTTGTGGGAAAATTAAATTAACAATCAATGGAGCACCACATTATTATTTTTCTCATACTCCAAAGCTGCGATTGGATCATTGGGTTTTTTTAATTTCTCAAATGACAAAACCCTTCATTCCTTTTGCAGATAGAGCTCTCAAAACAACTGTGCTCCAAATCAAATAGTTTGTCTCCGTTATTTGAAGACATATCAGACTCACATTTGGTTGATCATGAGAAGAAATTTTCAATTGCGTCGTGGAAGTATTCGAAAGGCTTCTAGTAGATGAGTTCATAACTCCAGCAGAAGGACTTGTAAAACTGTATAGTAAAATATCTGTAGCTATTTTGATTTCACGCACAAGATCAACAAGAGAATCTGTCTAAACCGAATGAATCACAACTAATGAAATCGCTCTTAAGCAAAAATGCTCTATACCATGATGGACGAATCGAATGGGGAGAATCTAATTTCATTGAATTCACTAAACTAAAAATTGCAGAGTGAAAATTGATTTTACAGACTGTTACGAATTACAATATATATTTGGAATAAACGGATATTTTATAATTAATTTACCAGAAATATATAAAAGAGTGAAATAAAGACCCAATAATAATGACCTAAAAATAGCAATTTCATTTTCAATATTTGCAGATTTCTACGATTCAATAGAAGCTCTATACGGACTGGTTCATCATAAATGAATATTATTAAGTAAACAAATTAAGAATTATATTATATTATTAGAAAAAAACAATTTTAATTTTTATCTGAATAATGTAATTGAATAATATATAATTAATTATTTTTTACTTTATAAATATTATCTATATGATTTATTATACTTCTATTTAATATATATATATATAAAAGATACCCAAATTTGTAAAAAGTGTATAAAATTAGTGGTTACTTATAATATATTTCTTTTGATATCAAATTTAAATTTTTTATTATTTGATATATATATTTTTTTCACAAACATTCATAACACGTTATTTTATATTAAATTCATACTAAATTTTTTCTTAAAACCAAACCGAAAGAAATATATCTTAATTCCAAGCCAAACCATTATTTGGGTCCATACCAGCCCGATTCAAAACAGGCCTATTATATTGGTTAGATGTGACTTTTTTTAATTTTTCCATGATATAAATTAAGGAAAAATATTTAACTTATTTGTTTAATATTTTGTTAATTTTAAATTTCAATGGTATTTTTTTAACCTTATTTAAAAGTATTTATTTTTAATTAGAGTAAAAATAATTTTATTTAAATACTAAAAATATTTTTATAATATACCGAAATCGATTAATTTTAATTCAATAGGATTTAATTTTTTATTTTTTATTTCCCAAAGCAAATAAAGTCTCCGGGAAGACGACACAGTGGTAGACTGACTGGTGGGTTGGTTGAGACGAGACAGAATGCGAGGAAGGCGAAGAGGAGTGTGAGAGTGACTCTGAGAGAGAAAGAGAGTGAGTACGAGACTGGAAACCACAGGCGGCGCAGACCTGCTCTGCATCTGCATCTCCATCTCCGTCTCCGTCTCCATCGATTCAGCTGTACCAAAATTTGATCACGGATGGACCAGGGATTCTCCCATGGTAAACACATGTCAATTTAACTTTATTTAACAACAATTCTAATACTATTTCATCGTTTTTCTATTTCTTAATCCTCCGTCATCACTCAAACCCTAGTTCCTACACCTCCAATTCTAAGCCGAATCTGCGTTCATATATGATTGCAGTTTGGGGAAAATGATGGCTGCTGAGAGCAATCATCCACTTGCGGAGGGGGTTGAGCAGCGAGGAGGAGGAGGAGGGGGAATATTGGTTCACGATCACCCTCTCGCAGCCTCGGACCGATTGCAAACCCTATCTCTCGACGATGACGACGGGAAGGATAACCTCGCGCCAGCTTCGTCCTCCGGCGCCACTCGCACGGTCTCCGATCCCCTCCTCTTCCCTGAGGATGACGCATCTCTCGATTCCTCTTCCTATGAAGAGGTCGTCGCCTCTTCATTACACGACTCCAACGGCAACGGAAGTGTCTCAGATGAACCCACGAAATCGAGTTCCGAGTCCTCCTCCGTCTCGGAGTATTTGAAAATTAGCGTTACGGATCCGCAGAAGGAGATTGAGTCTTCAAATTCGATTGTTCCTGGGGGGAGTACATATGTTACATATCTGATTACCACGAGCACCAATATTGACGTCTATGGTGGATCGAGTTATAGGGTCAGGAGACGGTTTAGAGATGTTGTTGCACTGGCTGATAGACTGAGTGAATCTCACAGAGGATTCTTCATTCCGGCTCGGCCTGATAAAAGTGTAGTCGAAAGTCAGGTAATGCAGAAGCATGATTTTGTGGAGCAGAGGAGAGTGGAGCTGGAGAAGTACTTGAGGAGGCTTGCAAGGCATCCAGTGATCAAGAAGAGTGAGGAGTTGAGGGTGTTTTTGACTGCACACAGGATGCTTGATGGGGCTGCGAGGCTGCCAAAGCAGCTTACTGGGGACTCTAGCAGTGTAGCTGAGCCACAGGATGTGGTGCAACCTGCTAAAGGTGGGAGGGATATGCTGAGGTTCTTTAAGGAATTGAAGCAGGCTGTTGTCAATGATTGGGGAAGTGTAAAGCCTGCTGTGGAAGAGGAAGATAAAGACTTCTTGAAGAAGAAGGAGAAGTTGTTGGATCTCGAGCAGCAGCTCACTAATATGTCAAAACAGGTTTCTTGATCTTCAAAACCTGCTTTAATTCATTCCTGTGAATATGGGATGCTATTGTGGGCATTCTTAAATTTCCATTGAAACTTGATTTGTCCTAAGCCATATTACTTTGAGCAATAGGATAATTGTTATATTTTAAGTGATAGATTCAATTTATTGGTTAGTCAAATTTTGTTAGTTAACCTGATTGATATGTAGGATCATTTCAGTTGTATCGTGTATTCATAACTAGCAAATGTCATTAATGCGTGAATTATGATATCAATTTAAGGGTGATATGCATAAATAATTAAAGACAGATCCAAATGACATTATCATTGCAATATGTTGGATGTCAAAACAATTGGGCTAATATATGGCACCCTAATGCATTAGTTTATAATCCTACATATTTTGGATTTTGTACTGCCCCAATAATAATCATGCAAATTAAATTATGAAATTAAAAACATGTCATTCATTCTAAACATGGCCTGGTTTGATTGCACATTTTAATTTTTGTTTCTCTGAACTGAAAGGCAGAGTCACTGGTGAAAGCACAGCAAGATATGGGGGAGACAATGGGGGAATTAGGGCTTGCTTTCATGAAGTTGACAAAGTTTGAGACCGAGAAGGCAATATTAAATACACAACGTGTGAGGGCTGCTGAAATGAAAACTTTGGCTACTGCAGCTGTAAAAGCAAGCAGACTGTACAGAGAATTAAATTCTCAGACTGTGAAGCATTTTGTGAGTGTTACTTGCTTTTTGTTGTTACTCCTGTTGATTTGTTGTTCTGATTAGGCATTTGCATGCTTCTGCGACTCAGGTTGTGTTCTTTTGTGGATTTTTTACAAGATTTTTACTAGTCAGATTCCCCCCTCCCCCCAAAATAAAAATATCACGTATCAAATAATTATTTTCCATTTTTTATATTATACTAAATTCAATTTTACATTGAAAACATTACATCAACCAACTATGCAAATTCAAGTTTTACTATTCAAAAAATCCGAACAAAAAAAATAAATCAATTCCTCATACAAACACACCCTCCTAGTGAATAGCAATCATGCCCTAAAGTGAAGTTTGGGGTTTTGGATTTGATTTCAAAATTAGTGAAAAGAAAGTAAGTTACAATGACAAGCTTCCTCACATTCATGATTTACCTTTTCTTTATGATAAGATTAAGAGATGTGGACTGAAGTGTCCCATGATTAGTTCAGTCATGGTGAAATGGGAAGATTCATCCCTTGGTTTAATACTTTCCATTTGAAGATTGATTGTGAATCTGAAGAAAAAGTATTTTATTCCTCATGCCCCTGAAATCAGTTGGCATATTTTGACCACGATTCCTAAATTTTAATAAAGGTGAATTTGAGTAAGGTTTGTAGTATAGGGTGATTTAGCAGTAGTAACATTACATTTTACTGTGTATCCTTGGTTAATATATTTTGCATCCTAACCTTTCCCTGCTTGTGTTGTAGGATATATTGCATGAACATATGGGGATGATGTTAGCTGTGAACACTGCATTTTCTGATCGATCTAGTGCCTTATTGACAGTGCAAACTCTCATTGCTGAACTTTCTTCCTTGCATTCAAAAGCTGAAAAACTTGAATCTGCATCATCTAAAATTTTTGGGGCTGACAAATCAAGAACCAGCAAATTGCAGGAAGTCAAAGATACCATTAGGGTCACAGAGGATGCTAAAAGTTGCGGAATCAAAGAATATGAAAGGATTAAGGCAAGAGCTATTACTTTTTAGCCTTCTTTGTTGTGATCGATATGGTACACTTATATTTCTCTAAATGGTTATTGAAGCAACATCTTTTTTGGAATATGAATGTGCCTGGGTTTTTGATATTTACTTTATTCTCTTTTTATATATTTACCCTGAATATATTGTGGAGTATTTATAAGTATGTCTTCTTATATGTTATGGGCGAGTAGTCTTGGTAGGTTGTAAAATTTTAAAAAGGTAATTAAGGTACACATTACTATCTCAAACATTTATTTATTTTTTTCTCTATTGGGCTGGGAATGTGCCTGTAGTTTGAAACCCTTACTGTTATGTTATTTTAGTTCATGTGTTATTGGTGCAACTTAAGTCCACTTGTCTCGTATCATATGCAAAGTTACAAGCTTCATTCAGCTATCAAACGTTTGTCTTTAGAGCCCTGATTTGATTGTACTGGGGTTACTTCTGACTGTAAAAATTTGTCTTACTGATAATGTTTGTTATGGGTCTACTGTTATTCATGTTACCACTGAAAATGGTGTACTTTCAGGAAAATAACCGGATTGAAATTGCAAGAGTAGACAAGGAAAGAAAATCCGACTTTGTTGACATGCTGAAAGGGTTTGTCACTAACCAGGTACTTCCCAAATCAATTCTCTCGACAAATGAAACTCCCACCTCCCATTTTGAAATCACCAGTTCTGATAATGTTCGACACACAATCACAGTTTAAATCTCTGCGTCAACAGTAAATTTGGCACATGATTGTTTTGAATTTAGATATCTCTGTGCTGAGTCTTGGAGTTTTGCTTGTGGTGGTCACAGATAACCTACAATCAGAAAATTGGAATCGAGTGGGCTAAAGTGGTGGAGGAGACGAGCAAATACGCAAAGCAGCAGCAGCAGAGCACGGGTAAATTGTGAGATTTTAAGCATTTTTTACCCGCGTCTCATTTAATATCATCATCATCATCATCAGATTGACTACTTGAACTAGTAAATATGACCACTACTTGATAATGTACATCACAAGGCAAATTTGCTATAAATGAACTAGTTCATTTATGTGCCACTTTTCTTATTTTTGGTTGCTTGTTCATTTTTAATTTTTGTTATTGTGTTATATTATGCTCTGAAAACAATTATAAAAATTTTGATATAATCTTTTCGTATTTGGATGAATGTTTTGAAATGAAGACTCGTGAACTGGAAGAAATTAGGGTGCCCTTTTTCTTCCATTTATTGATTCAATAGAGAGCATTATTGTTTTTGCAAAATTTGATTACTATGATATTTTGTAGATTCTCATTAAACTTGGCATGAGCCTTAGATTTCCCATTAATTTAGAAGAGGGTTTACTTGTGATATTATGATTTTTTATTTTGATTTTGAATAATATAATTTTGAATTGAAATAGTTGTTTGATTTTTCGTAAATAGGTGTTTGATTGAATATTTTTGAAGAAAAAAAAAATTAAAATAGTAAAATTAGAGATAAAATTTTACTGAGTAAACAGAGCCCCGGTAAAGTGGATATTTGACTCCTAATATGGAATTTTTTAAGATTATGAAATGGGTTCAGAGTTTAATCAATAAGTCGTTGGATCTGTATTGACTTTAGGCTCCATCATCATCACATTTATTTACTACGTCCTTTATGAAATAATAATATTACCTCCGTTCCACTTATATATTCATGTTGTCGTTTCTGTCTGTGTCATTTTTTTTTAAAAAATAATAATTACACATTTTAAAATTTTATTTTAAATTTTTAATATTTACCTTAAATTTTCGTGTCTAATATAATTAGGACATCAATATGAGACGGAAAGTGTAGCATTTATTAATAATCATTCTAATTTCTTCTACACATCATCATTTAAATATTTAAAATGTACATATAATTTCTGTTTGAAAATTACTCCACTACTAGTAGCATTCAAATATTATAACATGTTTTTTATTTACGCTACTACATATAATTGAGTCCATTTTCTAATTAAAATGAAATATACAAACGTAAAAAAAAAAACACATAAAAACTGATTTCCGTATTGCGTTCCCACCGCAACACAATGCTTTATTTGAATATTTGAGATTTTCGATAATACAACAAAATATATATATATATATTAAAGGACTCTTTCTTTATTCGATTTTCAATTAAAATTAATTTTTTTTTTACAAAACATTATGTACAAATATTTTAATATTTTAATTATAGCATATAATTAAAAATAATTTTATTTAATTTATATATATAAAAATAATAATATAATAGTAAAATAAAAATATTTGTAAAAATAAATAATTATATTATTTAAACAAATACACGAATAAACATTTCGGTTTAAATCAATTTGAAAGCATAAAACCAACCAAACCCTAAATGTCAATAAATTTTTTTTATACGGTATATAAAGTATAAAGTCGTCAGTGAGTCAGTCACGCAAAGCGCGTTTCCCTACAAGTTTTGTGAGGGTGGGCGGGTCCCACTCTAACACTATCACTCAATTTCTGTAACCGCTCTTCACGACTGTATTGGATTCATTCAACGCCATCTCTGAGTTCCGGCGCACTCGGACCAGCAGCAAGCAGCCATGGCGGACAACGGAGAGGAGAAGCTTATAGCGATGGCTCGCTACATCGCCAAGACGCTCGGAAACAACGATACCATGACGGACGACATCCTCAAGACCTTCTCCAACTTCGACGGCCGCCTGCGGGAGAAGCTAACCGAGAAGATCTCCGACGCCAGCGTCGAGCACACGCTCAACTCTCTCGAGCGTCAGATCTCGATGTACGTCGCCTACGATGCACCGATCTGGTCCAATTCCGCCGATTCCGCCGCGTTCCTCGCCGCCGTCGACCAATTGATCGCAGCCGTACGCGATTGGACTCCTCTCGCCGATGATAAGAGCTTCTCCTCCTGTCTCGACCGCGCCGACGACCTGCTCCAGCAGGCGATGTTCCGTTTGCAGGAGGAGTTCCGAACCCTAGTCGAACGCGGCGCCGAGTCGTTCGACGGCTCAACTCGCCCTCACATCGGGTATTCCGACTCCGACGACGACGGCGAAAACGATTTCGCCGACGAGGACGACGATTTCATCCCCGTCGCGCAGCCGATAACCGATTACGACATTGTAATCGACGCGCTCCCCGCGGGGACCATCGGTGACCTCCACGAAATCGCGAAGCGTATGGTGGCGGCGGGGTTTATCAAGGAGTGCTCCCACGCGTACAGCACGTGCCGTCGCGAATTCCTGGAGGAGAGCTTTAACCGCTTAGGCCTGCAGAAGTTAAGCATCGACGACGTACACCGAATGCAGTGGTCACAGCTGGAGGACGAAATCGAAAAATGGATCAAAGCCATGAACGTCGCACTCCGAATCCTCTTCCCTAGCGAGAGACGAATGTGCGACCGAATTTTCGGTTTAACCGCCGCCACAGATTTGTCATTCATGGAAGTTTGCAGAGGCTCCACAATCCAGCTCCTGAACTTCGCCGATGCTGTGGCAATAAGCAGCCGTGCTCCGGAGCGGCTCTTCCGTGTGCTTGACGTCTACGAGACTGTAAGAGACTTAATGCCTGAGTTTGAATACAATTTTTCCGATCCATACTGTGTGAGTTTGAGAAATGAAGCCATAACCATATGGAAAAGGTTAGGGGAAGCTGTAAGGGGGATATTCATGGAGCTGGAGAATTTGATCAGAAGGGATCCAGCTAAGGCTGCAGTCCCCGGGGGTGGATTGCATCCGATAACCCGATACACCATGAATTATCTTCGTGCAGCTTGCCGATCGAGGCAAACATTGGAGCAGATTTTCGAGGAGAGCATAGGTCAGGACGAACAGGTATTGGCGTCGTCGTCTTCACTAGCAGTGCAATTAGTGTGGATTATGGAGTTGTTAGAGAGTAATTTAGAGGCTAAGTCGAAGGTTTACAGGGACTCGGCTCTATGCTCGATATTTTTCATGAATAACGGAAGGTACATAGTGATGAAAGTGAAGGACACCGAGCTAGGGGCTCTGTTAGGGGAGGGTTGGATTAGGAAACACGAGGCCAAAGTGAAGCAGTATCATGTGAATTATCAGAGGAGTTCTTGGAGCAAGGTGTTGGGCGCGTTGAAGGTGGATAATAATTCTGCGTCGCCCAAGAACATGAAGGAAAAGCTGAAGCTATTCAATTCATACTTGGATGAGATATGCAAGAATCAGTGTTCGTGGGTGCTTTTCGATGATCAGTTGAGGGATGATCTGAGGGGCACGATTTTGCAGACTTTGATTCCTGCGTATCGTAACTTTGTTGCGAAACTATATGCTATCCCGGAAGTGGGGAAGAATGCTGATAGGTATGTGAGGCATGTGGAGGATATCGAGGCCCGGGTTGTGAACGAGCTGTTTCAAGGACCCGGGGGTGGGAGGAGGTGAAAGCTAAGGAGGTAAGTAAAGTAGCATTTTTATTTGTTTGTTTGTTTGTTTGTGTTATATATATATATATATATATATGGGTAAGTGTAGTATTTGAAGTGTTTCTTGTTTGTTTATTAGGTGTTTGTTCTCTTATGCCTGCTGCTGTTGTACAACTTGTATGGTAGAATGGTAGTGTTATGGAAATATGTGATTATGTTGTCTGTCAACAATTGCCAATTGCTTTCCAATGTGTTGATATTATTATATATGAATTATTATGTGGAATTTCTTCCAGTAATTTGCTGCTTAGTTATTGCTGAGGAGGACTCGATTAGTAAAGAGTTTTTTAAAGTTGAATAAATCCTTCCTTCTTTTCCTGGTAGTAATGTTAGAGGATTATGGTGAGTTGTTTAAAAAGATGTATTATGTGGATTAATTCAAATTAAGCATTTAGATCCAAGAATTTTGAATTTTTGGGTATGTTTCTTTTGATGTAGTTTTGAAAAATTTTAATTTGGGTTTGGTATTAAAACATGATGCTTGGAGTTAAAAGAAACAAATCCTTAAAAATAATAAAAAAAATTAAATATTTAATATAATATTTTGTAAATATACTATTATTTAGTATAATTCTTTTTTAAAAATGGATATAAATAATCTACTACAACTTTAAAAAAATGTGTAGATAGGAAGATTATTACCATTCAAATATTGTATCAAACATAAATTCAAATTCAAACTTTAAAAGAAGCTCCATATTGCATTCAAAATTTAATTTAATCTTAACTTTTCATTCAAAGCATTTGTGTTTGTTTGGGTGATAGATTGGTCATTCAATTTTTTCCCTCTAAAAATATCAAATCAAACATCTATTTTTCATTTTTTATATTATACTAAAAATTAATTTTACATTCAAAATATTATATTAACACTTAATTCAAATTCCAACTCAAAATTCAAAACTCCAGACAAACACACCCTAAACCTAAACTCAAATTGAAACTTTCAAAGAAACTCGTTTTCTAAAAGAAAACCTGTAGCAGGTCGTATTTTGGCGGGCATTAAGTTAAATGGACTGCCCTTGCCAGCAAAATAATAAGTTGGGCCTTAGTAAAGTCGCCTGGGCCTTTTACTGTATTAACTATAGGCCCAAAATTTCTAGCGCATCCTTCCTAGTGGACAATAGTTATCATACCATATATACATGTACATAATAATAACAATACTAAGTCGAATGATACGGTGACGGACAACACATGGTTCGCCTGCCTAGTATGACTTATTTATAAGGTTCCACACGTTGTTACAAAAAATAATAATAATAATAATAATACAAATATACACACAAAAGCTTAAAAAAGAATTTCACAAAGAGGCCTGCGTACCTGAGATATAGAGAAAGGATCACAATTTATGCCATACCTTCCCATGATTAGGCGACATCTCCAACACTTCACCAGTAGTAGTAGCCGAATCTCCAAACCCATCATCACCATCTTCACCCTCATCACCCAAAAACTCCTCCGATACAGCGCCTTGCTGCACCACCAACACCGACGCCCTAAAGTCCGCCTCCATACACACCAGCATGTCCCCCACACACCCCAGCTCCGGGTACTCGTTCCACTCCTGCAGCCCCGCCAGCATCCCCGACGACCCGTTGTGCCGCCGCCCCACTACCACCAGCTCAAAACACCCCTCCAGGCTTCTCGCTACGCTCACCACCCCCACACTGTCCCTAACCACCTCTTCCTGATAGTAACACTGCTTGTTCCTCATCTGGCTCTCTTTGTACTTCCTTATACCCACCATGTCCCAGTACGACCACGACCCCCCTTTGTTCTCGTCCATAATTCGAATCACCGTCAGCCGGATGTTTGGGTTTCTTGCCATGACGCATGCGTACGCCAATGCTTCGCGGTCGTCCGCACCGCCCACAAAAATCACGCCCACTCGGTAGATGTCTCTCGCCGACAAGGCGATCCTCGACGTGTGGTGGTGGTACGTGACGTTGAGATCGACCAATATCCCGACCGACGAAGGGCATTGCCTCACGATGTTCTCGTTCACGGATCTTATCGCCAGCATCTCGGATTTGGAGAAATGTACCATCGGGTGCTTGTGGAATGGCACGATCACTAACGACGCTCCCTTCTTTCCAGCCAGAGAGCAAACCTGTCGGTCATTACACAATATAAATTAATCGCTTTACTAGAAAAGTTTCAAGAAGCTTTAACATACCTCGTCGTGCATTGAGGCGTAGGGCGATATTGAAGTGAACGGGTACACGGTCGCGCAGCCTTGGTTCCTAAGCTCAAAGTATTGAAACACATTGATAATGTGCTCCGATTCAGGCAACTTCACGTCGTTCCGCTTGGCAGAGTTGTGCGCCACCAGAAGCGGTGCGCTCCTGCCCGCCAATTCCTGGAGGTGGATGACGTAGAACGACATCGGGGAATCAGGATGCGGATACGATGCTTCGAAGACATTGAGTATCGACGGCGTGTGCTCCTGGTGGTGCAGGCAAGCAAGTATTCGGAGCTCTACGTCGGGAGGGGTGTGCTCGATCGTCAACGGCATGTCCATCATGTACATTTTCTTCGACGGCTTGTATGAAGATTTCACTATCGGGGTCAGTATTCCTGTGTAGAGAGAAATCGATAGGACCATGATGGTGTACGCTTCTCTGTCGATAATCTGCAGGTGCAAATAACATATGTAAGAAGCACAAGATGAATATTAAGAATGTGTTTGTTTCAATCATTTTGGAAGACTTCAATATCAAATCAAATATCTATTTTTTATTTTTTATATTCCCTTCGCTTCTGAGGGTTACGTTTACCTAAATGTATATTTAAAGATCAATTTTACATTCAAAACACCACCTCAATACTACTTTATATCACATCATACAATTTATTCTAATTCAAATTTTTACTATTCAAACTCAAAATCCAAACTTCCAAACAACTCAAACACCTCAACTTCAAACAAACTTATTTTAAGTAAATTCACGAGCGATTACCTGCATAAACTGTGCCCGTTCCAAGGCTAGAACTTCCATGATGCCTTGATTGTTCAATATCAGGCCAAGACAGAAAGCATTGCCACTAGAGATTCGAAAATATAGAGATGGCAACATCGCTGCCGCTAGTTTCCCTAAAAGCGAAACGACTGACAAGCACTCGATTATGACAAAGTTCCTCAGACTTATCACTGAGAAATCCAACCCTGCTGCGCTCACAACAAAAAGGAGCGGCAGCATGTTGTGTGTAACAAAGAACTCGATCTTTTCCACCAACGCTGAGCCTAAAGGAGGTCCGCTTGGAACAGCCATGCCTAAGATCAAAGGCCCCCATATGAAATTTTGTCCAAAGCATTCGCCATAAAACCCGGATAATAATACCAAGGTGATAATCACACGCACATGGCTCTCCTTCACCCACCTGACTTCGTTCATGCGTCTAGCCATCCATATGACCATTGGTCGAAAGACACACACGGTAAAAACCACCATAATGCCTAAAAATACAAGTATCAGCAAAAGCTTACTTGAACCTACACGAGAACCTTGATAGACCGTGAAGACAATTAGCACCCAAAGTGCACTGCATACACCGCTTAATGTGGAAGAAGGTATGGCTAGCCTGCCAATATCTGAGTTCATGAGCTTCAATTCAGCTAACAGAGTAACAATGGCTTGAAAGGAGCTTATCGCTTGGAACGATCCAATCCATGGTATTGAAGAGTAAATATTTGAATCCTTTGGGACGAGCAGTATTAAGAATTTGCCAAAAATGAAGGTGAACACTAAAGGGAACACAAATGTACAGGTACCTATAACCAATGCCTTTTTACCCGACTTTGATATGAGACTGAGATCAATCTTCACTCCAACAACGAATGAATAGAACATCACACCCAGCAGTGCAAATATGTCGATCATGGTGTAGCTTGATGGTGGAAAGACCATATCTCTAAACCATGATATTTTACCGAGAACTGTTGGTCCCAATACCACGCCAGTCTGATTATTATAGATTACAATCAAAGTTAGAACACAATTTTTTTCATACGAAATGCATAATAAGACATCAAAAGCTGCAGATATGCTTAGTGTACGTCATGAAGTTGACTAATAGATGCATAAAAACACATCAACAGCTGGAAAATGTCTGGATAAGGGTATGTTCGATGTGCATGATGGAATTGGCTAATATTTGATCCAACGTACTTGATTTTAGTTAAGGCAACAAAAACCTAGCATGATATATTCACATATATGATAATGTAATCATTTCAATGCCCTAATACTTCAAAGTTCAAAGTAAACCGATATGCTGAAACCACAAAAGTGAGCCTTATTCATCATACAGCCAAACCTTCCATGCATTTCTAGCTTAAAAACCTAAAAAAAATTTACATCAAAACGGAATCCTCATGAAAAAATGAAAAATTAAAGATCAGATACTGATCGGTTACTCACCAACGCTAACATCTAGCAATTTCATGGTGCAGTTTATTTGCAGAAATACGATTAAAAATATATATATACAGAATAAAATCCCAAGACCAAACAAAAATGAAGTTCCTAAATTCACGAACTCAAATACTAAATTCCAACAGCGATATCCATGTAGAAGACGAAAATCAGATTAAGAAATAAATAAATAAAAACAAAAAACAAAATAAAAACTCACGGCTATCTGAGAAACGAATAGGCTCTGGCCGAGCGGCGAGAGGCAGCGATTGAAGAGGTTAGTGAAGAGCGAACAGAGCGAAACCTGCACGAGGAAAAGCGTAGTGGCGGAAGTAAGAGGACTCTGGCCGTAAAAGATTCCTTTGCACAAGCGGCGTAGCGACGCCGAGCATATGGCATTCGGCGGGTGTGAAGAAGCATTCATTCCCGCGCACAGCGCACGAGGCTACGCGGAATATGCAAGAATGTCGACGGAGAGGTACGTCGGAATAATCAACCGTCGAGGCGGCGGAGAGCATCGCACCGGAATTGCAGCGAAAAAAATGAAAGACAACGGAAGGAATGGCGAAGAGGAAGCCAAGGGATACTACCAAATTTCCAACGCTGCGTTCGTCACGTTTTATTTACGGTGTGTTCAGTTGTGTAATTTTTATATTTTATTACATTTTAATTTATAATTTTATATACATATTATTTTAAAAATTTTTCATACTACTATTAATAAATGTGATTAATATTTATACGGAAAAATAAAATAAAATATACCCACTCTCTATTCCATTTCATCTTAATTGTGACTTTTATCCGTCACAATCATTAAATATACATTTTTTTTTTAATTACATTTATTTTATTTTATTTATTTAACTATATAATTTTCAAAATTTTTATATAAAAATGTTACATTATTTTCTCAAACAAAATATTTCACCCAAATAATAAAAAACAATAATTCACCAACCACTGTAGTAAAGTAGTAAAAGAAGATATTTGAAAACAAACAAACATATATGCTCCAGCCTATCAAATACACTTTTACTTGATCAGATATATCATTCATAGCATAGCATAGTAGCATACCACATAGCAGTATTCCATTTCTCATCAGAATTATTTTTTGGCGTAACTGATGGCCATGGGATTCTGGGAAGTGATTTTGAAACCCTGAAGGTCCTGCATTGCAACCGACGACTGCGCATCATCCTCAAATTCCACAAACGCGATGCCCGGCTTCGCATTTACCATCCGCACTTCTTTGAATCCCGGGTACTGCTTGAATAGCAGCTCCAGCATCATGCTGTTCGTTTCGTACGGCAGATTTTGTATGAATAGTATGCTGTTCGGCTCAGCCACTGCTTCTTGTTGTGTCGGTGGTGGCCTTCCTTGCCGAGAGGCAACCTGCAGCAGCAATGTGAGATATTACATCGCTCGATAATTATTATATATAGTTTATCAGTTTCAAATTCATGCAACCTTAGGTTCACTACTATTCTTGGCTCTAAATGGCGTGTTTACGAGAGATATACTCCCTCCGTCCACAAATTAATGTCCTATATTTTTATTTGGAACGTCTCAACAACTATTGTCTTATTTTTCTTTTTAAATACAAATTTACTTGTTTACCTTTTCATTCATTTACCACTCCTAATCTTTACCTTACAATAAAGGGTAAATTTGTCAATTTATCATAAAAATGCAATTACCTAAAAGCCGTGCAAATATACTTTAGTACAATAGAAATTAGACGGAAGGAATATTGGTTACAAGTGAAGTAAAACTTACAGCTGGTCCTCCATTGCTGTCAGCTTTGGCACCATTAGACACGGTAGCTTGTTGTGCTTCATCGGGACGCTTCTTTTTCTCAGCTATATTAGCAAATAAACCTCAGTCAAAAGAAGGATCCATAGGAAGTGGGACAGTTGCCACGGCAAAAACAATGTTTAAAGGGATTGTTTTTACTTCGTCGTTTGAACTAAGTTTCTATTTGACTCCATATAAACTACCTATGTGCACATTTGTGAACTGCATGTCCGTATAATTTGTTGGGTAAGAACTTCATAAAATAAGATCTGATCATTTTCGTTATGAATTAGAGAAACCCAATGATTTTGTGCAAGAAATTGTGATGCATAGAGAAAGCAAGAAAATAAAGTAGAATATTGACAAAGATCTACCTTTTTCTTCTTGTTTCTTTTTCTTGTCATAGGTGCCCTCAGCTTTAGCAATAATATCGGATTTTGTTTTAGCATATTGTATTCTCTGCATTTTCAGGAGAAATTTGAAATCCAATCAACAACTTCATTGGCATGGAAGCACAATCATAAAGCATATACAAAAGGGTTGAATAGTGTGGAAAAAATATCTGAAGAATAAGAAAAATTTGAAAGAAATGGCACGTATTCAATGGCTCATTCTTTATGTGTAGGAAAGCAATAGAAATTGTATGCAGAAAAATAAAAATAAATAGTAAGACATGGAAACTTCAAGCAAGGAAACAAATTTGCATAGTAAATAAAGGTGTTCCAATGAAATAAACAAACAAACTTCAGAGTTCAGACCACTATATTTCCTGTACACACTAAAATCTATTATGCATATTAACATGTTCCAATTCTTTCTACTTTCATAAGGAAATAAAACAAGATCACAAATAGACAATATAATGGGTCTTGAACTTCAATCACAAATTAGTCTAGTACATTACCAACACATTTAATTTACAAAATAATTTACTCTAAAATCAGAACTCAGTTAAATAATAACCGCGATATAAAATTAGATAGTAATGTCAAAATGAGCTAGAACCCATTGCAAAATCGAGGAAGAAAACAATGGAATGAGCATACTCATCCTGCGAAATCGGCTTAAAGAAGTTCTCTATGAAGACATAATGCATACAGATAATTGCTTGCAAATACATTTTTGTACTCACCATAGGTTTGTCATAAAATGGGAAGTTTTGCATCTGTCGTACAGCATTGCTAGCAGCTGGGACTTCACTGAACACAACCCAAGCCTGCCCTCGGAGCTTAGCAGTTTTCAGTGCAACAATGTCCACGATCCTCCCATACTGTGAGAACAAGGCATAAAGAGATCTCTTCAACTCTGCCCAAAGTATTAAAGATAGTTAAAGCATGAATGTCAGTAGCAAAGTTCATTAGTGTTCAAGGCATTAATCACAATGGGAATCATTAGAGTATCCATTGCCAAAGCCTTTCATGTAACCTAAACATGTAAAAAAGCCACAAAGCAAGGTTAAGCAGGTTGCGAGGAAAATTCTCAGAGGCAATTGGTTATTTATAATTAGCCAGGCACCGCCTAAAGTGAAAATTTTGTGATTATGACAAAATTTGGTACAGTTAAAGATATGAAAAAGGAGATGACATCCAACATACAACCACGATATCGAAACCCTAAACCATAAACTTCGGAATTAAGTTCTGATTCCGCAGCCAGAGCAACAATCAGCGCGCAAGAATTTCCTAGAAGCAACCATGCCAAAAACTGTACATACTTTCGCATAAGACTCCTACATCCACACCATTAAAATGTGTACATTCAAACGATGCCCACTCCTAAGGAAAAAACAAAATAAAATAAAAATGACGCGACATCGACTTCCAGAATAATAAACAAAATTCGGTTGTTGAAACAGCACAGAAAAACTCAAAAGCAGAGCAGTACTAAACATTCCGTAAGAGTAATAGATACAATTCCTCAAGTTTAGCTTGGAAGAGCGAGAGAAGAGGGAAACCTTCTTTCTTGATTTTCTCGTTCAGATTCTTGATGTATATCGTCTGGTTAGGAGGAATGTCACTGGTAAGCATCTTCCCCGCCGCCGGACGCCGATAACAGCCCTCACCGCCGCTACGCTCTAGTGCCCTAATTAAACGGAAATGCGCGAAGCAATTGCAATTGGGAACGAGGAGTTTCGGTGGTCGGGGGAATAATATTACTTGGGCTAACAATCTAATGGGCTTCCAAATAGGCCCAATAGTATGTAGTTTATCCGATTTCTTTTGTGCCAAAACTGATGGGCTTCCAATTTAACCTAATTCATAATAGATTTTAATTCTACGGTTACGGGTTACTTAAATCCAGTATGGGTCACCCAATGACATTAGTAAATTTTAAAATCAACAGAAATTCCTAATAAAAAGTTTAATGTTTAATTTAAATATTTTCGTTAAATATTGTAACGATACCATCACTTGGTTGTTGTTGAAGATAACTGTTGTTGAAACAATTTGAGTATATGATATATATTGAGATTAATTAATTATTATATATGTCGAGTTCATTGTCGAACTTCAGTTTACGAATAAGATAATTAATGGTATGTACGGTTAAACTGCACATCATGTGCAAGTTTAGCATACCTTCGTCTCCGTTTTGTGAGTAAGATAATTAATAATGCATTTTCCTATTAGCTTATGCTTTTTAAGGGAGATGGTAAACATACAGTATAAAAATCTTCATGTAACACATGTATAGCAAGCACACCCAAAAGGATAGATACTTCTTGCCTTCATATCCTGAAATGAGATATCTGAAGGTTGTCCTGATCCAGCTTCTCAAAGTTGCTCCGGTTCCGAGCAGCTCGAAACTTTCCCCAGTTATATTTCCTGAACTTGGCCGGATTCCGGCGATCTATCAGCTCCGGCAGCGGCTCCACCCACGTGTAATGTGCCGGGTACAGAAAGTAAGGTATCGAGAGCCTTTCCGTCCTGGGATTTACCACAACTCTATGTTCCACACTCTCAAACTCATCGTTGCTCCAAACCTGCAAAGAACACACGCGCATAAATAGGTTTGTTTCCGGTGAAATAGTACAATGGCAAGTTGTGTGTATTATACGACTATTGAGTTAGATAGCAAATAAACAAAGTCGATATGTTTCACCTGTATTATATCCCCAACGTTGATGATATAAGCATCGGGCGTAGGTTTGACAAGAAGCCATTCCCCGTCTTGTTTCCTCTTCACTTCAAGGCCAGAGACATCATCTTGGGCGAGGATGGTTAAGGCGCCGGAATCCTTGTGTCTGCCGAGGCCTAGCGTGAGATGAGGAGCAGGACATGGAGGATAGTAGTTGAGCCTCACCCTGGTTGTTTGATCGTTAAAAAAATCGTCAAACCGATCTTTTTGTAATCCTAAACTCAAGGCTATGAGCCCCATTAACTTGAAGGCAAGATTCTCCATTTCTGGGGTGTACATTTCAAATGCCTCCCTGTTTAGAGGACACAGAATGTAAGAACTGAATGCAAATCTATCAACCGAAAGATAATGGATTCATTTGTATCCATTAGAATCCCTTTTGGGGTGAATTTTTCATAGCTCAAGAAAACTCAAGAAGTTACCAAATCCAGTGGAGAAATGGACTAATATATACATGACTGAATCATATTTGGAATTTGGAATTTGGAAGTGTTTCTTTAAACTAAGATGAACTGATTGATCTCAGGCTCAGGCAAAAATGTACATAATCCTAACCCTAGTTATGGTATGGAACAGGGCATAACTATTTAACTTGTTTATCGTCAAATTAGCAGGACATAAAGAATCGCTGCAAACATGATTGAGCAATTGAATCAGGCAATTCATATGTGTAGTTGTAAGTTTAGCTACGTATCCATCGCATTCAGCTTAGATCTTCTCATCCATGGAATTCAACAGTAGCTAAAGATATATGAATTTGTATATGTAGAGTGTAAGCACAGAAGAGCATACAGTGAAATTTCACAAACCTTAGCTCTGGCAGGCTCTGATCAGGCCACCTATTGAACAATTCTTTCACCTCCAAATCATCCGGTTCGTGTGAAGCTGGGAACACAACTGGATTGAGTACCGCAAAATCGAACACCTCTTTCCAATCCCTAACATTCTTCGTGTGTTCCCTGTCGTAGTACCCGAAGGGATTGCCGTCGCCTCTGCTGACCTTCGTCTTCTCCTGCTTGGGCAGAGCGAAGAATTTCCTCGCAGCTGATTCCACCCTCCGTCGCAGTCTGGAATCCACTCCGTGGTTGATCACCTGAAAAAATCCCCAATCACGACAGGCTTCGCCGACTTCGGAAACCAAGCCGGACGGCGAGTCTGAGAACTCGAGCGGCGAGAGATCGATGATAGGGATGCTTCGCGCAGCGACCGACTGAAGGTTGGGCCTGTGTTCTGGAGCTTGGATGAAAGCGAGGTCGAGGTCTCCCATGGCGTATCAAGGATTCGAAAACGACGTCGTTTAACAAGATATATGGTGGCCGGAGTCCCACTTGCAGGATGCATTGCACCTGGACGCTAATTACAGCTGACTTAACTGAGCATGCAGAAAAAATGTTTGAGCTCATTCGTACCGTTCGCCATTTCAGATTGCCACGTGTGCGGTATAGATTTCTCCATCTGTTGCTATTCCATTTTTGTTTCAATCTACTTCAGCAATAAACAAAACTCGATCAAATATACAAATGGCATCAACATTGTCACATGTTTTAATTTCTGTTTTTTTCTGAGAATAGAATTTATAGAATATATATAATTAAAAGTAAACAATTATTCACAAATAAAAATAAATATTTTATTATGACTATTATTAAATAAACATTTAGACTGTTCTGTCTGTGTTCACACATATAGTTACATCAGAACAAATTATACAAGGATCGTTTCCAACAAGTCGCCGTCGTTGGCGGCGGCGCCACGGCGGCGACGGTTATTCTCGTTAGCCGGTTCTTCCCTACATCTTCGACAGTGTGTAGTCCATCACATCCACAAGATAATCTATTGTAAAGAGACAAATATCAGAAAATTTAAAATAAAAACTTTTTAAGGACAAATAACAAAATGAAAATACCAAAACAGATCAAGAATGGCATCAAAATGCTTTTGATTCTGAGTCAAAAAATAATCAAATCAAATATTTATTTTTTATGAAAAATATTGACCTGCATCTTCCGTCGTGAAGCAAAGGGGAGGAGTGATTCGAAATACATTGCCATAGAAACCACCCTTTCCGACGAGGACTCCCATATCTGAGGCCATATATTATCAGTTAGAATTCGATCAAAATTTCATCTATACAACGTAGTTGAAAGAAAAGGATACCTTTCATTTGGTCAAGGATGTGCACGGTCTCGACCTTCGCCGGAGTTTTCAATTGCCGGTCTGTCACAAGTTCGACTCCAAGCATCAGACCTCTTCCCCTCACATCACCGATAACTGCATCATCGCCATAGCAAACAACCTTAGCTGCATTTCACATTTTAAGCACCATGGTTGGGGGGGTGGGGGGTAGGGGTGGACGTACTTTCATATTTGTTCTTGAGAGAATCAAGGCGTTGCTTAAGGTAGGAGCCAACAGTCGATGCATTCTGCTGAAGATTTTCTTTCTCGATCACTTTAAGAACGGCGAGCCCTGCAGCAGTGCACATCGGATTGCCGCCAAAGGTATTGAAGTAGCTCCGGTAGGCCAACACCTTCGCGATTTCAGGAGTGGTGACCACTGCCCCCAAAGGCACTCCATTTCCGATGCCCTGAATACTAGACACATTACTTAAGATCTATCGAATGCAATATCATAGAATGGTGGATTTGAACAATAGCAAGAAGATAAAGATATACCTTGGCCATGGTTACGATGTCCGGGACAACACCATGAGCCTCAAATCCCCAGAAATGGCTCCCTGTCCGAGCAAATCCCGACTGGACTTCATCAGCAATGCAAAGGCCACCTGCTTTTCTGATGGTGTTGTAGACTGCTGGCAAATATCCCGGGGCCAATTCCATAATCCCGCCAACCCCCTGGAGTTTTTTATTTCACGAAATGTAACAAAATAAGATAACCGAAGATTGCTATGCGCCTAAAGAGAATATAAGCATCATACTATCGAAGCAGGACCTGTATAGCTTCAGCAATAAATGCTGCAACACGGCCAGATGTTCCATACATGATTATATCGTCAACATCTTTTGCGTACTTGGGTCCATCTGAGCCAAAGGTGCCTCTGTATTGATCGGGATTCAGTGCGTGGTGGACACCAGTCTAGCAAATTTTCAATGGAAGTCAAATATATAATTCGGTAGAAGATACTTCAAATTTTTCGCAAAGAATGGTAACTTTTGGAGTTATTTTTCGACCAAAAATCTTCTCTGAGAACTCCTTTTCATTTCAATCATAAAGTGGAAATGACAAAAAACTAGATCGATCTTCCATTTCCATTTCCGTTCTTTTCTTTTCGTTTCTTTTCCATCCATTCAAATTACCCACAAACAGATAGCAATTTAAATTGCTGTAAACACCATTCATTGGATGAACATGAAACTGAACATAGATTATATAAAGTACCTGAACAACATTGAATTTGTAGCTGCCTTGAGCGGTAGCACCCATAGTCCCGGCAGCATTACCATGATACCCGTTCCTGATTGAAACAACATCGTGGCAACCTGTGTACAACCTCGCCATCAGCAGAGCCAGTTCATTTGCTTCTGTCCCAGAATTCGTGAAGTAAACAACCTAGAGCACATCCAATCAACACCCAAGTCATTCATCGAAACTAGTTCTTGCTTCAAAAGAAACCCACACAAAGTCTTGAACTCACAATACAAGATTCGAAAACTTATACTACAAAGAAAAGGAAATCTCCCACGAAAAATATCACCTTCCAAAACAATATTAATATTGCAAACTGGCAAGCCGAAGAGGGCTATTTGCAAACACTTCTATGTTCCACTTCAGTTAAACTTAAAATCGAAACCAAAAAGTTATTCAAGTGAAAAGTAGTAAATAAAATGTTTGTCAACAAAGCCATAGTTATGTAGAAAAGATAGTTAGAAAAAGAAGTAGGAATTTGAAAACACATTCCAACTCTGAACTGCTTTCTATTTAAACAATCTGCAGGTATCAATCCAAAACTCATTAGAAGATCAAACAACAAACCTTGAGATCACCAGGGAATTTAGCTGCAAGAGCTTCTGCAAAGTCAGCAATAGCAGCGTTCAAATACAGAATGGTGGAATGCTGCAAACGTTTAGTCTGACCAACAATGGCATCTACCACATCAGGGTGGCAATGGCCGCAACAAACGGTGGCAATCCCGCCAAAGGCATCCAAATATCTCTTCCCCTTCTCATCAAACAAATACTGCATCTTCCCATCCACCAAATTCAACTGCACGAATTACGCTCAAACATCTTCAGTCCACATCAAAACATTAAGAACCGTAATTAAAACCAAGCGAAGAAGGTACCTACCGGCTTATCGAAGAAATGGAACACGGCAGGGCTGAGAAACTCGCGGCGCTTGCGGAGGATTTCCTCGGCCGAAGGACCGGAGTACGGCGGAGGAGTGTAATCGAACGGAGGCATTTTTGGCGCAACGGATTCATTTTCTTCGATTTGTTGCGAAAGTGTTGATCCAGAGCGATGGAACAGGAAACGCTCAGCCCTGGGGATTGATCGCTGAAGCATCTTCGCCATTGGAAGCAGAGCAAATGCACAATGGGGGAGAAATTCGTTCAAGTATCATTTAGGTAAGAAGCATCTGGCCAGTACAAACACAGAAAACTTGTCGTTTAGCTCACTGTATATAGAATAATGCAGATTTAGTCGCTGAAATGAGAAACCCCACGTCGAAACCAATTATACATAATTATCAAGTGCTAGTTAGGGAATAATTCAAATCGAATTGCGACACGGATGCAGAGCTGAGTGGGACATGTAATTGATCACGATATGGGCAATAATGCAGACATAGTGAGTATTTTATTGAACGATTGGGTGGAAGATAAGCGATGATGATGAATGGAATCTCTACCATTTTTGTCTATGTCCGCATATGAATAGAGTAATTGCGGAAATTAGGGTTTATCTCCACCAACCTTGGTTTACGCAATCGATGTGGATTTCTTTTAGTTTTTACCCAATCGCTTTCTTCTGAATCGAATGCGGACGAAATCGGAGCAGGAGAGTTTATAACACTGTCGCCATTTGTTCGGCTCGTCTTCCTTGATCGGATCGAAGAAATGACAGGCATGGCCATCATCTACAGTAGACAACCACTTTCTTTTCCCGACATACCACGTCAGCTCAGCTCAAATCAATCGAAAACGAGGGCTTCTTTGCCACTTGTTAATTTTTTTTATTTTGTAGTACTAGTATTTTTTTAAAGTTATCTTAAAATATTAAATTTAATAATTATTTCATTAAAAAAATAAAACAGCAATTATTTTATTCATTTTAAATTATTTTTATATTAAATTAATTTTAAAATTTTAAAAAAATATTATTTAAAAGTTATTTGATAAAAATGAGCATAGAAAAGTAGTAGACATGTTTATATTTATATTTTTTACTCTAAAAGTTATAAAATTTTATTTTCTTATGTTTTTTTTAATTTCGTCCGATCAAATGAAAATACAGTTAGACGACGGAGGGAGTAGTAAACATGTTTTTATTTCTATTAAATTGTCTTAAAATTTTTATTATAAAATTTCAAATTGAATAGCCTTGAATCGATGAATAAAATAAAATAATCAAATTTTAATTATAAATTTGAATAATGTTATTAAAATTATATTTTAGAAATCGAATTGAATATTCAAATCAATCAAATAGTTTGAAAATTATTTCGAATTGAATATAAATATCATTTTAAAATTCGAAATGAATCTAATAGTAGCTATTTTTTACTAATTGAATCGAATATTATACTATTTGCTTCGATTCTTATACGACCCTACGTCCGATGGCAAATTGTAGCAAATAGAAAAATAGTGACAATTTAATTATATTTGTTAAAATAAAGGTAATAAAACTATGATAAAATTATTTATTATAAATAAATTATGTATAAATTTAATTTAAAATAAAGAAATTCACACAATTATACCGAACAAAAATAATATTATTTAAACACAAATTTAAATCAATATTTTATTTTAAATTAATTTTAAATTAAAATCAAACAAATTGTTTCTTTACACTTCAATGGCACAATATGCTTTGTTTATCTAACACACTTTCATTATTTTGACATTATTCATTTTTCAAAAAACATCACATCAAATATATTTTTTCTGTCACAAAATATTAAATCAAATATGAATTTTTTCACTTTTTTTTTTCAAACTTTCAAAATCTCAAAACCTCCAAAAACTTCAATCTAAACAAAACCAAATTTTACATATAAAGTAAAAATATTTTATATAAGCGTGAAAAATACGATGTTACGTTATTAACGACTTTTCAGTCGAGCTCTTCGTTATCAAAAGAAATCAATATACAAATTATATACTATGTCCAAAAACTATAGTTTGGGACTCTGGGTTATGTTTGACACGATATTTAAAAAATATTGATATTATATTGCTAGTGGGTAAAAAGTATGGATAAAAAAAAATTGTCCTTATGAGTGTATTAGTGTAAAAAGTAGCGGCAATTATGTAATAATAATGAAAAAATAAAGATAGTTTTATAGTGATGTAATTATTTATGAAAATAAGTCTATTGTTTTAAAAAAAACAAAAATAGTAAACAGAATTATTGTATTGAAAATGAAGGAGTATAATTTATTTATAGGAAATAATTAAAACAAATTAGGACTCTTTGTAAGAACGAAATCCCCGTTATTTGCAACAGCCAATTAAGCAAAGATTTAGTCCTTACAAATAATACAGTAGCTGAAGCTCTCTTCTACACCAATGAAAACACGCCACGACTAAACTGGATCAGTGCGCCCACCACATGGAATCAGAAGTCCAAACCCAACGAATAATCATCCATCAAAGTAACCAATACTATGGCTACCGTTACTATTATTATTATTATTAGTTATGCTACTGTAGCTAGAGCTCGAATTGTAGACGTCAGCGGAAGCCGCCGACGGAGCCAACACAGAAGGCGGCGGCGGAGAGGTGGTGGGAGTGGGCGGAGCCTGCGGCAGCTCAGCCACGGAAACGGTGGCGGTGGCGGTGGCAAAGGCGGCGGCGTTCATAATGGAATTGGCGGCTTCCCTGTACTTGAAGCGAAGGATCTCGGCGCGGACGGCGTGCAGCTCGGCTTGGAGAACTTGAACTTGGTGCTGCAGAGCCGAGATCGCGCCCATGCAGCCGTAGATTGGGTCTCTTAGCCGAACGTTTGCTTCGTACACCAAGCTGTTCGCGGCGTCGGCTCGCTGCGCCTCAGGAACATCCTATTGCAATATATATTATATATTTGATTAAATAAATTTCAAATTACAAAAGAATTAGAAAAAATCCTGTTTACATAAATACTAAAATTATTCTTATTTTTTCAGTATTATTATATAAATGTCACTACCTTTTACTTTTTATTTATATTTTTTACCAACTATTATCAGTATTTCTTAAATCTTGTATACAATTTAATTAAGATTATAATTTTGAGACAGAGAGAATATATATATATAAAATAAAAGTAACAAAAATATAAAAAAGGTCATTTTCTATAATATGTTTATAAATTTTCATATCCGGCAATAAAGTATAATATTTTTTTTTACAAAATACTCCCTCCGTCCACACATAAAGTAAATATTTACTTTTGATGCGGTGTTTAAGAAATAATAGTATTTTAATTACAGTGGGTAGTTAAAAATAGTAAAATGACATTTTTGTCCTTCATTTTTGGTGTAAAAGTAATGATGTGATGTAAAGTAAGGATATTTGTGGAAAAAATGAGGTATTTAATGAAATGTTTACTTTGTAATTGGATATCCCAAAATAAAAATATGTATACTTTCTAGTTGGACGAAGGGAATACCATATAAGTATAAAATTATTATTTAAAAACAAATCAAAATAAAAACCAAATTCTAAAAAACACAGCTTATGTACGTACGGATGTCTTCACTCGTGTGTGTACTATAAATAAAAGTTACCAACAACCTGTGTAATATTTTTACAATGTAGATACGTAAGCAGATCATCTATTTTCTAACTAAATTATTTGTCTTCTTGTAAGAATTTCTAACTGTTGTTCAGCTTTTCAACAAAATCATTTCAAACCATGATCTAAGCCTAGGTTGTTTTCACAAATATGTAGAAACCTAAGCTGTGTTTGGTTATAACTTTAAATTTATTTCAATATTATTTTATTAATACCATTTTCAATAAAAGAAATATTTTCTTCGCTAAATCATAAAGTATACATATTTTTATTTTAAATTGTCCAATGATAAAATAGTTATTTTAAAAATATTCTTTTTTTCACAAAAAAAAAAATTTATTTTAGCATCATATCATTACTTTAAAAAAAAAAAACACTACTATTTATTTAGCTCTGTATTAAAAGCAAATGTATAGTTTCAGCTGGATGGATGAAATATTATTTTTATTAACAAAATATCGGATTAAAATATTATTTAAATCAAAAAAATAAATCAACAATGTATTTTCAAATCAAAATCATTATTATATTTTTCTTTAACAATAGGTTAATTAGCAATATATACCCCGGAAAGGGAAAAAGTCAAATAAAATACCTCTGAGATTATTTATATCTAAATATCAGACATGCAATTATGAGAATAAAAATTATATTGAACAAAGAAAAAATGATTAGGAATAAATTAGGCCCATTTAGAGGGAAGTTTTTGGAAATTTAAAATTTTAGAAATTTTTCAAAGAAAAATAATAAAAATTGATATTATCACATTATGTTTAATTAATTCAACTAATTGATATTGAGTCCATCGCCTTCTTAAATAAATAAATATATTTAAGTTATTCTATCCATTTAAGCTTCTTAGCAAAATCGTTTGAAACCCAACAAGATCCTTAGTCATTTCCAGTAATTCATAAAAAAAAGTAAAAATAAATCCAATTTTAGCTGTAAATTAATCTCATAACAAAATTCTATTGATTTATTTCTAGCATAACATATAAATGATCAAAAGTTTTAATCAACTTATAATAATTTTTTTCAAAATAATAATAAAAATAATAATAATAAGCGTATAATATATATATATATATACAGAGAGATAGATACATACATACCATTAGCATCTTGGAAACGTTACTGGCGCCGAAGACCTTATGGACAGCGGCGAACTTATGAGGTTCGTGCGGCGAAAAGTACGGCGAGAAAGGGCATTCCTCGGCGCATCTTCTCCTCAACAGCTTGCAGGCTGCGCATGGCGTAATCGTGTTCAGACTACTCCCGCTGTTATTAATATTATTATTATTACAGCTGCCTATCGGAATATTCTGGCCACCGGTCGCCGCCGCAGTCGTAGTCGGTTGTCCTTTTACCATGGTGTTGCAGTTACCATCAATCTGAGTAGGATCTGTCGTCCTCACCTTCTTTCCGACCTCCTCCTCGTCGTCGTCCTCCCTAAAAGGTACGAATCGAGATGCAATTGATTAATTAATCGCGTAAATTAGGGTTAGGGTTAGGGTTAGGGTTTGGATTTTGATCTGTACCTTTGTTGTCTGGACGACGACATTCAATTGGTGAAGAAGGAATTGGAGGAAAATGATTGTGTGTGGTTGCTGGTTCAATTAGGGGAAACTAAAATGGTGTTTTGTTTATTTCTTTGTTTAATGAAGTCAATGGTAATAATATATGTATCATATGGGTGTGGCTGTTTCAAAATTTAAGGGAAGGGGCAAACTCCATTGTAGGCCTTGTTTGGATGATTTTTTTTTTTCCTGTTTGTGAAGGGACATATTTTAATGAATTACTTTTGTTTCTAAATATAAATCAGTTAACTTATAAACAATTGTTGTTGTAAATTTTAGGAAATTCATTGGTTGTAATTTAGGAATAGTTGAATTTTTATTATTAGTTACGGAGAATTGTAAAAATATTTTAAAATTGAAGTAAATTGAAACAACAAGATGTAAGTAAAATTAGAGCTGGCAAAAACTAACCCAACACGAAATAATTGGGTTTAGGTCAAATATTTCAACCCGATTATGTATATGGGTTGACACAAACCCGACACGATAGTAAATGGGTCGGGTTAGAGTTGACACGAACCCGATACGATAGTAAACGGGTCGAGTTAGGGTTGAGATTCTCAACTCGAACTCGACACGACAACCCGATTATAATATATTAATATTGATTAATATATTTATTAAATATGTAAAATAATTATAATTTAATAATTTTCTTATAAATTAATTTAAACTATGTTAAATTTTAAATAAATCAACCTAATTTACGCTCAAACCAATAAAAATTAACGTGAAAACATAAAAAAAAAAATTATTTAATTTGAATCAATAAATTCGACTCTACGGGTCAACACGAGTCAATCCGAATCCGACACGATAATAAACGGGTCAACACGAACCCGACACGATCATAAACGGTTCGGGTTATGATTGAGTAATTTAACCCGTTTAAAGTATTCAACCCGACACGAATCGACCCATTGCCGGCTATAGATAAAATACTCATATGAACTCAAATTAGTTTAAATCAAAATTTGCTTCGAACAATATAAAATTCTAAAATAAAATAAATAATTATATATATATATATATATGCAATCTTGTGTTACGAGTATTTAATTTGATTTGAATGAAAATTAGGGTTTTGATATAATATTTTTCATATAATTTATATTCCTATTTTTTGAAAATACGATTTTATTTTATTTTAAAAACGTTGTTATTTTTTATTATAAAATACTCTTTTTTTTTTTTTTTTTTTTTTTTTTTATATAGAGGGATGTAGTACAAATAAACTGAAAATGTGGATCCAAACATGGCCTTCGTGAGAATTGTGGAGACAGCGACTTGCGAAAAGCATACACGTATGGATGTAAACATTTTTGCATATAGTTTTATATTTTAACATATCTCGGGAAGTCCAACGCCAGATGCATCTTTGCCACATATCAGGTGAATCAACGGTCCAGATTGAATCCGGAGTTGAGATCCTGTGACTTCCAGATTTCACTCGGCAGTCACATGTATAGGTAGATCGTGGAGGGTTTGACTTTGGGACACGTTGAGCAACCATTAATTAGTTTTATTTAATTAATTAATTAATTATGAAGGAACGAACGAACGTGTATCGAAATTTTCAAAGACGAGGGCTTTAAAGTAATCTTCGAGATGCAAGTCGTGACTCGTGTGTTCTTCAAACTGTTATTACTATTTACTAATTTATTTTATTATTATTTTTTAAAAATATATATCGTTGCGTATAAGGAGGCTTTTTGTTATTTATTCATTTCGTGCAACATTATTGTTTGTCTTTTAAATTAGATAGGTATATATGGGAATGATTATGGATGTTTATTTTTTAAATTAATATGTAATATATACAAATTTTACTAATAGAAGAAATACTATTTAAATATAAAAAAAAAATCAAAATCCAAAGACAATTACCAATAAACACACTCAATATTTATGGAAAGAAATTGAAAAGGATTAAAAATATATACATAAAGAAATTTTTTTATTTATTCGAGATATAAAGAATTATAAAAATAATAAAATATGTGTAGTATATAAATTTTGTTTTAAAAAAATGTTTTGGATAATTTTGATTAGAACAACAAAGGCTACACACTAACTTTTGAGAATTTCTAAGGTGTTTCTCTAATACAAATCTTTTAAAATGTTTTCTAAAAATTATATTTTTTCTATCTCATATCTATCTATCTGTTTGTTTTTTTACGAATTTTTACAAATATTAGTATTATTGTAATAGAAATAATAAAAAAAAAAACTAAATCCACCTTATTGGTATTATATTATATAAAGAGTGTATCATATATTATAAATTAAAAGGATATTTGTAATGTTAGGTAATTATTATAAAAAAAAATATTTTTTTATTATGGACAGATCAAAATAATAGTTAATTAAAAGACTGAAAGAAGGGAGTATAAAATATTTAATTAAATATTACTCTATTTTAAGACAGATCTTAAACCAAATCCTCCTTTGCCAAACACAAAGAAGTAGATCCTCCATTTAATTAAAGAAAATATATCGGACTTTTTGAAAAGCCCAATTACAATCCGGGTTCGGGTACTAATTGGGCCGAGTGCGGCGCGTTGGATTAGCTGTTATGTAAGGCTTTTGTGATCTGTCACGCTGTTGGAATTAATTTACAAGCTTAGCTTTTCAACCAAAACTGTATCTATATGTATCTATGTATTTCTGTATCACCCTTTTTCTTTGCCCACTGCTCACCGCCATCCTCGCCATTTCCCATCTCTACGGAAGGTAACAACAATCCGCTTATGTTTCGCCTTGATTTCGACAGATTTTGTGCGAGCTAATTTGTGGAAATTTGGTTATTCTTCGTGTCTTTAGTTCCTTTTGTTTAATTTTGATATTTGTGGCTGATGTTGATTGTGATTGCGATCTTACTGTTTCTGCGTTCGTTGTCTTATGGTGCAGTGTTCGTAATCTTCGTTTTTCAACCTTTCTCGATTTTGTTTAACGGTAGTTGAATCTCAGCAGAAATATATACATACATGAGCAGTTACGGATCAGCTAACTCTCAAAAATCAAGCGAATCTTGACTATAGACTCACGAATGTGTTCGGCTGGATCTGTTCTAGGGTATTTTTAGGGATTGTTGATTGATCTGGAACTTACATGGTAAATAACAACTGTACAGGCGATGCTTTTAAGCTTTAACCCTAATTATTGCTTTTCCATCAATTGTGGTGCTAAATTGCTGTAACCGATAATGTTCCGAGTTTAGATTTGATTCATTTTATCAGATATCTTTGCTTCGAAGTTATAAAAAAAACATCCATTCTCTGACTCTGAGGCTAGACTGTTTTTAAGTAAATAGCTTAGTAATGAAGAAAAGCCACTTTGAAATTCTATTTCATTTCTTTTCTTTATTTTTCTTATGCTCTGTTGTTTCTTATTCAAGCATGTACAGTGCCCGGCGTGGCTAAATTGATGCATTCTCTAGTTCTCTTTGCAACATTTATTGTTCGACGAAGGATTTTAATTGAGTTATGTGATGTAAAATGACTGTTTTTCGCAGCTTCGAGTTTATTTATCAAGAATCAAAATCTCGATGGTCTTCTGCATCATGCTTCAAGTGGTGGGCTGAAGTGTATTAGTTGCAGTACCTTTTAAGCTTTTTCTTCGGTTGATTTTGAACAAAAACTGGGGAATGCTGAAAGTTCTTCTTGATTCGAGATTCTTCTCTGAGGTATTCAAGCCCTTTCCCTCAGTGGATTTACTGAGCTTTGATTCTGAATGGGAGAGTAGTTCCCAGGCAGAGTTCTTGGGGTCGATTAGGTTGAATGGTTGGCCTTCGACTCAATCTTGGTCGCAGATGGTTGAGTCGAGTCAATCAATTAGAAGATATGCATCCTTGCTTACATTCGGTTAACTCATAGGGATAGATTTCGCTAAATGGTTTTCCCGAGATTCGGTATGGACAATAGGAGTTTTATATTGATGCAAAGATACGAGTTGGGGAGGTTATTAGGCCAAGGCACGTTTGGAAAAGTTTATTACGCCCGGAGTCTCCAAACGGGGCAGAGCATGGCCATTAAAGTGATAGACAAAGACAAGATTTCAAAGGCAAGAGTCGTAGATCAGATCAAACGGGAAATATCCATAATGAGACTAGTTAGGCATCCTTACATCATTCACCTGCACGAAGTAATGGCTACCAAAACGAAGATATATTTCGTACTGGAATACGCCAAAGGAGGCGAGCTCTTCAACAAGGTGGCCAAGGGAAAACTAAAAGAAGACGTTGCGCGAAAATACTTCCAGCAGTTGATAAATGCCGTAGATTTCTGCCATAGCCGGGGTGTCTACCACCGGGATCTAAAACCCGAGAATATATTATTAGATGAAAACGAGAACCTCAAAGTCTCTGATTTCGGCTTGAGTGCCATAACCGAGTCCAAGAGAGACGACGGGCTTCTGCACACTACGTGCGGAACGCCTGCTTATGTTGCACCCGAAGTAATCAACCGGAAAGGCTACGACGGGGCATTGGCTGATATTTGGTCATGTGGAGTGATTCTTTTTGTTTTGTTGGCTGGTTATCTTCCCTTCTATAACTCGAATTTGATGGAGATGTACAGAAAGATCGGGAAAGCGGAATATAAATTCCCGAGCTGGTTCTCGCTCGAAGTGCGCAAGCTTCTCGCAAGAATATTAGATCCGAATCCGAGCAGTAGAATCACAATCGAAAAGATTAAGGAAAGCTCGTGGTTCAAACGAGGGTTACAGCCCAAGAGAAGAATAAACGATCCGGAAAGTAGTAGTTCATCCGACACTGAAGGACCTTCGAGGATGTCGTATCTGAACGCATTCCACATTGTTTCCATGTCGGACGGGTTCGATCTATCAAGGCTTTTCGAGGATTCCACTTCGAAAAAGGATTCCCGATTTATTTCTTGGAAACCTGCATCGGTAATCGTCTCTAAGCTCGGGGAAATCGCCAAGCGAATGAAGATGAAGATAAGTAAAAAGGACGGCGGGTTGTTTAAGTTTGAAGGAATTAAGGAAGGTCGGAAAGGTGTCTTGTGCTTCGACACTGAGATCTTTGTGCTAAGCCCCGAGATTCATTTGGTTGAAGTGAAGAAAACAAGCGGGGACACACTTGAGTATCAGAAGATACTAGACGAGGGGATAAGGCCGGGACTCCAGGACATCGTTTGGGCTGCGACGCCACAGGAAGACAACCTTGTACAACATCCGAACCAGACACAACAGGACCACATACATCAACTCCCCGAAGGTGGTACCGAGATTTTGGGTACGTAACTGTGTGTGTGTATTTCTTCTATCTGTGTGCATCTGTTATATCCTATAGGCAATATACAAATTACATTTGAAATGGGTAACATTCTTGCTTACTTGTGTTGGACCTTGACATTGTATGTTTATCACTAACAGTTTAACCTTACGGCGTGCCCTTTTGTTGGTGTAATTTTAGTTCGACAGATGTAGCTGCGGATAATTATTTCAGTTCTATAATTCGATGTGATCGCATTTTGAGCCGTAATGGCAGAAAATCGAATCAAGAATTCGGGTAAAGAGCCCTTCCCATTAATCCTATGTGTGCTATGCTAAAGAACATCTTGTCCTAACAAGATTTGCCTCCAAGATCCAAACTTCATGTCCAACAACAAATAACTTCAATAATCGACTATACCGTGTAATTCAAGTCAGTCCTATATCTATACAACATATAGTGTTCCTGGTAATTCAACATATTATATAAATCGACGGCATTTATAACAAAAGCAAGGAATAGGAATACCCGATAGACTGGCATTTATAACAAAAGCAAGGAATAGGAATACCTGATAGTCTGGTCGATTCTTGATTGAAACTTACGCTCTCTCTCTCTCTCCCGTTGAGGCAGTTCCAAACCATCATGTAATTTCCTGATCGCATTCATTAACCATCCTTTGTCACGATTAAACGATGAAAAAGAATCGTCTAAACATTATATACTTTACCTGGAAGCTGTGATAGCATCGTCTTTCCAACTCAATGTACGTGCAATTTTTCTTCAGAAAACTCTTCGACACCTTCAGATTTGTCTGCTTCACCTGATTTTCGACCATAACAGGGAAGACCCTCAATCGAACAGACCTGCATCCGAATTTGATCCCCAGGACAACCAGAGATATAGGTTTCGTATCGTGTTGAGAAGAAATTCATCGTGAGGTTCAAACTGAACACATAAAGAGAAACAAACAAATAGAACAATCAGTAACATCTTTCGATAGCTATTCCGATTTATAGTCTTCCAACCTAATCTACTGCATATTGAAAGAAAAAAGAAATGAATCTTAAAATTCTTCGATAAATAATTATAATATATATATGAAACCACATTTTATTAAAAAAGCTTATCATATATGTAGCTTTTAATCATACCCAAACAATAATTGAGGGACAATGCATTGCAACCACACCTCTGCCAAGCTGGAAGACTGAGCATAGCGACCGCAAGTTTAATTTTGTTCACAAGTCCGGAGACGGATTTGAAACTTGCAGCTGCTGCTCTAACTACGAGCGATCTTCTCGGGTGTTGCCATGCCCACTCGAACTGCAAGTTTTCAAGCAAATGATTTAACCATCATCACTCTGTTGCTCTTCCTTGCATTACATACAATAAAATTTCAAACTGTGGTATGGATAATATATATGGTGGTTGTTCCAGATAGGGTATTTGTCATTTTCGTCGGTATGTTGCTGAGAGCACATGAAATATAAATCGATAGCAAATAAAGTGTAAATAGACATCACATGGTATATATTAACATAATATGTATGGATATACATATATGCACACTCATGACTTGATGATATGGATATAAATGAAATGATCATACTTCCTCTCCTCGGTACTGAGTAAGATACACTTGCATTGGGGAATTCATGAGCCATAACATGTTCATCTCAATTGAATGATCCAAACTGTTTGATTTTTTTAATTTATTTTTTTTTTTTATGATATAATGAAGTTCAACTGAAAATGAATTGAGTAAAGTTTTTGACATGAACAATTATGAGCTAGCTAATACGCAGTACTAACCTGAAGAGCAGCAACATTGGAAGGGAAGCCATAGATGCAGAGCACCATCTCCCACGGACGCTTCCGCCTCGTCCTCCAAGCGCCGCTCCCGATTTCGCCATTGTGCTGCCGTATTCTCCGCCGCGGATCCACCGTGAACCTTCGAATTATTGAATTGCCAGTTCACCACCATCATCAGATTAAGCAAATACTTCCGATGAGCGATGCGACCTATTTTTGATCGAAATCTCACCCTATGTAGGTCTGTCCTTTGAATCTCGGGCAGAGCGAGGTCAGAAGATAGCATGCGATGAATTTCTCCCCTTTCGAATTCCTTTCCTTTACTCCTCCTGCTGCACCGATTGATTCCCCAATCTCGTGCGTTGGTATTAGGGTTTCTGCTGCAGGTTCTCTCCTTCTCCTTTTGCCCATCGCACGACGATCCGAGTGTTATGATCAATTAATCCCCAATTCGCAGCGCTGAAATCGAACGGTGCGTTCGTCTACACCTTCTATCGGCCCTCCTTGCGCCTTGTATGTACGTTCTTCTGTAGTTCTATTCATATTGCTAATGGGCCCCCGAATTCAAATTCGGGCTTTTATACCCTTCACATGAACGATATACGAGGCCCCCGTGGATTGGATTGGACTCATTCGCTGGGTTTGGTTTACACAATTTAAATAGGAATACTATATTCCAATTTTATCTACTTATTCATTATTGAAATGAGCGTCAGAATTCAATGGGTTCTGATTTCATCAAGAACAAATTTTGAAATAGTGTTCAGAAAAATTAAATAAATCAAAAAAGCAAGAAAAAAAATATATGAAAAAAAAAACAATAAAAAAAATAAATGAACTAAATGCAGGAATCAAAGAAGGAAAATATTATTGAAGAATTGGATCGTCCTCCTTGCCGAGGAGTTTTTTCATATTATACATATTTACCAAATTCTATCTATTATTTTGTGCTATCTTTTGAGATTCACTCCTTATCCTAACAACTTTTACGGTTGTTTATGGGTTTGATATATTTTATTTAAAATAATGTTTTGGAATAACAATACTTATCACATATTTTTTATTCAATACATTACAATTAACTAGATCATGAGTTACGTTTATTTCACTTCCCTTCCTTAAAAGAATGTGTTTTCTCACTATGAATAAACTAGGTGCAAACGTTGAAAACTCGCTTTAACTAAATCTGTTAACAACTTTTCAGTAACATGGCATAAAAATATTACTAGTATTATCCTTGTGTGTGCGTGCATGAAATTCACATTATATTATATATATATATATATATATATCCTCCAAAGGAGGATTCATATCCTCTGTCTGGCTCTCAATATAATATAGCAGTGTGCTTTTTCGAGCAGACACATTTTCTTCGTAGTAGCACTACATTATACAATTGCATGTTTAGCCCCACTTTTATTATTAATATATGATCAGCGAAAAGACATAAATGCCCCCAGCTAAACAATTGGCCGGGGACCATCAGAATCCTAATGATTACCGGAAACTTGAAGTACCGGTCTAATTTTGTCCCTCCACAGGTCGGAGAACGCCTCGGCGTCCCCCGATATACGTTTCACCTCCACGACCACCAACCGGTCAGTTAACAGAAAAACCTCTAAAGATGCCACGAAATTACTATTTTGCCCCTCCAGCTCCACGCCGTACCCCTTGGTTCTCCTCACCCACAAGTCGGCGTCGTTTGCACTCGCCGCCGCCTCCACCTTCCTGATAACTCCCTCCGGCGAATCCTCCGCCGTGAGGCGGTCGACGTCCTCCGTTGCGCTGTGAGTCTCGTCGAACATTGCGGAGAGGTTCAGGCCGTGAGAGAAGGAGATTATGTCGAATGCGTTTAGATCCTGCGATTCGAAGGATTTCTTCTCGTCGTCTTGCGACTCGGCGGGGAGGTACTCCGATGCGGTGTCGCTGAAACCGATTTTGAACCATGGATCTTCTTTGATTTCATCTATGGTGATTCTCCTCGCCGGATTCGTGTCGAGGAGACGCGCGATGAACCGCCGTAGGTCCGGCGACATCCACTTCGGGCACCGGAATTCGCCTTTGTAAATTTTCCTGTACATGTTCATCAGATTGTGGTCGTTGAAAGGTAAATAACCTGCGGTGAGGACGAACAGAATGACGCCGCACATCCACACGTCGACCTTCGCGCCGTCGTAGCCTTTTTTGGCGAGGATCTCCGGCGCGACGTACGCCGGCGTACCGCAGAGCGTGTGCAGGAGTCCGTCGGCGCGGACTTGATCCTTCAGCGCGCTGAGTCCGAAGTCGGAGACCTTCAGGACGCCGTTCTCGTCGAGTAACATGTTCTCAAGCTTCAGGTCCCGGTGGTAGACGCCGCGGCGGTGGCAGAAGCTCACGGCGGAAATCAACTGGTGGAAGTATTCTCGGCCGAGATCCTCACTGAATCGACCTTTTGAGACTCTGGAAAACAACTCTCCGCCCTTGAGATACTCCATCACAATATAGATCTTCCTTTTCGTCGCCAACACCTCAAAAATCTTCACAACGTGCCGGTGGCTCAACCGACTCATAATCGAAATCTCACGAACAATATTGTTCATCAGATTCACTTTATTTTTCAGCCTGCTCTTATGTATTACTTTAACCGCAACGCTCTGCCCTGTGGAAACATCTCTACCGTGATATACCTTGGCAAACGCACCGCATCCAAGCAGCTTTCCGATCTCGTATTTGTTAAACAACGGATTCTCCGGCGATAAAGCCATATCTCGCGACGGTGACGACGACGGCGACGAGTCGGAGTCGGCGTCCGTCATATCCGCCTGACCGTAACTCGAGGATTCTTCGGTCCCCCACAGCATCTTGGCAAACCAGAGACCGAAAATCCTATAAAGCTGACAGAAATTTTGTCGAGGTGCGGATTGAATTCAGCTTCAAAAAGCCAACGGCCGCAAACTTCACTGCCAAAAATGGTAAATCGGTGAGATTAGCGATTTCAAGGATTGAATGGATCAAAAATCTCAGAGTTGGAACTCCGTCTTCCGCGTGAAGCGGTTGCAGTTATATATCGATATTTATACATATATATATATATATATATATTTGTAAATTTTTTTAAAAAATATTGCAAATTGAAAAATAAAAATAAAATTAATTAATGGTGTGCCTAAATGGCTATGCCAATAGATATTCTGATGCTAATTTTATTACGTCAGCAATAAGTAATAAATTTACGAATAGTGCCAATATTTTATAACAAAAAAAAAAAAAAGTGTGAATTGTATTAACTAATTACGGAAGAGGTTGTAATTATTGACGTTAGTTTTTAGAATTTAAAATTTAAGACTAGTACATTGAATTGCTCAACGCACTCGACCTTATTCATTTATTATTATTATTATTTTATTTTATTTTGCAATTGTATGATTATTTATGAAAAAATATGTAAATTTTTTTATATATATAATATAACAATTATTTACCTTACAAATCAAATTACAAATAAATAAATAAATAAAACACAAACACAAATTAAAACAAAGTCCTGTTGTCACTATCGACTAATTACACTACTATCTTTTATAAAATAACATACGATAGTATCGATACTGCTCACATTAATAATAATAATAATAATAATAATAGGACAGGGTGAGCAATAATAATAATAATGTAAACGCGGCACAAAAGCACTGGTCAGGGTTTAAGATTTCATGACCACATTGATTAATGGTATATATTATATTGAATAAAAGTGTTGAGGAGAATTATATATGGCGGTTATAAATTTTGACTTCACCTTAAATAGCAATTAATGTGTTTACATAAGAATTACTAGTTATGTCCCACATTAATTAATATATAGTTAATTTATGCTTAAACTTTTCAATTTTAAACAATTAATTTTTTTATAAGAATTTTAGGGTGTGTTTGTTTGAGGGTTTGGATTTTGAGTTGAGATTTGAATAGTAAAAATTTTGAATTTGAATAGTTATATGATGTGATATAAATAAGAATTGATATGATATTTTGAATGTAAAATTAACTTTTAGTATAATATAAAAAATAAAAAATAAATGTTTGATTTGATGTTTTTAATGAAAAAATTTGTGGGAATAATAAAAATTCCATAAAATCTCTCAAACAAACACCCTAACTGTATATATTTATTTAAAAAAACAATTTCCTTATAGAAACATGATAAACTATAAGATATTAATTTCATAGATAAAATATGAAAGACATGCATAATTTTAATATGAAAAATCTTTCAGGATAAAAAAATATCACCACTTGTATAAATCAATGTTTTTATGTATTTTACTTTTGGTCTTTATATTCTTTTTTTAAATTATATATATAAATAATAAAAAATCTAATTTTACTTAGGTTTGAACCAATAACCTCATTGTCACAAGTAAAGCCGTCAAAATGAGTTGAACCCATCGGGTTGGCCCGTCCCGCTTTACTTTTAAGGAGTGTTGGATAGTGGTTTTTTAAGACCGTTAAAATGCGGGTCTAAATGGACCAATCCGCTTGGGCTGCCGGTTGAGGGTGGGTTAGCCCGCAATTGGGCGGGTTAGCCCGCAGATCAATTAAATATAATAATTAGTATTCACCTGTCTAACTAAAAGGTTTTTTTTACCATTTTTTACTATCACACTAAAAAATTATAAAAAAAATAATCAAATATTAATATCAGAATATATTTTAATTTTATGTAAACTATAAATATACCATTAATTTATAAATAACTTACAAAAGTAAAAAGTATTAAAATCATCTTGTATACCTTATTTAATAAATAAAATATGATTATTTCTAATCTACTAAAAAGAAATATTTTAAGTTAAGACGAATTAAATAAAATTTATATTATCATTAGCTTAAATAAATTATTAATATTGTCTGCACATTGTTTTTCTTATGTTATCATGTCACTATTGTTTGTTTCGATTTTTCATCATTTGTTTTGTTCGTCTTCTATTTTATAATTTCATAATTTTACAAATTCATAAAATTAATTATGATTTATTTTTAAAATTGAATATTTATTATTATTAATTTTTTAAAATACACCAACTAATAATATTTAGAATTGAGAATTTTTATATTTGTTATTTATTTTAAAATATTTATTATGTAAATTCTACAATAAAATTATTTTTAATTATTTTTAAATATTAATTAAAAAATATTTATCACATTAATATTTTATCAGCCCAATTCAACTCGCCACCCGCTGGTGAGTTGAATTGGGCTGATGAAATTCTGATCCGCTCCGCCGCGGGTTAGCCCACAAACAACCCGCTTATTTGCGGGTTATGATGGGTTGTGAGTCAATGCACTCCCCTAACCCGTTTTGACAAATCTAGTCACAAGTTTAATCCTCGTCCCACCGGGTCATCCCTTACGGACAAGTATTTCTTATTTCTTGAGTAATAAACTCATTGTTTACCTACAATATTTGTTTTTTGTTTTTAATTATAGTAATATTATTACTTTCAATATATGTATTTTAACTTATAAAATTCTATATATTATTTTTTTTTCTCAATTTTTTAAAATCTTCCAATAAATTTTTGGTTTTGAATACTTATGGGGTGTTTGGCTTGATTTTGAGTTTAGATTTATAATTTTTTGTTTTTATATAAATAAATTTTCAATTAATTTTTTTTATAAAAATAAGTATTTTTAAAATTTTGACATTGAAGAGCGGTGATTTCAATTTGAAATACAAATAAAGTATATTTTGAATTTTTAATTAGAATATTGGTTCGATGTAACATAAATATATATATAATGTAATATTTTTTTTTAATGGAATAATTATAAAATTTCAAAAATATTTTGTACAAAAAGCCAATGGCTAATTATCCTGTACGCGCGGAGTATGCGACCGGGAACGTGGGCTGGTGGTCCTATTAGTCCCACAGCATATTCCAGTTGGAATCTGGGACCCGGAGTCCCATTTAGATCCAATCATCCAAACCGTCGACATGGTGTGGGCCACGTGTAAGGTGTACAATCCGCGCTGCATCATATCATATCAAATAAGTCACGTCACGTATGCATATCAAGTTAATAGTATGACATGTTGTTATTTATTTATTATTATTATTTTTTTCTAACGTAAGATTGTGTTACCTAATACTCCCTCCGTCCACTCATAAAGTATACAATTACTTTTGCCACAGTATTTAAAAAATAATAATATTTTAATTATAGTTGGTAGGTAAAAGTAGTATAATGATATTTTTGCCCTTATTTTTTGGTGTAAAAGTAATGATGTGATGTAAATTAAGGGTATTTGTGGAAAAAAGTAAGGTATTTAATGAAATGTTTACTTTGTAATTGGACGTCCCAAAATAAAAATAGGTATACTTTCTAACTGGACGGGGGGAGTACTATATTAATTAAATTTGATAAAACAAATCACAGACGAACCATGTAAAACAAATAAATCTGGAGGTATAAGAAATTTGAAAACATAAATTCATAGTAATAAGTTATTTGAAAACATAAAAATTACTCGTTCCAGAGTCAATTGACCTCTTTCGTTAATGATACAAAAATATTAGTATTATATTAGAATATAGTATGAATAAAATATAAATGACTAAAATAATCTTATTAGTATGTGTGATATAAAGATAATGACATTTGTGTAATATATTGTAAATTGTAATAGTATTTTTAATGTTAGGTAGATAATACAGTTATTAAAAAAAATGGATACTTTGTTATGGGTTAGGTAGATAATACAGTTATTAAAAAAAATGGATACTTTGTTATGGGACGGACTAAAATGAAAAAATAAATACTTTGTTATGAGACGGAGATAGTATGTTATTTAAAGTAATGCTATCTCCGTTCGGCCACAAAGTATACCGTGATTTTTTTTGGTTGATATTTGAATATTAATTATTATATCAAAATATAGTATAAATAAATAAAAAGAAAGATAAAAATGCATCTATTAGTCTCTTATGATATAAATACAATGATATTTGTAAAGTAAATTATACACATATAAAGATACTTTTAATGGTAAGTACAATGACCCAAAAATATGTGTTTACTTTCTGGTTGGACGGAGGTAGTAATATTTAATTAGTTAATGATATTAAATTATTTCATTATTTTTTAATTTTTTATATGATTAATAATAGTAATAGTTTTAAAATAAAATTAATATATATAATTAAAAAATTAGTATATGTATTTTAATATTTTAAAAATTATTATGCAATAAAAAATATATGTAATATGAATATTATTTTAAAAATAATAAAAATTTATGTAATACAAATAAATAAAAAAATATTTATTTATATATTTAACATAATCTAATTTTATAAAAGAAATGAAATTTTAAACATAAATAAAAATATATTTTTTTTTGAAAAAATAGATAGGTGTGTTTGTTTGTGGGATTTAATTTTTTTGTTTGAATTTTTTAATAATAAAACATTAAATTTTAACTTTTGAATAAGTCCTATTTGATGTGCAATTGTTAATTAAGTTGACTATATATTTGTTAAAGTATATTTTGATTCATAAATTTTACTCAAAATAAAAAATATATATTAATTATTATGAGAGATAAAAAGTTAAAAAAAAAAAATGTAGAACAAGTACATATATAGACGTAACCATGACCTAGAAATCACATCCCTAACTCATACCTAAAATTTGAAATTGTGACATAAATTGTAAGTTGGAGTTGGGGGGGGGGGGGGGGGTGGTATGGTCTGGTTTCGATGTATGTCATCCTTCCACATGATAAAAAATGTTGCTTATCAAATTAATCATTATACGTCAATATTATTATTATTATTATTATTATTATTATTATTATTATTATTCCATAATTAAACATTTAGAAATAAAATTATATATAAAAAATATTTAAAAGGTACCGGGAAAAAATTCATTCTATTAACAAACCATAAAATACAAAACAAAAATTCGTTCTGTAGAGGTTGGACCTGTGACTATGAGGTCATGGGTTCAAACCCCCGATGGCTCAGATCACCTGCCACATTCTGAATTGAATTTGTGGATGTGTTTGGTTATCATTTCAAACTTATTTTACCATTATTTATTTATGTTTCACAAAATATTATATTGAATTAGTATAAAAAAAATTCAAAATTAAAAATTAAATCAAATCTAAAAAATGTGATTTTCCTTTTTGATTTATTAGTTTAAACAATAATTTTAATACAATATCTTATTTAAGCAAATACTATATATTTTTTTATATATAATTTGAATAGTAAAAATTTTAAAAATAATGTCAAAACAAACACGGAATTTTCTAGAAAAGGAAAAAAATTCACGGGTATGACATATAAAAGTTGAATTGACTCATTAAAAATAGTCAATTATGAGATTATTTATTTATTTATTTATTTGTTTGTTTCGATGACGACTAAGATGATTTATTTGATATTACGGGTGAGGAACCTTTAGGTTATATTTTAATATTAAGTAATATATTCGTATATAACATTGATATATTTTACTAATTTTTTGTTATTACGTGAGCGTGCTAAAAATGCATACAAGATTATTTTTTTACTCAAATAAATAATCAACATAATAAATTTTTTTATATGTAATAAAAAAAATAAAATAATTACCCCATTGAAAAAAAAAAAAAAAAAAAAAGCAGCTGTTGCTTGTAGCCATATTATTGAAGGTGAGGAGAGCAACGTGCGACCGAACTCAAATTATTGGATTACTTATAATAATAATAAATAAATAAATAAAATATGAAAAAAAGGAATGCAGGGTGTGTTTGTTTGGGATTCTCTCCAAATATACTATTCATCCCATTTTTTTCCGTAAAAATATCAAATCAACACTTATTTTGTACTCCCTCCGTGTATACATATTTTTATTTTGGGACGTCCAATTACAAAGTAAACATTTCATTAAATACCTTACTTTTTTCCACAAATACTCTTACTTTACATCACATCATTACTTTTACACCAAAAAGTAAGAGCAAAAATGTCACAATACTACTTTTAACTACCCACTATAATTAAAATATTATTATTTTTTAAACACCGCACCAAAAGTAACTGTATACTTTATGAGTAGAATACTCCCTCCGTCCCAGAAGAAGTGTCTTGTTGGAAGTTGACACCGAAATTAAGGAATAATAGTATATTGAAAGAGAGTATAAAATAGAATATAAAAGAATAAAATGTCCTTACTTTTTGAAGGATTTTAAAAAGTATGTTATAGTAATAATTAGGGATAGTTTGGAAAAGTATGAATAATTTTGCTATAAAGCGGGGACCATGATTACTAAATAAGGAAACAAGACAATTGTTTTGGGACAGACGAAAATAGAAAAATAAGACAATTCTTTTGGGACGGAGGGAGTATATTATACTAAAAATTAATTTTACATTCAAAATATTACATCAAACACCTATTATATCACATTATACAACTGTTTAAATTCAAAATTTGTACTGTTCAAATCCCAACTCAAAATCCAAACTCCAAACAAACACACCCGTAGTGAATCTGTACATGTGGCCAAATTTGGGTTTCATATTTTTATTTATTTATTTACTTTTTTATTATTTTTTTTAAAGCTGAGTCGAGTGGCGCATAGCCATAGTGCATCTCAATAATGTGATTCTGTTCACACAAATATAAATAAATAAATATTTTGATGTGACTGAAAATTGGAATATTTGCGGCTTATGGGTATTGTTAACATCTGTCTTGCTTAATATATATATATATATATAATCAAATTATTGAGAAGATAATGAAAAAAAATAATGCATTTAGTAAGTGATAATATAATTGTTGAAATTAAATAATATTCATTTTACTTATTATTACAACTGTGGGTGTCAATCATTAATTATAGTTTGCACGTGTCAATAATTCGTGCACGTGTCCTCAAATGCATGGATTAATCGATTGTTTCGATTTAGACCATCTATTTTATTTTAAATTTCACCACACGGATATTTCCAATATCCATCATGTATTTTTTTTATTTTCTAAAAAATAATGATTATGTGCTCTTTTTAACTTTCTTTTGATTGAAAAGAAAATTATTTTATTGTATAATTCTCAATTGGAAACTTGTTTGTTGGTTACATTGAAAATGATTTATATAAGTAATACTCCTCTATCCCATATAATTTCTCTCTATTTTCTATTTTCGTCCGTCCCACGTAACTTGCACTTTTATTTTTTGGAAAATTAATTATCATTTTAATCATATTTTAAAATTTAAAATTTAGTTTTTTTTTTAAATATTAAGTAAACTATTTAGTTATCTTAATCTTAATTTATAATTATTTTTACTAAATAATAATTATTTTTAATAATATATTTCTTAATTACTTACTAATTATACTTTACATAAATTCTCGTATCTACAGTAATACAAGTGAAAATAATTACGGCGTTTCTAACTATTGTCTCTCAATCTAATAAAAATACAAATCAAGAAACTCTTTGTTTGTGTTCTTTTGTAAATTTTACGATAAATTTTTACTATTCAATTTTATTTTTTTTTTATTTTTTCAGAATATCATATCAAACAATTACTTTTCTTTTTTTATATTATATTATAAATTTATTTTACATTCAAAACATCACATCAATTTTTATTTATATCACATAAAATAACTATTCAAATTCAATTTTTTATTATTTAAAAATTTAAACCCAAAAACTAAAATCCACGAACAAAACACCCTTTTGGTCTTACGTTATGTCTACGATTTGTTAATATTCAATATATACTAGAGAGTTTATTTACTTATGTTTTCAAAAATGTTATAATAAATATTAATAATAAAAAATATATATATTAAAATAAGATTTTAAAATTTTAAAATTTAGAAAGAATGAAAATAAAGTATTTAATTCAATTAATGGAGTATAAAATAATATTTTTATTCAAAAAATAATTTAAATTAATAATCATATTTTTAATAGATTAAAACTACTATATAAAAATTTAATTTAAATTTAAAAGTTTCACTCAACAACACGAACCTATGGACATTTTAATATTTGGGCTTTTAAAAAGGCTCAGAGCTGTAATTCTAAAATTTCATTAATTTTTCTTTGGATACAACTTGAGTCTATTTTGAAATATAAAAATCATTTTTAAAAATAATAAATATTAACATCGAATTTACTAAAACACCCTTACATTTTTGAATGTTTTTGAGTTTCCCTCTTCCGCTGCAGATTCCCTCTGAACTGCAAAACGACGCCGTCTAGCAATGCTTGCTACTGTTTGATGTCAGGCTCAGACCCCATGGCCATGGCCGCAGCAATCAAAATTATCCCACTGAAGCCACTTTCTCTGTAAATGCTCATGCACAATGTGCCTTGGTGCCCTTTGTCGTGCTTCTCTCCTTCAATCGACTCTTCGACGGCGTGATTTTCACTACTGTCCGATTTGGTTTCATACTTCCGTGGTAAGTTTCTCGCAGCTTTGTTTTTTTTGAAAGTTTCTTATTCTTACTGTTATCCGGTGAAAGCTTGTCGGTTGATGTGTGCTTTACGGATAGTTTGACTGCAAAAGGTTAGAGTTATGCGCAGAATTGATTTTGTTGCGCTCGTATTTTATATTTTGGAGAATCTCCTATTGCTGGAGCTCTTTTGAAGCATTTTGATTCTGGAATTACTTACCTGAAAACGACGGCGAGTTCACATTTGAACGCATTCCTTTTCGTAGCAGATTTGCTTGCTCGCTTAGGCTTTGATTGGCAGGATTCAGTAATACCTAATTTAGGGTTTAGGGGAAGATATTGGATTTGGTGGTGCAGTAATAGGTGTTTGGATTGAATATACTCAGGAGATGGAAGTTGCTGCTAGTATTGGACCGCAGATGGCTTCAAAAATTGCTGAGGTCATTAAGATTAGGTCCATTGGTGTTTTCAGAACTGAAATCAAAGAACTTGATCAAGTATACAAGATGATTTCTAGCAATGCTGTTGCTGAATTGGATGAGGAACAAGATGATGTTGATGAGCAAAAGAAGGGGAATGTATGCAGTCACTTCGAGATAGTGAAGCTGTTCGAAACACTCTTGGATTTGAAATTAGCATATGTTAGGCTACAAGAAGCGCACGTTCCTTACGACCCTGAAAAAATCAGAGCTGCCGATGAAGATGTGGTGTCGCGGTTCGAGATGCTCTGCAAGATCAAGAAGACTTACAAGGAGAAGCTATTGAAGGAAGGTGATTATGATTCGGCGATTTTGATTGCAGAAGTTAAGTTGAAAGAGAGGACACTCAAGAAGATGAAGTCTTACGCCAAATTTAAGGAGAATACGGCGAAGAAATTGCACCGGGAGCTTTGTGAATTGGAAAAATGGAATAGAATCTTGGCGGAAGACATAAGAACGCGAGAGAGGGAAAGGGTACTCAAAAGTTTAAATCACAAGTCCTTCGAGAATGTCGTTCAGAGTGTTGGAAAGGCGATTCACGACTTTGTAAAGCTGTTGATCACTTTGATGAAGGTTTCTGGTTGGGATCTAGACGAGGCTGCTGATGCGATACAAACATCCGTCGCGTACGCAAAGAGGTCCCACAAAAAATTCGCGTTCGAAGCTTATGTTGCGCGAAGAATGTTTCAAGGCTTTGCTACGCCGCAGGCTTGTTTCTTCGAGAATGTTATGAAATCGGATGATCCTATTCTTGCTTTGATGGAAGATCCGCGATCGTGCTTCGCAAAGTTCTGCTGCACAAAATATCTTTCGGTGGTTCATCCCGAGATGGAAATGTCTTTCTTCGGTAATTTGGACCATAGGAACTCCGTGGCGAACGGGATTCATCCATTTACTTCATATTATCGCGCATTTGTCACGATGGCGAGATGTGTTTGGTATTTGCAAGGATTTAGCAGTTGTGTCGAGCCTAAAGTTGAGATGTTCGGTGTGAAGGAAGGTAGCGAGTTCTTAGGGGATCATATGGAGGTCGTTGAGGAACTTAAAGAGTATAAATTGGCGATGGACGAGAAGTATGAAGGATGCAAGGTTGAGTTTTTTGTTATGCCGGGTTTTGTGATAAGGGAGAATTTAGTACGTTCTCGGGTGTACATTTCTAAACTCGTTGTCTAGGCGACGTTGTAGCCGTAGATTGATGATTGAATTAAGCGGCGTGCGCGACAAATTGCAGTCGAGTTGTCGGAGTGATTTCTTGTTTATAGAAGATGCCATATGTGCTTTGTTGTTCGATTACATTAGCTATGTGTTGTAGTTTAAGGCGTTGAATGTTATATGTATGTATTTTTGGTTGTGTTGAGGTTCCTAGTTTTGGGATGCATGTGTGATTTGTATTGTAGGAAAGGATTTATGATGTTGATTTGAATTAATTAGCACTGTTTTGACAATATATATATATATACTCCCGCCGCAAATTTCTAAGCTATCAAAAGAAAAACAAAAATAGAGTATTGATGTTGTTCAAATCTACTATATATGTCTTAACAAAAAAATTTAAATCTAAATCGACAACATGATGCTACACAATACATTTCCATTCATGCAATGATCTTTTACTATATGAGAAATCAAAATCTTTTTTTTTTTTTTTTTTTTTGTTGTGTATTTTCCTCTCTTCCTTTCTAATATTTTTTTTTTCTTTCAAACTCCGAACGTGAGTTTGAGTTTCCCGCCTACTACGCACAATACCTACACAACACAAAAAGCCACAATCGCTATCCTCAAACTACATCACTCCCGGGGTTAAAATCCTCTGGCCAAAAAACACAGCCACACAATCATTCTCACATCTGTTCCGACAAAAACAAGACGGCGAAGAAGAAAAAGAATTGAACCTCATGTTTATCGATACAATGTATGGAGCTCATAAGCTTCGCCGCTTGTCGCCATTCTTCGATTAAGGAAGAAGTTCTAACATTGTACAAAAATGCATTTCAAAGTCATAAAGGAGGAAACTCGTCTTCATTTATTAGGAATTCCGTCCACCGAGAAGCCCTGAAACGGCACAACAAGTTCAGCTTTAGACATCACACAGCGAGAACCTTCGACAAACCTAATACTAATATTCCCAATCCTGTTTTGATCCTTTGTCGAATAACTTGAGAGAATCCAAATACTGTAGTTCAATACCTGACAATGCTCAAGCCAAAAAAAAGCAACATTTGGGCAGAGGTTCGAGATTTTGGAAAAAAAATAATAAAAAAAATTTACCTTTGTTGTGCAGTCTCAGTTCTTGGACGCAGCATGTAGTATGCACCGGGAGACTGAGTCGAACTTGCTACATATGGGCTCCAAAATGATCCAAACTGGATTCTACACGAATATAAATGCCCAGTGGCTTGGTTCTGTTCCTCGACGAATCGAGGAGGATATTGGTACTGTAGGGAGCCAGACAACCTCAGGTTGGAATGTCTGCTTCTTGCTAACAGAAATCCTCCCCAGCTACTATTGTCGAAGGAATATCTCTGCCCATGATGACGAAGACGATTGTTGTGATAGCGGCCCACCTCATTCCGGGTCCTCTCATTCGATTCACTACGAGATACCTACGGGAGAAGAAGATTAAGGATGATCGGGTTAACTTATATAGAGGTGCAATATTTTCGACAACTAACGCGAAAAAAGGATCCACAAAGGTCATGCTCAGTGCATATCCGTATATTCCACATTCAAAATCGACTAAGAATCTCAGCAATCAATTATATAGTGACAAAATCAAATAGTATAGATAAAATTCTAATAAAGAGGGGAGCAAGTGCAATAATACCTTCTGAGTGCCAATTCCTTCCCCGTTTTGAGACAAATTTGTTTGAGATGACCTGTTCTGCCGAAGGGAAGGTTGCGATGGAGGACTGCTCGGTGCTGCAGTAGATAAATGGCGAAACTGACCGCAGAGTAAGCTTCTGACATGGCTTTCGTAATCTCCGGTCAGGTCAGCCAAAGGATTGAAAACTTCCAACTCGCCTCCTTCCATGATCTCTGAGTCTATCTTGGACTTACGTGAACAACAAGGCAGTGATGGATCGTTCTTCAAACAACCTGTGGATTCAGTCTTGAATGGAACTTCCAGAAGAGCAATCTCTCGTGCAGCAAGATAATCACAGTTGACATCACTGTAGGGTGAGTCCTTAGGCAGGTCAGGCGAGATCCACGATTCTTCGCCATTGAGCTCTGGGACCAAATCCGGAATCCTGCTTGTGTATGGATGTTCGTGCCGGGAATGAGTGTTTGCGAAGAACTTGTTGAGCTCACTACTGATTTCATCTTTGGGGCAATGAGACAGAATTTGACCGAGCTTCCTTGCGCCATATTTGAGTGCACTTTGTATGCGATAGAAATTCCCTAATGAACGACGAGCAAAAATCAAAGAATTTAGTACAACGATGAGTTACTCGCCAAAAATCTCTGCGTTCATACCTAATGCTAAATCGATAAAAAGGCGAACAATGCATTATAAGAAGCAGAAATCAGCTACTCAAATATTTCCATTACATTAGCTATTCGAAATGCTAAAACAGTTCATAGCTTTTCCTCACCTCTGTGTATGCTGCGCCCGAGATTGTTGTCTTCTCTAAGTGGATCAACTATGTTAAGATGTTTGATCCGAAATATGTTTCTGCGAGACGTAACCTCTCGGGAGGGAACTGCATACATTTCCGTGCATCTTTCCAGGAAATCATCTGCAAGCAGTTTGTTGCCCCCGCCTTCGGGCACTTCCACTGCACAGCGCAAAGAAAAGCCAAATATTTTGTCAGGCAACCAAAAAGACTTAATCTTGCAGCCGGACAGAGTTAGAGAAAAACTTGAATTGCTTACCTGCAATTTTGGGGAGGGAAGAGTTACGGACAAGGCCTTTCAAACTGATGCCGTAATTCCCCCAGTCAAACTGGCTATAGTAATCCAAGAACTTGTAAAGCACCTGGATGGAAAAATTGGTAGTAATAACTTTAGCCGTGGCGCTACATTAACACAAGGTTCATTGATATGGATTAATGAAGGTTAGAAAATTTACCGACAATGGGCCGGTCAGTGATGAATGAAAAAATTGGAAGATGTAGAGGATGAGCACTTCCAGTGCATAGGTTGAAAATAAGCCATGGTGAGCACCATGGATGCGGCTCTCGTAGTAGCACCAGGTTTTGACCAGGATTATGCCGCGTTTGAAAAGGTGGTCTCGTCCAACCCTTCGATCCACCTGTTTCAGAAACATGCCGACAACAGTTACAGCAAGCAATTTCAGAAGCTACAACTTATATAATCGTACAGCAGAAATTTTGATAGGATTGATACGCCAATAATGAAGTCTTGATTGATACCTCTTCCAGGAAGCAGAGTGTTGAGAGACCGCCTAACTGATCAAAGGAGATATCGATCACAATGTTCTGCACAAGGCATTTCACAATTTTAACCTGCCAACGGAACAGACATGGTAAGAATTATCTAAACAATAGTTGATATGGGGAAAACGGTGCACACTCAGTTCATCATGTAACATTAAGCGAAAATAATCGTCAAAAATCAAATAAGATGGCATCCCAAGCCTTTCACCAGCTTTATCCAACAGACAGACACCAAAAACACAGAATAAAACCATGATCCTGAAAAATTACACTGAATTTCGATTGATGCAGTAAAATCATATACCGAGAAAGTGTAAATTAAATATTAACCATAATAGACGCGCATAAACTCAATTAAATAGCTTGGAGAATCCTAAGGTACAAAGAATGTAATGAGAATTACCTCAGCATCGATAAGCCTTGTCTCCCTGAATTCGTATTCAGAGTTTGTATTCCGCTCTTCAGCCTGTAGTGCAGCAAAGATGCTATGCACTGGAGATTCTTCAGCGTCCGGACCTACGAGAACCGTCAAGTCAATATCTCCGTCCGGTAAATATGTCTTGAGCGGCACTGATCCATAAGCTACAACCTGAGAATATGAATGCCACAGACACATATATCAATGATCAAACGGAGAAAAGCTCCATGGAACATAAACTCAATAGTGTATTATCTTAAGACAATAGGATCCATAGTATTCTTGCAAAGGCGATAAAAACATTAATATCTGAATTTAATGACCAGCATCGTAAGATTGAACTATAAGTTGATTCATCAGTGTATGTTACATGCTGACTTCATTATCAAAGGGAACATGTCATTAAGAATATTTATCGACAAAACTTGCAATAACTCTGCGTGATATGGAAAGGAACATCAACTGGTTCAGTTCTTGTCGTATCTGCCTTTTTCAACGACTTTTTGTACTAAAAACTAAAGCCAGGTATGTTAACTTGTCTCATTTAATCGACATAATCATATTACCATCATCCACTCGTATATATGATTACAAAAGACACCTCACTCTAAATTCTCTTCATTAATGCGCAACGGAACAAAGATATCCAGTATAGATCATGTATCATAATAAAGAACGAAGCTTTTTAATGTTTTCCACACGTGGGCATTTTTCTACAAATGGAAAGATTTAGATCATTTTACGAAACCTGAATCTAGCATCTAACTCAACAAAAACACCATTACCTTGTCCCATTTAATCGACAAAATCATATGCTCCACAACCACTCTATCTAAGATTACAAAGATACCTCACTCTACATTCACTTCATTCATTCCTCGTAATAAAGACCATAGTTTTTAATGTTTTCCACACGTGGGGCACTGTTTCTACTAATGGAAACATTTAGACCATTTACGGAATCACATCTACCATCTAACTCAACAAAAACACCATTACCTTGTCCTATTTAATCGACAAAATCATATTCCCCACAACCACTTGTAACTAAGATTACCAAGACACCTCAATTTACAAAAAGATATCAGGAATAGATCATGCATTAGTGATAAATACCGAAGTTTGTATGTTCTCTACACGTGGGGCATTGTTTCTACAAATGGAAGCATTTAGATCATTTATGAAACCGAATCTAGCATCTAACACAATGAAAACGGCATTACTTTATCCCATTAATCAACAAAATCATATTTCCCACAACCACTCATATCTAAGATTACCAAGACACCTCACTCTACATTCACTTAATTAATGGCACGACAATGACAAAGGTACCAGGTACAAATCATGCATTCTTGATAACGACCGGAGGTTTTTAATGTTTTCCACGCGCGGAGAATTTGTTTCTACAAATGGAAACATTTAGATAATTACAACACTCAAATATAGCATCTAACTTGGCGAAAACACCATGGAATCTCAGTATATTGTCACACTTTCGACTGCAAGCAAATCCACCTAAATAGAAAGCAAGAACATCAATCAAACAGAAAAGCCAATCATTTGAAAGTACTAATAAACCACCGCAAGTCTCCACAGTCATAAACTTGACCAACCAAATAAACAACCTTAAAATCTCAAATCAATACCACAAGAAGAATCAAAAGTGAATTAATCCGTAGGGATATTCCACCATTTCAGCACCACACACAAGAACAGAAATCAACCATATGACCCTATGATCACATATGTGTATGTATGTATATACACAAAGATGAAATTACAGATCAACAGAGAGAAAAAAAATAAAAAATAAAACTTAGAACATTGCAGCAGTGATACACAAAGTAGAACTAAACATCTTCAGAATAAACTGATAATTAAAAAGAAAAGAAGAAGAAGAAGAAGAAGAAGAAGAAGAAAAACAGAAAAGGATCATCACCTGACAGGCAGCGCAAGTATTGATGAGCTGTTGAACGTAATCTATGACATCTCTCCGCTTCTCCTCCGAGTCAAGCGTGGGATGTACGCAATTCAGAATTTGCTCCGCCGCCTCCTCCGCCGCCGCATCAATCGGAGAAAAAGGAGATGGAGATAGAGAAGAATCAAGCACCGAAGGCCCTTCCTTCGCACTGTCGGCTCTCGATTTCACCATTTTTATATTCTCCAAATTCACTAAAATTCAAATAAAACAAGATGTCAAATCAAGTATCTCAATCGCTATCCGAAAACAAAAAAAAAAAAAAAAAAAAAAAGCCCAAAAATCCTCCAACCCTCGGCCATCGCTATCAATTGTCAAAAACCATAATACAAAATTAATAAATCAGGCGGTCGAGAAATACCGATTTTGGCTATAAGCAGCAAGAAATTCCCCGGGGGTTTACGAAATCGGGGTTTGGACGACGATGGTATTTGGGCGGAATTAATGAAGATTTATGCAAAGAAACTCAAAGAGAAGGCGAAAACAGCTGGCATTTGGGGGCATCCGTTGATTATCATCGTCATCGTCGGTCGATCGATGAGGTTACGTTGGTGGAAAGCTCGCTCCCTGTAAGCAGGTTGGTCTTGAATCAGTTATGCAAAGAGAAGAGAGATGAGATGATGACGAAATGAAACAAACCCCGCCTTCTTTAATTCATACCTGTCTCTGTCTGTCACCCTCCACAATCCACGTCGACATACAGATATATATACACATGTATGTATGTATGATAAACCTCATAATAATAATATTATTAATATTATTATTATTATTCATTTCTCACTCTGCTCGTGAAAAACTGCTGCGCAAATACGGAGTGGGTTTTTATTTTTTATTTTATTTTTTCTTATTTTTTATTAAAATTATTATTATTCAATTTGTATATTAATTTTAATAAAAATATATTATTTAAGTTGGAAGTAATTTAGCATTTATATAACTAATTTTTATTATAACCGAACGGAGCCGATTATTGATTTGTTTGTTTTTGTTTGAATTTTAACTTAAAATTATTTTACATATTATAATTAATTAATTAATATAATATTATTATTTTTAAATATATTAAAAAAATAAATACATATTTTCTACTAAACAAAGTATATATATATACTCTTCCGTCAAACTTTAAGAGTCTCATTTGTTTTTTTCGTCATTATACTTAACATTAAAAATATCTCTATATTTATATAATTTTACAAAAATATTATTATAATAGTATTATAAGATGCTATTCGAGTATTTTTACTATTTTCTCTTAATTTATACTATATTTTTATATAATAACACACACAAAAAAATAAATATAACATTATAATCGAATGAAAATAATATTTTATAATATAAAAATTGACAGCCGCTACTACTTAGCTGAACTTGGCTGAACTTGGAGTATAATTCAAAACAGCTAACGGTTTTTTTTGTTTTTTGTTAAAAAAATTATTGCTGTTGTAATATATCACTTTTGAAGAGAGTGAATATTACAATTAAAATTGCAATAAAATAAAGCAAAAGTAGCAGGATAGTGACAATGTAATATATTACTCACTCCATATTTAATTTATTTGGACTCAACATAAAAATTTAGAAAAATAAATATTTTAGTAAAAAAAAAAAGTAAAAAAAAAAAATTATTTGTAGGTATTTTGAAAATTTAATTAATAATTAAAAGAATGAAAAAACAAAATCTAACAAAATTATGCATTTGTGTAATAAATAAGTGTTAAATAAAAGACAATAATTAAATATAATTTTTTTAAAAAATATAGTAATTAAGTAAATTTAATATATAAACAATATAAAAAAAGAATAAATGTAACGGATCAATCAAATATTTATTATTTTAATTGTAAATAATATTTGGGACAATATATGGCTGAATTTCTTAAATTCTTATGTAAATATTTCATGAACATGGATTATACTCACAATCTATTATAGGATTTTAATGTGCATTGAACTTTAGGGTGTGTTTGTTTGGGAAATTTCATTTAATTTTCACTATTCATTCCATTTTTTCTCTTAAAAAACAACAAATCAAACACCTATTTTTTATTTTTTATATTATACTAAAAATCAATTTTACATTCAAAACATCACATCAACACCTATTTATATCACATCATACAACTATTCAAATTTAAAATTTTTACTATTCAAATCTCAATTGCAAACCCCAACAAACACACCCTTAATATACAGCGTGTGTGTATATATATATTTTTATTAATTAAATAATGTAATATTGCATTATGGGCTTGTAATAATATATCATAACATTGAATAAATAGTATGTCACTGTGTCGACTTTTTTATTGCACTTGCCATACTGAATTATTATTATTATTATTATTTTGAAATAAATGGGCAAGGAATATAAATAATGATGATTAATTTAAATAATAATACTCACTCCAAAGCTATATCAAGTAAGAAATATAATAGCAATAATCGTTAAAATGGATTAGGCATATAATCTAGAATAATATTAAATATTTAAAATTTAATGTTATATTACAAATATATTATTTAAAATATAAAATTAAATAATGATTTATATAAGAAATTACAACGTGTTTCTTTTGTAAAATAATCTGAAGAATATTTTTTTCACAATATAAGATATTAAAACAACAAAATTGTATAAATAATATAAAATAATAAATATTTATAATATATTACTCCCTTCGTCCCACATACCACGTTCATGTTATCGTTTCTGTCCGTCATACCATGTTCACGTTGCCGTTTCTGTCCGTCCTACATACGATATCACTTTCATTTTTTGAAAAATGATTACACAATTTAATCTCATTTTTAGCTTTTTAATTTTTTAAAAAATTTTAATTAAATTAATTAGTTATCTTAATTTTAATTTATAATTAATTATATTATTGAATAATTATTTTCACTAATATATTTTTAATTATCTACTAATTATATCCATACCGTGTCTATAGCGTAGCAGATACGGTACGTGGGACTTAGGGAATATTTTTTTGAATTTTTTTATATATATATTTTTTATTTTAACTTTTTTGCAAGAGAGAATACACCCATAAAATTATTCAACTTCCCAGGCCGTACCACCCATGCGGTCGATTTATTTGACTTTGTCCAGGCAAGTCAATTAGTCTTTCTATTAAGTAGAATTTTATTTAAATTTTGTTAGACTAAAAAATTATAAAAATAATAAAATTTTAATATTAAAGTTAAACTATATAAAAAAATATATATATTATAAAATTTAGTTAAATAATAATAACAATAAATTAATTATTTTCTCAATCTCAAATAAATTATTCATATAAGAAAAAATTAATATTATATAATAAAAACAATCATAAATAAAATAATGTCTAATTATATTTAAAAAAATAGATCATATATAGACAAATCAAAATAAAAAAAAAACAAAAAAAGTACTATTTATTAATATAACCGGCAACAAAAAAAAATTAAATATTTCGATGAACGAAAGAAATATTATTTAACAAAAATATATATATCTTCGTGTATAAAAACTTAGGTCATCTCCAATAATGGCACTGGGTTGACATATTTGGAGTGAGTTGTCTCTAACCTACGCCAAATCTAACGCGAAAAATTGGCGTTGCCGTGCACTGTAGCAACGCGTTGTGTTATATATATATATTTAATTTTTTTAATTTTTAAAATTATACATTTAATTTTAATTTTTTTAATTTTTTTAAAATTTTATTTTAAATTATAAAAATAAAAAGTTGTTTAAAATAATGAGAAAAGTTAAATATCTAAAGAATAATAGTAAAAAATAAAGTTATGATTAAAGTAAAATTATTATAGCAAATGCATATTTAGAGTTAAAACTGAATAAATAAAATTGATGAGTTGAAAATGACCTTAAATATTCCAATTTTTTTGTGTCCCTATAAAAACATCAAATCATAACGCCCAATTTTTATTTATTTTAGTGTAGTGTCAAAATATCACATCAATATATATTTATATCACATAAAAAAAACCATTTTAATTCAAAATTTTACTATTTAAAATCAAAACCTAAAACTAAAACCTCACAAGTAAACCCACCCTGTATATTTTATTTTCAAAAAAGTTACATACATAAACTCACTTATTTTTTATGATGGTTTTTATACTATTTTTTAATATAGTAATAATTTTTTTTTTTTAGTAAATTAGTCTAAAATTGCGTACAGGAAAAATAAAAAACACCTACTTATATAGCTCATCCAATTCAAACTTTTAAGTACTCTGGACTCCGAAATCTTAACTATCAAACTTGCATTGAAACACACCATAATATTTCCCCAATTTCCGAAGGATAAAAACTGTGAAGAACTCAACAAGAAATCAAAAACAGAGATTGGGATAGCATGTTTTGGATGTCAAAAAACCCCATAATCTAACAAGTATAAATACAGTGTTTGATTCGATCAAAATCAAATAAGAAAACTCAGTGCAGGAAGTAATTACGGGCGTGCTGCAACAGGCGGTCCACCAACACGAGGACCCTGGCTAGGCCTAGGCATGTCATCCTGTAAATGATCAACGAATATATCTAAGAAAGTGTCGAAAAATTCAAAATGCAAAGTGACAATATATAAATTTACAAACATTTGCTCCTCCACAACTTCTAAGTTCTATTGTAATATAATCTATTCTTTTCCTTTTTGTTGGAATTCAATAAACAAAAAAATTCTATGGAGTAAAGCTTAAAACACATTTTCAAACACAAATACTGTAATAATACATCGAAAGATCACAAACATTTCAGCCATGTTCCAAGGAACCTCTTAAATTTTGGCCAAAAAATGTCCTAGCATAGTATCTCATTAAGGGATTTCAGAAAAAAAAAAAGAAGAAGAAAAGCAAGGTATTCCTCAACTGGACCGTTATTGCGGACAATGAATTTAATCATGTGGAAAAAATTGCTAGTGTGAAACTTGTGTCCTAATCACGGGTGTGTTCATGTGGGAGGAGCGGTGAGAGGTATAATACACCAAAGCATTGCTTACTTAAGGAGATTACTAGAGATCTACACATGAGGATTATATAATCCGACATACCAAACACACTTTAACGAAAAGCAAACCGCTTTAAAATGCAAAACAATAATACCAAATAAAGATAGCTGCACTAGATCCAAAATAAAAAGGCAAGTCTGTAAAAATGTTAAAGCTAACCCTTGGGCGCCTGAATCGCTGAGGTGGCTCGCGATTCCTTCTATCAGTTCGGGAGCGCACCCTCACCACTTTGGAGTGAATGGCACAAGATACACAGTACTGCATCTTCACATAGAGCTTGGGAAGGGTGTATGCTACATCAAGAAAAACAGCAAACATTATATTCATCCATCTTAATCTTCCTAATAATTCTTAACCAGAAGCAACAACCAAAGATGACGTCTGGAACTGATCACTTACTGTCGAAAGCACAGGCTTCCTGGACATCCCTAACAGCTGCTTGCTCGACAATGTTTCTTACCAGAAACCTCTTGATTGCTTTGTCCTGGAAAATATGGTGTAAAACCAAAACTATAAATCAAATAAAGTTATTTCAACTTATGGGGGTTTACAAATAATACAAGTAGTAAGGAAATTTTTAGGCCCAACTAGGATTGAGGGTGTATATTTGATTTTAAGGGATTGAACTTGACTAAAGAATTAAATGTATTTAGAACCGTTTGCAATTATTTGAAATGTAAACCCTTCAATGGCATCTATGATTGTTTTATTCAAATCTTTTGAAACAAACAGGAGTTCAGACTTGTTCAATAATTTAAATTAGCCTAACACATACAGCACATAAATCCATCAACCGAGATCTGTAATCGTTTTATTCAATGCAGTCACATTAGTGATCCAATAGTAGATCTCAGTCTTAAACAGCTTCCGAACCCCCAAAACTACTGGGCAGATCATAACATAGATAACAAACAATCTTACTTAAATAAATCAACGCAGCATACAAAAATTGACACGTGCAGTTCATCGATAAATCAAGTGAATTTAACAAGTAAAAACCTTAGGGCAGCATTTTCCACAGTTGGAGCAGCGGATGGGATTCACGTGGCCACGGCCGTGCTTGTTGCGTCCTCCGTTCCTTCGCTTGAATGTCTACAGAGAAATGCAAAAAATCGTTAACATCAGATCCAAAAAGCCAGATTTGAACGACCTCAAACAATAATCCCATGAAACAAAGCAGCCCCTTGCCATTATTGATCGATGTCAGAGGAGACGCTTCGCCGTCGTTGTGAAGCCGTGGGGTTTAGCAATTCCAAAGAGTAAGAACAAAAATCGATCGGGTGTTTCAATATTGACTTATATTAGGGCTTAAAATTAATGGGCCCAATTTGGATTGTCAACATTGGACTATTACCACTTTCTTTTTTTTTTTTACTTTATTCATTGTTACAAATGTTATTATTTTTATTTTCGTTTGTTTTAAAAAAATTATTAATTTTTTAATTTAATTATTGCAGTGTTTAATATTTTTCAATTTATATTATATTATTTTTATATTATACAATATTAAAATAAAATATTTTATTTATTTTTTACTACTAATACGAAGAAGTATATATTTTTAATTTTTATATTAAGGGTTAATGAGCCCAATTTGGATTGTCCACATTGGACTATTACCGCCTTCTATGTTAATAAATGTTATAAAAAATATATAATATTTCCCATCATTAATATATGCCCATAGAATTGAATACGTATTTTAAGAAAAATAAATTAAAATAAAAATGTTTGTATATATATATTTTTTATTAAAAAATAAAATAAAAATAAATTTAAATAATAATAAATAAATATAAATAAATTTGAAAAAAAATAATATATATTAAAAATAGTTAAAAATTTTATTTATTAAATTTATTTTAAAAGCGTGGCCATTCATCAATTTTCACCGTGACTAGTATTTTTATTACGACAGACACGACCTTCTCAAAATGGGCCGGATCGACCCGAAATGCGTGCTGGGTCAAGGGTTTTGTGACGAAGGGAAAGGGTTTTCTGCCATCACTGGGTTTCTCCTTCCCTCCATTGTAGCCGCTCTCTCCAGCACCTGAAGAAGAAGCGCCGGTCGGAGGGTTGATTTGAGCGGAGTTCCGTTTGGATCAGGATCGACGGGTAAAACCGACCGACAATGGCAACCTCAATTATTCCTCCATCGCCTACTACGACGGCGACTCCGCCGGCGTCCGGTTTGAATCCGGCCGAGGCACAGAAGCAACCGGTGGATTATTTGAATCTCCCTTGCCCCATTCCGTATGAGGAGATTCATCGCGAGGCTCTCAGTTAGTGCTCGCTCGTCTGTTTATATTTTTGTACTGATTTTGCGGAGAACTCTTTATTGAAATTGAAACGTTTTTTTAGTCTTTGAGGTAGTCGATTCATATTGATTCTGCTTTTACTTTTGAGAACGGATCATTGAATGAAATTGTGAGCATTGGCAAGAGAACGAGGTGGATAACCAGACATGAAATATTTTAGCAATCTGCTCATTAGATAGATAGAAATCATTTTGCTGTTGTTTCCCAGCTCCAGCATTAGCTAGTGGGATTCAAAATGGACCGTATCATTGAAAGAACCAGAGCAAGTATTTTTCATCTTTACTGAGGTGTATTTAAATTCAGGCAGAGTTGTTGGCTGTTAATAAATCATAATTCATATCTATTTACAAATTCATTCACCTTTAGATTATGTATATCTTATTATTGATAGAATCAAGACTTTAGGAGTGTTTTCTATGAAGGATGAATCATGTTTATTTGTAATTTTATTCGCTAGGATCAAATGAGCATATGGAGTAGCACTAAATTATGTAATAAGCCTTTTAATTCCTTTACCATAATTGTTAATTAAACATGAGTATTTTTATCTGTTGAATTGAACTTGCCATCAGCTTTGATAACATGTTACTAAGCCAAGTTAGTCAAATTAATCTTGGTCTTACTGTAATCTACTTGCTGAGTGAATTGATTATAACCATTTGCAGTGTCCCTGAAGCCGGAACTCTTTGAGGGAATGCGGTTTGATTTTACCAAAGGTCTCAATCAGAAATTTTCACTTAGCCATAGGTAGGCATCTGGCCCTTACTGCTGTTTGTTTAATGGTCTGCTCCATTTCTGTGTTTTTTTTTCTATTGCCCAGCAGGTTGCTTAACTATTTCCTTACTGAAATGTTTACTGTTATAATTCTCAGTGTGATGATGGGACCCACTGAGATTCCTTCTCAATCTCCGGAAACAATCAAAATTCCTACTGCTCACTATGAATTTGGTGCTAACTTTATAGATCCAAAGGTAATGTTCATATTAGCGATTAATTTGCATTTTACAAAGATTACACATATTTATTTAGCTTCGAGATGTTGTTTTTTTTGACAGTTGATGCTATTTGGGAGAGTGTTGACTGATGGGAGGTTAAATGCAAGACTGAAGTGTGATTTGACTGATAATCTTAGTCTCAAGGGCAATGCCCAAGTAAGTGCATATCTTTACATTTATTGCAAATTTTCGTAATTTATAGCAGCTTACTAGATGCTGCAGTAACTATCCATTCAAATCCTTAAGCCGTATCTTTCTCCCTTTTCTGCAGCTTACTAATGAGCCACATATGTCGCATGGTATGTTCAATTTTGACTATAAGGTATGTATAGTTAAAGGTCTTCACTAACTTTCAATTGCACGTATCAAACTCCAAATATAGTATGTTTTTGCTCGGCTTCACAAATTAACCTCCAAATTATTGTGTAAAGGGATCAGATTACAGGACTCAGTTTCAGTTGGGGAATGGAGCCTTGTTTGGTGCAAGTTATATACAGGTGAATGATGCGATATTTTTCTTGGATTTCATGTATTGAAAGATTGTGAATAACTTGTGTTTAATATTTTCTAAAAACTGTGATATCAAGCAGTATTCTCAGATATGCATACTTCTCATTTCTCACAGCGGTGGGGTGGTCTCAACCTAATTGATTACTCTGTTAAAGAAGCATTCCAATTATAGTGTCATACCTTTCTGGATTGTCAATTTGTTCTTTGTTATCATCTTTGGTGCATAGAGCAAAATACTTGATAATATATTACTAGTCCCCTTACTATATTGTTTTTGAGTAAAGGCAAAATGGATTGCCTTATAAGTCATACCTACTGATTGTTTAAATTGTTGCAGAGTGTGACACCTCATTTATCCTTGGGTGGTGAAGTATTCTGGGCTGGGCAACATCGAAAATCTGGCATCGGCTATGCTGCACGTTACAATACTGATAAAATGGTGATATATATTTTCTGCATAACTTGTTCTAATGCACAACAACTTAAGCCTGACATTTTATATCTGATTCTATCTCGTTAGCTGTGTTCCATTTGAGCTCTTATGGTTTGTTTTTGTTGTGTTTTGGTGTGTATCGGTATTTTGGTTTTTAAGAATAATAAGAATTTCGATTATTTTCTGATGCAAATTTTTTTATTTCATAATTTGATGTTTTCTTTGGGGGAAAAAATTACCATGGATGCATGGTGAAAATATATTGTTGAAAACACAACCAAACTAAGTTTTTCTATGGTGTGGCATCATTTTCTCATTTTCTGTTGCCTAGCCATTCTGTTTTATAACCCTCTCAAGTATACTGTGCAATAAAATCTGTTTTTGAACAGTTGAGGGTGCATTATTAATCTGATGTGAAGACCTTTGCTAGATGGGTATTGATATTCACTCAATGCTTTCCATGTTCAAACCTGAACTATTTGGAATTAAATTAATTTTGACTTACTGGTTTCTGCTCTTCATGCAGGTTGCAACGGCACAAGTTGCCAGTACTGGCATGGTGGCTCTAAGCTATGTCCAGAAAGTGTCTGAAAAGGTTAGAACTCATTTCTGGATCATAAAAGGCTTAATATTCCAAACCTTACCGTTTTCCTATTCCTTTATTTCCTCTTTTCAGTTCATAAGCTTTTTACTTATCATTTAGGTTTCTCTGGCATCAGACTTCATGTACAACTATATGTCTAGGGATGTTACCGCCAGCTTTGGTTATGATTATATTCTCCGACAGGTAAATAGATTCAGTGTAACTTGTCTTGCAGTGTAGTTTCAGGGGTCAAGTGCCTTGTTCGTGAAGATTTATTTATAAGTAGGATGCTGAGATATGAAGTGCGGATGTGTTTGAATCAGTGTTCACATAAAATCAATGGAAAACCTCCGGAAATTGTTTGCCAACAAACTCTTGTGGGAGTGTAACTATTAATTATAAGTTCCAAAAAAATAAGTAATAAAATGCTTGCCGTGGTTTAGTATCTAACTTCTCGTGCCTGAAGAAATCTCATTGGTTGGTATTGTTAATGTAGCTAGCCTTTCACTTTTATGAAAAATTCAGTTGGAGCACCCTAATTATTATGTTGATGATTCAGTCTTCTTATAATATTACTCTAATCGTGCAAAAGTTAGAATTTCGTTGTCCAAGTAGTTGAGATATTTGGTTGTATTTTTCTTATGCTTGGCATCTTTGTAGTAATCTTAAATTGACGGAAGAGTGAAATCTACGTGTTTAGGCTGTCACATGATGGCATATGAAATTCATGAATCAATGCTGTTCTTTCTTGGGATACAAGAATCAGTTCTATGATGTCAACTTGATCTCAATTTCACTATTAGACACAATATGCTCTATATACTTGGGCAAATAAGATTCTGGGCCTCAAATATTGTATATCATCATTGTCGTCACTTGGATCCCATAATTAGAAAAATAGACAATTATCCTTCACTTAGTAAATGTATTACACTGGTTCATGTGAGACACTCCTTAAGCCATTTTCCTTGGAAACTAGTATCACATGCAAAGGTGCATTCCACATGAACTTTGTGTGCTATTGAAGCAAATAGCTGCGGAAACTCATAACTCACTATTAGTTAGGAAACAACATAAGTTGAAAGTGTCACATAGACGGAATGGGATCCCTGCCCCGAGAAACCCTTGCCCTATATACTTATATATACACATACACGGGTGATGGGCAGGGTGGGGCATGGGGCAGGGGATCCCATTCCCCACATAGACTGATTCTATGTACTATGTTAGCGGCAATGATACTATCATAATTTAGGGAGCAGAATGATACGAACAACACATTTCAGAATGATCTAGAAAGTAATTTATTTTATAATACATTAGACTTCTGTTGATTTGAAAATCCACAGCTGCTGCTGATTATTTAACTGTTCTGGCTTCTGTGGCAGTGCCGCCTAAGAGGCAAGCTCGATTCTAACGGCGTGGTGGCTGCTTTCCTGGAGGAGCGATTTAATATGGGCCTCAACTTTATTCTTTCTGCAGAGGCGAGTATCAACTATAATCGAGCTTACACACTTCCTTCCTTCCAACACTTGGACTCCTATTTCATAGTTCCCTTCTTACATTTTATATGTCATGCAGTTAGATCACCGGAAGAAGGATTACAAATTTGGATTTGGACTGACGGTGGGAGAATAGAATCGAAACGTGAGCCCAGATTTGATTCCATGTCATGATCTATATACAAGTGGTGAGATCTCTTTCTTTCATCCTCTGGTTTTCGATGCAAATAAACGATTCTCATCGCGGATTTTGTAGTGGGCGTGGTTGAAATGGATTGGATTTGTGAGGCAAAAAGGAAACCAGAATATGATGAAATGATGGATGAGATTTAGTTAGAGAACAAGTCTGCAGCAGCAGGTTAATTCCTCTCAACTGTAGATTCTCCTTTTTATATTTTTATGCACCTATTCTTGGAATTCAAACAATTTTTGCCTTTTCATTTCAAATTTTATCCTTCATATGCATTATTATTATTATTATTATTATTATTATGTGAATGTCACAATTTAGACAAGATTATGGCATTTTGTGCCTATCTGCATTATTTAGCACAGGTTAATTGTGGTTCATTATATTTTATAGATACATACCATGACAATATATAATATTTGTGATTTAATATATTAATATTTTGATTTTATATGTTAATAAATTTACACTGAGTGATGATAGTATATTTGCCCTTTTTAGTGGAGTGGTTATCACGGCCTCGTAAATTGTACGACCCGAATCCGTTTTGTACGTGTTGGAATGAGGTCGGATCCGATTCATTTTTAAACAAATTGGGTTTGGGTCCAAATTTATGATGGGTTTCTTGAGTTTTTATATATATCTTGTTTTTTTTTTTGGGTTTTATATGTTTGTTTTTTTAAACCCAAATTCCATGTTTTTTGGACTATTTTTTTCTCTCACAAAATATTTCATAATATATTAATTAATATCAAATTCAAATAAAATTTTTTCAAACTACATCAAAAGAAAAATACCCGTACTCTTACAGATTTTATATCAAATACTCCCTCTGGTCCAAATATGTCTGCAACATTTTTTTATTTTTTTATTTTTGGTATCTCTCAAATATTCTGCTAATATTTTTAAAATAAAAAATAATTAATTATATTTAATTTAATTATATTTCTCTCTGCCCAAAGAATATAAAGAATTTTCTTTTACTATTATTTCAAATTATATATTTTTGTAATTTTGATTGTCATAATGAAATTTTATTATTTTTTATACCTTTTACCTAGCCGTAAGACAAAATATTGGTTAAAAAAGGGGGTAAGTCAGCACAAATGGCTGATGCTTGTGGGCCAAAATTTGTATATAAATAGTTAGGTCCACTCAACTGTACCAAATCCTACACAATTTCACGTCATTAATCTATTGTCTATGCACTCGTCCTCCCGATGGTACTTTTATACTCTATTTTTAAAAAGATTATTAACAACTAATTATTAGTTTAATGATGTGATGAGTGAACTTGACGGTGATTTAATTTGTAAGAGATTTAATTGATTGTTAATTCTTATATATTAAACTTAATAACAATAAATAATAGTAAATGTATGATTTTATATATGAGAAAATCATATTTATGAATAATAATAATAATAATAATAATAATAATAATAAAAGTTGTTTCTTTTTAACAAATTTGAAAAGTGTTTACGATACAATTGAAAAGTGTTCATATATAAATTAGTGTTCAAACACAAAGTGGCAAATTTAATTCCTGCGTTTTTTTTTTTTCATATTTAATATTCCCTCCGTCCCATATATCCATTTGCTTTTTACACGGGGTTTTAGAAATATTATTATTATATTGGAATATAGTAAAAATAAAGTAGAAATTATTAAAATAATCTTATTACTTGTGTGATATAAATGTAATGACATTTGTGTAATATATTGTAAGTTGCAAGGGTATTTATAATATTAGGTAAGATAATACAATTACTAAAAAGGAAAATAAAGATTTTGTTACGAGACAAATTAAAATAAAAAAATAAATACTTTGTTATATCCGCATTAAATAAAGAAAGCACAAAAGCATTAAATTGAAATTTTATATTCTATGAAAGAGAAACCACAACGCTTTATGACAAAGACGACACCAAATATCCGCAATTGCATTTATATAAGCACAATTTTGAACCGTTTTAAATATTTTAGATTAAAGAATAAATATTAAAATTATAAATCTTTTTTGTTTATATATATATAAAAATTTTAATTACAATTGTATAATATAGAGATATAATACAAATACAAATAAATGCACTTAAAACATTTTTTTCCTACCTAAGACCCCACCAATTTTGTTATTTTCTAACAAAAACAAAATGAAATAATTATTTACTTTATTTTCTTTGTCACATTAACCTTATCCAAAAAATAATCTTATCTGATAACTCATCATCATTATTTTTTTTATACACATTTAATTGTCATAATCCAAATAATTAATTTAATTGATAGGAATCTTTCAAGTCCTAATTTGATAATTAGCTAAAAAAGAACGATTCACTGATTCTTACAAGCTCTGTAGTCTTTGAAGTCCGGGATCCCAGTCAAGTCACTCACTCTTCAGAAGGTCCAGGGAGCTCCTTGCAGCATTTTAGTTAACACATCAATGTCGAGGTCCCGGGATCTCCGGTGTACTTAAACACTCCCAGAGAAGATCCAAAAGCAGAGTCACACATGGAGAGCAGAAGTGGGGGACAAGTGGCTTTCGCAATCACGGATTTCTAGAGCTATAAATAATGCGCAGACGAAGCGTTCAATGTATTGGTTTCTGTGTGGATAAACACTACTCGTGGTGTGACTGAAAAAGAGGCGTGGATTTGCTGTGCTGGTGCACTTCCCGTGATTCAATCAGTCGAAGCTCGAAGTGGAAGTTTCTCAGCTCAGGTAAACCTATTGATCCGAGATTTATTCCGATTTCAAAATACTTTGGGGAAATTTGGGGATCTCGTTGAATTGGCGTTGATGGATTTGATTCGGAAACCCTTGATTGGAATGGTTGTGTTGAATCTCATCAGTTTGGGTTTTCATTTTAACATTGGCTGAAGAAATGCACGATTCGATATGAAATCGAGTGAAAGAATGTCTGCTTATAATACCAATTTGTGGTGAAACTGAAAGGAAAAAGACAGGTGGTTAGGGTTTTAGATCTTTCTTAGCAATTGGAATTTGGAAATCGATTGTTTAAGTGTTGATATGTGTTGATCGACAGTCTTGGCTTTGTTTGGTTTGCTGATTTTAGGGTGAGAATCATATTAGCGTTTCTTCACTGGTTAAGCTGATTGTCGAAGAACACATCGAATTGAATTTACATTTTCTTACATATGATTCATCGAATACTTTCTTGATAGAATTAATGCTAAAACTTATAAGTTTGAACTCTGTAAATTTAGTATAAAGAGTAAGTAATCGTTTGTTGGTACTCTGGTTTCGATTTTCCGATGAATAGTAGGAATTGTAATAGGTCGTCTTTTACTTTACATTCAAAATATCGCATTAAAACTTATTTATATCACATTATACAATTGACGATTTGAGGCCTTGTAGAAGTAAGCCGTCGAAAATTTGATACTTTATGCTATTTTTCTTAATGAACTAACAACCGAATGGTAAAGTCGTCGCGTGTCACTACTAGAGGCAGTGAGTGTACTTTTGGGGACTTGTAGAAGAAATCCTCCATCGAAAATTTGACACTTTAGAAATGGTAGAATAATCGAGTCGTGATTTGAGGCTTGAGTGTATCTTTGGGGCCTCGCCGTCGAAAAATTGATACTTCATGCTAATTTTCTTAATGAACTAACAACCGAACGGTAGTACGATCTCGAGTCGCTATTTGAGGCTGTGTGTCTATTTTTTGTCGAAACAATTGGTACTTGATGCTATTTTTCTTAACGAACTAAAACCCGAATAGTAGAATGGTTGCGAGTCACGATTCAAGGCTTGTGAGTGCATTTTTGGGGCCTCCTACGATTAATATCGCGGAAATTTGAGTCGTGATTTCTTGTTTCGTAGGCACGATACGATGCAAGGAGGGCTCTCGGCAATCTTCTCACACGGTAGTGTGTTAAAGAATGCTGTTTTGCGCCACGTCCGAGTGCTCCCTCCATTGACACGCTCACTTGCGTTTGCGCGCCGCGAGTCGACCTCGGCTATTAACATCGAAGAGCACGGTTTCGAATGCACTACGATTTCCGATGTTCTTTCCGCCAAAGGGAAGGCTGCGGATGGGTCGTGGCTGTGGTGCACGACGGATGATTCTGTATACGAGGCTGTGCAGTCGGTATGCATCTTCGATGAATTTGCTTTCGATAAATAGATGGTATCCGTGTTCTTTTTTTTCACTTGGTGAATATACGGAGGTAAATAAATGTTACGAGGATGCCGCAATCGTTTTCGTTTTTTTTTTATTTTTACTGCAGATGACTCAGCACAATGTCGGAGCATTGGTGGTCGTGAAACCGGGAGAAAACAAATCTATTGCCGGAATCATCACAGAAAGAGGTATGCCGATTTAATTCGATTAGAGTAACCGTGAAATGTTCAAGGGATTTTTCGGTGAAAATTGAAAATTTTGCACGTTTTTTATAGTTTTCGGGAGTAATTTGCCGTCGTATAGTAAAATCTTACGGCTAATCGAGATCCCATCAAGATCGAGTCTTGAGTTGAAAATTGGTCATAACAATTCGGTATTCTACAATTATTTCCAGACTTTTTATTCTAATAATCAATTTTATCTTCGTCTAGATTATCTCCGGAAAATCATTGTCCAAGGGCGATCATCCAAATCAACGAAAGTCGGAGACATTATGACCGAAGAGGTAATCAACAACAAATTATCGTCTACAAAATTCAAATACAAACGGTATCGTCAGTTTTGTGTAACTCATACGGTAATTGCAGAACAAGCTTATTACGGTCACGCCCGATACTAAAGTCTTGAAGGCAATGCAGCTAATGACGGGTACGTGTCGAGTCATGCTATCGATCCATTGTAGATCACATCGAGCTTTTTTATTAATGAATAGCTTTTCCGGCGCAGATAACCGTATTAGGCACATTCCGGTGATCGACGAGCGCGGAATGATAGGGATGGTGTCGATCGGAGACGTGGTTCGAGCGGTGGTGAACGAGCATCGCGACGAGCTGAACCGTCTTAACGCCTTTATTCAAGGAGGGTATTAGAAGAACGGCGATGTCGTGTAGTCGACCAGGCATCGTCGATCGTTGTGTGTATATATATATATGTTGGTTATTTCTTTTGTTCGGAATTTCTGGAGATGTTGGAATGCCTCCGAGATGAACTCTTGTCTCTTTGCCAGTAACATTTGCTACTTTTATGCATGCATGTTATTGTTATATCATACTAACGGATGTTTGTTTTGTATAATTTGAAAGAATTTTTTTTTTTTTTTAACGAAAAATACAGATAATTGTATATACAATATAAAAATAATTAATGTGTAATATTTAATTTTCTTTTAAACAAAATTGTGTTAGTTTGAAAAATAAAAAGACACATTAGTTCAAATTTTTTTTGTTATTATTATTATTATTTTAAAAATTTAAAAATTATATTTAAACTAGTTTAGATGAAATGATTTTTTTTTATTTTTATAAATAGTATTAAAAGAATATAATACATGTTAACATAATATATCTTTATTTATTTACAAAAAAATAATTTAATATTTTATTGTAACTATTATTTACATTTGTTAATATTTAATATACAAAATATATTCATTAAAAATACAAAATGAACATATTTGAACTTTCTACCTTTTGTTTTAAAAAACTTTTCTATAAATGTGTTTGTGGTGAATGAAGATTATAGAATCGAGGAGGAGGAAAAAGAAAAGAAGACGGCGAAGGTCGGACGGTCCAACTTGGCAGCGGTTCTCGCCGGTCTAATTAGCACGGGCGTGTATTTTGTAAATAGGCAGACAGCTAATCCGATTGTGTTTAATTTAATTTAGTTGCCACGTCATCGTAGTCCGTTAAAATTAAAATAATAAAATTAAAAATAATGATTTTTTTTTTTTAAATATAGAATTATTTTTGATAAATTCTTTTAAGTGACACCGATGGGATTACGAATGATTTTTGCTCGGAACAATAATAGCCTTTAGATCAAACCGACGAACATATCAAGTCGGACCCAAAACTATTCGACCCGAGTACCAATCCTAAAGGTATATATATTGAAACAGCAAAGCAGCTACAAAGATGCTGAGACTAGAGCACACGCCTGCGTGTTCGATTGCTGAATTTCGACCCTAAATTCTGGACACCAAAACCCTAATTGAACAGTAATGGCGGTGGGGGTGCCCTTCTCCGAGCATCTGGAATCATAGTGTAAATATTTCTCTGTTAATCTATTTCGGCCACCAAACACAATAAAATTTCGCTAACTCAATTTTGGGGTGATACCAGAATCTTCTCTTTAGATTCCTTTCTTATCAGCTTTGCTATTCAGCTGGCAACCGGCCTTTAATCGGCTCGAATTAAGCTGAAGTTTGAGGTAAACGTAGGTGTCGTCTTCCACGTGAAATCATTCATCGATAGATAATTGTCTCCACGAGCAGTGAAATTAGGGTTGCGTGATTTGTGTTTGTTTTATTCAGAAATTCTAAATTTGGAGTGAATTACGGTTAGAAGACGGATAAAGAAGAAATCCATCTGGAAAATTTTTAAATTCCTAAACCTCTGTCGCTGGTTTGTTTGCTTGATTTAGTTGGATAGAAACGTAGGGGTCAAGTAACATTCGAGGCTGTTGTAAATCCAGATTTAGTATTTGACATTGATTCTTATTTGTCAGCTCGGTGAGAAAGCAGCAATGGTGTCCGATATGGAGGTCCATAGTGGTTCGGAAGGGGCTGAGCAGACCTCACCGGACCTTTTAAAGAATACGCCTTCTAATATTAGGAGATTGGTTAGCGTGATCGAACAGTACGAGGGCAGGCACAAGTATCTTGCCCACACTAGGAGCCCCTCGGATGGCGGCGATGTTCGGTGGTACTTTTGCAGGGTTCCTTTGGGAATCAATGGTAAGTGCCAAAAGGGTTTGTTACAATTTTGTATTTGACAATGTTTTCAACTTCGTGTTATGGTTTTGATCTTCTTTCAGTTGGTTTTATAAACTGACATCATGATGCCAGTTGACAATATTATATGGTTTGATGCCACTGATTGGGAATTTCAGATTTTAGATTCTAGTAGATTTCTTATAGTTACTTATTTCACTACGATAATGAGCAACTAGATAATAGCATTAAGAATCTAACTTTGGAAGTTGCTTGTGCGGTAAACAGGCCTTTTCGAGATTACTTTTGTATACTTATCTGTTCCCAATCAAATATATATCCTAAACATTTGACATGTCATTCTATGTGACAATGTTGCATTGTGTTAATGTGGCAGAGTTAGCTGCATCCATTCCCCAAACAGAAATAGTTGGGAAAGGTGATTATTTTAGATTTGGCATGAGAGATTCGCTGGCAATAGAGGCATCCTTCTTGCAGGTCAGGCTATTTTCAGTTACTGCATTTGTTTTCTTGCTTTGATATATTTTTGGCGTATTGAAATTTGGAAGCTGCGGTGTGTGGAAGTGTTATACTGAGAATGGTATCTATGGTCACAGAGAGAGGAGGAGTTGCTTTCATACTGGTGGAAAGAGTATGCAGAGTGTAGTGTTGGTCCTATGGGTCAGCGTCTTATCAGTTCTAAGTCAACCCAACAATTACCTTCAGAGATTTCTCCTCAATTTACAAGCGAAGAAGAGAGAGTTGGCGTCCCTGTAAAGGGGGGGTTGTATGAGGTATGGAAGTCTTCTCATCTGATGATCTATGAAAACAATTTTTTTTTATTTTATTTTATTTTATTTTATTTTATTTTGTGTGTGTGGTTTGTCTGCATGTCGGCAGCATGAAGATATGATTGTTACCTCATGAATTTGTTTCAGTTTGTTTTGACATGCTTTTGACTGTCTTTATTTTAATATTATTCCTCAGATAATATTTCTGTTTATTTTGTCGCCACTTACTGGTTTTCCAGTCATTTCTGTTGTCGTTATAATTTGTTTAATCCATCCATGCAAATAAACATTGATTAAAATGATCCAATATTTGATGAAATTCTTTTCTTTCCCCTTTCCCTCTATATAGCGATTTTCTTTCTATTTCTGTCTTATATCTGAGAATAATGTTTCACAGTTGGTTTTCTTTCTTGCAGCTCTGCTTTATGTGGAATTTTAGTTTCATTGGATGATAGTTTTCTTTTCTGTCATGGTGTTCTGATGATAAATGGTCTGGTTATTAACTCAAGAAGGACCAAGAGTAGCCAGTTGATGAGACTCTAGTTTTATTATTATTATTTTTAATGTTGTTGTTTGATGCACTTTTGGTTATAGTTTGCTGTGTACTAAATGGTGATAAATATTCCATAGGTGTTTTTTCTGCAATTGTGTACAAATGTTAATCCACATGCCTTGTGGCTGCAGTTCACTGTATTCTAGCACAACTTTATACTTATCAATGCACAACCATGATTGCATATTCTTTGCAGCATCTGTTATTCCACTTGCATATTTTTTCTTGTATGTTTTTCATCTCTCGGTTGTATTTTTGGTTTTGTAGGAATATAAATATTTCAACACTCCCCTGAATGTACAGACAAATTTTGCTTACAAAACAAAAAATCAAATGTTTTATAACACTTATTTTTCCAGGTGGATTTGGTCAAGAGACACTGCTTTCCTGTTTACTGGAATGGAGAGGATCGAAGGGTGTTGAGAGGTCATTGGTTTGCTCGTAAAGGTGGTCTTAATTGGTTACCACTGCGGGAAGATGTTTCTGAGCAATTAGAATATGCATACCGCAGTCAGGTGCTATTGAGTTTGGCATTCTTTTAATTAAATCTTGATGACATGTTCTGGAGTATCTCTCATATGTGAATGCAGTGAAGAGAGCTTGCTTGTTTTATTTATTCTTTGGTCTTCTTCTCTCTCTTCATCACATTTTCCAATTTAACAAGCTTTTGTTCAATGTAGGTGCCTGTTTCCTATTGTTTTTGGGCATTAAAGTTTTGGCATAGTCTTGTCTGAACCTCCAAAAAGATCAATTGATGACACTACAAGATTTCATGCTTTCAGGTTTGGCATCGACGAACCTTTCAGCCATCGGGTCTCTTTGCTGCTCGAATTGATTTACAAGGCTCAACTCCAGTATGAACCCTATGTTTGATGCAGTACCTCTAATGTTAGCTAAGGCAGTTTTCTGTGTGAAGTGTGAACTATAATAACTACGAGTTTGGCTGCAGGGCCTGCATGCCCTTTTTACAGGGGAAGATGATACATGGGAGGCTTGGCTAAGTGCTGATGCTACTGGGTTTTCTAATATTATTGGTTTTGGAATGAATGGCATTAAGCTTAGACGTGGATATGCTCCATCTGAATCACCAAAACCAACACAGGTAAGATCTGGCTATTATTCGACTGCCAGGACGTGGCTGACGTACTTCCTTGTTGTCATTAATAACTTCTCTTATTACTGGGTGTTTCTTGTCATACTGGGCCTCTGAGGGTTTGCTACCAACCCGAAGCTGGTTGGTTTCATATACAAATCATGACATTGTATAACTAGGCCAAGGATAATAGAATATATATAAAAGGTCTATTTCTCCTTACACATTACATGAGTACTTGTTAAGGACTGACTTTAGACTTTTTAACCTCAACTGTTTGTGCGACTTTATGACCACAAAACTAGGGCTGTTTTCACAAAGGGTGGTGGCGCTGTCATATAGTAAATCTACAATGCAAAAAATAATCTGAATATTCCATTGCATTCTGATCTTTTAATTTATATGGAACCTTGTCCTGTTCTATAATTTAATGCGCATGCATAATTATTATTATTATTTCCTTTTAGGATGAACTATGGCAGCAGAAGGAGGAGGAAATGGACGATTACTGTTCACAGGTATGCTAAGTAATGAATGATTGTTTTATATGTATATAATTCCTATATGTTGTTATTGTTCATTAATCATTACTTGATAATGTGTTTTTTGATTAATTACTGGCTTACTGCAGAAGTAGATTGATTTATGAAGCAGGATATCCAGAAATTAATTGCTTGAGTAATTTAAGATATGGAAATCTTGGTTTGGATAACCAGCGTGTCGAGATTATGGATCTGTACAATGTCCAAAATGTCGCTATATTTTTATCACCCAAATACTAATATAAAAGAAAGAAATGAGTTACAGTGATGCATCTGTTTATGTATCTTACCTTTCTATTAGTTTGATGTTCTTTGAGTTTGAGTTTTCTTTCGATTGTAAAAGATCAAAGATGATTGATTTCTTATGCTTTAAATAGATTATTTCAACTTATTTAAGTGTTTTGTGCCTTCTCAATTTAACGCGAATTTGTTTGTTTGTTTGTTTGTTGTTGTTGTTGGTTGTTTTTTTTCCTGATATAATGCTTGAGATCTCTCGAGATTTATGTTACCCTTATATTAAAGTGGTTATTTTGCTTGCTTTAGGTTCCAGTTCAGCATTTAGTATTCATGGTTCATGGTATTGGTCAAAGACTGGAGAAGTCTAATTTGGTGGATGATGTTGGAAATTTTCGCCATGTAACAGCGGGCCTTTCAGAAAGGCATCTGACCTCACACCAGCGTGGCACTCAGAGAATTCTTTACATTCCTTGCCAGGTATCTCAAAAAATACCAATGGTATCATGTCAGCATGCTTTTTTGTGTGCAGGGAACAAAAATTTCTGTATGTTTCATTTTTCTACCCAGTTGCATTATTGATTTTGCTATCATTCAACTCAACTCTCAAGTTCCATAACAATCCCTCTGTTAATTTTGTTTATTTGTATTAGTTATAGATAGTTATGATTGTAGAGAATTTTACGGATTTTGTTTCCTAGTGTCTCTCTACTACCTTAGCATAATATATATAATATTTGAATTTCTCTATTGCAACAACAGGTGTTGATTAACTTTTAAATAAATAAATAAATTATAGCAGTAGTTTTGGTAGCTAAACTATTGATTTACACTGTCAAGTTCCAAAAGTTGTTATGGTCATGGAATGACTAGTGGCTTGATGTTAATTTATGAAATTCTCCGACAGAGCTAAAAACACCAGTTATTCGTGTCTAGGATAATGTCATTAAGAACTAGTGAAGTTATGTTGTCTTTCGAAAAGTACAGAGTTGTGTCATGCATTGATTTTTGCTTCAAGAGGTGCTTCTATATTTGGAGAACTAACTATGAATGAAATTATCTGATGATAGCTACAAGCCAATAAATACAAATTAACAGGGTTTGTTTACTTTCGATTTTTATTCTCATTTTTAACTATCCTCTCCATCTAAAAACATTACATCTAATAGCAGTTTTTGCTTGTTTATCTTGAAATTCTCTCCTGGGCTACATGGGTACTAGTTATTTTTTACGAGTTTTTTTTTTTTTTTTTTCATTCATCAGTGGCGTAAGGGCTTGACACTTAGTGGTGAGGCTACAATTGAAAAGATCACATTAGATGGTGTCCGAGGGCTTCGTAGAACATTGGGCGCAACAGTTCATGATGTCTTATATTACATGAGCCCTATCTATTGTCAGGATATCATTGATTCGGTAAACCCTTTTCTCCCTACTTGCTTTTCTCTATTTTCTGAAATCCTTCCTGGCTGATGTTTTTCTGATTGTGTTTTAAGCACACTAACGAATTACATTTGTGCACATTACGATCATAATTTTCTGGGAGCTGTTTTTTTATATATTAAACTCTAGTGTTATTTGTTTAAATTTTGATTACTGCCTTCCATATTGGACTTCCTTATTCATGGATGTGCAATAGTTCCATTCTCCACATCTTGTATTGTCTCCTTAAACCATTGGCTGATATCCCACTCTTGCTGTCTTCAGGTATCTAGCCAACTTAACAGATTATATTCGAAGTTTCTCAAGAGGAATCCTGGCTATGTTGGAAAGGTGAGTTTTCCTTACACATGGAAGCTTCATTCTGAATTTATTGATTGAATTGTTGAAGTTACAATTAAAAAAAAAATACATCTTTTTATTGGTGCCTTAAGATGACATTCCAATAACTATACACAATCTAGGAATTTGAAGGGATTTTATACAGAAACTATTCCATGAGCCTGCAAATTGCTGCAGTTCTGACTTTGTCCTCTTGTCAACAAATAGCTATGAATTTTTTCAACACTTGAATGATGAAAGAGTGAACACAGAGAAATTGAACAGAAGAGCTGTTAGAACATGAATTAATATAACCGTACCATATCAAACCTAACTCGAGTTCCAACTATTTACTTGTTAGGTTTCCATATATGGTCATTCATTGGGAAGTGTTCTATCTTATGATATTCTTTGTCATCAAGAGAATCTATATTCACCATTTCCAATGGAGTGGATGTATAAAGAACGTGAAAAAAGTGAGTCACCCAGTTCTATTGGGAGTGATTCATCTGCTAGCTGCAATCGCAACACAAATTTTGGAGATGGGAGATCTGAGAATGTTGGTGAAGAGAGCGTAGCAAGTCACGAGGATAATCTTGACCTAGATGAAGAACATGTGGAGGCTGCTTGTAATCAGTTAGGTCCTCCAGCATCGTCAGAATCCGATGAATCCACCACTATTGATCATCACCAGACAAGTGATCCCTCTTCATCTCTTGATCATCCCAATGAACCTTCTTTCAGCAATTTGGATAAAACAGAGTTCTATAAAACTGATATTATGGTTGACCGGGGTGGCACAAAAAGTGAAGCTGTGCCATGTGACGAAGGAAATCAGGAAAAAGACATTTCTGACAGCAAAGATGATATGATTGAAACGTTGAATGATGAGGTGGCTAATGATAAGTTCTCTGTATTTCTTATAATGGTGTCTTAAACTCTTAATTCTCAGCGGTTTTTCTCTTGCAGATCAAGATGCTAAAGGAAAAAATCATACAATTGGAAGCTGAATGCTCCAATAGAGGTGCGCTTTTTGGCTTGAGAAAGGCCATATATGATTGTATTATGCACGTTCACTGTCTATGTTTGAAGCTTTAAAAAGGTTGATGTTCAGCATATAACGTGAAATAACTAACAGAGACAGAAAACAAGAATACAATGGAAGCGAATCAACCTGGACATAAGGATTCACTGAACCGTTACACCCTGCAAATAAGATACACAAAATTAGATTTCAAGGTAAACTTTTGTGTTTCATTTGCCCTTTACAATTGGATTGGTTAATATGGCCAAGTATACCTTAGCATCCTAAATGTTATACTGGTCATTTTGAATTACTTGAAAAAATTAAATTAAACTAATTCTTCTCTGTATTCAACAATGGAGTAAGTTTTATGGACTGTATGCTGCAGGACTTGCCTTCTGTTTTTCCTTCAACTGTCAAACCATCTTCTATTGTTTGTAGTCATTTCATGAAGTGTCATCTGTGATCAATGCTCTTGGATCTTATGTCAGGTTGATACATTCTTTTGTGTGGGGTCTCCTCTTGGACTGTTTCTCTCCCTACGGAATGTTCGGCTTGGAATTGGTATTTCTTGCATGCACCTTTCTCTTTTCAATTAAAATAGGATGAGCATCTTCGAGAAAGACTACCCTGTTATCTTCTTATAGAAGTACTAACGATTAGCCAAGTTTGCATGCGTTGAAGGAAGCACTATGCTAACCTTAAACATACTCATTGTAGTAGCTATTTTCTTCATTTTTTTACTCAATATATATATATATATATTATGTTGCATAATATACACTGGTTCTTGTACCTAAGGGTTTCTTAGCTCTAGCCACACCTGCGATTATTTGGCATTATTAAGTATTTCACCTTGAAATATTTTCAGATTTTAGTAAATTTATAGGGGTCATTTGCCTATATGTATTTTTATTTGTTATTTTTGCGAGAACACATGCATAAAGAGTAATGTATATTGCTCCAAAAAATGGGCAATCATTTGTGAATAATTTAGTCTCTTTTAGCTCAAAGTGGTACGTCAAACTCAGAACTTTTCTGCTAAAATATCTTTTGGGCCATCAGGCAAAGGCAAAGACTATTGGGAAGAAGAAAATATACACGAAGAGATGCCAGCATGTAGGCAGATGTTCAATATCTTCCACCCTTTTGATCCCGTAGCATATAGGTTTGCCTTTATGTCAATCATATTTGTTCTTTCTTTCCTCCTAGATTTGAGTCTTAATCTCTTAATGTGTTCTGTACAGAGTGGAGCCACTTATCTGTAAAGAAACTGTACAAAATCGTCCTGTTATTGTTCCTTACCATAGAGGCGGGAAGCGGCTCTACGTCGAGTTTCAGGTAAGCATACCAGTCTTAAAAACATTCCTTGCTACATTTCCTTATACATTGCACCCGTCTATTGTACAGGAATTTAGAGAAGGTCTAACTGCACGTTCTCAAGCTTTTGCAAATCACTTGAACACCATGAGGGTAAGCTTTATTTGTTCTATCTCTCTTTAAAGTTTGAGAGTTCCGAACAAGGCCTCTTCTAGAAATGAGGGCTATTGCAAGATTATTTGGGTCAATATATATGTGGGCAGCTAATTACTTAATCATGAACCTTACTCAAAGCTTTTTGAATAGGTTAAAGTGCTCGCAATTTGTGAATCACGAAGGAATGATGACCGAGATGGTATGTTTAGTGTGTCAAACCGTATTATTGACGCTGAATATGTTAGAAACTTTTCGAGCATCAAGAATGTGATATGCTGAATGCATTTCTTTCTTTCTTTCTCACAGAGGAGTATGAAAATTCCCAAGAAAAAGAGCAGAGATCATATGGATCAGTTATGATGGAGAGACTAACGGGCAGTCCGGATGGCCGAATAGATCATGTGTTACAAGTATGTGCCTTTACCTTTTTCATTTAAGTAGTTGAATTTATGTACTTCTTAAAAGCTTTTTTAAGTTTAAAGAAGATGCTTTGTTTTATGTTTAAGTTTATTATTACTTGTTAAGTATGCTGTATGCAACTATTCTTTTGTCCTTTCTCTTTTGGCATAATGTCTGATATGAGAATATTTATTTCCTTTTTTCGACTTTAATTTGTTCTTGAATTATTGGTCCACTTAAATCAATGTAAGACTGGCTGGCAAAAAATTGCAATTCTGAGTTCCTCAATTCTTTTTCAGTTTAGTGAAGCCGTTTGTGATAACAAACAGATTTGGTTACTTGTTTTAGTGTCATGACTTTTACTAATCAACTGTGTATTTATAGAGAAGGTCACACAATCATTCTTAATGTTTTAGAAAAACCATAGTTACGATATTTTTGAATTAGAATAATGTTTGACCTTAAATAAGTAGTCGATGCGATTTTTGGAATGTGATATGATGATTTTGGAATTTTTTTGTTTTGGATAAATAGTTCGAGATCAACTCCGGACCTTATTATTGGGCGGAAATTCAAATTCTCTACAATGAAACATAACATTTATTCCTACACTCCTTTAGTTGTAACTTCATCTTACAAATTCGATCCGCGATCTCATTGTATTCGACTTCTAACATTCATCCTCGATGATCTCTTGTATTTGTCTTTTCAGGACAAAACATTTCGCCATCCCTACCTATCCGCCCTCTCATCACACACGTAAGTAGCGTGAGACGTTCCAATTCGCCATTTGAGTAAATTGAAACGCAGCAATAATTCCAACTTCTCCTATTTGTCGACAGAAACTACTGGAGAGATCCCGACACAGCTCTGTTCATACTGAAGCACCTGTACCGGGACATCCCGGATTACCCGGAATCACCTAAACCCGAACAAGAGGGCAGCTCGGAAGACGCCAACAGATGGTCCGATCCTAGGGAGGCCATCGAGGAAGAACAACCGTTGACCTTTTCCGACAAAGTGTCGGTGAGAAACTTAATCTACAGAGGCAAGAAAAGCAGCAGGAGCTGATCTTAACTACATTTCTGATCAAAGGAAGGCTTTTTTTTTGCTCAGCATTTTGATCAAAGTGAAAGATGTATATAATAAATACATATACTTGTGTAGATAGATATCTATGTATGTGTATATTATATAGTGTATAGGAGAATTGGGTTCTTTTTATTATTTGCTGGTTTTGTTTTATATTTTTTGGGGGTGCGATTCCATAATTTTATTTATTTATTCAATTTCATATTCTTTGGTTTTTTTGTTTTTTTGTTTTTTAAATTTTGTTTGTATTTTAAATTTTAAATATTTTTTATTTTAAAATGTAAATTTATTTTTATTAACATAAGTCTAAATGAGGGATTTTTTTTTTTTTTTTATATAGATAATTGTTAGAAGTTTGATACTATTTATAAATATTATTAAGTTTTTAACAAAATTAAATTAAATTATTATTTCTTTTTATGAAATGTCAAGAGTTTGTTTGGTTCTTATTTAAAATGAGATATTGATTTGAATTATTATTTAAATAATATTTTAATTTAATGTTTGGTAAAAAATACTATATTTTTATTAAATATTGTATAAAATAAATATTACTATTTTGATTTATAATATGAAAAAACTCCTATGTAAAGATATATGCAAATATTTGATTCTTTTTATGTGAAATTTAAAAAATATATATGAAATGTGAAAATAATGAATGGATACTTAATTCTTTTAATTTAAAATTTTTAAATCTTCCCAATAAACACACACATTATGCGAAATGGGTTCATCATTCTAAAGATGTATTTATAGAATGAAATGGTGATGAAGAAACTCGTGATAATATTGAGAGTAATATGAACAGTAGAGTAGAGAGCGAGTATAGTCAGACTCCGTCTGTAGAAGAAAGGAATCAGCTGCAGAGTGCAGGATACATCCAAAATGGAGTAATCAATTTACCCATCCAAAAATCGATCCAATCCAATCCAATCCAATCCGTGAACCAAGTTGCCCTACGTTAGTTGTTAAATTCACAGCCCAAATCCCCAACCAAAATCGAACTTACGAGGGAGACGAAGAAGGGATTGATTCTATTGTAGTATTATTGTATTGTCCTTCCGATGCAATCCAATCATCACCATCACCATCGCCATCTCAGCGTATACGAATATTTATTTCTTCTGTAAATTTTTATTTTTATAGTAGACTAGTAGTTGCTGTTGTTGTTTTCCTATTCCAATGGTGAATTTTCTAAAACCTAGAATTCTCTAGTTTATTCATTACTTCAATTATTGGTTGCTTCCATTCTGCCCTGCGTTGGATTATTTAATTCGATAACCATAAAAGAGAAACTATCCTATTCGTTTGCTTCTTCAGCTCTTGCCCTACCCACGCCACTTTTCCTAAATTAATAGGTTGATTCGTGTTTCTCTTTTTGCTGCTCGAGAGTTCATACATCCATTTATATTGCTGCTATCGTTTTGAGTTCATATAATTTGTTCTTGTTTCATTTCGAATTTATCCATTTATTTATATGTTTTTGCAGTGAGTAAGGGAAGAAATTGTGTGTTCTATGGCGGTAGGGATTGGACTGATGAGTTTTGGGGATCATGTTACCCCAAGTAAACAGTTGCATTGGCTATCATCCGTATTTGCTGGAATGTTGATGTGCAAGATTGTGAGTTTTCCCTGTTTTTTCTTGAATTTTGATTCTTGTTCGTTTTTAATTTCATTGAATTTCATGTAGTTTTTCATTCTTTGGCATTTTGAGGTTTTAAGTCTTTTTAATCTGTTCCTATTCGAAACTTTATAATGATGAAAAGTTCTTACCATATGATTAAATGCTGCAAGAGGGATAAGCTTTTCTAGAATTTCTATTCATGATGTAGCAGATTTTGAGATTTACTCGAAATCAAAATTTCTTGAGGCAAGTTTTTAAAATGTCGTCTATGATTACACGATGGATGTAGCTTCATTCTTATAGAACAAAACTCGACTTGAGTGCAGTAAAATCTGTCTAGTTTTCTAGATAAAGTCTCTGCATCAACTAAACATTGTTGGAAAACTCTCATCAATTGGTATTCTCGTGATCATGGGGGTCATTATATGGTGAGGTTTGTCGCGATCATGGGGGTCATTAGTCTTTGTTGGGATGAAGATTATATAACCTATAATGTGTTGGTGCTTATTCGAAAGGTTAATGTAGGAGTCCAAGGGGATTGAAATTCTTGCGACAAAAGATTTAAAAAAGTGACCTTTTTTTTCCCCATCGTTTTGAAGAGATTCGGCTTTGTTGTTGAAGGTTTACGATGTAACAGCAATGATCAGCTCTTCGTTCTTCAAAGTATACAATAAGCTTAATGACAAAGACAAGCTTGAATGGAACAACAGGTAATTGATGTTAAAAAGGCTCTGTCGGAAAAAAAAAAAAAAAAAAAGTTGAATTGCTTCTCAAGTTTTAAGTCTATTTTGTTCGACAGGGGATTCTCCACATTCCATGCCATCTTTGCAGCTGCTGGTTCTCTCTATCTCTTATTTGTTTCGGATCTTTTTGTTGATTCTCAAGACGAGCTGATGATCAACAAATCCTCACTTCTGTCGGACACAATAATGGGAGTATGTAAAACTCTTTTCTCAATCATTAATTTGTTTCATTGTGTGTTTACAAAATCTCTCAAAGAACAGTTCTTAAGCTCAGTTTGCTTTATCGATGAATGAAACAGGTGTCCATCGGGTACTTTCTATCTGACCTAGCAATGATTTTCTATCAGTTCCCGGCCTTAGGTGGATTGGAATACGTAAGTATAACTACCTAACCGTTAGTCGAAGTCATTTCTCAATCAATGCATGCTTGCCATTATTTATCAAAGCTTTCGTTTCCTAATAAGTTTCTTATCGATCAATTTTTAATGTTGATCGAATAGTTTATTTTATTGTTAATGTATTCAGGTCATTCACCACGGGCTCTCGGTGTATTCTATCCTCCTGGCTCTTCTCAGCGGGCAAGCACACGTTTATATACTAATGGTTCTTTTCACTGAAAGCACGACCCCTTTTGTTAATCTAAGATGGTAAGCTTCGGGTAAACATGTTCTCCCAACTCCTTGCTCGTTTCGATCTATTAAATTGACGATCAATCCGTTACTTTTGATGCGCGCAATTCAGGCGCCTCGATGTTGCGGGCCTCAAGAACTCTAAAATCTACGTCTACAATGGCGTAGCGTTGTTCTTCGGTTGGTTGGTAAGGAACCCCTTTTAACTTCATTCACATTCGTAAATCTGTTTATTTGATCGTTTTCCACACATTGCTTGCGGGGAGGTCGACAGTGTGTCTCCGGAAGCTTAGATTACTTCAATTCCTTATCTAATTATACAAGGAGATCGATTTACGATTGAATCGAATATACGAGTGATCAATATATATTTATACATACTAATATATTTATAATACAATATATTATATATTATAATTTAACATAAGATATCTTATAACAGTATAAACATATGTTGGTCACTTATTTGACATATGTTGACGGTCAAATCAACACAGTGTTAACAATATTTTCATTTTTTTATTTAGTAAAATATTATACTATCATTTTTTGTATTTTTTTTTTTACTATAGAACAAAGAAAGTAACAAAAATATACACCTGCATTAAAAATTGTGCCCATAAGTTTGAGCACATACCGAGGTAGTATATATTATGCAGTGTTAACATGTAATTTGTGCTGAAATTAATTGTTGTGACATGTGTTATGTGAACTGTTTGTTAGGCTTTATTGTATTATATTAATACTCTCTCCGTCTCAATACAATAATCTTGTTTACCATTTTTGTTTATATTAATATGACTTTCTTATTATTATTACACAATTGCTACTATTTTTTACACTAATATAGCAAAATAGTCATTTTTTCTTACTTTTTACAACTACTCATGTAATATCAATATTCTTTAAATCTCGTGTCCAACGCAACAAGACTATATTTTTGGGACGGAGGGAGTATAAGTTATGTCATTTGTATTGTGTTGTGCTAACATGGGGTGAAATTAATTGTGGTATGTATTATATCAACTATTATCGTATGCTGTCAATACACATGTATTTTTAGAATTTGGTTTTCGACTAAATGATAATACAAACTAATTGCATTGCAGGCCGCAAGGATCATTCTGTTCGTCTACTTGTATTACCACATGTTTACACATTTCGATCAGGTAGAGCGAATTTGGAGTCGCGAGAGTGCTATTATTCATCTTCTTCTTACACGATCTTATGTTGTTTTTATTCGTTTTGTTCTTAGGTGAAGAAGGTTTTCCCGTTGGGATTCTACAGCCTGATGACTGTCCCTCCGGTGCTGTCGATCATGAACCTCTTTTGGTTCTGGAAAATCGCCAAAGGCATGGTGAAAACCTTGAGAAAGGCTCGACACAACGAGTAAGAATTGTTCGATAAAAGATTGTTTTTTTACAGTGTATATGAATTCAGCTTAGAAGGATGACACCTTGAGAAACTGTAAATTTCTTTTAAGTTAAAATGGCTTTCGACTTGACTTGTTTTTTAAAATTAAACATAAGTATTGTAAATAAATAATTTGTTTACTATTCATGGTTATATAATTTTTACTTAGAGATGGCAATGGATACTTTTATAAGCATACTTTTCAACAATATAATATATATATATATATATATGTTAGTTTGGTTTATTTATTTATTTATTATATTTTAAATAAAAAATATAAATTTTGATATATATTAGGTTTAGATTCTGGTTTAACTTTAAGTTAAATGTTTAAATGATGTTTGGTTAAACGAAATACAAAACACAAAAAAATCACAATCCAACACCACCTATGGACCTATGTTTTAAAGAAGATTTCGAAATGTTTATAATGACCACCATATCATTTAATAGTTAAATTAATTGCAATTGGTCCACATTGAAATAATTTATACAAAATTTAATTATCGTCAGTGGGCTCATGTGGCCAAAAATTAAATGTGGACTGATAGACCTCAATACAGAGTATACAGTATTTAGAAAAATTGAGACGAGCTTAGGGTTTATGATTGAGAAATTTTACTTCTTCTATAACTCAAATTTCTATTTATTTATCATAAAAAGATAAAGTGCTCACATTACGATTTTTAATAATAATATATATTCAATCTATTCTATAGGATTATGCACTTTTTCCGACTTTATTTCATTTTTATAGTAACAAAGTTCTAAACCAAAAGAATCATTTAAATAAAATAAATAAAAAGGAGCTAAAACCCTAGCGTGTGTAACGACACGCGCTTCACGCGCTCTACACCCATACCTACCTCGCCTTATCAGTCAGACAGCGTTCAGATTTAATCAACTCGTTTCCTAGCTGAAAGATCCATGGACCTCAACACCAGGCCATCCATGAACCGATGAGCGGCGTCGATCAATCTGAACCTGAAGACCTAGGAGCTTCCTATTTATCACAGGTCTACACATAGTACTCCTATTTCTTCAACGCCTGGATATCGCCGATGCAAGTAGATCTTACGAATTCATTGTTTATTGGATCCTTTTGAATTGTATACTTGTTGATATAGCGATTGAATTCTTTAATTTTGCTGTTAAATGCTAATCTACAAACTATCGGATGTTGTTTCGTGTTACGTATCAATGGCGGCGGATATAATCTTAAAGCCTAAGCAGTTTTTGTGAAAAAATCGGGAGAAAATCGAAGAAATTAGGAAATAATTGGTGAATATGTGGAGGAATTTGCGTACCTGTTTGCTGAAGCAAGCGTTTCGATCCGCCAGGTCGGAGCCTGCTTGCCGCCGCGGCGCCGGCTTTTTGGTGAATCGGTACTGCAGCGCTTCCTCCGACGGCAGGGCGAGAGGCGACGAGAATGCGATGACGTACGGGGAGGCGAGGAGGCTGATGCGCCTGGTGGATGTGGCGGCGCTGAAGGATCGGTTGGGGGTGGAGGACAAGGAAGTGATCTCCTACGCCGAGCTCTTGACCGCCTGCGAGAGCGCCGGCGTCGCCAGGTCTTCCGACGAGGCCGCCGCCTTCGCTAAGATCCTCGACGACGCCGGCGTCGTTTTGCTTTTCCGGAACAAAGTGTACCTCCACCCTGACAAGGTACGTCACATTTCCTTTATCAAGGGTTATGGCGTTTGCAAAACGACGTCGTTTCGCTCTTCCCGTACCTCCAGACGCTTGATTTAGGGTTTTGAATTTGTGCTGATTAGTTAGCGTTTGCAGAACGTCGTCGTTTTTTCGCTCCTCGACGCAGTTGATTTAGGATTTTGAATTTGTGCCTATTTGTGGGGCTAATTTGGGGGATATTCTGTAGGGCAATGCAAACCTCACAGCTGATACAGTTCTGAACAGCCATTGACATGAACACCAATGGTTTTGGCAATCTTCATTTCCTTGGCTCCAAATATGAATCCTACGATCAATCTTCCATGGATAGATGCATCAAACAAGTTAAATCCATGTTTAGAATGATCATTTCCCTTCCTCTGGATCTTCAGGTAGTTGATTTGGTGAGGAGGGCAGTGCCATTGACACTATTACCGGACGACGACCCATGTTGGGACGAGTTCAAGAAGTTGCAGGAAAAGAAGGAAGAGATCGACATGCTGGCGCACAGGCAGGTTCGTCGCATACTCTGGACGGGGCTGGGGCTTGCCGTGGCGCAAGCCGGGCTGTTCTTCCGCCTGACGTTCTGGGAATTCTCGTGGGACGTGATGGAGCCCATAGCCTTCTTCACAACAATGACGGGGATTGTAATAGGCTACGGCTACTTCTTGTGCACTTCCCGGGACCCGAGCTATCAAGATCTTCTCAAGAGGCTGTTCCTCTCCAGGCAACGGAAGCTCATCAAGAAGTATAAGTTCGATATCCAGAGGTTCTTGGAGCTGCAGAGCAGGTGCAAGGTGCCGCTGCACCACTCGTGCTCTGCAATCAAGAGACGGATAGGAGTCGAGCTCGAGCCCGAGGATCTCTTACATGATCATTGAAGGTGTGATCCACAGATCCTTCAAATTACTGAATCAAAATTTTACATCAGTGAATCAAAATCTTTACCTATTGATTCGACTACTTACGGCGATACTATGTGACTTGTTTGAACAGGCAATGTAATACATACAAAATTCGCATAGTTTTTTAATACTAACCATCATTTCAATTTTCACACTGTGTACTTTTCTTACCACATTACAATAGCAACAACAATGAACATGAACATTTTCGAAGATTGATGCTCAAGAAACACAGTATATAAGCATTTCTCCATGCCATCATCATCAACTACCACAAAGTGAAAAAGGAATACTGGTGATTAAAGATAGTATCATTTTTTGACTGAATAATAGCAAGGAATAGTAATAAGCTTTTAAGTTGAGGGCAAAATGCAGGCACAACAAGAATGACCGTACCGTCATTCTACAAGAAAAGTTTTCGGTATTCATCAGCTTCTGCAGCCATCTCTTCCATGCTTCTGTCCTTCCGCTCTATGTCTAGATCGAGCGTCTGCTTCAACTCCTTCTCCTTCAAATCAATCTGCAAAGGGATTAGCAGTGAGAAAGAATGTGAATTGCACAAAATTGGGGAAAAGTTCATTGACTTACAGCATCATAAATCTCATCATTTTTCTTGAAGTCGCCACCTTTGCGAGGGATTACGTGTATGTGTACATGAGGAACAGTTTGTCCCGCCTGCGGTCCATCCTGTAATGTAAATGAAATTCACAGATGTTCCTTCAGTCTGGAAATCTTTGACAAGAATGAACATTGGCAAGAAGATTAATTAACAGAAACAAGGGATGATCAAATGAAACACAACAGATATGAACTACATTCATTATCGAATAAATTCGTTGTCTGAATAATAATAATACAGCTGAAGGATGAATATTAGCAAGATTGGTCGAAAATCAAGTTAGGTTTGCCATTCTGAAGCTTACTTGGATAGCAAATGTGAGTGAGGTTGCCTTATGATAGGTTTCGAGCCGATGACCAATTTTCTGAGCTGTCAGCCATAGATCACTAGTTTCATCTCCAGTAAGATCAATGAAACGCTTGACATCGCGTCTTGGGCAGACGAGCACATGTATATTGTGTCAAGTGAAACAAACAAGACATAAAATGTATACGAAAACATATCAAATGTCTTTTCACGAGCCCAATAGATCAAGTAAAATTCTTGATCTGAAAACGATTAAAGGATGTTCAAACAATTCAAGGCATGTTTGTTAAAAAATGCATCCAAATAATTATAGTAACCTGTAAAACATGCCAATCTAAATTTAAATCCTCGACCAACTAAAGTAAAAGAGACCACCTCGCAAAACCATGTAGTAGCCGACTGCTACAATTAATCACACTACGTGCTGCGCAAATATGAACAGACTAAAGGATATGACCTGCATCCAAGAGCATACAAATACAATATTTAAGTATTTACAATATTTGTATTTCATCAAAACACTATGCTGCATTCCACACCGCTACAAGCTCGATTTAAAACCCGCATAAACAACACAAAAATTCATATTGTTCAATGTTCACGGCTTCTCCCCATGAGATCAGTGACAAGCAATACTTATATACAACATACACACCCTACTTTACAACATACACATGTGTAGAATCTCGAAATATTTACTCAATTTACGGTTTTACGCCCTACTTTACAGTCGATGTTAAAGATGATATACAGAAATACTATAATCAGATATACATGAGAACCAAGATAATTTCACCATCCATAAATATTCAACTCCGCAAAAACACAATACACACCCTCAAGCTAACAACCAAACTTCCACGAAAGGTGTAAATGACATTCAAGAATCTTGTCCACAAAATACAGCCAAATTCTCCACTCAAGAAAGCGATTTCACAAATCACTGATGATTATTACAACAGTAAGTTTTGCAAGAGATATTAAGTCAGCAAAAGCAAAACCACACAACATTTGGATGTAGCTTTTCCAAACAAAAAAATTTCAGAACACTTAATCCACAAAAACTGACCATCAATCCTTGATCCAAACACTAATCCAATCACTTTTATACCGAATCAAATGTATAAATTCAAAAAATCTTTATTCATTAACCAGACAAATCAAGAAACTTATACTCTAGGCTACCTAACCACCATACATAAAAATGTAGTTGACAAGAGTTTAAATCAAGAAGTGCAAAGTATAGTGTGTTAAAGAATTACTAAGATTCATGAACAAACCTCTAATTTGTTTATCTATCAGAATTGAAAAAAAATGGATAAATGGCTGGAAGTCAAAGAACACCATTACCAGTAAACACACAACTATATAAAAGAAGAGTTAACCAAGCTAAATGACGATCATTGGATCACTAGAAAAGGGGATTAAAAACACATACCAGGAACTAGCGGGCGTAGATTAACCAAAGCGTAGGAAAGCTGAGTAGTGTAGAACACTTCCTTGGGATCGATTTTGTAAGGACCAAACATAAAGCTCTCGGATTCCATCTGCGCCTTCATAATACAAACAAAAACACCGATTAATCGCTCAGTTACAGCAAGAATTTAAAATTCTAGAGAAAATTATGAGAAGCGAATTACACTTCCTTGCCGAGCGTCGTGGAGGCGTGAGGAAGCTGCTCTGCGTAAAGGATCGGCTTTCGGGAGAGACGGAAATGAAGGAGTGCGTAAGTAGCGCCGCGTGGAGGCGTTAAGAAATGCTAATGGTAATGGGGCGCCGAGCGATTTTAACATAGCGCGGCTGCTCCGGTGATCGAGGCGGCGCGTGAGAGAGGATTTTACTTCCCTGAAAATTTTGAACTAAAGTCGTGTATCTTAAGTTGTGCGTTTTAGCTAAGTTGTTTGGAAGATTTTTTATTTAAAAAAAATTAAATTATATATATATATCTAATAACCAAATGTATATCTAATCATTGCCTTTTTCTGCGCTGCTGGTTCATGGCAATGGCGGACGGGCGATCGACTGCGAGCCTACCTTTTGAAGCTTCCGTTTCATTGGCGTCCATTGAAACGCATTGCACAACCGCCTTTTGTACTCCTCAAGTTTCAATTTTCGATAAAAAATATGCGGTGGAAGAGGTGACGGAGGAGGAAGATGGCCCTTGGTGCAGTTACCTTTGCTAATGGTCAGCCTCTCGCCGTCGTGGCGTGCTTTCATGGTCTTCGAGGTTATTCTGTGTACACTGGAATCGATTATGGTTTAATCTACCATTTCATTCCTCCAAGGTATCCCCTTTCTAGTATGTATAATATATATACATATTCTCTCGTCCATCTGTTTACATTTTGATTTGTTGATTATGAGTAACGGCTTGTTGCGAAGATATTCGTTGAATTATGTTGAAGTTGGGGTCAATTATCTCATATTATTTAATTGCCAGATAAAATTTAGGGCTATTTATGCTTGTCTAAGATAGTCGGATTGAAGCTTCATTGATCTTGCTTTAGGCATGATTGAATTTCGGATGTTTTTTTTAGTAGCTAGTGCTATAAACTGTACCCTATAAGCTGGCGTTCATTGTCAATATTCTTTCAGTACCATCTCCCTCAAAAGTGGAGTCTTCTACCACAGTTTAGAATGATATTTCATTTGTTTTTAGCAGGATATGGATACGATCAGTAATTCATCTTGTATAATGATGATTTTGTTTGGAGCTTCAAACTTTTATTTCAATATGTCAAAATTGTACTCTCTAAAATTTGTTATTACCTTTTTTGCATAAAATTTATTGTTGTTGCTTGTTAGTAAGATTGATTTTACATGGTTATTGATAGATCTGAATAATGTTTTCTTAGATCTGCACATAACTACTCCTGAATGCTTTCAGCCTGGATAATTGGAATGTTGATGAACTGATTGACGATTACAAGTGCTCTGTGTTTTGAATTTCTCAAAGCAAGTGGATACACTTGAAGCAGTTCAAGTTTGGCGAGTTTCTTTTCCATAGGGTGTATGATGTAATGCCTACTTGAATATCCACAATTAGGTGGAGCAGCTAGAGATATAGAGGAAACTTGATTTTGGTTAATTGATATGAAGCTGAGCTTTAATCCATTCCTCATGCAGATTTTCTGGAAAATTCCCAATGAATGTGCTGATATTGTGGAAGCTATGCATTTCCAGAGACTGCATGGCGAATGCAAATGGATCTCTTGGTGGATTCAAAGAGAAATGCTGGTGAATCCTGAAAAGCATGAAAATTTTCCTCACCTAGTCAATCATTCATTCACCGTCATTATAATTGAAACCAATAGAGTTAAGAGGTGACTTACTTTTTATTCATGAAAAAAACTCAATCAGAATGTTCCAGATGGTTGGTCTACATTCATGTAGATTCTATACTCATGGGATGACTGTGGCTCGAAATATTTTATAATCCTAGATCATATTGTATAAGCTTTAAGCTCAAGATGATCCAATGGGTTATGCGCTCGTTTTGATACTTAAAAACCTAATCAAAATGTAGCCTCTAATGCCCATTTCTTTTTATGTGAGGGCAATATATAACTATGTCATCATTCGTATGACAACAAAATTGTGTCTGTCTTTTCTTTTCTTTTTTTTGATTGTGTTATGTTATGAATAATTTTGGGTGATGTGAAATAGCTTCCAAACATAGCCGAAGCTTGTTCATATTGGCTTTTACTCAGCTGACTTACCGAATTTTCAGTCCTTTTGATCTTTTTTTCTATTTATATATATATTTTTGCACATGTGATACCTTTAAGAAAATAATGCGACTAAAAGCTAAACAAATAGCCATTAAACTAATAGGGATATTACCTCCCTATGCGTATGGATGACGACTGCCCGCATAGTATAAATATAGAAAAGACAGGTGTGATTGTAGTGCTGACATTTGCATGTAAAATCCTTAGTGTTACTACACAATATTACTGCAGAGACGAGCCACCCTTAAACGTTTACGACAATAGAAAGAGATGAAAGTGAAGATAGATAGCTGTACATTTTCATTTTCTCCAAAAAAGGCCAGCTCAACAAATTTAGCCCCACCACCTGTTTAAGCCTCCTACTCTTATAGAAAGCAAACACACACACACACACACACATATAAATAACACATTTCCTAGTGTCTTCCATATTCTTTCTTCTGAGTTTTGAATGTTTTAGCTATATATATTGCATATATCTTAAAGCCTGCTTTCCATTCTTCTACTTCTCTTCTATCAGTCTTCTTTCTTTTCTATGTACAGAACCATGTCTAGTTTGAATCATCTGAGTTCGAGCTTCTTTCCAGTTAGAAACAGTTCTTCACCGTACTTAAGGATCCAATCAGATGCTGAAAGGCACATCTCATTTCAACTTTGGGTTGCAGGAATCTTGATCTTTGATTTTAGATTGTAAATTTGTTTAATATTGGTGTTGTTGGTTGATTCAGGGAATACTTGGCAGAGCTATTGGAAGAGATGCAGAAGCTTGGACCTTTCAAACAAGTGTTTCCTATTTGTGACCGGCTTTTGGATCAAGGTTGATTTATATATTCAGTTGTTTAATATGGTATTAGCGTTGTTGGAGCTTTGTTTTAGCCATCTGTTATGAGTATCATAGTTATGTGTTTAGCATGTTTTTTATCGTGAAAAGGAAATCTATATGTGATCTTTATTCTGAATCATTTGAATAATCTACTGTAATTTATGGTTATTAGCCTCTGAATTCTCGATCTTCATATGATTATTTCTGATGATCATTAAAATTTTCCTACTAATGAATAATTTTCTATAAAAGTTAACTCACTTTTTTAAGTACACTATACTAGTTCCACAATTTTATTTTATTTTATTTTGGGATAATCTAATAAAGTCCTTTCTTTCACTAGCAATAAAGGTTGAGTAGGTGGTTGAGGTTTAAGCGGTGGGTTTTGTTTCATACGTCTAAGGTTTGCAACACGACAAATACATTTATCAAAAGATGCTTTTTAATGCGCTACAGAAGGCGTTGCTCATGTGACAGGGGAATGCGTAAGCATTACTATCTTTTGATCACCACCACAGATCATTTTTATATCACTGAGTTATATTATGGATGATTATATTTGGTGATGAATCTAGCGAATATAGTACCTGACTTTGTGACTGAAGATTAAGGACAATTCTCTTCATTAGCTTTGAAATCGGTTTGTGTGAAATTTCTGATGGAGCTTAAAGCCACATTAATATCATTGATGAATAATGTGCTTATTATGGTAATTTGCTGAGCAATCATATGATGAAATCTCTTGTTTTTTCTAGCATAGAGAGTAATAGCTGTGGTAAATGTTTTCTTGAAGCTTTGTTTCCATTCATTACATGTTTGATATGCAAAAAAGTCACCTACTAAAAGTTCATTCTGTTCTGATTTTAAATGAAGCAAAAAGTTGCTTAGAAGTAAGAGTGAAAACAAGTTGTGACGTTTAAGATCATCGAGCTCAAGTTTGAGTTGGGTATGGAAAGCTTGAGTCCGTCAGAGCGCACATATTGAAAGCTTATTGAGTTCAAAGTCAATTTGTGTCACGTTAAGCTCAATTCAAGCTCAATAGTTAGCGAGGAACATCATAAGAACTTTGTATGGGATAGATTTTGGTATAATTTGACACTTTAATGCATTTGATTCATTGCCCACTTGAATGGATGAAGTCAGCTCTCGGTTACATCCACTATTTTAATGTATTCATCTAGTTTGATTCTTATTTTGAAATCTATAATTTATATTTTGGCATTCAAGCTTTCATCAAACAAGATATGCTAATTAGTTTGATCTATGTGAGATATCAAAATCTTAGTGAAATCATTCCCCCCTGCACATGAGTACTTTGATACAATCTTCTGGTTACTATTCTGACAGAGATAACAAAAGTTTCCGGGATGTTTGCCTCCAAAGTGTTCGAAGATTATGACAAACTTCAGCTAAGCAGTCGTAGCCCCTTGGCTTCAATGAATGTGATGCCGGATGTTGGAGGAAGTAGTAACTGGAATGGGAATGGCTCTCACACCATTAAACCTGAGGTGAGCTAAGCTATAACGATGTTCAATACAAATTCATTATATTTCATCATGTCAATCTCTTTGAAGCCTTTATCTGAGTGTAGAAAATCTCAAATCTCTGTTTCTCTAACTTCTTGTGTTGTTTATTTAATTCAAATGATATGAGGTTCTCGACATTCTCATCTTACTTTTAGGAGCTTGACATTGTCTGCAAAGTTATATATGGAATTATATACTCACATTTACAAGTAAACTCTCGAACATTGTATGGACTCGTAAAGCTTGCATATACACTGCTCCCTATCTGGATCCAGCTTTTTATTCTCTTCATGTATACACTTTGATGCTCCCTATCTTACAATCACTGCATTGTTTGCTCGACAGATACTTCGGGGGCCGCATTGTATGACCATGGACAGGCAAACAGCTCAGGGAGATCCAGATTTGTTTTCGGTGAGGAGGGTATTGCGCTTGGATATACCAGTTGATAAATATCCGGATGTAAGCCACGTACCCTACTTCGTAACTTTATTTCAACTTATCCGATGCTACAGAGTGAACTGCTTATTGATTCTCTTTGAACACAAGCAGTACAACTTTGTGGGTAGACTTTTAGGCCCCCGTGGCAACTCCCTCAAGCGAGTAGAAGCTTCTACTGGCTGTCGCATTTATATCAGGGGAAGGGGTTCGGTAAAGGATCCCAACAAGGTAATTCCTTTTGTCGGTAGTTTACCTAGTATATACTACAATTCAGTTGTGACATGCCTGTTATCGATTGTTATTTGATTATGACCTGTAGGAAGAGAAACTGAGGGGGAAACCTGGATATGAGCATTTAAATGAGCCATTGCACATTCTGATTGAGGCGGAATCGCCTGCCAATTTTAGCGATGGAAGGCTGATGCAGGCAAAAGAGATCCTTGAAGAACGGCTTATACCCGTGGTATGTTCATTGTCCGTATCTTATATATACATCTAGTGAGTTTAAGGGTTCTCTGTTTACAATTTATCTTATCTGTATTCGAAATGCAGGATGACGAGGCGCAAGATTATTACAAGAAAGAACAACTCCGAGAACTAGCCATGATCAAGAATAGTCGAGCACAGAGTCCCCAGCCAAGCGGGAGCTTGTCTCCCTCCGTCTCTAATGGAAAGAAGCATCTTAATGATCCTAAACAAACTCGTTGAGGACCATGTCGTGCGTATTGATCCCCGTCTGCTCAAGAACAACAAGGTACTCTACAAAGCCGACGAAATGTAAATATTGCGTTTTTTTCGTTATTTTGGTAGCGACTGCTCGACTCGAATAAATTACTACACCGTATGACTGTTGGATCTTCCTGCTTCTCTGTTTGTGTATATTTCTCAGATGACCAGACTCTGTTTCTATCGAACCTTCGTTTTCTTCTTCGTTGTCGTTTTCGTTACTGTTATAAGACTTAACTATGCTTCGATTTTACAGAAGACGACAACGTCGAATAATTTGTTAGAATGATTGAATTTGGGTTTACAAAGGAATCAACGAACATTATGTACATCTGCAAATCTCAAACGAATGGCCTATGCACAGTTCTATCAGCATATACCGATCTCACCTCGGCGCCACGGTGGGCATCGTGCCGCTGATGAGCGCGGTCTCCGAGATATCCAAAGACTCACAGGGGTTCGTCGAGGACGGCGGAGTCTCCGGGAGGCTTCCGGAATCTCTTGCCGAGGAATCTGTCAAGTTGGCATCGGATTCCGGCAGCATTTGCCAGATGGTCTCGAGTTCCCTGACTACTTGGGCCATCGATGGCCGGCTCGCAGTCTCGTCTTGGCAACACTTGAGTGCCAGATCGATGAACTTCTCGACGCAATCGGATGGATACGACCTCATCTTCTCATCGATGATGGTGAATATGGATCCCGAGCGATGCGCGACGTTAACCTGAATCACAGTAAATGTGCCTGAGATGATGAGTTTCGAAAGTCCCGGTAATTGTCGATAAACAACAACGCATACCTCCCGGACGATGTTCTTGCCGTGCGATATTGGGTGCATTCCGGTAAGCATTTCAAGAAACACGACGCCGAGGCTATAGACGTCGCTTTTGTCCGTCAGCTTGTGAGTAAGAAAATACTCGGGATCGAGATATCCCTGCATGTCGTTAAAGCCAGGGGTTTAGTATTATATCGTTGAACTATCCGCACCGGGATTATACTGTTATACTCACCGGTGTCCCCTTCACGACGGTTGATATATGAGAAGGTACGTCTCCTTCGAGCTCGGAAATTGGAGCCAATCGAGAAAGCCCAAAATCGGATACCTTCGCATTGAATCTCGAGTCGAGCAATATGTTAGACGCCTTGATGTCGCGATGATATATCGGAGGATTGGCCTCCGTATGAAGGTAAAGTACGCCTTTTGCCGCGCATAGCGCGATTTTCACTCTCATCGAAAATGGTAGCGATGATTTCGTCTTACCTGTAATAAGACCATCGATGCGAAACATCGTTAGCTCTTCATGCAACCTCGTAAACATGAAAGATCGATTTCGAGAAAGGATTACCCGATAGGTGATCGCGCAAGGTTCCGTTTGGCATGAACTCATAGATCAACATCTGCAGGAAATACGTCGATGAACACGAGCGAAGCATCGAACAAACGGAATATAGCTCGAGAAATCGATGAACTACCGTACCTGTTCTCCGTCTTCGTCGCAGTATCCGATCAATGATACGAGGTTCCGGTGGTGCAACCTCGACAAAAGCTGTATTTCTGTAAGAAACTCCTTCTCCCCCTGCAGCGACCCCTCGAGAGCGCGTTTTATTGCGACGATTGTCCCGTCGCCGAGAACTCCTCTATGCACTTTTCCGTACCCACCTTGCCCGACGACCGTCGAGCTATTGAAATCGGTCGTCGCCAGCGCCATCTCGTCGTAAGTGAAGTCTTTCACGCCGTCGATCTTCATGGAGATCCTCGAAGCTGAAAAACATCGCGATTATGAAGATTCGTCATTTAGCGAGATGATCGTGTATCGCTCTCGTACGATACGATACTCACATTTTCGTCTCTTCATCGACGTGTGGTGCTTCCTCATATGGCGTCGCAAGATAAACAACGAAACGAATGCGGATATCGTCACGGATCCGGCTATAGTTCCGAGAATAGTTCCAGCCAACGCTCCCTTGCTCAATCCCGGCGAAGATCGAGAAGGAACATCTACAAACACAACGAACTACGATTATTACGAATCGGGGACAAGAAACACCGTCGTAATAACCAGACGAAGCATCGAAGAACTTCCATCGAAATCACCTCGGTAAGGATCAAGAAGCGTGAAGTTAAGAAACTCGTACGGTCCAAACACGTGACTTTCGCGAATCTTCCATCCTCCGAACATCGAGCGAATCCAAAACACCTCGCTTCGGTTGAACATCCTCACGCTATCGTTGATGTACGCCGGGAATATCTTGAGGTACATTCGAAGACGGGGTCCTTCTTGCCACGCTGCAGACTCGATGTCTAGCTGAGACGAGTTCATTTCAAGCCCCGAGCTTATGTACTCCTTGAAAGGATCGACGTACGGTAAAAAATCCGAGAAAGAAGGACTTTTTAATCGGTATCCAATCCGCACGGGGGCTGCACAAAAGCATCTCGCCGTCGGGGATGCAGGAGCGTACTCATAAGGAGGCGGGCATGCTTCAGGCGGACAATCGACGAGACTCGTCGCATTTACGGTGTTGCCAAACTCCTCGACGTGAGGCAGGCAAAACTCGTCGAGATTTCCCCTCGAGCATATCGGATTTCCTTCAAGCCTGAGAATAAGGCGACGAGAAGTCGAGAATGTAAACGCAAATTATCGAAATCTCAACGGAGAATGCACGGAACAGAACGACATACGCAATGGTGACATTAGGTAGTCGAGCGAGGACGCCGGTAATACCCGAAAATTCGTTGTACCCGAAATCCCTACAAAATAATGTAGACAAAGTATCGTATAAGACTCGGGATATGTCAGTTTTCTTCAGTCGAAATGATGAGCTTACAAGAAGAGTCGATCGGCTGAGTTCAACGTTCGGTTTAGCCATATACTCGATGGAATCGAGCCATTCAGCGAATTGTTCGCCACCAACCTTCAAAAAAAAAAAACGAATAAAGAAAATTAGTGAAAATCTGCGCCTGCATACGAAGTTTTTCGAAAAATGTAGGGTAAAAGCGACGGCGGATTACAGTTTTTGTAGAAGAGGAAGCTCTGAGAAGCTATCAGGAATGGTTCCGGACAGGTTGTTCGACGATAGATCGCTGCAGAATGGAGTTATTGCATGTCCGTAGTATCGGGATGTCTGAAAACATTAGCAGAGTACGAAGTCGAATACTTACATAGTTGTGATGTTCTTCGAGAGCGCGCCCGACGGTATGGTTCCATTCAGATGGTTTAGACTCAAGTCGCTGAAACAGAGAACGTCGAGTTATTACAACATTCGATACATAAAAGCGCGCAAAATATGTTTCTTCGGATAAAACATCGACTTACATGTAAGCAAGTTGCGGATTATTTCTCCAGTCGGGAATCGAACCTTGTAAACTGCAGTTCCTCGCACTCCTGATACATCCAGAAGATCATGTTATTACCACCAGCATTACCTCGTACGAAAAGATCGAACAAGACTGTAGTTTTCTTACAACTTGAGCAGGCTCGACATGTTTCCATACGAAGGCGGGATCGAGCTCCCGCTTAGGTTGTTGTTATCCAGTTGTCTAGAAAATCCCAACAAAGAAAAAAAAATGATATGACGAAAAGGGGAGAAAGAAAAACAGAAGATCAATGCATCGAAACAAAAAAACTTCGATGATGATCGAATTATGCCGTACAGTATCTGTAGATTCGACATTTCAGACAGCTCCGGTGGAAGAGGTCCAGATAAGTTGTTGTTATCGAGCAACCTTCAGGACAAGATTTTATTTATCATAACAACCTCGAAAACACAAAAAATTCGAACATATTCGACTTACAGATGAATGAGAACCGGCAGGCGAGACAGCTCCGCCGGGATTTGCCCGCTGAGGGAACAGTTATTCATATGGCTGCTCAAAGAACATATGACGATCAAAAGTAAGCTCACAAACAAGTAATCGATGATTTAAAAAAACGAATAACCGAGCCGAGAGGGAAAATTATTACAAGTGTTTTCCTTTCTGTAACTTAGCGAATGACCGAGGTATCGGTCCTGAAATCAGGTTTTGGTCGATTTGTATCCTGTCCAAATTTGCAAGATTCCCGAGCTCGTCGGGTAACGATCCTGTTAGCCGGTTCCCACTCAAAAGCCTGCGCGAAAAATGCTCGTAAGAAACTGGTTTCGAACATTAATCGAATAAAAACTACGTTTCACTCACAAGAGTTCGAGCGTTGTAATGTTACCAATCTCCTTCGGTATCGGCCCGCTTATGTTGTTCCACATGACATCCCTAAGACATCAAATCAGAGTAAGAATTATTACAAAGACAACAAAAGAAGGAAGCCGCGTCGAAAATGAGAACTCACAATATTACAAGTTTGGATAATCGACCTAACTCGGGAGATAAGGTTCCCGACAGATTTTTATTCAAGAAAGCCCTGTCGAGAACAGCAAAACAGAGCATGTTAAAACAGAGTTCTTCCATTTTTTTTTCAGACAAAGATCGACAGAAGATGACATACAATTCTCTAACATGGAGATAGCCATCCTCGAGTGTTCGATTATAGCAGAAAATCCCGGTCCACGACGAATTGCACGGATCGCCACGATTCCACCGCACCAGGTGCCTGTCCGGATCATTCAAACTTTTCCTGATCGACCTCAATGCACTCACTACAAAAACCACAATGAATCAAACTTTTCTTGATCGACTATTTTTTCGTACAAAATTTTATATCCAACAGCTATTTCGCCTACAAAAACAAGAACCAAAATCGCTTGAAATGTTTAAATTATACTTATGGAGTCACCTTACATATCTTAAGAATCCATAGTTGAATCTCTTCTTTCATTGCAAGAATTCAGACAACTAAATCAAACTTTTTTCTTGCTCAGCTCTGTTTTTTCATTAAAAACATCACATTCAACGACTAGTTCACTTAAAAAACAACGAGAACCAAATACGCCCGAAATGTTTAAACTATACTTATGGAGTCACTTTACATATCTTAAGAATCCATAGTTGAATCTCTTCTTTCATTGCAAGAATTTAGACAAACTTTGTCTTGATTGGCTCTGGTTTTTCATACAAACATCCATTCGACGACTATTTCACCTAAAAAAAAACGAGAACCAAATGCGCCCGAAATGTTTAAATTATACTTATGGAATCACTTTACATATGCTAAGAATCCATAGTTGAATCTCCTCTTGCATAGAAAGAATTCAGACAACTAATTCTTGTCCTAAATTTGGCTTTGAGGAAATTTGGAAACATAGTAAGTACCTTCATTCGGATCCGTTCGTTGGCAATCGACATGGATGAGCAAAAAGCAGCAACACAAGCATAAGATCAGTGCCATTTTCGAAGCTACAACGATCGTCATCCTCGTCTATATCTCTATACAAATTAGGCACCTGATCGAATGTAATACAGAAACAACATTAACACAGAGGAATCAAGAATGTCCAAATTCCATCCATGGCCTCCCAAACATGATCATCAAACAGGTCAAAACCTAACTCCACTTTTTGACGAACAATAAAAATCTTATATTACACAAAAAAAAATCAGAAATGTTTGCTTCAACATCAACATCACCAAACCCTAATCCAATCGAACCAAATTAATAGCCATTTTAGGGCAAAATACATAATAAGGCAAACAATATTATTAATCACGAAATACTACAATCCATATTCACACATTCTGTTTGTTTACAAAAAAGTGTACCTCAACATAAATGATGCATATACTCAAAAAGACAGGTGCAGAGAGAGAGAGAGAGAGGTTGTAACCTTGAGGAGAGAGAAAGGGCAAGAAATTAGACCGATTCTGCATTGATTGTGAAGAATATTTGTGCTGATTGTACAGGTGAAAGGAACCCTGTCTGTCTTCGAGATAGAAGGGTTTTGGGTGTGATTTTATTTTGGAGGGTATTTTATATTTATATTTAATTTTTAATATTTTATTGAAAGAAAGAAAGAAAGAAATGGATATACGTTGAGGAGTGTTGACTTTTGGCGGGGGAGTTGGTGGCGGCAGTTTGATTCATGAACCAATTAATCAATATCAATGCACAACACAACCTTTTTTTTATTATTATTTTTTTTATTTTTTTATTTTTTTTATTTTTTTATTTAGAGAGAAAGAGAGAGAGAGAGAGAGAGAGAGAGATTTTAAAAAAGATGGAATCTTTGGGCAGTTCACACACGTTAATAATAATAATCAATTAATCATTGCCCATCTTTCTTCCTCAACTAATCTCTCTAGTGTGGCTACTAACGTGGATTAAGAAATGTGTTCATTTTTGTCCTAAATACAACATTGTGTATATGTGTATATATATATATTTACTTATTATTACTAGGGGTGTGTTTTTTAAGAAGTTTTTGGAAAAATTTAGGTTTGATTTTTATTTAAATTTTGAGATGAGTTTGAATTTTAATGTTTCTTTTGGGTTTGGTTAGAGTGCGAAGAGTTTTTTTTATATATATTGATTTGATGAGTATGAATATAATAATATAAATATATAGTATTTTGTATAATTTAATTATAAATTTATATTATATTTATATATTTTTTTTAATTTTTATTTATTTATATTATAAAAAAAATTATTTTCTACCAAATAACATATATATTATATATATAGTTTATTAAATTATAATTATTATTATTTTTTTATATTTATAATTTTTAGAAAAAAAAAAAAAAAGACAAAATCTGTCCCCGAAACCCTCTCTAGCCCAAAACTGGGCTAGAGAAATAGACCCTAGATAATTTTGACATTTATATTTTATGTATAAAATAATTTATGAACTCATAAATTTATGATCACGAATTCATTCACGTATTATTTTTTATGGGAAATGTAATTATTTTTGTTATAATAAAAATTTGATATTTTTTAGTCCGACTGACAAAAACTCTTTCTTTCTTTGATTCTTTTTTATATTTTACAAAACTAACATAAAATATACTCCTTCTAAAGTTTTGCAAGTGATTAATCTATTTATAAATTACTTAGTTCAATTATTAATTTATTTGTAAATTATCCAGTGGTCTGGGTTTCTGAATCTTGTCTATCGCACATAATTTCTTAACGTGATTTGTTTTTTTTTTAATTTATATTTAAAAAATAATTAAATTGACATTTCGTTAAAAGAAATATTTTTATTTCATACAAAATGATATAATTGCATACTGTATAAATAAAGAAATAAAATGTTACCTATACTTTTTGATTAGGCTTATTGCCCATTTTATTTTTATGAAAAAATAGGATTTGATAAACCGACGTGTAACACGTGCCCCGCCCCTATGAAGACACAAATTAACATCTACCCTTTATAATGGAAACTTTTAAGAACGTAATTAATTAACCTTAATTGTCATTATTATCACTAATCACTATCATTGTTACAATTATTATTATAAAAATTCTAAGTCAACCACGGCCCATTCATAATATGCATGCTTAAGATGATATTCGCAATTATTAATCTTTTTAAAAAATTTATTTATTTAATAGTACGCTGGTCTTTACTTTTTGAATGTATACTTAGTAAATTTTATAGATTATATTGTACAAAATATATACGTGGTTTCATAAAATTGCGCCAAATCTCTCATACTTCTAAAACTGCGTCAAACTCCTTCGTGATTTTATAAACTCTACGTCTACCCCCTTCGACAATCCTTATTTAACGGTATTTGACCTAAATGCACCCAAATTGCAAATAAATTTTAGAATCTCAATTTCTAAACCCCTAAAATTACAAATATATTTATTTTTTTTATATTTAGCCTTAAAAAATAGTAAAAATAAACTCTTAAAACTTGAAAAAAATAACTATTTTTTAGTATATTTATTATTATTTTTTAGACTAAATATAAGAAAAATGAATATATTTGTAATTTTAGGGGTTTAAAAATTGAGATTCTAAAAATTTATTCGCAGTGTGGACGCATTTAGGTCAAATAAAGTTAAATAAAAACCTCCGAGGGGGCTAGACGCAGAGTTTATAAAACCACGAGAGAGTTTGACGTAATTTTAAAAGTATAGGGAATTTGATTCAATTTTATGAAACCACTATTAGATTTTGTACAGTTTAGCCAATTTTATAAAATATTTATTTTTTTAGAGGATGGCCGAATTAATGTAATAAAGAAACATATGACCTTAGCTCGATTGAATTTGTCACATAGGAATTTTTTTTTTTTTTTTTTTCCAGTGTAATTCAACTCATTTTATATAGCCATATTATTACCATATCATTAAAATTATTTATATTTTACAGAACAATGAATTTTTCAAATTACATTAGTTTAAATTCTATTATTTTATAATATTGACTTTAAAATGTTGCTTTCAATATCTCACAATATGTATAACATATTTAGGACCACCAACAAGCAACCACTTGATGTAATTAATCAAAAGAAATAAAAAGTTTGGTGACCAAACTTTAATTTCCTCAAGTTTTTCATCTTTGATAATGTCAAGTCAATATTTTTTATTCACTTTCAAACTCGGAGCTACGGATGATAATAATAATAATAATAATAATAATAATAATAATAATAATAATAATAATAATAATAAAATAATAAAAATGGTTTTAAATTTGCATTTAATATTAAAGGATTTTATTAAATATATATATATATGTAATGTTCTTGTTTGTAGGTTTGGACCTGTGTGGGCTAAAGTATCAGTCCAAGCCTACCTCTATTCTAGGCCCATAAAGTCAAGTGTTTTTATTTTATTTATTTTTTTATTATTAGTATTTTGCAACGAATAAAAAATGATAAAGACAGCTTCGCAGCTAGCTAGAGACGAGGGGAACAAATTAACTTAAAATAAATTTTTTTATTATTTTTTGTCTCAATATAACCAAAATTCATCATTTTTTGTTTTAATATAACCAAAACTCATCATTTTTGGTCTCAATATAAATTTTTTATCAATTTTAGTCCCAATATAACCAAAATTTATCATTTTTTGTCCCAATATAATCAAACATTATCTTTTTTTTGTTCCACCATCAATAAACCGACGAAAAATACTGACATGGACTTACAAAATTGTGCAATTTCTTTAAATATAAATATAAGGTTTGATTTCTTTTCACGTCAACATTTTCGGTCGGTTTGTTGACGGTGGGACAAAAAAAATAAGGTTTGATTATATTGAGACAAAAAATGATGAGTTTTGGTTATATTGAGACTAAAATTGATAAAAAAAAAAAAAATTATATTTGAACATAAAATGATAAATTTTGGTTATACTAGGACAAAAATGATAAGTTTTGGTTATATTTGAACCAAAATTAATAAAAATTTTATATTTGGACCAAAACTAATGAATTTTAGTTATATTATAACTAAAAAAATTTAACCTCAAATATTTATTTAATCTCAAAAGATATAATATCTAATTTTTTAAAAAAATCAAAACTTGTAAAATTTCTATCTAAACGATATCTAATTAATTATTTTGAAACAATGAGGACATCAAAACTAAATACATGGATTAAATAAATAATGAATAAGACTTATGGTAATGTATATGTATGTATATCTTATTCCTATCTTCTCACGTAACGTCCAAAAGCGTAAAAAGGGGCAAAGAATGTTGCATGTCTTGTAAAGCCCACAAATATTATTTAATTTTCTCATCATCAATCTTGTCCACAAATTAAATCTAAAATAAAAATAAAAAATAAAAATAAATTGAAGGGCCTCAGCTCAATTTATTGAGTATTGATCATTCATTGAGGGCCCTCTTTAATTTGTCACAATTAATTCAAATCTAAGTTTGGATCTTGATCCATCCCCTATTCATTTATTCAGCCACTTTCAATCAAAGACACCCATGGTCCATTGTACTTGGTTTGTCCCACTACAATAGTCTTATTTACTATTTTTATCCATTTTAAAACAACAGTCTCATTTTCATCATAAATAATTATATCATTATAAAACTATCTTTACTTTTTTATTATTATTACACGGTTGCCACTATTTTTAACACTAATACACTTGTAAGGGCAAAAAAGTCTTTTACTCGTACTTTTTACCCACTACCAATATAATACTCCATCCGTCCCATGACAAAGTATTCATTTTTCCATTTTAGTCTGTCTCATAACAAAGTATCTATTTCCTCTTTTAGTAACTGTACTATCTACCTAATATTACAAATATTCTTACACCTTACAATATATTACACAAATTTCATTACCTTCATATCACACGTACTAATAAGGTTATTTTAGTCATTTCTACTTTATTTCTACTATATTTCAATATAATACTAATATTTCTAAAATTAAGTGCAAAAAGCAAATGGATATTTACTTATGGGACGGAAGGAGTCTCAATATTCTTTAAATCTCGTGTCAAACATAACCTAGACTATAGTTCTGAAATGGAGGAAGTATTTCATTCCCCATACTTACATGTGTGTATATATATGCAAAAATTGTGGGTGTTTAATTATGATTACGACGGTTAGAGTGCTGACTTTGTCAAGTCAATTAGCAAATTAATTTTAAATAATCGGCATCCAACCACAGGATAGACAACACAATACTGTGGTGTATAAAAATTTATACTGTGAAATTTATATATTGTATTGTTTTATATATATTTTTATTTATTGCGCTGAAAATCAATAGTATATTGTCGTGTACGTTGTATTATCATGTATTATTAGAATATGTGTTGTATTTTGTATTATTAGGCAATATATATATACTTTATGTATTTGTACTAACTAGGTCAAATCAGTACGAAGACCGGAACAAACTATAATGGACGCAATTTTATTGGTCATGGGTATATTTATTTTGGTTGAGCTAGCGACATGTAACGATGATTAGAGCTAATCAATATATAGTGCTCCCTCCGTTTTAATATAATAGTATTATTTATAATTTTTGTCCATCTTAAAATAATACTTTTATTTTTATAAATAACCATATCACCATAAAACTATCCCTACTTTTTTATTATTATTAAACAATTGCCACTACTTTTTACACTAATATATTCACAATGGCAAAAAAATCATTTATCCTTACTTTTAATCGACTACCAATATAATATCAATATTCCTTAAATTCTGTGTCCAACATAATAAGACTATCACTACAAAAAAATAGTATATTTGTAACGGAATTCCGTTCCTAAAATTTATGTAGCTAACGTAATTTCATTTCTAATTCCGTCTCTAATATCATTAGTAACGGAAAAAAATGAATTTAGTAACCAAAAAACCTCATTACAAAATTGATAATTTCTTGTAGTGTATATACTTTTGGGACGGATAAAGTAATGGATTATATAATATATATAATGATTGATCTGAATACAATGTGCATGCTAATATAATACATATGATCTGAATACAATGTGCATGCTAATATAATACATATACTCTTTCCGTCCCATTAGCGTTTATTTTGAGTCAACAATTAATTTTCACGGTGTATTTCATCCGTCTATTATATTTGGATTAACTTTCCATTCAAGTTTATCAATTATATTTGCACTTATTTGGGGGTGTTTATTTTGTGAAAATAATTTGAAATATATATATATATTTATGCGAAGTATATGAATTTTTTTAAAAAAAAATATGTAAAAATAAAATAAAAAAGAACAAACCTATTTTAGTATATAACAATAAATTTGTCACTATCATTATATTACAGATATACTATTAATTAGATATATATGTACTTAATGTTTCAATATATTACTACATAATCATTTTTACTTTTAAAACTTAAAATATTAATTTTTTAATCTCTATATTCAAGAGTAACAAGTGCATACCTAGCAGATAGAGAGACTTATAATATGTTTGGGGATATATTAGTAAAAATGATTAATAAATACTTGTCTTTTTTTGTATACTCCAAATCTAAAATTCTTATTATTTGGACTTCATGTTTTTCAAAAAATAAAATAAAAAAAATAAAAATATCTCTCTATATATTATTTTAATATCAGATTTAAACAATTTTTTTTAAAAATAATACATCAACAACAGAAACACACCCTAAAAATTTAATTGAGCGACAATATGATTGTGAACACATAGGAAGGATTTGTCACACCATCATATTTAAAGGGCATTTTTTATTATCTTTAATAAATTATATTTTATCTGGTAAAAATTATGATATTAAAAGCAATTACCTAAAAGTAGTATACATATCTAAGATATTATAAGCAACCATGTGTCAAACAATCGAAATAAATATGCAAGAAAAACAAGCAAAATAATTTAATTATTCATATAACTTTTTAAGAAAAGAAAAGAAAATTTAATTATTATTAAAAAAAAAAAAAAAAGAAAAATGGTCCATGTCCAGACAGACATGCGAAAGTATTTGTACGAATAAGATTGGATGAATTATTTATTTAATTTTGTTGGATATCTGTTCCTCTCATATGAATAAATAGTATGTCCACGTGGACAATTACTATTGGCCGAGGACCAGATCGTAGCCCCACAATGAGCTTCATTCACTTATCCTGTCAAAGTGGGGCCCAGCTAACGTGCATGTGCGTGACGTGGCGTCCGGACAGCCAAAGATTTCCTGTTCGAGGTTGTTAGCCACACAATAAAATGCTGTATTTATAATCACCACTCTCACATCAGTCCGTATCTAAGGAGCTAGTGTTCGTTGAATTGAAATTTTTTTGAAAATAATAATTTTATTTGCCTTCGTAATAAAATTTTAAAAATAATAGTATTACATTAAAAATGAATATAAAATAGATAAAAATAAAATATTCTTATAAATAAATTTATGTAAAAAATAATAATAATTTTAAATTGACATAATTATTTATAAAAATAAAATTATTATCTTAATAAATAATTGAAAATATCTTTTATATTTATTGAGGATATAATTCTAAAACCCTGAATTATGGTAACTCTTAATTGGATTAATTAAAAAGTACTTAATTAATATTTGAGATTGCATGTTCAGCACGGTATAATTCTAAAAAATATACTATAATTTACTGATATTTAAATTAATTATTAATTGCATCAACATTATATATATGGTATTTTATATATTATTCAATAAAATTTTAACACATATAAATAAATATATGTATACATACGAGATTTATAAGATACTAGATTTTCTTCGAATATTGTAATGTAAAATTTGAGTTTCCACCCAATAAATTAGAAAGATGTATGATTTTCTCTCTTTATTATGTGTGTGGATAGACACATATATCTATTTATTTTTAATTATTAATTGTATTTCTATTCTCGAATTTTTAAAATTTATAATTTCTTCATCCCTTAAATATGTATTTATTTGTTTTTTATTCGTCGTTGAAGATATATTAATATTATACTGATATGTAGTAGGATTAATATAAAAATAACAAAAATAACCTCATTAGTACAGTGTAATATAAAACTAATGACATTTGTGTAATATATTGTAAGTTATAGGAGTATTTGTAATGTTAGGTAGATAATACAATTATTAAAAATGAAAATTGATACTTTGTTATTGTGAGACGGATCGAAATAAAAAAATAATTAGCTCCTTGAGAGAGGGAAGAGAAAGTATTTAAAATAATTGCCAATTTCCAGCTCACATGCCAAATTGATTGCATTGTTGGTGGCATTTTCTGGCAGTTAAGGGATGCACCCAATAATTAGGACATTTTATGGGTATTCTCGTCATTTTAGTATAAACATAACTTTCCCTTCTTACCCTCCACATTCTCCCAGGTGATCAAACTTCCCGCAAGGGGCATAACAGACATTTCCATCTGAAAACTACCCTCCAGTTAGGGATACAGTTCGAAACAGACGTAAATGTCATACAATAATCATAACTTCAAATCCTGTTCCCCCAGAAAGTGATCTGTAAGTATGGAGAAAAAGCAACTTATTATTTATCCATCCACACTTTCCATATCTTATATATATAGATAGTCATGCATTGAAGAATTGAAGCTCAGAATTAATTAATCGTCCACACTCGTGGATCGTCTCTTTCAGTTTGCCCATTTTCTTCCTTACAGAACTTATAATTAGATCGAGAATGGCTGACAGGCTGTCCCTCGCAATGGAGAGAACTGGTCAGTGGTACGTAGCAATCATCTATCTCTAATTATTTTTACAATCTTAATTTAATTAGGGTTTTTCTTTTTTTGATTAACTGATTTCGGAATTGGAATTGCTTTATAATTCATTTTAGGGTTTTTTCTCAAGAAATCCCAACTGACGTCATAGTTGTAGTTGGAGAAGCCAGCTTTTCTCTTCACAAGGTACTTGAATTTTATAAATAATAAATAAATAAATTTATTAATTAATGGTGATATTATTCATATACAGTTTATGCTGGTGGGAAAGAGCAATCTCATAAGGAAAATGATTTTGGAATCGAACAAAGAAGGCGGCGAGGAGGCATTAATTACGAGAATGGATTTGTCGGAGATTCCGGGGGGGCCGGAGATATTCGAGAAGGCGGCCAAGTTCTGTTACGGCGTGAATTTTGAGATAACGGTGCATAACGTGGCGGCGCTGATGTGCGCGGCGGAGTACCTGGAGATGACGGACAAAAACCTCGCCGTTAGGAGTGAGGATTTCCTGTCCCAAGTTGCCCTGACGAGCCTCTCCGGCGCTCTGGTGGTCTTAAAATCCTGCCAGGATCTCCTCCCCATCGCCGCCAATATCGGGATTGTCCAGCGATGTGCAGAAATCGCCAGCGCTAAGGTATATATATATATACACATACTACAAATTCATTTTTAATTTTAGGAATTTTTTGCCTATCATTTTTTACTGTATCTATATATATATTTATAATATTTTATTTAATTTTTGAAAAATACGTATGATAAATTAATTTTGTTTATTTAACATGTTATGTTTAAAAATTATATTTCATTCAAAATTACGAATGATCTATAATTTTTACTATGACTAAAACACATTAATTTTGTAAGAATATATACTTTGCATGCATGGGCATAATTGTTTGTGTGGTTCAAACTCTGACCTTTTTAAGTCTTGTCTTCCACATTTGGTTGTGGATATTATGATGTGATTTGACCAGATCATGCACATAATCATTATATATATTTACATATAATATAATATATATCGAATTATAATATAACATAAGTTGAATTATAATATAGTATATATTGTATTACAAATATATTAAAATATGTATAAATATATGTTGATTATTCTTATAATATATGCCATCCTGTCAGATCAGCACTATGCTGACTTGACCGGATCAACCGCTGATCTATGTCCTAGTGTAATTAGTTTTTCTTTTACATGTTGGTCTTTTATAACTAGCTTATCTGATCAGACTTAATTTACAAACTATTAAATTCAATTAGAGTTTACCCAAAGCACACATACATAATCATTAAAAAATATGATCATTAAAACGACAACAAGTGAGATATAAAACTATATATAATCATATTGAATTTAGTTAAATAACTAAAATGATAAAATAATCTGTTACTATGTCCAAAATATATATATATAGTAACGTCTTCTTGTAATATAGGCTTGTGTGGAGGCCAATTTTCCAAGCCGATCGCCGCCGAACTGGTGGACGGAGGAGCTGACGATCCTCGACATCGATTTCTTCGCAAAGATCATAACATCGATGAAATCGAGGGGCGCAAAAGGCCTCACTCTAGCGAGCGCGATCATAACATACACTGAGAGGTCGCTTCGCGATCTCTCGCACGATCACTATGCGAGCAACCTTAAACTAGCCGACTCCGACATCCGATCACAACAGCGGGAGCTCGTCGAGTCCATCGTGGCATTGCTGCCACCGGACAAGACCGTCTTCCCGATAAACTTCCTATGTAGCCTCCTAAAGACATCGATATTCCTCAAAACCGACATCCGGTGCAAGAACGAGTTGGAGAAGAGGGTGTCCGTGATCTTAGAGCACGTCACCGTCGATGATCTTCTTGTCTTGTCGTTCACCCCAGATGGATCGAGGCTGTTCGATCTCGAGAGCGTGAGGAGGATCATCTCGGGATTCGTCGAGAGAGAAAAAAGTGTGGGAGTGTTTAACGCAGGTCAGTTTAGGGAGGCGTGTTCAACAGCCATGCAAAGAGTCGGGAAGACCGTCGACGCCTACCTTGGCGAGATCGCCACTTACGGCGAGCTTAGCATTTCCAAGTTCAACGGGATCGCTAACTTGGTCCCGAAGGCTGCCCGGAAAGTCGACGACGATCTTTACCGGGCTATCGACATTTACTTGAAGGTCAGTATCAGTAAGATTTTAATTAAAGTTTGACAATTTTCAATAAAAATATATTTATTTAGTTGACTTACAAAATTGAAGATATGGGTTCTGTTTAGATAGAAATTTTGGAAGAATTTGAAAATAGTAAAAGATTAAGTATATGAAGTGATGTTTTCAAAGGTAAAATAAGTTTAATAGAGAAAATTGCAAAAGATATCTTTCATATATCCCTTGGGATCCTTTGTTCCAAACATAAGCTATATCCCCATACACTATGGATATACACATGTGTGTATGTATTATACATATATTAATACATAAACACGTGTGTATATATATACATTATGTGTGTGGAGATAGGGGATAGGATGTGTTAATGGGATAGAGGATAGGATGTGTTAATGGGATAGAGGATTCGGTATGCTTTCATGTATATTTCATTATCATTTTTTTCTTGTATTTATTTATCTGGTAAAATATATCCTACATGTTTGTAAAAATCGTTATTTCTGTCATTTGACCGCATGTAATGTTCACACCATGCGCAATCACCCGCTGCTATGCGCGATCAAAGGATAAAAATAACAACTTTTATAAACATTTGAGATATATTTCGCCAATAAAATAAATAAAAGACAAAAGTAATAATATAGTATACATGAGAGATATTTTTAACAATTTTTCCAAGTTTAATACAGTCTTTTCTGAAAAGTGTCAGAAACTTTTGAAAGTACGTATACAAATAAAGTCATAACTTTTTCTGGAGATCTATAACAAACTCGGTGCGTGCGGCGACACAGGCGCACCCAAATCTCGACGAGATCGAGCGAGAGAAGGTGTGTAGCGCGATGGATCCGCTCAAACTATCGTACGAAGCTCGATTGCACGCTTCACAAAACAAGCGCCTCCCGGTGCAAATTGTCCTCCACGCCCTCTACTACGACCAACTCAAATTAAGAAGCGGCGGGGACGAGCACAAGACTCCCGACGCCGCGATGACGAGGAACCAACTCCAAGCCGATGTGTCCCTCGCCAAGGAGAACGAGGAGCTAAGAACCGAGCTTCTGAAAATGAAAATGTACATCGAAGACATGCACAAAGGCCACGCCGGAGGAGGGGCGTCGTCGACCGCCAAAGGGACCGGCGGCGGCGCCAAAAAGCACAATACGTTTTTCTCGTCGATGTCGAAGACACTCGGAAAGCTCAACCCATTCAAGCACGGCGGAGGCGGCGCCTCCAAGGACACCTCGAATATCGAGGACGGTGTGTCGGAGATCGCCGCCAAGCCGAGGCGGCGGAGGTTCTCCATTTCTTGATCGGAAAAGATCATTGTTAACTCCTCAAACTAAGCTACATTGCTATGGTGTCTATCTTTTTATTGTTGTTTTGGTGTGAGTTTATTGATGTTTGATATGTGTGTGTGTGTTTTTAACGTTTCAATTGAGTTTGTTTATTTAGTATCTATAGTTTGTAATATGTTTATTATTGGTTTTGGAAAGTTATGTAAAGGTTATTGGGAATTTTGATTTTCGTCGGAGGATGTGTTTACTTGTGCGATTTTATTTTCGGTTTTACTATTTTAATTTTTTTTAAAAGAAAATATCAAATCAAATACCTATTTTTTATTTATTATATTACACTAAAATTAATTTTTATGATATATTTTTATTTTGGGTAAAATTTATTTAAATAAATTATTCTTAACAAATATAAATCAACTTAATTAATTATATACTATTATCTAGGATCATTCAAAACCCTTTAGTTTTATCTCTTCACAAAAATAAATATTTTTTATATATATTTAAATTTTTCTTTCTTTTATAAAATTAGTTTATGTTAACTACTCCCTCCGTCGATAAACTATTGTATAATTTTCTTATTTGGGACGTCCAACAACTATTGTCCTATTTCTTTTTTTAAATACAAATTTTACATTTTTACCCTTCATTCATCTATTACTTTTAATCTCTACTATACAATTAAGGACAAATTTGTCAATTCATGACAAAAAGACAATCCCCTAAGAAACCGTACAAATATACTTTAGGATATTAAAAATTGGACGGAGGGAGTATAATTAAATAAACAGTATTTTTTAAAAACATTTATTGTAATATTATATAAAATTTTATTCTTTATAAATTAATTTTTAATTCACTATTATTAACTAATTAAATATCAATATCATGGTATGCGAAAGGAAGTAATTTATATATATTAGTATATATTAAAATAGTTTTAAAAATAATGTTCGACTAGAACTCAAACGATACATATAAAAACAAGCAGTTTATTTATATATATATATATTTATTTATTTATTTGTACTAAAATCAATAATAACATAGACCAGCTGTAGTAAAATTTTAAATGAGCACAAACTATGTATGTATATATATATATATATAAGAATTGAAGGCATTCCAAGAATTTAGGAACTCTTTCGGACAATTATCCATAGAGTATACCAATTTTCATACAAACCTCATATTGATTCAAAGGTGGACAACAAATCAAATGTCCCTCCAATTTCCATTTTTCCTCCCAACACCACCTTCTCCCGCCGCCGCCGCCGCCGCCTCTCCGCCATGCCGGGACCGTCACCCAACGGCCCCCTCACCCGCCAAGATTCCTTCGACGCTGAGTCCCAAACCCCCGCGTCCCGTTTAGCCACGTCGTGCTTCGCGTGGTTCCTCCTCCTCCTCGGCTTCCTCCTCCTCGTCTTCTTCCTCGTCGCCGGAATTTACTACGCCTTCCTCCAGGCAAATCTTCCAGCGGCGCGCCTCCACCGTCTCGACATAAATAAGCTCAACATCACGTCTCGACCCGAACAAGGCACTCTGCTGACGATCGACTTCGTCGTCTTCCTCAACGTCACGAACAGGAGCGGGAAGCTAGAGCTCGACTATGGCCCGATGACGGCGACCCTCGAAAGCCAAGGCGTCGCGTTCCCGGAAGTTAAGCTCGAGAGCATGCGGCAACGCGCCAACGGGAACTCGGATTTGAAGATTAGGTTTACGGAGGATAATAGGGCGGTCGAGGAGGCGTTGGCGACGCAGATGGAGGAGAGCGCGACGGCGCATATGATGGTCATGAATATGGTCATCAAGGGACGGATCGATTTCTACTTAGACGGGAAGCGGATACAAGGCTTCCCGTTCAAGATCGATTGTAGCGATATCGATCAGTACCTCGTCGACACTGGCAAGGCGCCCGGGTGTAATGTTAAAATATCGCTTTTGTCGTAGCTCTGTAAGGCTCTGTTTACGTAGATATTTTTGTAACTTTTGGTATAATTTATCAATAGTATATTTTTTTGAAAAAAAAAAATAAAAAAAATTCATAGTAATGTTTTTATTTTTGTTATTTTTAAAAAAAATACGTTTTAGGTTTCAAAACTCCTCAAATTTCCAAAATTTCTATCTAAAATGAGCTAAGTTGAGTTGGAATTTTTTCTCTAAACTATGATCGATGTTTTTCAATTTTGAAGGAAATCATGTATATATTTTATACATGCATGAGGTATCAATTTGTGTGTGTGTGTGTTATTTATGCATAAAATATGAGTTAAAAAAAATAAGAAGAATAAATATCGAACATATGTTTACACATAATCAAAGCCCATTTATAAAATTTAGCTAAGTTTGGGCTTTAACAAGTGGGCCCAAATATAAAATTTAGCTACGTTTGGGCTTTAAGAAGTGGGCCCAAATCTACCCATTTTCATATAGGCTTGGTCTTTTTTTCTTTTTTTTTTTTTTTTCTCATGAAATCTTCAATGAATCCAACAATTTGAAGAAATGAAAAAATCTTTACTAATAAAGCTTACATAAAATTATTATTATTAGATTGTGTTTTTTAGCTGTCCGAAGTTTGATTGATATGCCTCACACAAAAACACAATCAATGAAAGAGTAGGATAGAAGAAGGGGTGGTTCTTATGGGACAGACAACACTTGTTTCTTTCATCACATTGTTCTTGTTTTCGTCACCAAGACTTATATATTGTATACACATATATATATATATATATTCTAAGCATATCCCATAATCTAGTCTAGTTTTTGGAGAATGAATAATGTAATGTTACCCCATCACCCATACATCAAATTATAAAAGTCTACATATATACAGCGGTTTGCATCAGTGTATAGTATAGAGAGAGAAAAGGGAGAGAGAGAGAGAGAGAGCAAGAATGGCAAGAAAATGGATGGTTTTGAGTGTTTTCATGATACTCTTTTGCACATCCAAAGCTGAGAGTAAGTAAATTCTTCCCTCATCTTATTTTTCATTTTTTACCACTTCTATAGAATCATCAGTTTCGTCGAATCAAATCGAACCGAATATATCGTGCAGATAAAACATACCCAACAGCCAACAACAACTTGAGTCCAATTCAAGCCTGGAGAAGTGCTGAATACTGCCTTCAAAATGTATCTATCACCAATTTCTTACATCCCTTAGATTTCTAATGAAACAAACAAGATAAAATCGATACGATGAATTGTTCGTTTTCAGACATCCACCAAGTGCTGGGACAAGTACACGCTGACCGACTCGGGGTGGCTTAACGTGACCCACGAGGACGGCCACTGGTTCTGCACGGAGGGCTGCGCCGAGCACACAGGGTGGGTGCTCGACTGCCTTTTCCATGTCAAGAAAGACTACTGGTTTGCTAACAAAGCTACTCTCCGAGACATCACCGATACCATCAATCTCGGCTGCAATTCTACACAAGGTATGCTCTTCACATTATACTCTCACAAATTATCACATCAAAATATTATTTAGATAAAGATTTCAAACCTCCAAACTCAATCCGAACTGAAAAGAAACACATATAAATCATCTTCTTGATTATGTATATGATTTGCAGGTTTCAGTGGAGTGAGCATACATGTTTCTCAAGGGTAGAAAAGAAGATTATAAATTAGATTTTTTAAATTAGGTTGGATAATTAATTATGTGTCAATAATGAATGTCCTAATGAAAGTGTGTGTGTAATGTAATAATCAAGAATTGAGGGGTGTGTCCTAAAATAAAAATATGTGGCTGGACAAATGCCACTTCTCTACTGCTAATACTTCTCATAAAAGGTATTGATAGCCAAACATGATAAGATTCTAATATTGACACATAATAAGATTGTTCGATTATGATTCAATCGATTCACTCTATTCTACAATAAGAGCGGCATTGCAATGAAGATTTACGAGATGATAAACGGAGATGATCCAAACTCAATAAGGTTCAAAGTTACACGGGATGCATGACAAGATTCCATCATCGAGCACGATTAAACTAAATAAAATACATTTCTAAGAATAACACTATTAAACTAACTAGTCATTTGATCTTTGCAAGCCACGTCAACAAAGCTCAAGAAGTATTTAACAAAACTACTCGGCAAATAAAATGTGTCAGCATATATATTATAGAAGCGAACACTGATCAAAAGTCAAGACTTCAATAATTACCACAAAAACACACAAATTCTTCATTCCAGACAAACTTCTAAGTTCATATTCACATACCAAAAGCATAAGCACAATTCCAACTTCAATCCAAGGTTTGCAGGCTACACAAAAGTACCACACCAAAATACTTTATTTATTATCCAACCATAGATGAAAAACATAAGACTGGTTTAAGTTTTTCCCAGGCATTGACAAGAGTATCATCCCATGGCATACTTCTGTGTCCAGCTACGTGCAGTGGACTCGTACCTGGGCCTATCAGTCTTGTACATGTGAGCAATTTCTGGCACGAGAGGATCATCTGGATTAGGATCTGTCAGTAGCGAGCAGATTGACAAAAGAACCTGACATAAGAACACCCCAAACAAAACACATAGAAACATTAATCACAATTTCATTTGGATGGAAGAGAACAGAAAGAAAAAAAAAATTGAAATGAGAGAAATGGGCTTAGCCACGACAGAACGGATCAACCAGGTGGGATCAATTCATATTGGCAGCTCTACATATATTATTGGAATAGTTTTATCCTATTTTAAAAAAATTTTACATGCATAACATAGTTTTTCATAATACCCAAAGTCAAATCACCAATTTTTAAATCCTTATGGACAATAAAATCCAATATTAGAGCTGTTAAGATAACTAGACACGGAGAGCTAACCTACTATATGGCGGATTTTGGCAGGGCAGGCCAACCTGAAGGACTCAATTCATTTTGATAACTATAAGTACAGTTAACAATCTTAGATCTGTCTGAGTACAGTTAATACAAAGAACAGCTTTCTACAAGTTGTCTGACAAAAATACAACATATGCAACTCCAAAATTTATTTTGAGATAATATAGACCACATTCAACACATTTTGCTACCATTTAAAATATAATAATATCACATTTTAGTGTACCATGTACCATCATCTTTCAAATACTCACAATAGCATCATGATTTGGCTCAATGGTTATGTTGCTTAGATTATTACACGACAAGTTTTCCAGAAAATCCTTCCACAGTTTAAATGGATGCAATAAGGGAAGAACTTCAAAAACCTTGGAAATAGTCAATGCTGGACTCCACTGTTCTTTCAGAATATCAAGGCAAATGCTTCCATTGCTATTGATGTTTGGGTGAAACAGCTTTGTCTTAAAAGCAACCTGTTCAAAGGATATACTAACAATTATATTCACACTAAAACGACAAAAAAATAAGAGATATAAAAACACCTAGTCTTTCAAAATATTAGGATATAAACATAAACTCCACAAAACAATCATTAAATTCATATTTTGTACAGACCTATACAAGAATCCCTTGTGATACAACCCAAAAATAAATAATTAAGCAAATGCAAATGTACAGCTATTGTCAACACGAAAAGAAAACTTCCGTACAAATACTTCCTGCAATCAACGAAAGATGTTAAAATTTGTAATAAGAGCCAACAGTTGCTATCTATTTTAAAAGCCTTAGGAAAGCTACACTGAGGGTTTCATAATAATTATTACAGACTAAAATAGCCATGCTGCCATGTTGGAGAGAGTATAAATATAGGGATATGTATCATGTAACACGAGCATCTACCAATTCTCAAGTGGAAAGAGAACTATTAAAACAAAGTAATACCATACCTTTGGAGGCTTAAAAGGATAATCAGGAGGGAAATGAATTGAAACCAGAAAAACACCACCAGCATAAGGGCTGTCCGAAGGCCCCATGATCGTGGCTTGCCAATGAAACATATCTTCACCAACAGGACCTATACTTTGTAGGATAGTTAATGTTAATTTAAGCAGCAGGAAGTTGGTAGGCAGGAATCACATTGGAAATGTATGTGCACATCAAGGATATCATACATAATAATTATGATAATAATGATAATGATTATAATTCTTAATATTGCTATAAGAAATATGTATGTGTGTTGGCGGACGCATGTGTGTGCATATATACACCTTTTAACACAATCATTACGTGCCAATAGGTAATGGGTGATGGTCAAATTTAAGAAAATGAGAATCTGATTCCAAAGAAACAGAAAAGATCACTAAGATGTTTATGATCAGTTGTACGCCCTCAAAACTCCAAGATTTACTAATTTTGCCAATTTTGTAAGAGCACAACAAATGTCATTCATTCAAATGTTTGGCCGTGCAACTTCGACAATCAATGACTTACCTAGCAAATTCAAATCAGCAATTCAGCAGATGATTTGGTAGCTTTATACTAAATCAATATAAAATGTATGCAAATTTTGTTTCAAGTATATGAATTTAATAATACCATTTTTAATTCGATCCAACAATTCAATAATGTTTAGTGAATTCATTGCTGATATACTGTTTACGATAGGTTTGCGGAGATTTGCACATCCATTGATGCCAAATTGATGATTTGGCGTTTTAACAAATCTTCTCATACCAAGGTTTATTCATACACATTAAGAAAGAACGAAATTACCTATTTGAATCCAGTTGATTTATAAAATTCAAATTAACAAGTTCATCTTATTGAATTTTTAAATATAAATATCATGCTCATCGTATTAAAGGTAGCTTTAGACAATTCGCACAGAAACAACTGAATCCCAACCAACTCCCAAATCGATATAAGCAACAAATGATACAATATATAGCTCTCTCAACCACTAAACGACAACAAACAATCAATTTATGAACCACAAAGCAGGCAACTGCAGCTCAATTAGGTAGCCTATCGTTCTGAAACAAACCGAAAACCCTAATAAATCAGTCAAAAACACGACGAGAATTTCGGGTACACCGCGAGTATACCTGCACTGCAAGAAGTCGGAGGATCCTTCTGCAAATCCTTGAGTTCCTTCAAAATCCTCTTCGACGCCATGAAACCCTCTTTTCACCGTCCCGACGAAAACCCTAAAACCTAACAAAAGTTACCGCAATTATCGAAATCAACAAACATACATACATGCATACCCAAATTAAAAAAGCAAAACACGAACGAATCTTCACATGAATCAAAACCCAGACAAATTAGCAAAAACAATTACCTTCTGGTAATTGGGAAAACGCGGAAGCAGAACCAATAACGAGGAATGGGAAGAGGCCTGGATTCGGAAGCAAGCGCAGCTGACATGGATATGATATAATAGGTGGGATTGGGGATTGAATTCAATATGGAATCATTTTGGTTTGGAGAGAGGGGTCCAGTCCAGTGAGAATATAATTCTTTACGGCGATTTAGAAATTCTGCGCACTGATAACAGGGTGGGTTTATTTTAGACCGTCGGGTCGGGTTTCCAATCCGGTTAAACTATTCGATTCGAAATCCGATTTGTTCAAATTTATTCGACCGAAAATAACCTGTTAATCGTTAAATAATTTTTATAAACATGACAACATGTTAGATAACCCAAATTAACACGAAATAGGCTTGTTTATCCATTAATATAAATAAATTAAAATTCCACATATTAAACTATAATCAAATATTTAATTTAAGAAAAAAAGTAACTAAGTCACTACAAATATTTGTACATAAAAATTATTTAAAATAAGATATAAAGATTGTGTCAATTTAAATTAATATTTTAAAAATAATAATAAAAAATTAAAATTATTTTACATATATAATAAATATATTATAAACATATTGTTGTGTGAGGTTCGGATTGAAAAACTCGACTTTAATCTGATATGTTAATCTTCGTGTCGAATTCATATTGACCCGTACATATAATCAGATCGAAACTTTTGACGCATACTCAATTATTTCGTATTGGATCAACGTTTCATGTTAGTTTTTGTCAATTGAGCTTCTTTACACCAAAATTTTAAATTTTTACTATTTGAACTATGTATTTTTTTAAAAAAAAAAAATTCCTCACCAAAATATGTATTAATACATTATTTTAATATCAAATACAAATCAAAATTTTTCCAAATTAAAATATTTCCAAGACTTATAAAAAAAAAAAAAAAAAAAAAAAAAAAAAAAAAGAAACACCCCTTGATTTCACTGTCACAGTAAACAATTTTTCGCATGCCCTACCCGTTTTTAGTCGAGCCGTGCCCATGCCCAAATACATTTATTATTTTTTACAATCATTTTGAACGTATACATTTTTAAATATTATTATAAAAAATATAATAACGATGATAATAATAATCAATTAGATGAGATATTTTGGATGTAAAATTACACAAAACTTGTGTTTGATTTGCATTTCAATAAAAATTATATACTCCGTTTTTTAAATATCATATTAAAACATTATTTCAATTAAAATTTAAATAAAAAAACTCCAATTTAAAACCTAAATAATGACATTTTAAATTTGCTAAGATGTATTTGGATGCGAAGTTGATACTGTCTCGTACCATTATTCAATGTATATATATATATTTCATTGCATATATCTATTTATATCATTTTAAAATATATTTTAGAATTTAATTATTTTAAAATCATATTCAAACAAACAATTTAAAGCAGAAATAATAATTAAATAATTAAGGAAGAAGTCAAATTTTGGTTACGTAGAGAAGTGGGAGGTGGCAATCAAGAGAAACATGTGCCGATGATTCATCAATATTATTTCAATTCCATATATATATATATATATATCTAATAAATTAAAGTCCAATGGATGATGCACGTTACATATATTTTTTAAATTATATTTGCATCATTTTATTGAATAATAATTATTATTATTATTATTTATAGCTGGATTAGTATGTAACTGAATTTATGAATGCAATGTCATAAATTCAAAAGCTCGGCAATTTATTTTAAATAGGACAATTTGATCAAGTTAAGGGTGTGTTTGTTTGGAGGTTTGGATTTTGAATTGGGATTTGAATAGTAGAAATTTTGAATTTGAATAGTTGTATGATGTGATATAAATAGGTGTTGATGTGATGTTTTGAATGTCAAATTGATTTTTAGTATAATATAAAAAATAAAAAATAGGTGTTTGATTTGATGTTTTTGGGGAAAAAAATTGGATAAATAGTGTAAATCCAATCCAATCCCCAAAACAAACACACCCTAAAGTGCACTGAATTTGAAGTAATTCGCATATATATATATATAATTGTGCTACATTGAATTATATACTATTATGTTATGTTATACTTCATCTGTTGTTCAAATTTATATTCACTTTTCTTTTTGGTTCTCATTAAAAAATATTCTCATTTTCTTTCTAAGTATCAATGACTAAAATAACCTTATTAGTATGCGTGATATAAAAGTAATGACATTTGTGTAATATATTATAAGTTGTAAGGGTATTTGTAATGCTAGGTAGATAGTACAATTACTAAAAAAAATAAAATTAATACTTTGTTATGGGAGGGACTAAAATGGAAAAATAGATATTTTGTTATGGGACGGAGGGAGTATATTTTTGTACTTTTTTTTTTACTATTAAAAAAAATAACTATTATTACCCACTTTTATTAAAACTCGTGACCGGTGAAATGAGCATACATTTGCATAATGAACATAGTATATTGTATGAATATATGTTATGTGAGTTATTATATTGTATTATATCGTTGCTTATTGTATTAAAATCAAAATATATTGTGTCACATGTAATGACATAATATCCTATTAAATACTTCCTACGTCCCAAAAGAGTTGTCTTATTTTTCCATTTCCGTCCGTTCCAAAATAATTGTCTTGTTTCCTTATTTAGTAACCGTGGTCCCCACTTTATAACAAAATTATTCATGTTTTTTCAAACTACCCTTAATTATTACTCTAACATACTTTTAAAAATTCTTCAAAGACATTTTAGTCTTTTACTTTCTACTTCTTATCCACTTTCAATTGAATACTATTATTCCTTAATTTTTCGTGCCAACTTCCAACAAAACATCTATTCTGTGACGGAGGGAGCATTTGTTATATATTGGCAAGCCTAAGATTTAAAAAGAATTGTAGTATTTATAATTTTAAATATTTTTATATTTATATATGAAGAATTATAAATATTGATATTTTTATGTGTTTTAATTGTTAAGTGTGAACATATATATTTAATACGAGATGGTTGTATATCATTGATATTTTCTAATGTATATATATGTGTTATAAATTTCTGTAAAATGTATTTTATTTTCTAAGTAGTTTAATATTTAAATATATATATATATATTATTTGCAAGTCCCTATCAATATTACATCTAATTTATTGTAAACAATTAAAGTGATTAAATATTTGTCTGGCTTTAGACACCGTATTGAAAGTGTCGACATAATATTTAGTTGTTAATTAGGATTATAAATTAAACAGGGAGAAAGTACTAAACACCTCTCATATATTTTTTACAAAAAAATATACATTTCGTCCCAACTGAATGCATATCTTTATTACTCCCTCCGTCCAATACCATGTCCACGTTGCCGTTTTTGCCCGTCCCACGTACTATGTCACTTTCTATTTTTGAAAAATGATTACACACTTTAATCTAATTTTAAATTTTTAATTTTTTTTTTTTAATTTTAATTAAACTAATTAGTTATTTTAATCTTAATTTATAATTATTTATATTATAGGATAATTATTTTTACTAATACATTCTTAATTATCTACTAATTACATCCCTCATAAAATACCGTGTCTACAGTGTAGTAGACACAGTATCTGGAGCGGAGGGAGTATTTTTTATTTTTTGAGTTAATGTATTTATTTGTTTTTTTTAATACATTAAAAATATTTTATCCGATTGCTGAAAGTGTTTAAGATAATTTTAATATTTTTATCTATAAAATAAATATTTTTTTCTTTTTATAGAAGATAAGGGTAGTTTGACATTTTATATTGATTATTTCTACAATAATATAATAAAAAGTATTTTGAGTGACTGACAAAAAATAATACTCCCTCCGTCCATTTAGGTAATTATTTTTTTGGTATTAATTGACGAATTTATCCTTTATGATAAGGTAGAGATTAAAAAGTAATAAATAAATGAAAAGTAAAAAAAGTAAAATTTGTGTTTAAAAAATGAAATAAAACATAATTATTGAACGTCTCAAATAAAAAAGTAGGACATTAGTTTGTGGGAATAATAATAATAATAATAATAATAAATTACATTGGATTGTGTCGAATGGGATATATAATTTCTTTTAAAATACTTGTAAGTCAGATCTAAATTTATAAAATTGTTCTTATGCTGCATTATTGCTTTTTTAAAAAAGTTCAAATTTCATTAGAATGTGCAAATATAGATCTAATCAATGGTTACTTTTATAATATTCCCTTCGTCCCAGATACCGTGTCTGCTACACTGTAAACACTGTATTTTAGAAGGGGTATAATTAGTAGATAATTAAAAATATATTAGAAAAAATAATTATCCTATAATATAAATAATTATAAATTAAAATTAAGATAACTAATTAGTTTAATTAAAATTAAAAAATTTAAAATGAGATTAAAGTGTGTAATTACTTTCCAAAAAAGGAAAATAACATGGTACGCGGGACGAAGAAAGTAATAATTAATATCTAAAAATTAACACGCAAAAAGTAAATATATACTTGAGTACTAATATTTAAAATTCTATGCGGAAAAAAACAAATGCCACCTTTCAAATTACACATTCTTAAAAATAAAAATACGAAGGGCGAAAAGACAAAAATGCCCATGGACGTGCAAAATTGTAGCCCGTTGTTCCCAACAAACAACATGTGAACGCATTGACTGACTACGGATATGCTGCGATGTCTCATTTTCATTCGCCCATCAATTTTGATATTTCAACCTTTTAATATATATATTATGAAAAAAAAGTTATTATTATTATTTTTATTTTTTATAAATAATTGCGATAATAAGTAAATAATAATAAAGAAATTTTGATCAGACTTCAAACTATCAAGACATTTTGGGTTTGTTTGTGTTCTATATTAAAATATACTAGTACTTATTATTTTATATTACTACAAAATATTATAATTCCATATTAAATTTTATTTTTTTTTTAAAAAAAAATTCTTATTAAAGGAACATATTTTCCAAATTCTTCAAAAGTTTAAATTCATAATCATATGATACAAATTCATTCTACCATATGGTTATCTTTTACGGTACAACATATTTTTAAAATTAACAATGAGTTTGTTTGTTTGTTTTAGTTTCATATTAAGATTATTATTATCCAGTTCAAATATATTTTAATAAAATATTTTATTATTATTTAAAATCGTACTAAGATATTATTAAAATAAATTAATTTGAATACAAAACAAAACAAAATAAATACAATAATTTATAATAATGAGAATGGGCGTTTTAATCATGTTCTTGCCTTTCTTGTCTTATTATTCTTTAGAAAATAAATATACTTCCTCCCTCCAACATAATTAGTCTATTCTTTTTTTAAAAATATAATTATACACTTTAATTTTATTTTAACTTTAAAATTTTATAATTTTTTTAATCTTAATTAAACTATTTAATTATTTTAATTTTAATCCATAATTATTTTTATTATATCATAATTATTTTTACTAATACACTTTTTTAATTATTTACTAATCACATTTTACGTAAATTCCCGTATCTACGTAGACCCATAATACATGGGGAGGAGAGAGTAGTATTTAATATAATAACAATAATAATGATTAATAAAAATTATCTGATTTGTTGACCCACCTCCCATAGAGTATAAAATGAATAGACCACTTCATTTGGATGTATTTATTATTATTATTATTTATTTCAAATAGAAATATCAGGTTCGGCAAAATAAAAATAATTAAATTAAATATGATTTCAATTATTATTTAATAAATAAATTATTATAATTTTTTTTTAATATTCGAGTTTAATCTTGTATTCTTTATTATTTTTTTGATTTAAAAAACTATTACTGAACATCAAAATTTTATTTATTATTTAATACTATTTTATAAAAAATAATAAATATTATTTCAAAATATCATATTTAATACTCATGTGCACAAAATTTAAAAAATATTAATATTATATAAGTAGTTGGTAAAAAGTATGGATAAAATTTTTTTTTGCCCTTGCGAGTATATTAGTGAAAAGTAATGACAATTGTGTAATAAAGTTGAAAAAGTAGGGATAGTTTTATGGTGATACGATTATTTATGATAATAAGACTATTGTTTTGGGACGAATAAAAATGATAAACAAGACTATTGTATTGAGACGAAGCGAATATTATTAATGCCAAACCCAATATGCAAATTGTATTCAAATTTTTTGAATATGAATTAAAAATAGTAAAAAGGTTCTGTAAAAAATAATTTATTAGTATGTGATGAACTTGTAATTATTTTGTTCAAATTTCCGACCCTCATAGGTAGGGATGATCAAAACATCCGAAATCCAAAAATTCAATTCAAACTAAACCGAAATTTAAAATTTGGTTCGGATTTTTTGGTTTGAATCGGATTGATTTTTAACAAATTCGGATTTTTGGATCGGATCGGTATACTTAAAATCCGAACTAATAAATATAATATTTTAATATATTTTTTAATTATATATATTTAATATTTTATTAAAAAATATTATATTTTAATATAAAAAACTCAAATTTATTAATTATATTTTAATATATTTAATTTTTATATATTATATATATTTAATATTATAAAATAATAATAAAATATAAAAGAATTTAAAAATTTTAAAAAATAATAATAAAAATATTTAGAATTTCAAATTTTTCGGTTTGATTCAAATTTTTTAATTCGGATTACGAATTTTCGAATTTCGAATTTCGGTTCGTTTCGGATTGGTATTTTCAACAATTTCGAATTTTCAAATCGGTTCGAATTTAGCAAAATCCGAATCAAAAATCCAAATGCTAACCCATAATTATAGGTCGTGTAAAATAAATAAATAAATAAAGACAGCCTTGTGCCTCTTCCATATTCACATTATAAACAACCCCACCGCAGCAGGCAGTAGTACCACATCACTCCTCCATAAATAAATACACACATACATACACATATAATTTTGCTGTATGTATCTACAAGATATACATACATATACCCATCTCCTCCTCCTCTTCTCCACCACCACCACTTCCACCTCCTCTCTCTCTCTCTCCATAGCCCAGTAAGTTTCTCTCTTTCTCTCTCTACGATAGCTTGCCTCGGTTCTTTTTTATTTTTCTTTTTTGGTTGATAATTGATATTATGATTTATGGGGCCATAGTATTTGTTGAGGCCCAGATCTTTGTTGATATTTTTACACAGACTCTGTTCTTCTTACTGTTTCATCTTCATCCATCTCTAATTTCTGCATTTCTTTCACACACACACACATATATATATTTATATTTTTTTGGTCAATTAATAGTTAACAATGTTCTCATCTTTCTGGCTTCATTTCTCACTGCATTTGCGAGTAGCTATTTCACAGGCATTTCTGGGTTTGCTTTTGGGGAAACCACATTTCTTGTTGCGATGTTATCAATTTTTATTTATTTATTAAATACCAGACTTATTTTCGCATAGTCTCTGAGCTCCCGGTGTGGCTGGTTCTCATTTCAATTAAAATGATTTTAAATAAAAATATATTATTTTCTAACAATAATTCATATTTATTGTATTTAAGTTATATAGATTATAAGTATATTTTTAAGTTGTTGACAGTTGTGTTGTGTTGGTGTGAGAAACGTGGTAGCTCAACTCTTCAACCATTGATGTATTAAATTTCCAAATTATTTTAATGCTCTAGACTTAGAGCATTAGGCAACATTATCTCTGCATCATTAAGTCGTGCATTATTATTGCTCTTATTTATTGAGACTTATTAATTTTTTTGTATTTTTTAAAATAAAATTAATTACTATGTCATGACTAAGTTGTTTAGCCTATCGGCTATTTATAAACCATAATTCTCCAACAAAATAAACTAAACTCGATTTTTTTTTCTTTTCTTTTTATTCTATGGTGTGAGAATTGTAGTTGTTATTGTTAATTTTGAAGTGCGTAAATTTTAAGTCATTTTTAATCAAATCTAATAGCCTGCAAATGAATAAACTCTCGAAACTCTGGACTTATATAACATACATTGGAAGTTTGAACTAATAACTTTACTTTTCATTCGAGTACTATGTTTTATCTCACATTTTCCTTGGGTAACTATACTATTGTATAATTCATTGTAAGTCCCTAATTATAGGTGATTGAAGGCTTCGACATTGACGTCTTTTACTTCATCGAAGGTTTCTCGATCCATTCCATTGTGTTTGACACTATGGCATCCAGTCTTGTAAGTGTGGAAACTCACCTCTACTTCTACTATAGTTTTTCTATAATTTTCTCATATGTAAATCTATAGTCGCTACTCTTCTAGTGTACACTAAGTAAATCAGCTGAAAGATGAGATACCTTATTGTCTTGTACGACCGAGTCTTAAGCAATTTTTTACTAAAGTCTTGTAGTCTCCTATCTTAAAACATCATATTTGACGCTTATTTTTTCAGGGCAAATCGGGTAAAATGAAAAGGATGGAGTCGAAGAAGTCGCACTCGTGGTGGTGGGATAGCCACATTACTCCGAAGAACAACAAGTGGCTTCAAGAGAATCTCGAAGGCAAGTTGTTTCTCTCATCTCGACTCATAATACAAACTTAGAGGTTGAATCTCGAACATACTAGAGAATTTCTCGGATAATAACGTTGGCTCATTTTCGTACAGAAATGGACGATCTCGTCAAAAGGATGTTAAAACTGATCGAAGAAGATGCTGATTCCTTTGCCAAGAAGGCGGAACTGTACTTCAAGAAGAGACCAGAGTTGGTCACTCTCGTCGAGGAGTTCTATCGGATGTATCGAGCATTGGCCGAGCGGTACGATCTCGTGAGCGGCGAGTTGCGGAAAACCATTCCCGCAGATCTTCAGTCCCAAAGCTCGGGGGTATCGGACGCGGCATCTGAGCCACTTCCTACTACCCAATCTCCCGAGCAAAGGCCACGTCGAAGTAAATCAGGGCCTCGAGCTGCCGGGTTTGATGTTTTCCTTGGAAATGGCTCCGAGGCGAACAACAAAGAAGAAGAAGAAGAAGAAGACAATGGATCGGTTATAGACTCGGATTCAGACTCGGAATCGGACGATTCGTCGACTAACGACAGCTCGAAGAGCGACGGGAATGAAAACGAGCTTCAAAGGAGGGTCGAGCAACTCGAGGCCGAACTGGAGGAATGGAAACAGAAGGCTAAGATTAACCAGGATGAGACATGCGAAAGCTGTAAGGAGTACAAAGGCGAAAACATCGAGCTTTCAAACAAGATAGCATCGTACGAGGAGGAACTAGGAGTTGCGAAAGGGAAAATCCAACGATCCGAGGAAGAAATTGCTCATCTATCAGCCGAGCTTCAAAAGTATGCAATGTCCGAAGTATTTGTCACAAGGGCCGAATATGCAGATTCGACGCAGAAAAGCCGAGCTGTCGAGGAAGAGCTTAGTGCCACAAAGGAGAAACTTCTTGCATCGGAAACAAAAGTCGAAAGCTTAAGACAGGAACTTACGAACATGGAGGAAAACCTTAAATCTGCCGAGGCTGAGGTTTCCGTCTGGAAAGACAAGCTCGAAAGAGAGATCGGAGAGGTTTCAAAGCTACACGACCGGGTAGAGAGCTACAAAACAAACCTAGCAGACCGGGATCAAGAAATAAGTATGTTAAGAGAGGCAATGTCGAACGCTAACAAAAGCTTGTCTGAAGAAAACGAGCAACTTAAGGAAGAAATCGCTAGAATGACGAAAGAACGGACTTACCTGGAGGATAATCTAAAGGAGTTTGATATACGATGTCAATCCGCTGTGGCTGCAAAAGTCGAGACAGAGGTCACGAGCAGAGATAAAATCGAGCAGTTAAAAACCGAAGTAAAGGATAGAGATAACCGCATAGAAGAAGTAAAGCAAATGCTCGATGAATTGACAGCTGCAAAAGGCGAACTAAACGTGACAATTACAGTGCTTAGTGCAGAGATCAAACAAAAGGACGATAACATTACCCAAATGGGCAGCCATTTGCATCAGCTGCATATGCAGCATGTCGAGCTAATAGCAGCAGCTGAGAAGGCGCGAAAACACGCAGACGAGCTGCAGGGAAAAGTTAAAGAACTCGAAACAGAGGTGAAGATCAAACAAGAAGTAATCAATGAAGTAGCAGAGAGAAAGCGAGAAGCAATAAGGCAGCTTTGCTTCTCGCTAGAGCATTACCGGAGCGGTTATCATGAGCTCCGGCGGGCCGTTGTCGCACACAAGCGCCCGGCTGTAATCGCCGCCTAAAGTAATTTTCTTACCTGTGCTGCAGATCTTATTATATAATACTGTTTTCCGCTATGTAGTAATTTAGCATCCGAACTAGAAAATAAAAGGGCATTTTATTTACATGTGTGGTACTCGAAAACAGGCGCAATATATTTCTACAAAGTAGCTCTAAGTTGGAAAGTTATTGCTATTAAAAGATTACGTTAGTAGCGTAAAGCAAACAGAAAGACATCATATGTACACAAGAATCCCAAAGGATGTAAGCAAAACATGGAGAAGGGAGAAATGTGTATCTGTTTCCTCTGTGTCGATGGAAGTGAATGAAAGGAAAATGCAGTACTCTTTGGGATTGTCATGCCAAAAGATTGTCAACAGAGTCGATCAGTCGTCCCAAGCATCATCGGCTGCGCCCTCTTTTTTGCTTGCTGCAGAAGAAATCATGTGCCTGTACTTGTCTTCCACGGTTATTTCATTGTTTCCGAGCAAAGATAGCTTGGAGAATTCCACTTTTGCTTCTTTCTGAGCTGCCATAGCTTCTCTCTCCTTCCTCCGAGCAGTCTAACAACGAAGAATAGAAAGCTTTATACAACTTTACTCAACTTATTGGTGAGGGTTTTGGGAAGCCGCATGAGATTTTACTGAGGTATGATTACCTTTCCCATTGCATAAGTTACGGCATTACCAGAGCCTACATCTTGAATTGCTTTCTTTATCTGGGCAACAAGGTACTACATTCCAACGAGTGATATTCAAAAAGAGAGAAGAATAAAAGAAGAGACAATGAAAGTATTGACCGTAGATTTGGAAGTTAAAACTGGATGAATAAAAGAATACCACATCCCGATCTGTATAGAAAGATGTTGCTTGTCCAGACGATCCTGCACGCCCAGTTCTTCCAATTCTGTGCACGTAATCTTCCATCGTCTAGATTTGACACAATCAAAAAGAATCAAGCAGCATTTGTAATCCATACTAGGCTACAAACTTTCTAGATGTCATATTGAAGGTAAGATTACCAAACAGATCACATTTAACGTGTGAAAATTGCAACAATACTTTCTCCATATGTATGCATTGCATGCAATACCTTTGGAAGGTCTAGGTTGATAACATGAGCAACCCCGGTGACATCTAATCCTCGGGATGCAACATCAGTTGCAACCTGCAAGTCAAGCCAGACATTACAAGTGTGTGAGCAAATCCAATTGTTAAGAAACAGCAAGTTTCCCATGTAGGTAGGAAGCCACGTAGCCAAATAAATCTTCTTACTAGTTCCGTAAGGTGCACGAATTTCAAATAGTCAGTAGATAAGAGAAATATATGGAGATGAACAAGAAGTTTCTGCTTAGAGTGACAGGTCAATCATTTGCTAAAAACTAGAGCATGTAGAATAAGATACATAAAATGAAACGTTAATTGGGTTTCAGAAGTCAAGCTTTTCGGTGTAATGACAAACATTAACACGAGTAAAGTGACTAAAGTTGAAACTATCACATTGCTCAGTTAATAGATTCCATAAAGGTGTGTATGACATACAAGTATTCTGGTAGGACCATGCCTAAAATCGCGGAGCGCAGCCTCTCTTTCACTTTGACTTCGACCACCATGAAGAGCAGCTGCCTTCAGACCTTGATCAGTTAGTGCTTCTGCCACTTCATCACATCTATTCTGAAAAACAGTATCAATGTCAAAAGTCCTGCGTTCTGTTGCAAGAAGATAGAGGATGGTGGATCAGGAGGACCGACTGATATAGATACATTCACAGATTCCAACATTAGAAGGAATCATCCAACTCCATGATCATTATTCATGAGTTTATTTATAAGGACTCAACATTGCGCATTTGAATGGTTTGGTGTCCACATGAAGATTAAAAAAGCAGGAACAAAAAGGACCAGATTGAATTCATCTTAACGATTCTGGCGAGTCAAATAATGCTTTAAATATGAAGTGGACGCACCTTTCGTTCCACAAATACAATGGTCAGTGGAAAAGGTTGGCCACACTTCTCTGACTGAGCAGCTGCCTCAACTAGCATATCAAGAAGCCTGTCAATCTTCATACCACAAACAGTCAAAAACTTGGACTACTAATAGGGGGGGGAGTTGGAACCAGCAGTTCAAAGGTAAGCTGCAAGGTGGTTAATGCATGGGATAAATCACTTTCAGAGCATCATGAAATGAACAGAAAATTATATTCCTACTCCAAACTATCAAATTGACTGAAAAAACATAACTTGTCTTCTGCACATATATCTATAGTTTATAGCTCGTGTCCAGTGACCGATGGGGTATCATATGGACCACGCACATAAGGCATGAATCTGTAGATTGATAGCACATCCTTATTGAATAGACAAACCTAATCAAGGAGTGTCCACTATCTTCCACAGGTTAATATTATTTAAGAAATGATATCTTCATTATCACATAGGATCTAAAAACAGGCTTTTTTACAATCATGAAAAGAAAGAAAAAAAAGAATGAATGAAAGAAATATTAACTATCAATCCAATTTCTACCAAAGAGTCAGCTCTTTGTTAATTTTTTTATTTATTTATTTATTTTTTTTTTATGACGTGGGAACCGGCAGCCACTAACCAAAAAGCCACTAACCCCGACCGAACCTAATACCCTGCAAACTAAGTTCGACAGGCAAGTCACACTAGGCGAACCATATGTGGCAGGTGACCTAAGGCGTCGGGGGTTTGAACCCATGACATCACGGTCACAAGTCCAACCCTTACACCACCAGGCCATCCTTTACGGGACAGCTCTTTGTTAATATTTTGAACAGTGCAGAAATGAATATTAGCATGAAGCAGCTGAAAACTAATTTAACAGGAGCAAGGAAATAACAATGAAACAAGGGTAAATAAAAGGTAAAGACAATTTGCCAAGAAAATAGATGAGAGGATAATTGACAAGATGGCTGCAAGAATTACATTCTCTAACATATAAAGGTAAAGTACACATACCTTCTCATTTTCAGGCACTTTCTCCAAATTTTGAGAGACATTAGCTGTGGGACTGCTAACTTTACCCACCCTTACCCGCACAGGGTTCGTCAAGTATTCCTTAAGTTTGCAAACAACATAACTAGGTTTAGTTTTAACAAAAGAGTTTGAAACTAGACTTTGCACGGCTGTAGAAATTTATAATCCCATATTTGTTAAAAGGCTTAATATCTGAAATAACCCATAATATATTATAATGGCACTGGAATGAAATCTCCTGCAATGAACAGTGAGGTTTAACCTGAGCTAGCTCTTCAATTTCCACAGGCATTGTAGCACTGAAAAGCAGAGTTTGATGCTTTTGAGGAAGATTTCGCATCACCTGAGAAGAGCAGAGAGTGTAAAAATATTTGGTTCTACAAAATTCTTAAATATAATAACAAATACCAGATGAAGAAATACTGTTTAACCAAAACATCAACATGCAATCTCATTATCTCAAACCTTAAATATAACAAGTATGATTTTATTAAAAAATGTTATTGTGTACAGGTTAACATTAAGATTATCAAACACAAGTCATTAAAAGTCACAGGATATGGTGGAATAAAAATATTATGGAAAATAAAATTGGTGGATGGTGGTGATGGTATATCATGTAAGAACAATAGATATTCATGGCACTGTTCAAATTAGACAACTATCTGCTGGGGAAAGATAGGAACACATGGTAAATTGGAAATTACATTTATTAAACATTCCCATTTAATAGGCCACTGTATCATAATTCAGGTCTAAATAGATATCTCCGGAATATACTTTTTATTTTCTTATAAACACTTCCAGTGCATGTATTCTTTCTTCAGTTCTCATTGCCAACTACATTATCAACCTGCTTTTTTGAAAATAATCATTATACATCATTTGCCAATATAATTATTATTTCTTATTGTAAGAAGTATTTGCAGTATCTCCACAAGATGGAACACCAAAATGAGGAATAATAAGTGAAACTTCAATATTAACGTGTAGAAGAGATAGAAAAGGACTGCAGATAAACAGAACCTAAAGTCAAGCAAAGTTCACTGAGACCAAAGCAGCAGACAAACCGGATACCTTGCTGTTTAGAGAGGACAAAAACATTTGAACAGGAGCAAATGAGTGCATAAATTACCTCTCTTATCTGAGGTTCAAATCCCATGTCAAGCATCCTATCAGCCTCATCCAAAACAACAAATGAAATTCTCAGCAGTGACGTGTTTCCTTGTTGTAAATGATCAATAAATCTCCCAGGAGTTGCAACCACAATATGCACCCCAGCTCGCAACTCAGACCTCTGTCATGTCATATAACAGTTGGAAGCAATAAATGTTGTGTATCCCAACTCATAATATGCTCCAAGATGAAACATTGGGAAATATGAAACTACTCAAGTGGGACTAAAACAAAACTGTATAGCCCACTGCACAGTAAGTTACCTGCTCAGAAATGTTGGTACCACCCACAACTATAGCAGTTTTGAACGGGTCCAAAGATCTACTAAAAGCCTTGACCTGAAAATAAATAATGATAGCACCACATTAGAAATTTTGTCTCACATTTAGCACAAAAGAATCAAACCACAAGCATCTAAAAGAATATATATGTTTACCAACAGTCTGTATAACCATGGAAATCCGGGTGAGTGGAAATAATTCTCGTGTCTATCCAATATTATAAATAAAGACAACCATTAACTGCAGACTAGATATACATGTTTTGACAACTACACTGTCTAAGGGAACAGATATTAATGGAATATCTTCTAGCAGCAAGGTTAACAAGAATTTTCTCATTCTGTTGAATCTTCACATCACAAACTAATCATATGAGCAGATAAGAAAAAATTCTTTTGACAGTCCAACTTGATTAAAAAGGTAAATGTGCTGATTAAAAAACAAGCATTCAGAATTATAGTAATAGTTTAGGCATTCTTTCAAATGTCAAGGCAAGTAAAATGAGTTATTCGTATAAGTTTATATAGCTAAAAACTATAAAACCAAGTACAAAGGACTGAATAGCAATCTCACTTCTTTCTCTATCTGTTGAGCAAGCTCTCTTGTTGGAGCTAACACTAGCGCCAAGGGTCCATCTCCACGTTGAATTGGTGGTTGAGAAAGGCAATGCTGAAATTATGGGATGGAAACAACACGTAGATTGTTTTCATAAAAAAAAAAAAAAGTGCATATATACAACTTGGTTAGTAAAAACTTGCAATTATAACTAGACACAGGACCAAGTATAAAAATACCTGTATCATAGGTATGGTAAATGCTGCTGTTTTACCACTACCAGTTTCTGCACATCCCAAAAGATCCCTTCCGCTAAGAGCAACAGGCATGGCCTGGGCCTGGATAGATGTTGGAGTGGTATAATCATGGAAAGCAATGTTTTCCATGATTCTCTGGTCCAAATTCTGCATATAAAGAAAGAAGAAACAATATGTATAATAACTGCAAAGAACTACTTTATTACAAAGAAGAATGAAGAATCTAATTGGCAATATCTGTGGATTCTTGCCATGTCAGCAAATGCTTCGATGGGAGCAGGCGCAGGAGGAGAATCTGGAGTAACAGTAACATCAACATTCAGCCGCAAACGAACCTCTTGAACCTGAAAAGCAAACAGTAACTGATTTTTACTTTTCACTTTTTTTTTAAAGCCAAATTATGAATCATTATGCAACTCTATTGCCGTTACGCCAAAAGAACACCGCCAAGCCAATGATGGTAACAACCTAATGAAGAAAATTGCCACACTTTTAACAATAAATTACAAAAATGTATACAATCTTATCCAGAAGTAATAAAAACACCTAAAATTAACTGCAGAAAATCAGCTGAATCCTCAATCACAACTAACAATATCAGGTGAAATGAAAAAAGTAATTCAATTAACACCTTTCGAGTTCCATAACTCAAACAAAGCAGTTCCTCACTCAGAAATTGCAAAACTACACAAGCAGGCAACAAGAAAGAGCTAAAAATCTCACCTGTTCCGGTTTGAACCTGAGAACGCGATCGGACGGTTTCCAATCGGGGAAAACGGGGTCGGGGACTGCAACCGGTCGATTGAAGGCGTAATTCCCGGAGCTCCGGCTAACCGTATTCCCGTAGCCAATAGAGGAACAGGTGCTGCTATTCTTAGCATAGGCGGGTTTAGCATGCGAGCTATTATTGAGGTGTCTCGAGTCGAGGTGATCAGAGACGCCATTGGAGACAACTGCAGCGGCGGCGGAGGAAGAATTTCTGAGGTGTGGAGGAACATACGACATGGTTTTGATGGTTGGCAGTGGACAGGAGGATGACTGAACGTGGAGATCCCCGAGTGCTCACAGTGAGCGAGTGACTCAGTGCAGTCAGTGCGGGCGAGCAAGACGGGTTGCCTCAGGGTTATATATTGGGCCGCTTCGAGGCCCGCTCTGTGTTCAAATTGGGCCACTATAAGCCTGAATTTCATATTGGGCCTGGCCCGTTTTAATATTTATTTCAATATCTAAATAATAATAAAATATATAATTATTAAAATGTATGCTCGCATATTTAGATCTGGGTGTAATACTTGTTAGTTATTACTTTTACTCTCTTATTTCTTATATTTCTCTCTCCCCATGTCATATTTATCCAACTTTCATATTACCCTGTTTATGACTAATTATCTCTATTATAAAATACTATTTGCAATATTTTATTTATTTTTATATATTTTTATTATGTAGTAATAATATATATAAATAAACTTATTTATTATTGTCTGATAACAATTTTATCTAATATTTTTTGGCTAAAAAATATGTATATTTCTATTTTTTAATGTGCAAGTATACCTTATTTTTTTCCATAGATACACTTACTATATATTACATCACTTCAAAAATAAATATTTATTTTCTATGTAAACAAATGATATTATATTTTAATTTTTAAATATTAATTAATATAAATGTTCATAATTTGAAGCATATGATTTATTATTTTAAAATTGAATATAAAAACTATAGAACAAAAAAAAAAAAATTAAATATACTCCATAGATAATGTGTGGTAATTGTTTAATGAATTTTAATATATTTATAGATAATTTTCGTTGAATTTAAATTTTTAAATTTCAAATTTTCTTAAATAATATTTAATTATTTTTTATTATTTTTGTTAAAAATAACCGGTTCTATAATAAAATTATATAATTATATTTTTTATTTAAAATAATTAATAATGTTATATTAAAAACTCAAACAAACTAAGGCACGGCAAGGGAGGCATCTCCACACAAAATATCTCTTCCTTCCTGTAAGCACCACATCAACATAAATTGTGTATTTGTATTTATTTATTTTTATATTTTTGTTATTATAAAATTTTATTTTTTATACAATGATATATATTGAGATATTTTTAAAAATTTAAAATTTAAATATAAATAATTTTGATATAAATTTATTTATTTTTTTTATTGACGTGGATGAAAGAGAATATACTGTGAAAGAAAAAATAATGTAAGTTAAAATGAAGAGATATTTTGATTGAAATGTCAAAATGCACACTATATTAAAAATTGTGTGGAAATGTAAATATATTAATTTATTATTTAACGACGGAAATAGTATATATTATTTTATTTTGAAAATAATGAATTGGTTCGGTAATATTCTCTTTATCCTATTTTTATTTTTCAATGTCTCGTACATTTTATCACCTCTAATTTTGGAAAATAATTATATATTTTAATATTATTTTAGAAAATTCAACTTGTATATATATATATTCAATTTTAATTAGATTAATTAATTATTTAAATTTTAATATAAAATTATTTTCATTAAAACTATTTTATCAATTATTAATATTTAAGTTACTATTAAATTTATCAAAGTTTTAGGCAAAAATAATATTTTTATACAATAATTCATTATAATAAACATTAAAATATTTTATTATATAATTGCATAATTCATTATTTTAATAATGCATATATTATAAGTACTATTGTACAAAGTAAACGTTACTTTTAAATATCTAATTTATAATTTAACATCCAACTCAAACTTGCTAATTTTATAAACAAGCTCTCGACTTGTGTTTATATTTTTGCGATCTATAAAAAAAGTAATAAGAATAATAATAATAATAATAATATTTTTTTTATATTATTATATCTCATTCAGCAATAGAGACAATAATATGGACCCTAGAATGGGCCACAGCGGAACTAATCAACAATCCCGAGACTCAATCGAAGCTTCGGGCCGAGATAGACACCATGCTCGGCCCAAATAAGCAAGTGAGCGAGCCCGATACCTACAAGTTGCCGTACCTTCAAGCCGTGATCAAAGAAACTCTTCGTCTCCACATGGTTGTCCCATGCTTGGTCCCTCACATGAACCTCCACCGGGCCAAGCTCCGGGACTTCGACATCCCGGCCGAGAGTAGAATATTCGTTGATGCATGGTGGCTCGCCAACGACCCAGCCCATTGCCAAAGCCCGATGTATTCAGGCCCGAAAGATTCCTCGAAGAAGAATCCAATGTCGAGGCCAATGGCAACGACATTAAGTACATACCGTTTGGGGTCGATCGGAGGAGCTGCCCGGGGATCATCCACGCAATGCCAATAATGGCCATCGCTCTCGGCCGATTAGTGCAAAATTTCCTACTTTGCCCTCCGCCAGGACATGAAAAGATCGACATAATGGAGAATAATGGACAGTTTGCCACTCGGGTGTTGAACCATTCTACCATTGTGTTGAAGCCAAGATCATCATCCAACATTTGAAGTCGATATTGTTTATTAAGTGTGTGTTTGTTTGGAGGATTGGATTTTCAATCCACCTGTTTGTCCCATTTTTTTTCCCAAAAACATCAAATCAAACACCTATTCTTCATTTTTTATATTATACTAAAAATTAATTTTACATTCAAAATATCACATCAACACTTATTTATATCACATCATACAACTATTCAAATTCCAACTCAAAATCCAAACCCCGAACAAACACACCCTAAGCTTACTTGTAATTTACGTTGCATTTATATATATATATATATATATACACTAATGCACATGAAACATAAAATGTCAATGCGACCCTAGTAGTGTTGGATCCCAAGTGGATGTGAACGCGTGTGTTAACTTATTTTTATAATACTCTTTATGTTCCAATTGAAAAGTATGAAGTTTTTTTACACACTTCCAAAGTTTCAGTTTTTTATTTTAGTAAAAATAACTATATATTAATACCAAATTTTTTTTTTCTTTCTATCTAAATTACAAATATTAGTATCTTTTAATTTTGTAGAAACTACACTACAATTCTATATTTTTACAAATTTTGCTACAATAGTTAATCTCTAATCACACTTTCTACTATTATAGTGCCAAAAGAATTATATATACATATATTCCATATTATATTATTTTTAAAATTTATAAATTAAAATCCAACACTAATTATATAGATATATATATCGTAAAAATTTATAAAATGGCCTCTAATAATCAATTTGTAGTTCAAAAAAAGGAAAGAAAAAATACACATAGGATGCTCATACTAGCCCCCTCTAATTATGTAGGGTGCCACACCCTGACCTACTTCTACAGGGTGCATTGAGGTCACTTTTTTTTTTTAAATAATGTTTATTATTATTATTATTCTGGATCCTAGTGTTATTTCTTTGCGGACAGCTGTTGGCAGATACTAATATCACAACACAACACAACACATCATATAATTCAATCCAAATAAAAACCCTTAACCAAGAATGCAGCAATGTAAATTCTCCCTCCCTATCCTAAAGTTAAACCAACCAAGATTTCCAAACAAATATTAGCATAAAGTTTTAAAATATAATATTCTTTTCACTGTTTTTATCTGTCCCATATTTCATGAATTTTTTTTTTAAATAATTATCCATCTTAATTTTATTTTAAAATTTTTAATTTAATTTTTTTAATTTTAATTAAACTAATTAATTATCTTAATTTTAATCTATAACTATTTATATTATAAATTAATTATTTTTACTAATATATTTTTAATTATCTACTAATTAGTGTCTACAGTTGCCCAACGCGGAATGGAAACAGTATAATACTTCACAATGTAATCAAAAGAAGGCAATTAATTAATTGAAATTTTCAAGAAACTCCATGTCAAATATAAACTCTTTATACTTGCAATTGTAATGGATCAATTACAAACCATTCATCACTTTTCTTCTTCTTCTTCTTCTTGTTTTTTGGGTAGGGAGTTGATTGATTGACTTTGATATACTCAATCCAATTCATCTTCAGAAATGAAATAAATTCAGAAGCAAGCATCCAGCAAGCAACAACAGCACAGAGCAGCCAAACTGCACCAATCATTCAAACACCACAAGTCAATTTTCAAATAATAATAATAAAGCTGATAGAAATCCCTAGAAATTCGATTCTAAACCCTTAACACAACAAATAAGCGACAGATCTGAATAACCGTCAAATCCGATCGAATCAGAAATCCCCAAATTGCACCAAATCATTAAGAACAGTGGAGAATTCAGTGAAATCGAAATACAATTAATCAAAGGAAGAGAGCGTACCATCCTTGAAGGCAGCCGGTACTGCCGCTGGACTGCTGCTGAGGCGGCGGCTGGGCGTACTGCGGCGGCGCGTATCCCTGCGGCGGATACCCCTGCTGTGGGTATCCGTATCCCTGCGGCGGGTATCCCGGAGGAGGATACGCGTCCTTCGGCTGCCCCTCCGGCGGATATCCTGCGCATAATAATTTACCGCAATCGAATTAGACTTGGAATTAATCTGAACCGATCCAACCAAAATCGATACGAATCTCACTTACCCTGAGGAGGAGGAACGCCGACCGGAGGCTGATTCTGATTGTAATAGCTCATGATTAATCTGAAAAAATCTCGGAATCCTTCGGATTGGGTATATTTGGGGAAAACAGCGACTAGGAAATGGAAATAGAAATGGTAATGGAGGGAGGTTTACGCAATGTATGAGAGAGAGAAGGTGAAGATATTTTTCATTTATAGGAGTGGTCACACGCGTTGAAAGCGCGTCGAGATGCCTGCTGCCTTCGTCGCTAAGCATTAGCAGCAAAACATCATCATCGTAGAGGTAGGCCTTTGGGACACGTGTCGTTATTCTAGAATACTACTGTTAGCCTTACGGGCTTGTTCGGGCCGAATCGAAGTAATCAGCTCGCCATGTAGTGAGTCCACTATTATAGCAGCCACGGTCATAAAACCGGCCCAAGCTAGTTATTTTTTTAAATTTTATTTTCTTTTTTTTAAAAAAATATTATTAATAAATTACTTCATGTATCTCATGCTATATTTATTTTGGAAATAGTATTAAGTAAGATACTTTTAAAATTATATGAAGGAGAATTATTATTATTATTTTATTTAAATAATGTGATGAGATAACGTGTAATAAAAATCAAGTATTATTTTCTATTTTGATATATCCAAAAAATAATATTGCAAGATGCTTGGGACTAAAGTAGTACTTAAGTTTGAAAATTATGTACATAAATAAAATTTTGTGTCTTGGGGTAAACTTGTATTTGTTCTGGGTCACGATTACAAATACATTGTACATATTATATATTTTTTTAGTTTCAATTTAAATTATTATTTTTATTATTTTTATATATTTCATTTCAAAGTATCATTTTTTTATTTTATAAAAAATAATATAAATTAATATTAAAATATTATTAATTTTTATTTAAATTACAGACATATCATTACTCATACAATTCAATTGTAAAAATATCAAAAACTCTTACAAATTTCTACTAACTAATTAAATACTACTCCATCCATCCACTTATTTACATTTCATTAAATACTCTATTTTTTTTACAAATATTCTTATTTTACATCACATCATTATTTTTACACAAAAAAAAATAAAGACAAAAATATTGTTATCCTACTTTTAACTACTCACTGTCATCGCGCCAAAAGTAATTATAAACATTGTAAAAGTAAATATAAACATTGTAAGTGGAACAAAAACCCAAAAAACCCAAAAAATCTATTTGATTTGAAACAAAAAGAGAATATAATTCTGTCCCATAAAAACATTTACTAAATTTATAATAAAATTTATTTTACATTCAAAAAATTACATCAATTCTTATTTATAATATATCATATAATTATTCAAATTCAAAATTTTGCTATTCAAATCTCAATTCAAAATCATAACTCTCTAAGACAAACACACCCTAGTTTCTTCCCTATCAATTAAAAATTCAACTTATAATCTTGTATATGTGAATTTTACTTTTTCTGATGAATATATGAACATGGTCATATTTATTTGTTTCCCTCCTAAATTTATAATATTTCCCAATGTAAAAATATAATTTAAAATATAACTATCTTAATTTGCCTTTCAAAATCTTAACATCACTTACATATTACATAAATATTCACATTTCACTACTCCAACAAAGACAATAAAAATAAAATAAAATTCACAGATTCCACCACTATTAAAATGTGAAATATTATAATGATAATAAGTTACGCATTGCTATCATTCAATAATATATCACAATTTTAAATTTACATTCAAACTTTTTTTACTGTACATTTTAGAGCAATAATAAACAACGGCTCTAATTTTTGGACATTTATCAATAGTACTTGAAAATATATATTCCGATATGCTCTAGAGCAATAAAAAGTAACAGTTATTTCGAGACCTTTGTTAATAGAAATTTCTAGGAAATTTCTTTCATTGTTCACGTATAATACAATAATTTAAATACATCTTTCATTGCCCTAACTTTAAGGAATAAAAACAATAATAACATAATTGACAATTTTCAACCAAACCTACAATAAAACATAACCATGCAATTACTGTAGGTTTGGCTAAACCTCCCAAGGGATTACTGTAGGTTTGAAATTCGACAGTTGGAGACATGCTAAAGTTTTTTCATTTTTTTATTTTTTTTATTTAATAAAATATATAAATATAATTTTATAAACAATAAAAAATTTTATATTATAAATAAATAATATTTAAAATATATATATATTGACAAAATATAAATTCATAATCAAATTATACAATTATTAATTTTACAAATTTAAATTTAATACATATTTCTATTATTATATTCATTACTTATCAAATAAATAAGTATCAAAATTCTTCAGACCAAAACTTAAACCAAACCCGAAAAAAACACATAATATCAAACCTTATCTTAGAATTTAAATAAAAATCAAACTCAAATTCAAAATGCTCCAAAAAAAAAAGTCTCTAAAGAAACACACCATATCCAAAATGCTCCAAAAAAAAAGTCTCTAAAGAAACACACCATTGATGCAGTCCCAAAAAACACCAAAGTTCTTACATGACTTCTTTGTCATCACAATCTTTAAACAAACTGCTGGACAATCAGAACTAAACTAAAAAACAACATAACGCATCATAATTACCAGAGATGAAACATCTGTGCAATTATTTTAAAAATAAGACTGAAAAGTTTAGGAAGAAGGTTTCAAATGAAAATAATACAAGGGTTTAGGGTTTAGGGGAGACCATAAGGCAAAAGCTCGAGAGCGTATGCAAGAATTTAAAAACAAATAAATAGCAAGGAACAGAGATATCTATAAATCATATTCCACAAAATAAAATCTTATAGATTGAAAACAACTTCCACATTGTACAAAAATAACAAAAATGTGATCTCCAAAAACAAAACAAATCTAGCGGAATGCACATTGCGTGCTCGATTTGCTTTATATACAAAGATTTAAAAGACAATAAATCATGTCGAACAAGTCAACACAAACCAAATAGCAGATTAACATACATATTATAAGCAGATCTGTTACGAGATTAACTGAAAATTTATTTATGATAAATTTTAAAAAATAATAATATGCACTGTTAAGTTTCTCTTCATATGCTTACTGTTGGATTTGGGATCAAATATGTGTATCGAATATGTTGTTAAAGTCATTATTTTATTCAGTCTTATTATTTAAGTGATCTAATTAATATAATTAATTATTGACTGATAGGTTTGATTGTTATGGAATGAAAGTGCAGCTACCCGTATAATATTATTATTTTGGTGACGTGACAAATTAATAATATTAATTAAGGGCATAATTGTAATTGCAATTATGTTTGCCCTATTATAAATAGGCTAGGGTTAGGTCCCCATGATCAGCACGCCGTAAAAGAGATCTGATTCTCCCTGCAGTTTCTGCTCCTCACCCGTCAAGGACAGAAAAGAAGCCGGCTCTCTGATCTTGGAAGACCAAACCTTTAATCACCCAAGATTTGTATATGGCTTCATCAGGTACGCTTCCGCTTTAAGGATCGGGCATCTAATATTCAACAACTGGTATCAGAGCCATGTTGCCCGTATTTGGTATTGATTCTGTATGGATTTTCGAGATTACCATCTCGAGGGGGGTGTCAAGTATTCCACATTGGATGTAATGTTAGGATTCCCCTACTTTATAAGGGGTAAAGGGCTACTCCACTTACAACAAATTGGTTTTAATTGTTGGAAGTACATAAAAGGCATACTGTGTGTGCATACGTGTTTATGTCTATATATTTACATGGTTATGAGTCTTGAAAGTACAAATATTTATTTAATTATTAATTTTCATATTTAGCATGTTATAAAGACTTGCAATTTGGCAACATGTGTATATATAATATGATGTATGTGTGCATACGTGTTCAAACACAATTAATCATGCAATCTTGATTAGACATCTCGGTTATTTATTTAATTTTATTTTGTGGAATAGAATATATTGAAAGCATGTATGTATATATATTGTAATGTTTCCTCAGAATATGCCTCCGTACATGCATGTCTGGACATTCATTAATTCATTTATTTATTGATTTATTTATGCATTGAATACATGTCATGAATTCATGTTTATTTGTTTATAAATATATCATCAATATTTTGGAATATATTATTTATGAAATTGATGTATGCATCTTCAGAAATTAATTTTGCTTATATTGCAAATATTTCAACGTTCAGAATTGGAAACTCATTAATAATGCTTGCTGCGTTTTGACGGTGAAAATCTAGTATTTGAAGTTGCCAAAGTAACCTCTCTTATATGAAATTTTTTCTTGATAACGTAAGTGTTTATATGTTTATTTTAATTCATGTGATTATTCTTCGGCCCAAAGGCAGTCGATAATTGACAGAATAAAATATACATCTGCGATAATATGTATGGGACAATTATATAGATTTAACTTATGTGAATAGTAAATCAGTCCAAAGATTGGTTACTGTTTGACATTACCTTATTGTCCGTATATGATTATTGCAACAAGATGACTGTTTGCAGTTAATGGCATTGATCCAAAGATTAAACATTAATGTTGCGTTTAGTGTCTTGAGATGGGATTGCATTATTTTATTTTGAGTTTCATTATGCTACTTGAGTACTTATGTGTATATTAATTCCTTGTTATCTTCAGGATCGAATCTTTTGGTATCTTCTAACTATTCAGTCCCAATACTGTCTGGGGACAACTATCAGCACTGGAAAGAATCAATATTGATTCATTTGGGCTGTATGGATCTAGACTTGGCATTAAGGATAGACCAACCCCCTTCTCCTACGGAAGAAAGCACTGCAGATGAAAAGCAGTTGTTTGAGAAGTGGGATAGGTCTAATCGCCTTAGTCTAATGATCATAAAGAAAAGCATTCCAGAAATCTTTAGAGGCACGATATCTGATGATATCATTACTGCCAATGATTTCCTTGTCGAAATTGAGAAACGCTTTACCAAAAGCGATAAGGCGGAAATGAGTACTCTTCTCAAGAGTCTCATTACCATGAAGTATAACGGCAAAGGAAATATAAGGGAATACATCCTGAACATGTCTAATACTGCTTCTAAGTTGAGAGCACTTAAGTTAGACCTTTCAGAGGACATGTTAGTCCTATTGGTTTTGCTCTCACTTCCTACTCAATACGATCAGTTTAAAGTCAGTTACAACTGTCAAAAGGAGAAGTGGACTCTTAATGAGCTCATCTCTCACTGTGTTGAGGAAGAAGAAAGGATGAAGCGTAATAAGACTGAAAAGGTACATGTGGTGGATACCTCAAAGGATGCAGGCGGCAAGAAGAGAAAATATAAGGCCGTTAAGGTTGAGACTGCTAAAGCTCATGTTCCAGCTCCAGCTCCTCGGGCTCGTCCTGAAAAGACTTGCTTTTTTTGCAAGAAACCTGGACATGAGAAGAAGAATTGTACTAAGTTTCACGATTGGCGCGTGAAGAAGGGTACGTTTCTTACTTTGGTTTGTTCTGAGGTTAATTTAGCTTCAGTACCTCGAAATACTTGGTGGTTAGACTCTGGATCAACTACTAACATCAGTGTTTCAATGCAGGGTTGCCTGAGCTACCGAAACCCAACTGATGCTGAAAGACGCATTTACTTTGGAAATGGGGACTCAGTAGAGGTGGAAGCCGTGGGCATTTTCAAGCTGTTATTGAGTACTGGACATTTTCTTGAATTGCAAGACACTTTTATTATACCGTCATTTAGACGGAATTTGGTCTCTGTTTCTTATTTGGACAAATTCGGTTATCATTGTTCTTTTGGAAACAATAAAGTTGAGTTGTCTTTTAATTCATGTTTGGTTGGTTTTGGTACTTTTATGGTGAATGACAGTTTATATATGCTCGATACTTTGGTTTCCTATAATGAGGCACTTAATATGGAATCAAAAGGTACTAAGCGAAAATTTCATGACTCTAGTTTATTGTGGCACAAACGTTTAGGTCATATTTCAAGAAACAGAGTTGAAAGACTCATTAAGGATGGAATCCTTAATTCCATAAATTTTTCAGACTTTGACGTTTGTGTCGATTGCATTAAGGGTAAACAAACCAAGGTTAAAAGGATAGGTGCTTATCGAGCTATGGATGTCTTAGAATTGATACATACAGACATTTGTGGGCCTTTTCCCACTCCTTCGTGGAACGGTCAACAATATTTTGTGTCATTCATAGACGATTATTCTCGATATGGTCATCTGTACCTTATTAAGGAAAAATCTGAGGCACTGGACATGTTCAAAGCATTTAAGGCTGAAGTTGAAAATCAACTAAGCAAACGCATTAAGACTGTCAGATCTGACCGTGGAGGAGAATATTATGGCAGAAATGATGGCTCGGGTGAACAACGTCCAGGTCCTTTTGCTGACTTCCTTAAGGAGTGTGGAATCGTCCCTCAATACACCATGCCCGGTTCACCTAGCATGAACGGTGTTGCTGAGAGACGAAACCGCACATTGAAGGATATGGTTCGAAGTATGATTAGTCAATCTACTTTGCCACCATCATTATGGGGAGAAGCATTAAAGACAGCAGTCTACATCCTTAATCGAGTGCCAACTAAGGCGACTGCCAAAACACCCTATGAACTCTGGATTGGGCGCAAGCCTAGCTTAAATCATCTTAGGGTGTGGGGTTGTCCAGCTGAGGCGAAGGCCTATAGACCAAATGAACCAAAGCTAGCACCTCGTACAGTAAGCAGTTATTTTATTGGCTACTCGGAACGGTCAAGGGGGTATAAATTTTATGATCCCACATCAAGAACTATTTTTGAGACGGCTACTGCCAAGTTCTTTGAGGATGTTGAGTTTAGGGGGAGAAATACAGTTTTAGACTTTACCTTTGAGGATCAAGAAATCACTGATGTGATTGATAAAACACCTCATGAGTTAGCAGTCATTCCAGCTCCCATAGAGTTTCAAAGTGCGACTGAGGAACCCGTTCGCATAGAACAGGAACCTATACCTATGGAACAAACTCAACAAACTCAAGAACATACAGTTCAAGAGCCAACGCAATTGCGTAGATCCACTAGAGAACGGAGAAATGCCATTCCAGATGATTATGTGACATTTCTTCAAGAAAATGAGGATAATGATGGCATGACTGAGGATGATCCAATTAATATTTATCATGCCATGAAGGGTCCTTATTCAGATAAATGGATTGATGCGATGCGTGATGAGTACAAGTCAATGCAAGACAATAAAGTTTGGGAACTTGTCCCATTGCCAGAAGGTGCAAAACCCGTAGGTTGCAAATGGATTTTTAAAACCAAACGGGATGCAAATGGTAATGTGGAGAGGTATAAGGCACGTCTTGTAGCTAAAGGCTATACTCAGAAAAAGGGGATTGATTATAAAGAGACTTTCTCTCCGGTTTCTTCGAAGGACTCTTTTAGGACAATCATGGCTCTTGTGGCATACTTTGATTTAGAGCTCCATCAAATGGATGTTAAGACGGCATTTCTGAATGGTGACATTAATGAAACGATCTATATGGTACAACCAGAAACTTTTGAGATCGGTGATCCAAAGCAAATGGTTTGTAAATTAAGAAAATCCATCTATGGGCTCAAACAAGCGTCTCGACAATGGTATCACAAGTTTCATCAAGTAATTCTCTCATATGGTTTTGAGATGAATGTGGTTGATGACTGTGTTTATCATAAGTTCAGTGGGAGCAAGTTTATTTTCTTGGTTTTGTATGTGGATGACATTTTACTTGCCACGAATAATGTGAGCATGTTGCACGAAACTAAGAAATTTCTCTCGAGTAACTTTGAAATGAAAGATCTTGGTGAAGCATCTTTTGTATTAGGGATCCAAATATATCGTGATAGATCTCGGTGTATTCTCGGATTATCTCAAAAGAGCTATATTGATAAAATACTCGAGCGATTCAGCATGCAGAAATGCAAGCCGGGAGATACCCCTATAGCTAAAGGAGAGAAATTAAGTCTCAGCCAATGCCCTAAAGCAAATCTGGAAATTGAGGAGATGGAAAAAATCCCCTATGCCTCGGCAGTTGGGAGCCTCATGTATGCACAAGTATGTACGCGTCCAGATATTGCGTACATAGTCGGTGTGTTAGGCAGATACCTTAGTAATCCTGGATTGGATCACTGGAAGGCAGCCAAGAGGGTGATGAGATACCTGAAGAGAACCAGTAATCACATGCTCACATATAGGAGGCCAGACCAATTGGAGATCGTTGGATACTCTGACTCCGACTTTGCAGGATGCCAAGATAGTAGGAAATCTACATCTGGCTATGTTTATATGTTGGCTGGTGGGGCCATCGCTTGGCGCAGTGCCAAACAGACACTCGTTACCAGTTCCACGATGGAAGCTGAGTTCGTGGCGTGTTTTGAGGCATCACAACAAGCGATTTGGCTAAAGAACTTTGTCGTTGGGCTGCGAATCATTCCGATGGTTGAAAAACCCATCAAGATTTTCTGCGACAACAATTCAGCCGTTGAATACTCCAACAACAATAGGAGTTCATCCAGGTCAAAACATATTGACATTAAGTTCCTAGTTGTGAAGGAGAGAGTGAAAGATCATCATATCTCGATCGAGCACTTAGGGACGAAATCTATGTTAGCAGACCCCCTAACTAAAAGTGTAACGCCTAAGGTCTTCCATGAGCATACTGCTCATATGGGTGTGTTACAATTTGAGGAAGCTTCACTGTAGTGGGAGTATGCATTTACATTCTTTTGTCCTTCACTTGATATTTGTTTTATACTCTTTTGATCAATATTTCGGTTATGATGTTTTAGACATTATGATTAAGTAATTTACGATCTCATTCAATTTGGACCAGTAGAAAATTGACATATTTAGATCACACTTATGTAATTTTCTCTCTGCACGTTCCATGATTGATCTATGTCATTTGATTACACTGATATTTGTGATTACTGTGAGTTTAGCTGTTGATACGGCGAATGCTTCTTTAGTCCTATATTGCTGTGATTGATGGACCAGATTGTTGCAATCCTTGTTTTATAATGACTGAAAATCGAGCTCATAAGGAACAATATGTTCATTCAGACACATACTAGATCCAGTGGGAGATTGTTGGATTTGGGATCAAATATGTGTATCGAATATGTTGTTAAAGTCATTATTTTATTCAGTCTTATTATTTAAGTGATCTAATTAATATAATTAATTATTGACTGATAGGTTTGATTGTTATGGAATGAAAGTGCAGCTACCCGTATAATATTATTATTTTGGTGACGTGACAAATTAATAATATTAATTAAGGGCATAATTGTAATTGCAATTATGTTTGCCCTATTATAAATAGGCTAGGGTTAGGTCCCCATGATCAGCACGCCGTAAAAGAGATCTGATTCTCCCTGCAGTTTCTGCTCCTCACCCGTCAAGGACAGAAAAGAAGCCGGCTCTCTGATCTTGGAAGACCAAACCTTTAATCACCCAAGATTTGTATATGGCTTCATCAGGTACGCTTCCGCTTTAAGGATCGGGCATCTAATATTCAACACTTACTGCCGGTAGAAAAAATAAATAAATAAATAAAATAAAATCACAGATGAAATCCTGATACACAACGAATTCAAGAGAAGCTCAAAAATTAATGGCGATAAGAATCAAACAGATGTAGGTCTAAACCAGGCCCCCAAATCACAAGAAACGAATCAGAGAGGGCAGACATGCCGACCTTAAGCCTCCATCTCTGTGCACACAACCATGCTGCCTTCATAGCCATTGAATCCAGAGCATCGGCTTATTGTGCACAGATTAAAAACAAACATGAAATCGAACGCATTCATAGATACAAAAACCATGAACATAAAGCAACAAAACAATAAATTCCTCGGCTAAATCGTAAAGATGCGATGACGGCAAGAGCAATGTGAAGCGGCGGGGATGCAAGCAGTGTCGTATTTATAGGCGACGATCTGATGGCGGCTAGGGTTTCAAGTTTTCTTCCCCCAGACCGTGCATTACCGGAAATGCCCCTATCCTTTTAGGTTTTGGTTTCAAGAGAACTCATACGGATCAACCCGACCCGGCGGCAATGAAATTTTTATAATAATACACTGTGCTTACGAAATTAATTATAAATTATAATTCATTAATAATATATTAAAAATTATAATATGATTAAAGTATTAAAAATAATAATAATAAATGTAGAACTATTATTTAATTTATTTTTTCTTAAATAAACTATAACTATGATTAACAAACTAAAACAACATAGTAGGAAATGTAAAATTATATATGAGTTTAATTTATTTTTTCTTATATTATATGCCAGCATTATAAAAATAATTAAATTACTATAACTATTATTTTAATATTAGATTTCTTTTTGTTTGGTTTATACAAGTGTTTTCTATTATACAAGCATGAGTATTCAAATGCTTTTTTTTTTTTTTTTCTAACCAAACATCAAAAAATGAAAAAAAAAAATTGAATTTTTAAAAAAAAAACATAATTAATATATATGAAACAAAAAATCAATTTTAATCTCAATATAACTAATGAATCAATCTGTCACAATATAAAAAATCATCAATTTTGTATTAATATAATTCATTTCAATCAATTTTAGTCCCGCCGTTATTGAACTAACGATTCAATGACGATGCAAACAAAATTGATAAATTTTTTATATTATGACCAAAACTAATTTATTTTTATTATATTAAAAACAAAATTGATTATTTTCCTATATAAATATAATAAAAAATTATTATATAATTGCATTTTGTCGATAGTAGTTTGAAATTAATTTGAAATGTAAGTATTAATTTAAAATTTTTTAAAATAATATTGATATAATATTATTTAAAATATATATTATTAAAAAACGGTATAAAGTGAATAGTATTATTTTAATTTGAAATAACAAACTCTAAATAAACATAAAGTTAATTAAATTAGAATTTAATTTAGAACATATTTTTCAAATATAGGATCTAAAATCTAGAAATAATGAATATATTTTTTCTAAGATTTTGGTTTTGAATAATAAAATTTTGAATTGAAATAATTATTGTATATGATATAAATATATATTGATATGATATTTGATTGTAAAATTAAATTTTAATGTAGTATAATAAATAAAAAATGAATATTTAATTTTATTTTTTTAAATAAAAATAGTAAAATCATGTTGAAAGTTTACAAGTCAATATACATATTTTTATCTTTAATTGTAAACTTTCTCAGTCATTCTAAGTTTTTTTTTAATATATATTTTAGATCATAATCAAAATAATTTTTTTTCTTTTTGATGAAATTTACGGGAAGACCTTTTTTCTGAAATTTCCATTGTACTTATTTTATTGGATAATGTTGAAACGTAATTTGGATTTAGCGGTCTACTCGACCCGAAGGTTGTTTAAATTGGCAGAATTTTTTTTGAGCTTATTCTAATTAATAACAAATAAACATAGAGTTTAAGGTGTTTTGGGTGCTCATAGCTATGTTTTCTAGTGGTATGACATAACTGTAACTCTCTCTGAATCAGTATAATAAAATCTATCTGGTTCCTGCCCGTGGACGTAGGTTGACACACCGTTACTGAATCACGTAAAACATTTGTATTCTTTATTTACTTTCTTTCTCGTTTTCTTATAACAAGTGGTATCAGAGCTATATCTGATTGATTGAAGATGTCCTCGTATAAGTTTGATATGGAGAAGTTTAATGGGTCGAATGACTTCACGTTCTAGAAAGTCAAGATGAGGGCACTTCTGGTTTAACAAGGATGTGCGGCTGCGTTTGCGGGAGATAACAAGATTCCTAAAGACACGAATGAGGAGATAAATAAAGATATTTTGGCAATGGCTCATTATGTGATCTTGTTGCCGGTAACTGATAAGGTGTTACGAGAGGTTGTAGATCAGACAACGGCTTTTAAGTTATGGAATAAACTGTCTGAAAAGTACCAAAACAATTCTCTCACGAACAAACTATATCAGAAGCAACGTCTTTACACCCTCCAGATGTTCGAAAGTACTCAGGTAAATTATCATCTTGATACCTTTAACCGTGTTATTCTTGATCTTCAATGGGTTGAGGTTAAAGTAGATGATGAATATCAAGCCCTAATTTTATTGTGCTCACTACCTGGTACATATGAGAATTTTGTAGATAATGCTATAGGGTAGAACTACAATTTTTGTTAATGATATGAAAGATGCCATTATGTTCAATGAATTAAAAAGAAATGTTTCTATGGAAGAGTGTTCTAGTTCAAGCCTCTTTGCAGGTAGGAGAAGACCACATGAGAAGGGTAACAAGAATGGGAGGTCGCGTTCAAAATCAAAATCCTCTATCAAAGTTAAGTTTTATCTTTGCAAGGAGAAGAGACACGTTAAAAGGGATTGTCCACAAAAGAAGGGAAATAGAAAAGTTAATTATAGTAACAGTGGCAACAGTGCTGCAATGGTAGAAGCGGTTCTGATAATGGAGACTTTGGTAAAGTTTTGACAGCGTGTAATGCTAGTACTGCTGATTCCTGGATTATGGATATCGGTGTTTCTCACCATATGTCGTTCTCTCGTGATCTACTCACTTCTTTTAATGAGTGGAATTGAATGGTAAAGTTATGTGATGATGGGATTCTAGCCATAAAAAATAGCGGAATAGTGCAGATAAAATTGCATGACGGTATTGTTAGAAAATTTGACTGTTGGTATGTTCCTGAACTCAAAAAGAATTTGATTTCTCTTGGCACCTTAGCCAATAATAGTTTAAAATATCATGGTGAAGGTGAGTGGGTGAAAGTCTTGAAAAGTGCTTTGGTAATGATGAAGGGAAAACTGCAATATAGAATTTATTTTCTACAGGGCAGTTTAGTGATGGGAACAAAATCGGTATCCCAGTCCTTGGATAAACATGATGACAGGACAAATTTTTGGCACCGTCGATTAGGTCACATTAGTGAGCTAGTGTTGTATGTGTTGAGCAAGCATGGTTGATTTGGTGAGGATGTGATAGGTGAAATTCAATTATGTGAGGCTTATGTAAAAAGGAAGCAACACAGGGTGAGGTTTAGTAACGGTCATGACACTTCAAAAGAAATTATGGTATGTTCATTCAGATCTATGGGGTTCATTTCCGGTGAAATCGTAGGGAGGGTGTTCTTACTTTGTCACTTTCATAGATGATTAGTCGAGAAAAGTCTGGTTGTACTTTATGAAGACTAAAAATAAGGTGTTTGAGAAGTTGAAGGAGCGGAAGACCATTGTTGAAAAATGGACGGGTAAACAGGTCAAGACTTTAAGAATTGATAATGAGTTGGAGTTCTGCAACGCTCCATTTGCTAATTTCTGCAAGAAAGAATGTATAGTGAGACACCGCACTGTACGACACACACCACATCAAAGTGGAGTTGCAGAGCAAATGAACCAAACCCTCATGGTCTGTGCTAGGTGTATGCGCATATTTGCTGGCTTATCTAAGCAATTATGGGTCGAAGCAGTTAACACTGCTAGTTATATGGTTAATAGATCTCCAACAACTGTAATTGACTTAAAGACTCATCAAGAGGTATGGTCTAGTAAACCCTCTGATTACTCTAATATAAATATATTTGGATATCCTACATACGCTCATGTGAATAATGGTAAACTGGAGTTGATGGCGGTAAAATGCATATTTCTAGGGTATGCAACAGGAGTAAAAAGTTATCGACTGTGGTGTACAGAAGATAAAAATGTCGGTAAATTTCTTATTAGCACATTTGATGAATTTGCTATGCCTAGATCAATCAAATATTTTATACAAAAATAAAAAGTCAACAAATCAAATATTAAATCTAAATAATATATTTTATATTTTTTATATAATTTTTTATACGAAGAAAAATCATTTCATAAAAATAAATGCTGGAGGAAAAGAATCAATATTATTTATTAATAATATTTTTAAAAAAAAACATTAAACCAAATGGTAAGAACATTATTTTCAAAATTAAGAACTGCTGTCTAATGTTATTATTTTAAATTAACAGAAAAAAAAAAAAAATACTTTACGGGTGTGTTTGTTTGAAGGATTTTGGTGGATTTCCACTATTCATCTAATTTTTTCCCCCCAAAAATATCAAATCAAACACCTATTTTTCATTTTTTATATTATACTAAAAATCAATTTTACATTCAAAACATCACATCAAACCCTATTTATATCACATCATACAACTATTCAAATTCAAAATTTTTACTATTCAAATCCCAACTCAAAATCCAAACCCCCAAACAAACACACCCTACATATATAGACATACTCATAAATTCAATGTATCCGATTGATTACATACACACATAATAAAAATATACATTATTATTATTATGTAGGTATATATCACCGTTTTTAGTTTACCTTGAAAGACAGACCCTTCACTTAACAGAGTGGGCGCCGCATAAAAATAAATACTTTTTTCAACTGTAATAATTATTACATAGTACTATATGTTTGTGAGTAAAATTTTCTACGATTTGACACTATTTTTATTTTTATATGTCTATAACTAATATATTTTTATTTTCTTTTAAAAAATTACTTCCTCCGTTTCAAACAAATGCATCATTTATTTTTGACACTAGTTTTTAAGTAGATAGTATTAAGTAGAATCATTTAAAAATTAGGTGATATAATGGAGAGAGAAATATATTTTTTATTTTTTTTATTTAAATAATGTGAAGGGATAAAACGTGGGGTAGAGATTAATTATAATTAATTATTTCATATTTTAGAAATTTTGCAGCGTGTTTAGGACGTACCAAAAAAGAAATATTCCAGGATGTTTGGGACAAATAGAGTATTAAATAAAAACATATTTAACAAATATAAATCTAACTTAATTAACTAAATAATATACAACACGTGTGACTCACTTAAAATCTCTTTATTTCTACCTCTCTCTTAAAAAAAAATAAATATTTTTATCTATATTTAAAACTACACATATTTTATAAAATTTATTTATATTAATTATAAATAAGTATAAAATTTTATTCTCTACAAAATAATATCCATATTGCATATATTTTTTAATTGTTATATAATTTTTAAGTATTTAAATATATATTTTAATTTTTTTAATCATATGTATTAAATTTACTTTAAATATTAATTATATAAAAAAATAATATAATAATATAATAATTAATTATTATTAACTAATTAAATATCTTCACCTTAAATACGGTGTTTCTGATCAAATAATTCAATTGCGATGGAACAGAAGGAGTATAATTTAGTATATAATTTAATTTATTTATAATTTCATTATTTATTATCTTAATAAATAATAATTTAATTTTTACTATTTTTTTTTTATCTATCTCACTATTTTATTACTCTATCATTGAGAAAGTATCAATTTCAATTTCATATTTTTTATTAACTGTACCATTTTTTTTAATATTACAGATATTTTTATAATTTATAATAAATTATATAAATATTATTTTTATATTATATAATACTAATAAAATTATCTTAATTATTTATATTTTATTCATATAATCATATATCAATATAATATTGATATTCTTAGGGTATGTTTGTTTGAGGGATTGGATTTTTTTTTTACTATTCATCTAATTTTTTGTCCAAAAAATATCAAATCAAACACTTAATTTTCATTTTTTTATATTATACTAAAAATCAATTTTACATTCAAAACATCACATCAACACCTATTTATATCACATCATACAACTATTCAAATTCAAAATTTTTACTATTCAAATCCCAGCTCAAAATCCAAACCACCAAACAAACACACCCTTACTATATCAATATAATATGAATATAAGGTTGTGTTCGGTACAGAAATTAGGGCAGAGAAATATAAATTGTATCATTTCTCTTATTTGTTTGAGTCAGATAAATGAAACTTGGGAAATAAATCATTTTCATTTATGTGTTTTCATTTATCTTCCATATGCAGAGAGAAATGGAGAGAAATGATGTTGCAGTATATATATTTTTTAATTTTAATTTTTTTCTGTACTATTAAATTTTTATTAATTTTTAAAAATTATATTATTTTAATTTAAAAAAAAAAATTTAATTTATTTTTAAAGTATTTAATTTTTACGATATTTTAAAAAATTGTACTAAAATATAATCTTAAAAAATATCGTACATAATTTATAGTTTTTTTTTTAAAAAAATTACCAAAAATATTTTTCATGAATTCTCATTCGTTAAAACTCTCTTTTTATCGGGTTAATCATCTATTTTTATTTGCTCATTCATATATCTGTATTTTTTTTAGATTTCTCAAATGAATTCTCGATTTTATCAAACAAGAGAATTAATTCTCATTATCTGCTCAATTTTATTTCTCTCTAGTTTTATTATCTACTATTGTTTCTTTGTAATTCCATTTTCTATGCACGCCCGTTGAGAGATGAAGAAATTATTAAATTTTTAATAATTTTTATACAACATTTGTTTTTATTTATTTATTATATTTTTATATTAAAATATTATTATCTTTTACACTGATTGCGTTTGGATATTGATGGATAAAAAGTACCAATTGAGGGAGTAGGATATATACAAAGACTCTTCAAACACACTTCAAACACAAGTATTTGAAAATTTTGAAAAATTTAATTATATATTCTATAAATATTTATATATTTAATGTAATATGATTCTATTTGAATAGGAATTTTTGAAATTTTTTAAAAAAATTTAAATAATAAAAATTTAAGATAAATATAATATTTTTATAATAAATATCTTTAATATAATATTTTTTTAAAAAAATTTGATAATACTATTAAAATTTCAAAAGTATCTGTATAAACATAACCCCAAGTGTACTTATTACTGCCCTAAGAACAGACAGAGGAATGTACGAAACCGTCGGCCCATCATCATTATCACCACACCGCTGTCCGAAACCCCAAAATGGCCGACGAATCGATAATCCATCGAATCCAGACAGACCCAAACCCTCTTCTCCCCTCCCGTCCCCTCCCTCCTCCACAAATTGAAACATTTCAAAAAATTGAAACCCTCAACAGTAGATTAGAGTAGATGCGTATAATTATTAATGGAAGAAAGAATTCTATTTCTATATTTGTCGTGCATGCATTTTGTTCGCCCCTCTGTTTTCGCCTGCATGCACACCCCTTTTCTCTCTCCTCACTCGCTTTCTCTCTCTTGATATATAGATATATATATATATCCTTTCAGTGTCTCCCCTTCATCCCCTGTCTTCTCTTTTTTTCTTTTTTGGATTTTTTTTTTGGGGTTTCTATTTTAATCAATCTGTTGTTTTTCTGGGCGTGTGTCGGAATTGGGGCACCGACCACCGACTGCCGCCGTCGGAGCTGTTTGATTTATTTTCTTTCTCAATCTGGGGTTTCCTTTGTTTCTCGGTTTCATTTTCCCCCTTTCGATTGGAGATTTACAGTTTGGGGATACGGATTTTTTGCTTCTAGTTAGCATGCGGACGTCGGGTTTTGCGGATTCGAACGAGGTGGATTGAACGATGGTTTCGTTTCCTCTGCAGTGAAGTCGCTGAATTTCATCTTGGGAATCGCAGCGGTTTTGATTATCGATTGTTGTCTAATTCCTTCGATCTGCGTCGGGAAGATTTGATTTAATTGAATCTCGATTGGGTGGTTTCTAGGGTTTTGACTTCGATTGTTCTGCTTCTCTTGATTTGGGGGTTTAATCAAATGGGGTCGAAGAACTGCATGAACGAGGCGTGTCGCGCTACGACGTCGTCTGATTGGAAGAAAGGCTGGGGATTGAAATCCGGCGCATTCGCTACACTCTGTGTCAACTGCGGGTATTCCCAATTTCAACATTCTCCCAAATTTCAAACACATCCGTTGATCTTAGTTTTTGGATTCCTTCAAAATAGCATGTCGGATTGTTTTCCTATATTTAGGATATACCTAAATTTCAAATTCCTGAGTCAACATTTGTCTCTCTTTACAATCTGCATATGCTACAAAAGGGGGAACTGTTTTCTGTGATAGGTTTGGGATTCTTTTCATGTCTGATTCTTTCTATGCTAATCTACAAAACTGCTTGTGTTTCTTTGTAGCTTGAACATTCATATATATGATAATCATGGAGGATATTCTGAGGCCTTTCGATTGTATCGTCTGTTAAAGTGAAGAAAATGTGTTGAAACTTGAATTTGGGGTTTGCTTGTGATTGGATTGACTTAACTTTCTTCTCATGATTTCAGATCTGCCTATGAGAATTTTGTATTTTGTGAGACATTCCACTCGGAGGAGTCCGGTTGGAGGGAATGTAAACTATGCCGGAAGGTGATGAACTGGTTAATTTTTTTGTAGGTCTTTTATAAATGACTTGCCTTGTTTTTCTCTGAAGACTGTATTTTGACATGGCAGCTTATTCATTGTGGATGTATTGCTTCGAAGAGCCTATATGAATTCATGGATTTCGGGGGTATTATGTGCCAGAGCTGTTGTTCTAAGCGTTTGGAAATTCGTCCTGTGCTGCCAATACAGGTTATAGCCCCACTCGAGCCTTAACTGTGCTTCTAATAAATTTTCATTCAGGTTTTGGATGATCATACTGTAGAGATAATTTCAGGAGTTCATTGAAAATGTTATCTAAAAAGTATCAAAGATCTTCGTATAGAGTATCTTAAGTATGTTCTTGCTAATTAATTCAGTTACCCGAATCCAACACACCACTTTGAAGTTAAATGGGATTTTATTGGAAATTATATTACGAAAATATCAAATTTCTTGATATAAGTTATCTTTAAGTATGTTCTTGCTTGTTAATTGAGTTGTCCTTATCCAACTCACGACTTTGAAGTTAATCTGGAGTTCATTGAAAATCTTATCTAAAAACTTGTCAATGATCTTTATATAAAGTATCTTCAAGTATGTTATTGCTAGTTAATTGAAGTAATCTGCTCCTTTATTACTTTCTAGTCCCACGAAATCTGTTAATCTATTTCCCTATATGTAGAAATTACTTAACTGGTTATGCTTGCGCTATTCTTGCAGGTTCCAAGTGACATTCCCAAAATCACATTAGTAGCAAACGGCATCAAAGATGTGCATCATGTGCCCGTCGAGAATAGAGTTAATGATGACAACAAATTCAGCACCGAGAGGCTTATGCAGCTGACCAAGGCTATACGCGTCAACGATGTGGCTTCGGCCCTTGAACAACATAAACGGAGTGAGCTTTTGGTCAAACCACCCGTTGAAAGCAGTCATCGCGTACCAAACCTCTCCCAGCATTTTACTACTCCATCTCCTCTCGCCAAACCAGACAACAGACCAAAACAAGTGGTTAAGGATATGTTTGAATCTCTTTCTCAGCCATCACTGAATTTCTCTCTGACCACTGCTTTAGGTAGTCCGGCTACAGTGCAGTCTTTTTCCGGCGGGATCATCGAGAGAAATGATCAAAGCAAAGGCTCTTTCCAGCATGGACCGAAAATGCGCAATAATTATCCAAAGCCCCCAAAATCAAGCCCCGTAGCTGGTCCAGAAACAAATAAAGGACAAGCTTCACAAACGCGTGTAGCCAGGCCCCCTGCTGACGGGAGGGGCCGTAATCAGTTGCTCCCTCGGTACTGGCCAAGGGTCACCGATCAAGAATTGCAGCAACTATCTGGAGAGTATCCTTTTTAATTATTTCTTCTATTACTGTTTTCTTTTATTATTTGTGCCTTTATATTTGGATACAATTGATATATACATTGAAAAACTACATATTAGAAAAATCTTTGAAAAAATCTCTATAAATAATCATTTTTATTTTTTTGGTGTTTTTATAAAGTGTAAGGGGTTTATTTCTTGATTCTTTCATTTTTCCCCCAAAAAAATTGCAATATGCTCTCTATTGTATCTATCTTAACTTGTAATCTCTAGTTTAAAATCCAATATCGTACCATTGTTCGAGAAGATTCTAAGTGCCAGTGATGCTGGTCGTATCGGCCGACTCGTTCTTCCTAAAGCATGTGCTGAAGTGAGTTTATGCATGCATACATACACAATGTATGTATCTACTTGTGTTGATCAATGCTCATTGTTTCGGGTAAACTAAATTCTCGTGCAGGCATACTTCCCGGCTATCAACCAATCAGAAGGTATACCAATAAAGATTCAAGATGTAACGAGCAAAGAATGGACATTCCAATTCAGGTTTTGGCCAAATAATAACAGCCGGATGTACGTTCTCGAAGGCGTGACTCCTTGCATTCAAAATATGAACTTACAAGCTGGCGACACAGGTAATCTTTGCCAATGGTTGCAGATAAATTAGAAGTTTATAAGAATGATATTTTATAATCTTGAAATTATATTTCTGTCTATAGGCACACATCATTCTTGTTATGTCTGTATTGACATTCACCAGAAATGCTTTCTTGGGTTTAGTACATCAAAAAGTCTACACATTGCATTATTATACCACTATCTGTACTGTTATTGTTTATCATGTTTGAAATAGTGTGGTCAAAAAGCCGTTTTCGAATGTCTGAATATCAAACATTTGACTTGATGCTGACTCTTGCACTTTTTGAGTAATATCAACAGTTATGGCTCCACTGTAACGTTTCATTTCAAGTTTAGTCCTATTAGATAAAAGTTCAATTTGCATCATATAACCATGAGAAATGTGTGGATATTGTGATAAAATATTGTGTATATATATTCAAATTGGACTTCAATGAAATTTATGGAAATTATCTAGGATCGAGTTATAATTTATTATTTTTTCTTTTTCTCAATAATTTATCTACCCCAGTCTTAGTATATATATATTGACTAAGATCCCTATATCATGTTGTCTGTGTCATTTGATTAGTGATATTCAGCCGGAGTGAACCCACGGGACAACTTGTGATAGGTTGCCGTAAGACTGCTGAAACTGTAAGTTTTTAGCATTCTGTAGTGGATCTTATTTTTCTCCTCTCCAGGTTCTTGTTCTCACAAATTTCTGTCTTATGTTCTTTTGGTTAATGAGTAGGATGCTTCAATGACTTCCCTTCCAAATGGTGATTCTCGAGAAGGAAAACAATCCGATTACCATGCAGTATGTTGGTTGCCTACTTATTTTCTTATTCGTCTCTGTGTTTTTAATATGTCCTGATTGAGGTATTTGGTGGCTAGAATGGAGGCAAGGGGTTAGATGATTCTCGCATGACAGCATCGGAGAAGAAAAGAGCAAGAAACATTAAGAACCAGAGGCTTCATATGCACAATGATGATGCTATGGAGTTAAGAATCACATGGGATGAAGCACAGGAGTTGTTTCGTCCACCTCCATCTGCTGAACCAACTGTAGTTATGGTTGATGGCCATGAATTTGAAGAATTTGAAGTAAATAAAAAATTTATATTATTTGTAAATGTTAATTCTATATTTTGGACATAATTGGTTACAAGACTACTTTTTCAGGAAGCTCCGGTTTTTGGAAAGAGAACAATATTTGTCTCTCGACCTTCAGGGTAAGTTTTGCTTTATTTTAGTCGATTAAATTTTCCTTAACATTATTTGAAATAAACTAAATTTGACTAGCAAAAGAATTCCACATTTAGCTTTTTGATTATTAATCATATATGCATGACTTTTATATTGTTTGTATAATGATGATATACAAGCCATTAGTTATATTTTATTTTATAATCGAACCTTTATTAAATATTAGTTACATTAGTACATGATAGACAGGTTTAGTATATTCTTGTTGATTTTTTTCCATTCAGAATAGAATACTGTCCAAATTATAACAATGCCTTACACAAATTTATTAGTGAACAAGAGCAACTGGCTCAATGCGACAAATGCTTGAAATGGAGGAGATTGCCTGTGAATATTCTTCTTTCGTCAACGTGGACTTGTGCAGACAATAGTTCAGATTTGAAAAGGTCAGCAACTTTTTTTGGAATTGTTACATTTCTTGGTCATCTATTGAGGAAATGAGGAAATATATATATATATTTTCAAATTCAAGGTCTATTTTAAAAAATACTATTATTTATGGTCAAAGGAAGAAATATTAATGATATGTAATAATTATTTGTTGCAGAAGCTCATGTTCTGCCCCCGAGGAAATAAATCCTAGAGATCTTGATTTATCGAGCATTAACCATGGTACTTTCTCTTTACCACACATGATGTTGAAATCAATAATCAAAAATTTATCAGCTATATGTGTTTTTACCTGAATTATTTTTATGTTATGTTTGGTTTATAGGATTTGGAAACTGGTAGAAATATGGCTGTAGATTAAAAGAATTAATAGAAAAAACACACAACTGTGACAAAAATGAAGGGAAAACAATCATTTTCTAGAGTATTCACCATAGTGCTATTCAATCCATTTTCTGTGTCTTTTCTAGAACTGTTGTTCTATTTTATTTTGTATGTCATTTATTTGATTTTATTTCATTTTTGTACACATGTATACATATGTGTTAAAAGAATCAATATTGGTGATGTTTCAGGACAATTACATAGGCATTTTGGTCAGGTTGTATGGCTTTGTTAATTGTGATTTAGGTATAATAAAAATTTGAATTGAATTAGGTTTGGAAACAATAATAATAGATTTTTATGCTATGCTTTCAAGGGGGAATAACGTAAAAATGAGTTTGAAATATCAAATAAACATAGGGTTTATTCTCTTTGAACTTTATATTTTTGGTGTTTTGGATTTGCACTTTGGTTTATATAGTATGTGGACTTAATATTTTATGAGAGAAAATATTGTATTTTTATTGATAATTGTGAAACTTAAATAGTAAAAGAATATGTATCTCGAGCAAAGTTGGTAATGGATTCTTTGAAAGCATCCATCTCTACGATTTGTGTCATCTCCCTTTTTACCTTTTTCTTTAAAAATTCTTTGGTGTATTTGTTTTATGAGATTGTTGGAAAGAAATTTTTTTTATATGAGATATATGGGATTACTCAGAGAATAAAATACCATATTTTAATTATTTTCATAATTGATAATAAATACTAGGAACATATAATCTGTTGGTATGGTCGGACATGATATTGATTCTTGATTGTCACCAGATTTGAAGAAACGTCGAGTTTCAGAGAAGCCAACAAAAGAAGACGGCGAGCCATCAGGTCTTGATGCACTAGCAACTGCCGCAGCTCTCGGCGACAACTTACCCGACTTCGCCGCCGAGTCATCCTCCGCGGGGGCCACAACCACCCGCCACCCCCGCCACCGCCCCGGGTGCACCTGCATCGTCTGCAGCCAGCCCCCGAGTGGGAAGGGCAAGCACGAGCCGACGTGCAAGTGCAACGTCTGCCTGACCGTCCGCCGCCGTTTCAAAACGCTAATGATGCGTAAGAAGAAACGACAGTCGGAACGCGAAGCTGCCGCCGAAGTGAAGGAGGACGCCGCTTCCAATACAAAAACCGAACCCGACAGGAAAGACGCTGCTGCTGTTTCGCTCCCGAGTGCGGAAAACGGGACGAACCAGATATCGAATGCGGGGAATTCTGAAAATGGGGCGATCCGAATGGAGATTGACGGGGCGAAGAAGGACGGGGAGCTGGACTTGAATACGGACCCGGGGCTTAACCGGGTGGGTTTGGCTGCGCTGGCGAATATGTGCTCGGAGCAAAACGAGAGCGGCGGTGCCGGGGCTGGGAATGTGGAAGCTCAGCCCTGTGGAGAAAATGGAGGTGAGGAAGGAGGAGGGAATGTGGAGCAGGCGAAGGAGGGATGAAGGCGAGGCTGGTATGTTAAATTAAAACCACAGTTTGGCTTATTATTATTATAGGAGGTTTGTGTTGTTGAATTATTATATATATATAGAGAGAGAGATTTTTATTGGTTTTGGATATTTATTGGTATTATTATGAGGCGAGTTGAGTTGAGGATTGAGGGGTGGACAAGGTTTTGTTTTGGCTCTGAATTTTATGGAGTGTGTCTGTGTGTTGTTGATTGAGTTTGGACTGAACTCAACTGTTTTTTACAACTGCGATGAGTGACATGGTAATAACTCAGTAATGATTACCTTTGTTTTAAATATTTTGTTTATGGAAAATATGTTTGTTTGTTTGTTTGTTTTTTTTAAAATATTATACTATTTATATATTAATATATTTCTTACACATTCGAGTTATGATGCAGCGGTTGATTTATGAAAGATCATCATGGTGCTGATTTGGGATGTCGTGGGATTTAATCCAACTTATTCATCTGGTAGTTTAATAAAAAACAACAATAATAATAATAATAGCCCGAGGGTACAATTTGGCATTATCATAAATTGGCAAAACGTCAATTTATATATTCATTAATCAACGTGCAGATGCAGGTGCAGCACAATGGTCCCGAACACACCCGGCCCGAACCCGACAAGATCCATTCATTCTACGCTCCGGAGCACAGCGGTCTCAAACAGGCCCGGCCCGGCCCGGCCCAAACAATAGATGACCCATGGTAATTATTCCTCAACACACAGCTATAATAATATGCTATGGATCGAACTATATATGCACGTGTGTTTATTTAGGTGAATTACATATTTACTATAAATAATTAAAACCCGATATTAAAAATGTACTAAGAGGGGGAGCTAACATTCGAAAAAATACAATTGATTTACTATAGGATAATTTTGTATTGTCATATAATTAGTCAAATTTAAAAATTTTGCTATTAAAAATCTAAACAAAAACTTTACAACTCCACAACATAATTAAACCACCCCAAATATTTAAAACATAATCCAACCAAAAAATTTCCACAACTTACAAAATATCACAACGCTAGAGCAGAGTGCAATCTATTTTTTTTAGCCATTTTACAAAACTAGACAACAGCATATTTACAATAAAATGTTTTATTACCTAACTTCAGAGTGAGCTCCAACATTTGCTGGTTCTAAGCCTCATTTCTGATTACCCAACATATCAACAATTTCTACATTCTTTATATATCATCAAGATAAGTTGCAACATTCTTACTTGCCAAGTGACACTCTGATTAACACCCGGAGGATCTGCCGCTTTTTTGAAGATCCAGATGGAACTACAAGTGTATTTTCTTCCGATGGCTTTGTGGGCACGACCAAGGGTGGCGCACCTGAAAATCTAATAAAGAGCAATGAGAAGTAATGGCATATTGGCAACCAAACAGAATTTTTTATTCGAGTAGAAGTGCTCATCTCAAAGTTAATCCCATTAGCTTTTTTCTCTTCTTAAAAAAATTATAATCCAATGTTTTGCATTCAATATCAAGTTGAGTTACTTTTTAGTGCTATAATATTTTTAACCATACACAGTAATGATAATTGCACCAGACCATTCATTTCGATAATCCACAACTAGATAATAGAACCCGTTACTGGGACCAAAAAGATGCTTAGCCAATAGCCAGAAAAGATGCAATAAATTAAGCAACAATTCCTCATCTCATATCGAATTTTGATGTTGAGATATTATGTGAATTAGCAATTTGCTTGCTTGATTAGACTAAGTGAAAGAAAAATAAACAGGAGAATAATGTGATAAACTAACCAAAGCTAAATTGAGTGGCTCGAAAATAATTGAAGTATAATCACCTACAAGTATCAGCTCACTATTTGGCCATTCCTTTCCTTCACTTAACATATGAAACGCTTGCTACAAATCAGAAAACATTACCCGAAATTGTACCTCTAGCGGCGGGTTAGGTTCCTCCACTTGTCCTTCAAATCAACCTGAATAAACAACTCAGATACACAATGAGAAATTAATAATACATAGGCAAATCGCAAATGAACCCAGTGAGACACAACTAAAGTGTATCGATAAGACAAGAGTATACTCACGTCAGTTCTTCCTACAAATATGTCACGGTAGGCCATTAGGATGAACTTCCAATTTCCTTGTCCAAACCTTCAGAAAATTTAAACACTTCAATTAGCAAAGAAAGAAAACCTTGTAACAATGTATGCACTGCTAGAGGTGCTTGAAACGAGTTGAGGGTGAAAAGAAGTGGCAAATCTGAGCCCAGTAAGAAAAAATTAGTTAAGATAACTTTGATCCAGCATGAAAAACAGCAAACACAACCATGAGCGATATTGCGCGCACACACAAAAGACAAAGAGAAAAAAAATCAATTGAGGGGTTCCTCCAAACGCAAAATAAAGGAAATGGTAAACTAACTGCATGCACATACTTTTCTACTCCAGTCCTAAGAGTGTCTTCTTCCAAAGGACTCCACTTTCGTGCTTTCCTCCTCTTATAATTTTGGATTTCATGTTTCTTCAGAGGAGAAATATTTATTGTGCTTCTGCGGCGTAGCAGGGGCCTAGCCCTGGAATCTTCCGGGCCATCTTGGTGTCCACCAACTGACTCATCCTGCTGCAAACATAATCCACAGAAAGCAACATATAGCTTTGTTATTTGACCTTCATTAAAATAATTTAAATTAGGAGTGACATTGTCGATTAAGATTTAAAATATTGGAAGAAGAAAGCATAACAACAAATTTCTGAACAGCCATTTGGCCAATGCGCAGCGATAAATATTCACTTGATGATAACTATATTCAAAGAGCACATGATATGATTTAACTAATTTACACCCCACTAAAGTAGAACATGACAACTTTTACTTTCAGCTTAAAGATTGTATGTCATACATATCTTCAGAGTAAACACTTGCATGAATTAACATTGAAATCTGCAAAAGGAACATCATATACAACAAACATATAATGCTTCATGACACTTCAAACAAAGTGAAAACTGAAACTATGAATTACAAGACATTTATATAAGATTTGCAACAAACGCAATAGAGTTCAAATGAGAACTTTTGTGTTAAATTTTTTTACGAGCAACAAATATGATGGTCCAATTCAGTCATAGCCACAGTTAAAATCATTTTAGTCCTAAAGTTGGCCAAAAGTACCTCTACATTGTAACATGGAATATAATAACAGGAATAGGTGTTTTCAAATTTACAATGATAATTAAAGTCTAACTGACCAAATAAAATCAAATCCTAATGATTTACTTTCATTTCAAATGGTACAACACAAAAAGATTATTGAACCATACCATGAAACTTAAAATGCATTAATTTGAAGGTACTTATTTCATAACATGCCAGTGTCTTGTGGGAATATAAATTTAGTGTTGTGTTAAACGAAACAGATCTAGAGGCAGTTAAACTTTAAATTTTTAACTTCTCTTGTTTCCAAATTTGAATAATATCAATCGAGGCATCACCATACAAAGTAGCCTATAAACTGTTTACAGAACAAGAAAATATGCTAATATAGTGTTGTGATATGCGACATACCACATATACAACATTTCAAACAAGAAGTACCCTTGTACTTAAGAAGATCACAATGCATTACTACTTGACAGCTTGTGGAGCATCAAAACGAATCCTACAGCATCTCTATAACATGCAAGGCAATATGCTAGAAAATTTTCGAGCTATGTTTTCAACAAGTATTCTCAGTAAGGCCATCATAACATATTGAGCAACTGAAACAAGCATAGAAAATTACCTCATGAGCCCTAGACGAACTATTTTGTTCTATCAAACTTGGACCAGGCACATCCCTTGCCTTATAATCAGTAGCTTGAACAACCCCAGTATCATCCACAGCATTTAGGTTGGCTTCAGGACGATTCTCCTCTGCAGCAGCGAAACACTCTCTTTTGGAAGCAGCACCGGAGATGGCTTCAGCACAATTTGCCCCGAGAGGTTTGCTATGCTCACTTTCTCCTAAAATTCCAGACGCTGCTTCACCATGTTTCTTTTCCATAGGATCACCACATTTACGATCACTAGCAACACCAGGAATGGCCTCAGAGGATTGTAAATTATAGTCCTTGTATGATGGGCCAGCTTCCGCTTCATCGGAATCAACAATTTTAGCTCGTTTGGAATTTCTAGACCCTCTAGAACGTCTCAAACGAACAAGCTTGTTTCTGAGATGAACTTGTCCCTTTTGACTTTCTAACAAAAATAAGATAATCATTACAAAATAAAAACGTGGCATGAAAGCAAATAACTAAACATGATAGTGGAAAACAATATGTAATCCACTCATAATATTATGATTAGATCACGAGCAGTCTAAATAATGGCCCGCATCTTGCTAATCAGATGTTCTCTTTCATACAAAAGATGAACAGAACCGTGTTCTCAGATCTCTGGAATAAAAGACAAGAAGCATGTGTCTTGGAAACATATAACTTATTTCTATAGATCAATACTTCAACTAATATTAAAAATTTATCTGCTTCCCAGCTATTCTCATGCTCCCTAATCTTCCCTCACACTAATTATGTTACGACTATTTTTCCTCTTCTAAAATTTAGTTCTATGTTTATAATACATAGTTACATTCTACATTTGGGATGCGATTAATTATCCTATATTTCGTGCTAAATAATGCATGCATTTTAGGCAATAAAGGCCTTAGGCTATCAAAATGAACATGTGATCAATCATTTCTCGATCAAAAACGAAGTAACCATAACCTTACCATTGTTGACATTACAAGCATCCTCAGAGTCAGGTGCCTCATTCCTGGGAGCAACGGGATCGACACTGCCCATCCCGAGCATGCGCTGCGTAACCACGTCATTCTTCACTCTGTCAGCCACCACCTCCAGAAATGATGGCCCCAAATTCTCCATTTCTCCCTTCAGATAATCTTTCACAGCATCAACAACGTTGATCCCCTCCCTCTTCTTCATGAGTCTCTCACAAGCACCGTCATCCCAAACAGCCGCCTCGATATCATCCTTCCAAATCCACAGATCCTCCGAACTCAACCCCTCCTTCTCCATCGCCCCAATTCTCCCCCTCCACACCCTCACCACCCCCTCAAAAAACCTGAACCTTCTGCAATCGTCGTCCTCCTTGCCTTCACCCCCGCGCTCCAAAACCCTCACCGTGCACTCCACTGCCACCGCGCAATACGCGCGCTTCATGGCGTCAGAAGCCTCTTTGCCCTGCCCCTGTCGGAATTCAATTTCTTCCAATTGCTCCAACAGCTCGAGAGTTTTTTCGGAAAGGCATCGACGCGAGACGTCGGACTCGAGCTTCTTCAACAGAAGCAATTTCTTCAAACTACGTTTATCGTCTGAGAGAGGCAGGATGCGAAGCAAGGAATCCAGTGTCCCGTCGTCCAGCGGTTGTCGGAGGAGGAATTCCAGCACCCAATTCGCGACATCCGGATCGATACCCATCTACAAAACCCTAATTTTCAGCCTACGCCACTTCAATTTAGGGTTTTGCTTTGAATTGGGAATTTTATTTGTTACTAATATTATAAGTATTAGTATTATCACGGGGGAGCTGGAGACGCTCAACTTGATTCATGCTAGTTATCATATATTCATAACCATAACCATCAATGTTAAGGTTCAAATTTGATTTGAATTTTATGGGTAGGTTATAATAATACCCTAAAAATTGCACAAACAACAAGATGATATGCACAATAAAATAATAATAAAATAACATAGAAACTAAAATGAGAGCATTCTATATAAAAATAATATAAATGTGCTTTTCCGTGAATTTGATTTTTTTATTTTTATAATCATAATTTGAATTTAAATAATTATCTTATATTTTAAAAAAAATTATGATAATATCTTTTTAAAAAATGTAGCCATATTTTTGTTAAGATTTTAATTAAAGTCAATAAATATTTGAAAATAACAAAAATGTAAAAATAATTATTTTTGAAAATTTAAGTATAAATTAACGAAAACAAACAAAAGAATGTAATAAAAATAGCATATTATAAATAAGAGCTGACTAGAAAATACTAATAATTAAATATTTATCTGTTAATTTTATTAAAATTAATAATAAAATAAATTCAATAGAATTTTTTTTCTTTAGTAAATTATTTTAAAAAATATAAAAAAATTCGTAAATAATATAAAAATAATAAAAACATATAATATACTTCCTCCGTCCCACATATCATGTTCACGTTGCCGTTTCTCTCCGTCCCACATGCCATGTCATTTTCTTTTTTGAAAATAATTACACATTTAATTTTTTTTTTAAATTTTAATTAAACTAATTAGTTATCTTAATTTTAATTTATAATTATTTATATTATCGGATAATTATTTTCACTCATACATTCTTAATTATCTACTAATTACACCCCTTCTAAAATATTGTGTCTATGTAGCAAACACGGTATGTGGGACGGAGGGATCAAATTTATTTTGAAAATTATATTTTTAAGAATTATAAATTTCATTGATAAGAACACACTTTATTACTCATTCCGTCATGCAAATCTGTGCTTATTTGACCGGACATAAATTTTAATAAAATGAATAATAATTATTAATTTTTTTTATAGTAAAAAATAATACAATAATGAAATAATTTTTTATTTAAAAAAAATTAAAAATATTTTTTTATAAAAAAAAATATAAATTTGAATGATAAAAAAGAGTACTTTTTATTATTAATTTTAAAAAGCACACAAAACAAATTATAGAATGACCAATAAACTAACGGGGTCAAAATTAATTTCATAGAGGTCATATGCCCCATATATTTTCCTATATTATGTTTGACCCCCCAAAAGATTTGTCAGACACAGACGTATAGTCAATATATAATGTCCATTTTCATTGCCTCTCCGCTTCATTCTGTTCCCATTTTGAACACTCCATTCTCGTGGGAAACAAGCTGCTCAGATATTCTACATCAAATTCAGTAATCTGAGGAAATCATATCTGGTAATCTTTCACTTCTCTCAATCTACGCTGGAAAATCGCAGGAACTCGTGTATTCTTGCTTGCGTAATTAATGAGCGGAGTGGTTGTGGTAGCGGGGCAGATCTGGTGTTTAAGTTTGCTGAAATCTGTCGGAGTTCATTTTTCTTTGACCTAATGCGCTGTTCCTTTTTTGGTTGTAACTCGCTGTTGTTTGCGAACTCATTGTTCTGGATATTGTTCATATATCTGCAGGTGAGCTGGATTGGGTGAATTCTGTCCGAACATTGTTGTTGATTAGTTTTGAATTTGAAATGAGGTAGTTGAGCGTCGGACAGATAGTTCTGTTTTTGCTGTATTCGCGGTTAGCGTGAATTTGAGGAAATGTTTTGTTTGATGTGTAGATTTTAGGGATAGATCAGGGAGGAGATTGTGAAGATGATTGACGGCCAGCAGTATCAGCTGGGGACGGTTGGAGCATTGTGTCTCTCTGTCGTATCGTCAGTGTCGATTGTAATTTGCAACAAGGCGCTCATTAGTACCCTCGGCTTCAATTTTGGTGAGAGTTTTTTGTGTTCATTCATTATTCATGTAAAGATTATTGTTCTTGTGCATTCATAAATTAGTTACCTATGCTTGTTCTGGATAGATATTGGAATATATCAAACTTAAAAATCTGGACTGAATTTGATTCCCAGCTTTGATTCAAACCTAGTGTCAACATCTGTCTGACATCGCGGATTTATTCACTGGAAGTAGTCTAGTGTCCAGATTCATTGATTAAATGAATAGCTTGGTGGATGTTGTTTTGTACATTGATTCTGTATATTCTATTAACCTTCCAAATTCAGTTGAAAAAATCTCGAAGTCTTGATGTTATTAACAACCATGCTTCCCTTTCATCTTCCTTCGTCAGCTACAACACTGACTAGCTGGCATCTTCTCGTCACATTCTGTTCTCTTCATGTGGCTCTATTAATGAAATGGTTCGAGCACAAGCCTTTTGATCCAAGAGCTGTTATGGGATTCGGAATACTGAATGGAACATCTATTGGACTTCTAAATCTTAGTTTGGGCTTCAACTCTGTTGGTTTCTATCAGGTTTTCTCATTTTCCCAGCTCTTTTTCATTCAATACATTTTCACCTAGCATTGATTCTATGTGTCTTTATCAGTCGTAGACTCTTTTCTTGTTATTCTCTCATCTTTGTAACAATTCAATCTGTGTGTACACTTATCCCCCCCAAAGTTAATGTTTCATTGTTTGTGGATTTCAGATGACAAAATTGGCAATCATTCCATGCACAGTCTTCTTAGAGACATTGTTTTTCAGGAGAAAGTTCAGGTTAGCCCCTTTCATCAATTTGTTAAGTAGATTGAACCTTGCTTGCATTCTAACACTCAGATGGAGCATGCACCAGTGCAAGAATTTTTTAGTCCCGCTATACTGTTGTAGGTTGAGGGAGAGGCATGCTATGCTTTATCAATGTATTAAGTTTTTGGTTTGTTAAAAAGAAGAATTAGATTTGTGCAGAATGCTCTCGTGAATTCGTGCATATATTATGCCTTTAATGATTGTATATTTATAGACAGCAAGGCTTTTTTTTTTTTCTCTCTCGTACTTTTGCAATTATTTTTGTATTAAGTCTCTTGTTGTGAGTTGTCTATTTTTGTGAAACATACAACTACTAATGGCTTGCTTACCTTTTCAGTTAGGCCCTTAACTTTGTGAATTTGTTGAGGCATATTATATTTCATCTATATATTAAGTGTGGCTTTGTCAAAATACAAGAATTAGAAGCTAGTTATGTGAGTATTACAACTAGTAATGTCTTGCCTTCAGTTCTTAACTTCTGAATCTTCTTGTATGCACTCTGTGAAATCATCGCATGACGTCTAGATTGAGAAAAGCATAACTAGTTTAGCTGTTATTTCATCCTCAACGGAAAAATGATATTCATGTAATAGCATAGCTTCCAAATGTTCTTCAAATTTACAACATATATGCAATATTTTCTGTCTTAAAAACTAGCCTAACCATCACACTCGTACCTAAATCAATTTGAAATTAACATCTAGCAGATGTGTTTTGGATTACAACCATTTGCGACCCTTATCATTTATTATTGTTATTATTATTATTTTTTCCATTCTACACACGTAGATGTATTTTTTTGTGTATGCCTGTTTCTTTTTTTGTCAGCTAACACTTTCGTATTATCCATATGCAGTAGGAATATCCAGCTTTCACTTACTGTTCTTCTACTCGGTGTTGGAATTGCGACGGTGACCGATTTGCAGCTGAACATCTTGGGTTCCATCCTTTCTCTTCTTGCTATCTTCACAACATGCATCGCACAAATTGTATCCTTTTTTAATTCATCTTTATTATTTTACAAAAGTGAAGAATATATATATATATATATATATTGGTGGAACAAAATAACTTGCTTGTTAGAGTAAGAAAAATGTTTCAATATTCACTTTGAAATTAAATTGAGGCAGTTCTTTTTTTATGATGTTTTTGGTATTCAAGATTTAAATGGAAATGTACACTCAGTTTCAAATTAACAGCATGAAATCTCTCTAGAGCTCGAATTCATCCCATGGTAATATGAATGAATTCTGTTACTTTGACTTTACATTATTATTATTATTTTTATGATTTGGTGCAAAATCGAAATTCTCGTAGATGTAAACCATGTGTGGTCTTTATTTCTACAGTTTGTCCTTAACTTTGACTATGCTTAGATGACGAACACCATCCAGAAGAAGTACAAGGTTTCGTCGACTCAACTCTTGTATCAATCCTGTCCTTACCAGGCAATGACATTGTTCGTTACCGGGCCATTTGTGGACGGGCTTCTGACTAACCAGAATGTCTTCGCATTCAGTTATACACCTCAAGTGCTGGTGAGAATCGAAATCCATATTTTCTTCTCCCCGTCCCCTTCCACATTACCGAATCAATATATAGCTATAACTTATTGGACCCAACGTGATTTGTTAAACGAGTCGACTGAGCTTGAGTATCTGTTGTTCGAGCTCAACTTGAACATGCTATCGATACATATTCGACTCGGCTCGTTTAATATTCGAGCTAAAATGGTGACTTAATTTCAAGCTTGAGCTTGATTTCTAAAGCTCGAACTCAAGTTTGACTCGAATATCATAAATATTATATATATGTTAATATATAAATTAAATAAATATAAGTATATTTACAATTTATTATAATAAAAAATTCTAACATAAAAATTAATATACTTTATACTAATATATAAAGTTATACAAATATATTATAACTAATTAATTCAATCGAGCTACACACAAGACGAGCATGAGCTTGGCTCATTAACAAAAATAATAACTCTTGAGTTCGATTTCGGCTCGTTTATCTTTATATTCGAGTCGAATCGAGCTTGGCTCGCGAGCTATTCAGTTTATTTAACGGCTCTATATACAGCATGCATGGGTTTTACAGGTTGTTATTTCTGTGGGCAGGCATTCGTGGTCCTGTCGTGCTTGATATCAGTTTCCGTCAACTTCAGCACGTTCTTAGTCATCGGGAAGACTTCGCCGGTTACTTATCAGGTGTTGGGGCATTTGAAGACGTGCCTTGTTCTGGCATTCGGGTACATACTCCTGCAAGACCCGTTCAGCTGGCGCAACATCTTGGGAATATTGGTGGCTGTAGTCGGGATGGTGCTGTACTCGTATCACTGCACTGCGGAGGGCCAGCAGAAGGCTGTTTCCGAAGCATCGTCGGCGCATGCACATGCATCTCACGTGATGATTAACCCCAACCTCTCCGTTCTTTCTATTTGTTACTTATCCATTTGTGCTTTGCTGACATTGGTTGTTCTGTGTGTGTTCATTCCTCCTTTTCTCCAGGCGAAAGAGACCGAATTGGATCCTCTGTTGAGTGTCGAAAATGGAGGCGGTGTTTTGGCCGACGGCGGCGCTGCTGCGGCGGTGACGGACTTGACGTGGAATTCGGATAAGGATTTGAAGGCGTGAAAGTATGGAAGGTATGTGGATGATTTAGATTCAGTTGCTGGTTTCGCTTTATATACATAACATACATATTTATATGTTAGCACGTGTGTGATTGGAATTATAAATGTGTTTTTGTTACAAGTCATGGAAAAAGCGCAATTTGTGGCGAGGGGTAAAGCTGTGTATATGTTGTTTGGGTAATTGGGTTGGGATTTTGTAACGGATTTTTTCAATTTCTGGGAAGTCAATTTTGATTAAGGGTGAAGTACATTTATTTATTTATTTTTGGTTTTTTCTTTTCTCTTTTTATGTCTTTTTCCATTCTTACTATTATTATTGTTATTTGGATAGGTTGTAATTTTAGCGATATTATTCATGTAATTTATTTCTATGGTTTTGGATGAATAATTTGTTTGATTGTTTTGAGAGTTTTTTGCATTTTAAATGTAATGAAATTAAAAAATATTGACCTAATATTAATAATGTTTTAAATTTAAAAATATATATTAAGCATTTTAAAATAAAAACAAAAAGTTAACAGAATATGCTTTTAGGAAGAATTGTTTAAATAATAAAATGAAAAGAGATTGTTTGGTTTTACTTCGAATTAAAGATTTGTTCAATTAATATTATAAAAAACTAGTACATATATTTATACAAAATATATATATTTATCAATTGTATATAAAATATTATTTTCATATTATAAATATAGTTTTTGCATGTTTGAAACACTTCAACCCAAAATACAAAACAAACACACTCATATTTTTAATAATAAAAAAGATATTAACTTTTTTCATAAAACATTATATAAAAATACTAATTAAATCAAAATCAAACGCTCGAAATTCAAATTCAAATAAACCACACAAATATTATAAGATATTAATGATTTACAAAAACACAGAAAAACGTCATAATACAATACTACTCCCTCCGTTACCACATAATTTGTTCCTATTTTTTATTTTCGTCCGTCCCACATAACTTGTCCTTTCTATTTTTGAAAATATAATTATGCACTTTAATAGCATTTTAAATCTTAAATTTTATAATTTTTTTAATTTTAATTAAATTATTTACTTATTTTAATCTTAATTTATAATTACTTTTACTAAATAGTAATTATTTTTATAAATACACTTCTTAATTAATTACTAATTATAGTTTACCTAAATTCCCGTGATACACCCATAGGAGTACTGTACTATACTAGGCATCTTAAAGAAGTTTGCATCGATGGTTCATCTCCAATCAGTTATGCATGATACCCAACCGACTTATAACATAATTAAGACTACACACTATAGGTAGTCCTCATAAAACACACACACACATGCTACTCTTTAATTTCATACCATATCATCAATCAATCTATCCATCTAACATAAAATACAGACAACCACATTAACAATAATAATAATAACAACAATAACAATAGCAGCAGCAAGTTGAGTTAATTACCTGTTTGAGATGTCAATCCAACCAACCCAAAAGAACGCATGATAATTTTGCAAACCCAACCCCCGAAAGTAGTAGTTTTGATCTCACTTTCAGATATGCACCTTTTGCTTTTTTTAAGAACCATTTGAGGGGACCATCTGAATCCCGGTCGAGCCACCGGTGGAGCCCTGGTTCGGGTGGGAGGATCCAGCTGTACTACCGCCCTTCAGGCCTTTATTCTTCTTCGCCATCTGTCGCCACCCGGCAAGCCCAACTTGGACATGCTCATCAAATATCGACTTCTTGAAATGGGTTCCCATCTGCATGCATTCCACAACTCATATTGTTTACATATCTTAATGGGAAGACAACCAAACCATATATAATTATGTCTCTGTTTATTGTATGTAGTACACTTAATCATAATTTATTGTATATATCTTATACATATATTCGTCCCTATTTATTCTAATGTTAGGAAACTTATTCACAAGCTTTGATCAGGCTTATTGATTTTACTAACGACTCTAGAAATAGGAAGAAATTCAAATGACTTACCTGCGTAACAAGAGCATAGAGCGGCAATGTACTGTAGCTGCAGAGTAGCTGAACGAAGATGCTGGAAAAACACAGACAAAAAACATATAATTGTCACACTTTAAAAACCATGAAAACAGGATCCAATCTACAGAGCATTCAAAAGCTCAAGAATGAGTTACCCTATAACAAGTCTTGGAATGATATATCCGAGCCTGCCCATTATGCATGAGTCCATGCCATATGTCACCTGAGAGTGAGTGACGGGTAGGTCATATATATATATATGCAATTAAGTAGTTCTTCTGGTTCTAAAGAGGGGAGGTTCATCGGAACTTACCAATATCCAGAAGAAAAATGCTATCTCGAATGCATTTTGGAAGAGGATAAAATGGATCAAAGTGAGTACAACTTGAGGTCGATGAAACCAAAAGTGATCATCCGAAGGGGTAACCACCAGTTCGCCCTCAATGGCTATGTGTTTCTCGGCCACCTCATGAGCCAACTGGCTAATAACGTGCTCGAGTTTGGTGCCAACAGCAAGAAGAAGCTGAAAAAAAAATACAATTTGTAAGAAAATGTTAGCTATGATAACACATAAAATAACAAAGGGAAGGTAAGATACATTAGTAAAATACTCACAAAAAAAGGAAGAAAAGCAATCCAGAAATATGTATGCCAGCCTGAAAGAAACAGCTCAATCAAGTTAGTCGAGCAACCACTTGATTTAACAAATTTACACCTCCGAGTATCATTCAAACACAGAGCATCTCATTTCATCTAAATACATAAATGGTTACCCAAATATCGAAAAGAATAGAAACAATTGGAAAGCATACCGTTGATATTTAGCAACAAGAAGAGGACAACAAAAGCCCACAAATACCAACTGAAAATAAACAAAAGCAGATCTTTATCAGTACAAAAGTTAAACTAAGACAAAATAGTTGGAATAGTTTGTAAGTACATGAATCCTCTCATATCAATCAATTACCTTATGCCAACAACTATCTTAAAGTCATCTTCCAAAGCACGTACCATGTACTTGTGAAAATTAAACTTCGGATTACTTCGGCAATGTGTCTGCAGAAAGATTAAATTTGGTATCAACCAGATAATGCAGAAGAACTGAAAACTTTGAGGAATGGTTCAACTAGATTCAAAATAAATGAGTGCTATCAACTGATGCATACCATAATGAAACCCAATCGGAGAGCCAGATAATCAGATTTTGTGACTGAAGCATAGAATTGCTTGAAAAATGAATGCTGAAACCAACATTTTGGGTCAGACACATCACAGACAGTATTTTCACAAATATAGACAAACACATCAGTCATTTTAGAACGAAACTTCAACTTACCACCCAACTGAATAAAGCTGAAACTCTACCCATGCCCAAAAATCGGTTCTTGATGAACTCATGTTGTTGAACATGAGTGACCTTCGGGGCAAGAGCTGCAAGCCACACAACTCAATCACGCCAATCACAAAATGATAAAAAACCTATTATCAATCTATGGAAACAACACATAGGTAGACCATATGAGCATTTCACAGCCTACTAAAGATACAAATCTACATAGGCTAGATAGACCCAAAGTAGAATATTTTGAATTAGTATATTATGGACCAAAAAAAAAAAACATTAGAGAAGATAGGTAGGAGCTGTGAATCTATACTGTACCTTCTCTGGTATTATTCTCATTCTTTGCAGCAGAGTCTTCCCATTTCTTCCATTGGGCAATCTGCACAAACATTTTGTTTTTAGGTAAACTATAGACAGAAAAAACCAACTGTTCATACCTAAAATAAATAATATTCATTGCTTGCCTTTGCCCCTCCAAATACGATAGTGAGAACCGAAAAGGTCACATGGACAATGGCCAGAACAAAGATAAATATGTGAAGATGATGTAATGCTTCAAGTGTTAACAGTGGAACCTTACCCTGCAGATGAACAACAATGAAACAGTCATATACACTAGAAAGAGTACAAAGACAACATGTGCCTCCAGCATACTTCCACAATTATTTTATTAGCATAACTAAACCTTCAATATCCATGGTCTAACAGGACCTGTGATTACAGACTTCCAACAGCAATAAATAGTTCCATCGTGTTTTGAATGTTTAATTTTTTTTTTTACAACCCTCTAAACCATCTTCATAGGAAGCTCATAATTTTGTTAAAAACAACTCTCACATATATACACTAAAAATAAATAAATAATAGTCAAGGAATATCAAACTCCAATTTTACCAAATTATCACTCCTATAATATTCAAACTCATTTACACATACAAATGATACTTCAATTAAACATTCATCATAAAAACAACAGATAATCCACAGTATACAACACTTCACATCTACAGAATACAAAAGCAATAAATTAAATATGTCCCCAAAATAAATTCATTAGCAATGAATACTTGGTTTCACAAAATAACATCCAAACAAGGGCCTTCAATTCCTTAATGAAAAGTACATAGACATCGAAGCCAAGGCGTCACAACAACACACTATATATTCACAATTTCACACATTTAAAGGTAAGAAATCAGCATTGGTGTAAGATTACCTGTTTACCACAATGACCTTCGCCAAGACCATTTTCAGCTTCAGCAAACAAGCGCCGGTGATGCTCAGTCGCAGGTGCATCATGACCGTGAGATAGTTTTCCACCATTAGCTTTATCAGCCAGCGAACACGGGAGCAGATGATTCATAATATTGGGAGACACGCATAGTTTGACTATGCGACTTTGTAATACAGTCAGCAAAAGTGATATGAAACCCAACAACATCAATTCTGCACTCACACCAAAATAAATATATATATATATATCAAAATAACGTCAAGAAAAAACATTCCTTAAGAAATCAATGGTATGAGATTCGATCCAAAGCAATATAAACATACACACACAGTACAAAAGTAGAAGAGGATCAGCATAAAGAGATGAATGCTTAACCTTCTTTAACTTTCTGTAAAGCCTCATAAAGTGGCTTCTGATTCTTCTTCTTCAAATACTGTTCAAATTCCACAAAAAGATATACACCTTTCAGCAACAGCGACAATCCATATCTCAAGCAATAATAATAAAAAAGAACACACAATTAATTTATTTTCCTAAATTATTGAGAACAATTCCAGAATTGATCCTACAAACAGATTCACACTGTAAACACCAAAATTTTCCATCACTTCACTAATCAAAATCAAATCTAAACAACATACGAAACAAATACCAAACAAAGCAAAACACAAACAAGTACGATTCCTTTTCCACTCAAACAATCACCACATTTAACATCTCAATAAACGCAGGAAAAAAGAAATTAAAAAAACCACAGATACGAGCAACCGAGAGCTAAATAACTGACCGTTCCAGTGTAGTGAAGGAAACGCTCCGCCAGAAGTGAGATGGCGACGATGACGGTGCACACCGCCGCGACAATCCACGTCGGCGTGAACTCCAGCGTCGCACCTTCCTCCCCACCCCCCGCCATTTCCAAATCCTATCCTCCTCGCTTTCACAAAAAACACGAGCGATTAAACCACGAACCAAAAACCCAAAAAAACGGTGCACGGTACGCGATTCTGGCAAACGACCAACAATGGCGACGATTTCACGCCGAAAATCAGCGGCTGAGTTGAAATAAATCCACGGAGGAAATGAAATCGATGAGATTTCCGAACGTCAATCGCTGCTTGATAGCGATGGTTTTCTCGGCCTTTTCTGAAATTTGAAAGGTTTGAAGTGTGGGTAGTCTTTCGCTCATTTGTTTATAACTTATTTTTATGTCATTGTAGAAGGCTGTAAGGGACTGTTTGGCTTTCAAATAATTTCTGTAAATACGAAAAAGTGTCATGACATTTTTTCGAAGATCCGGGACTCTATAGTCCAACCATCATCAATGGCGTAGAGTTGATTAGGAGTTGAGATCCCCGGTGTTTCAGATAAAAACACCGCGTAAAGCGTGTCTGTTAAATGTTTGTCTTCATTTATTTTGGAAATTAATTCATTTTATTCGTTAGTTTTTTGGTTATTTTTTAAAATGCAAGGTGTTTGTTTTGTTCAGATTGGTTTTTTTTTTAAAAAAAATGATTTAAATAATATTTATAAAAAAAATAAAAAAAATAGTGTTCTCTTCTATATAAAAATATTAGAAATGTTTTAAAATTTTAATATAAAAAATAAAATATATGTATTTATTCACATAAATATATAATATTCTATCAAAATAATAATAATAATTAAATATAAAATATAATTTTTTATATTAATGTTATTTTCTCGTATTCAACCTAAAAATGTAAAATAAACACAAATAGATTTTTTTAATTAAAAAAAAAAAAAAACTGATCATAATAGAGTGGGAATATCTTTATATATTTAAGTTGTTGATATATAGTATTATTAAAAATTAAAAAATACTTTATACAATTTATTGCATATCAATATATTGGAATATTGGAAAAGATAATAAATAAAATTTTATCTAATATTAGTGTATCATTAGGTTTATTGGGAAATGTATAATTAATTACATTCAATTTCTTAATGTGTAAGTATATATATATAATGAGTTTTTTTTTGAGACAATATTAATAAATTTATAAAAGTGAAAAGGTTCTAAAAATTAATTGAATGTTGTAATTAATTATTTTTACCAAATTATTCTTTCAATAATTTGAGAACAGCTAACAATATTGAATAATATTCACTATATTTTTAAATCAGGAAATAAAAATTTGGATTATACTAATGTAAATTATACATTAGCATTAAAGTACACAGTCTATTTTTATGCCCTGTGTGTAAATTATTTCTGTATTTTTAGCTATACACTCGTCACTACGAATATATATAATATAAAATGTTAATTTCTAATTTAAAATTCGATAAAATGATTTTTATAAGCCACTGGAAAATCATACTTATTCGTTCATTAGTGTTTTTATCTAAAAAAATTAAAATAAAAAATACAAACTAACTCACCCAAAAGTCACAAAATATTTCCAAATCAAAACTTCATTAAAGAAAATAAATAAAATAAAATTTATTTTTTTCCAAATATGAGAAATATATTAGCTTGAATTAATTTACACCGAAAAATATAAGTTATAGGTAATATGATATTTGTGTTGACGATAAGAAAAAGAATATCCAAACAAAGCCTTGTTAGCTACAATACTGAAGGATACGTTTGGTCACGAAATGGACCAAACTAGTATTAAATTTGAGCCTCATTTATTTGCAAATCTTCTATAATATACTTACATCATATATATCAAAATTCACAATTTGACTTCTAATAAATATAGGGTGTATTTGTATAATGTTTTCACTTTTATTTATTTATTTATTGTTAGGTATAAGAAAGCTGTTGATAGATAATATATATAGAATATTATTATTTAAATTGGTGAATGTGATTGATTGTATATACTTTATATGTTATATTTTATATTTTTTTAACAATATTTTTAAAGAATCGTAAAATTATTTTAGGTTTGGAGTAATACACTCCTTGATAACTTTTGGAATTTTATAATAAATTAAACAATAATACTCCCTCCGTGTCCCATACCGTGTCCGCTACACTGTAGACACGGTATTTATTTTAAAAGAAATATAATTAGTAGATAATTAAGAATGTATTAGTGAAAATAATTATCCTATAATATAAATAATTATAAATTTAAATTAAAATAACTAATTAGTTTAATTAATATTAAAAAAAATTAAAAAATTTAAAATGAGATTAAAGTGTATAATCATTTTTCAAAAAAGAAAAGTGACATGGTACGTGAGACGAACAGAAACGGCAACGTAGACATGATATGTGGGACGGAGGGAGTAATATTTTATTAGTTAGTAAAAATAGGTAAAAAAATTTTTTTAATATTTTTGTTATTAAATAGTAATTATATATTTGTAATTTAAATCAAAGTTAAAGAATATTTTAATATTAAGTTATGATTATTTTTTTTTAAAATAGAAAATAAATATCTTGAAGTAAGACGGTAAAAAAATAATATAAATAATAATTTTAATTGAAACGGGGATATATATTAAATAAAAATTATATTTACTATTGAATAAAAAATCAATTTGACATGGATGGTAATAGATTGATGAGACTGTAGAACGTGCTTAGTTCTCAATTATTTGAAATATTAAATTATGTGAGATATCTTATCAAATAAAAATAATACTAATTTTGTTGTGCACAAGGGTGGACTCTGATTGCGAAATTATAAGTTCAAAATTCCAAAGTCGCATCTTGTCCACTATAAATATTCGAGAGATGAAAAGTGTATTTAAAAAAAAAAAAAAAAAAAAAAAAAACTCAAGAGTCCAAATAGTAGAATGTTAAGTTTTGGAGAAATGAAAAACAAACTCTAATATTTTCGATATATTGAAATTTTTAATATGATATCTCTATCCCAACCATCAGATAGAGAAGAAGCAAACCAAGACAAAAGGGCCAAGGCCAAAGGATAATAAATGCACTGGGGATAACACAAGTGGACAGTGCACTATAATTGCATCTTCTCCACGCTAAGTCTGAAACTCATAAATGAAACTATAATATTCAATAATTTTTCAATATATATATAGATATTTTTAAGTTCTTGAACATATTTTTATGTAATCCAATACAGATATACACATCGTTTTTAATATATAGACTTTTAACACATTAACCTATACTTCAATAGTTATTTTGTATGTTCAATATATTTATATCATAATTCAATAATTTTACTAATTTTATATATTGTTCAATGCCTATGTGATTTAACATATTCCTAATAACGTTTTAACAATACAATTTCAAAGTAAATCACTCGATCCAAACCTTAAGAAAATCGATAAATAAGATAAAGATACTCGATCAAATTAAGCCAAATCTGACCTGAAATTTTCGAATTCGCAAAATGATGGGGTCAGATACTATATCTTTGACTTGGAGGGCTTGAATATATGATCCTTGTAGAATTTAAGCTCTGCTATGCTCTCCTTGATATCGTCCATAGCCCGGTGTTTGTTATTTTTCCGAGGGGCCTTTCTGTTATCTACCAAATTCCAACAATGTTTTTCATGTCCAAATGTATAGTGATAAACTAAGTAGAGAAGCAACCAATGGAATGGAAATTGAAGAGCAAAATCGTCACCTCTTGGGTACCAACGAAGGCACAAGGCCTTGATGCTGCTAACGTCAACTATCACATGGGAGAAAAGGGCAGCCAAATCCGGCATGTATTTCTTCAGTCGGGAAGAATTCAACAAGAAAAATCAGGATAATATGACATCGTTAGATTGTGGGACTAAAATCTAAATGTTGTTACGTGATGGGATAAGGATTGAAGAATTCTCTTATATAGGAGCAAAAGTGCAAGTTTGGCCGATGATCCATACGTGCAAAGGAAACAATATATGTCAATTGCATGATTTAAAACACAATAGTAAAACCTTTCTCACCCGTAAAAATATAAGATCCACATAGACTGAGTTTCCTGCGATAAGTGGCGTATAAGGACCTATATGTTTTGTCACAAATTCTATAACCTACATAAATGCAAAGCCATAAAAATAATGTGAGAAATGAAATCTAAACTTTGTGTAAAACAAGAAATATAGAAATGTTTAATTGTCATTAAAAAGGCATAATTGAGCGTAAAGTCTCATCTTTATATTTACTTTGGAAAAGAAGCTTGAGTTAATGAATGGATTGATATTATGATTAGCATTTTCACGTTTCGAGTTTCTTGTCCAGCCATGACTGACCAATCTAGATTCAGTTATAGTTATGCTACACTAGAGTTTAAGTCTTTAGTTAGGATTGTGGCGTAAGGCCTCACTTGGATTTAAGAGTCTTAAATAAGAGTTAAGGCCTAAGTGCTTTTAATGTGGCGCCACAGGTGAGTTGACTCCGCAACCCCTCCTTAGCATCAGTAATTCACCTAACTGTTCTAAGCTACCAACAATAGCTATTTCCATCCATGAAATTTAGTTTTTTTCACCTCGAGAAAATTCCACGATAAATAACAAAAATAATTTTTCTTAGTTCTCTAAGGATGTTAACACAATAAAAAAATATAAAATAGTCATGATCGTACAACCTAAGTGGCATGGCCTCTAGTAAGTAGAAGTTTCTATTTCCTGCTAGAACTATTTGTACATTCAAGAATGTTCAGAAACTTTCATTCTGTTAAATTTCAAAGTCACTAACAGTTCCCAGCATTACTAATATTTGACCGGCCAATCTTGAATTTTATAGTGAAGCAAAATATACTATAACAGGAGACTATTTCAGCTGCCTAACTACAAGTGGTAATCGATTAATTTCTAATAAAGAACAAAAGATAAAAGAGTTATTGGATTAGTAACTGACATTCGTGCATCATAATACTATGGCTGAAGGCTAAGCATTTGTTACCCTTATTACATGCAATGCTGAATCAGTGTCATGCAAGAAAATGTGAATGGGTACAATAGGTTCGTTTCCTATACTTGTTTCATTTATAGAAAGTGAATCAGGGAAATTAATCATCTGATATTTATCTTATTTAAGTCCAGCAGCAAGAGAAAAAAATGGAACCTATAGAAAGACTAAAAAATCAAACCACTACCTCCCTTTCGGCTTCTTGTTCAGTTATTGTGCTGTGAAGGACCTTTTCTGTCAGACCTACATACCAACAGAATTGAGCGACTAGTAGCCGGAGGAGTAAGATAAATGATAAAAAACAAAAGGGGAATAACAAATATTCACTCCCTCTTTAAAATATCAAGTAGGGTAATATTTTGGTCAATTTTTAAAAATTTCATACACAATAAATGCTACTAAAAAACTTTAGAAAATTGCACAACATTTACTAAAAATGTCTTTGACGTTCCTGTCATATGTTGAGAATACAAATACATAGATGGTGACACTTCAAACTTGCATACCACTTGCCAAATGATGATCTTGGCACCATTGTCCCATTTTATCAAGACACTCCTTTGTCTGATGAATAACCAAATCAGGACCCTACACAAAAAGATGAGGAGCATTGATGTTTAAGATATTAAGGGGCAAAAAAAAAAAACAATGATTGCTCACGAAAGAAGTCAGTTGCTGTTGTTCTCAGTTGCTCACAAAATCAAACAACAATAAAGATCAGCGTAAAATGCTACATCAGAGAAAATTAAAGATAAAAAGGAATCAGCCTTACCTCAATTGACTTTTTTAAATTTCCATCTGTAATTACACAAGCAATCTCCAAAACTCTATCAACTTCAACGTTCAAACCTGCAAAGCCACAAATAACAGAATTTTCAAGAGTTTTATAGTTTTTCTTTTCTTGCGTCAGTGTGTGAAGTTGGTTTAGCAAAACTAATTCTGTATGTGAAAATCAAAGGATTGGATAGCCAGTTTTCGCAAAGTGCTAAGACCAAACAAAATTTCCTGAAAGCGAAAAAGAAGACCATATAAGATCCTGAACAAATTTAACAGTTGCATACAAGCATAAATTTCTAGTTTCATTTCATAAATTCAATGATTTAGGATAAGCTATAAAGTATAATAACCAAGTGAATGGGATGATGCGGTATTACCACCTCATTTAGAAGATTAAACTATAGGAAAATGTATCATTTCAATTTATTTATTATTATTTCCTTCAATAAGGACCATGTTATGACAATTTAATTGCCCCAGGAGTTTTCACCGGCAACATTTAAAAAAACTCCTGCAAAAGTAGAAATGTGAAGTTGCACATGAGTTTTTGGACATTATTTACATGTGGTATGAATGAACTTGGCTTATTTTAATGACTAAAAATCTTGAGACAAAATTGCTACAATATCAACTCCAACTAAAAGTTTCGCAAGCGGAAAGACTGAAGTTTAAAAATGAGTTCTTATGGCACTGAAATTGATATAAATCTTTCTAGCAGGATCAAGAATGCTTTTCTGCCACATAAAACACTATGAAGACTAGCCCTAGGTTGCACCTGTCATTTCCAGATCAATCCACAAAAGTGGCATCTTGAAAACTGCTGGAGGACGCTCTGTAGTTTGTCCAGCTTTATTTTCACATATCGGCATAAATTCATCATCATTTGAATGTTCTGCTATTTAATCATAAAGAAACAAATGTGTTAATATAAGAAAAAACACTAGTAAAGGTAAATCAGGAAACTGAAGGGTATTAATAAAAGACTTGATCAGATTAAGGACAGGGAAAAACAAAACTATTTCTCTGCAGCACTTGGTCATCTAGAACCTTCAAAGATAAATATACATTAAAATAATTGAAGACAATCAGATGAGAAAAACAGAAGATTAGTAACCTCTGGTTTCAAAATTGTTATCACTAGAAGCAGGGACAACACTCTCTCCCATAGCATCTTCAAGATCCAGTTCAAGCAATGAGAAGGCATTTGAAAGATGATTCATCTCTACATGCAAAAAGATCATCACATAAGGTATAGCAGAAAACAGCCATCCTTTTAAACATCCTTTGCAAACTGGAAAAAGATAGGCAGTTCTGACATGAGTTTTATAATTAGATTATGCAAATAAGCAGTTGGTGTAAATTTTTGTTAGAAGGGGAATCACTTTTCACCTTGTGGACCTAACTTTTTCTTATGCACATTCATTATGAATATCAAGAGTGGATAAATTATTGTACGAATTCTAATTTTACGTCAAACTAGATAGATCCTCCTTAGTCATAATCCGTAACTATATTTGCGATGATTTATTAGGGTATATAAATTAGTTTATTCACACTAATCACGTATTTGCAAGGTATGTAAATTAGTTTATGCATACTAACCACATATTTACTTATTAAGGCTCATGCTAATACTTTAGAAAGTATCAATTAAATCCTAATTAACATGGTGTGAATGATTAATCTCACCTATATAGACCTGGCAGATATTTCAACAATATTATGTATGCAGTTGCACCATTATATGTCATTATGCTTCCTAATAATAGATAATTGCATAAATTAATTCAAATGTGTTCAGTGGGTGCCTCAAATCCACGTTCCTGTATATTTCACATGATTATAACAGTATGAATTTCACATGATTATAACAGTATGTGAATCTCAACATTTTGGGGCAGTTCTTGGCTGATATATCTTTGAATAAAACAGCACATCACGTCCAAAACACACATGCGAGTAAACTCAGATGTTCATCTTGTATCTTGTTCTCAAATTTATTAATTGCAGTTAAATAATCAGCGGTTTCTTGTTTGGATTATAGAAATTAGTCTGTTACCCACCGCTCCCAACAAGATGATAATACAATGAGTACAGTTTACTCCATACAACTCAGCAGACTGTAATTCATAATACGCATGAACTGATAACAGTAAAAACATAGTTCCTTGAACTCAATTCGGCTAATTCATCAGAAACAATCGAACTTCATTACAAATGCTCTACACAAATCAACAAAGAGTTGGCACGCAGAACCGTCCAGCCACAATAAGCCTGGTGAATTAATTACTGATAACTACAGACATGAAACAGAGACTATAGATACCTCCTCGCAGATCCAACTCGTTTCAGGGAAGCAGATGCAGCGCCAGCAGCGGCATTCATCCAAACCCTTCGCATTATGTACCTTCTGCTTGTTAACATGGAGCGGTTTCTTATTGTTTTTTATAATAATTTTATATTAAATTTTCATTAAAAAAAAAAACATAATGAAGGTTTTATGTTTTTTTTTTTTACAATGTAATTTAAAAATTTAAAAATAATAATAATATTGATATTAACTTATGTAGATCATAAAAGAATATTTGATTTCTATTTATATATTATATAAAATTTTATTTTATAAAAATAATATTAATATCCTATATTTTTATTAAAGTACTTCATAATTTTTAAATATTTTAATTTATATTTTAGTTTCTTTTTAAGTATATATAATTTTTTATCAATTAAAAATTTTAATAAACTTTTTATCCGACACAACCACAGTTAGAATATTGACGCTTAGTCGACCCGAATTTCATTACAATAGAACACGATCAAAACCTCTTTGGAATATAAAAGATGTTCTGTATGTCATGTGCTGAGAAAGACGAAATACATTGGACATATAGTAGTAGCACACATCCTTACAATGTCCACAGCAACTCCTCTGTAATTTTCACAAAAAACAAAATAGACGAAGCTCGGCCGAACCCAGGGTGGAGATTTCACAGGTAGAATCCAAATGAATGGTGGTGTATCTGAAAGAATCAAAGATCACAGCATAAACTTCAACTCAACAATGAGACTATCTAGTAAAGAACTGGAAGAGAAGTGATGCAAAAAAGATATGGTAAATCACCTGGTGCCGGTCTCTGACCATTGTCGTCGGCTGCGATAGCAGCAGTGTAAGAATTCAAATAATGAGATATTCAGTCTGGCTGAGTACTGCATCGATTGTGTCTTTGGCATATGATGTACAAGGTTGTCATTAAATGTAGAAACTATCCGAGCATCTATATAGTATAGTGCATCTTTCTGCTACCCACTCTTGCAATGGTGCCTCGTCGCAGGCATATCTATGAGGTAAGTTCGAGAATTAAGCACCACTGAATGGTGTTCAGAGGATCCGGGAGATTGATAAGAATCTGTGACCGTGTCTAGAAGATCTCCTCGGAGTTAAATTTATTCCAGGATTCCTGTTTTTCAACGCATCAGAGGCCAAAATGAAGAAAGGGATTCCTTAAATAGAGTAGACAATAGCTTTATATCAAAATATGTAACCATGTGAGGAAAGAGCTGATGCATGCACAGATATGGTTCTACTTAGAAAAGGCTGTAAGATCGAGTTTCTAAAGTTCAGAATATTTTTTCATCGTTGTATATTACATACATAAATAATACATATATAATGGTAGTAACTAAATATTGCATAGGATGTATGATTATAGAACTGTATAATAATCAGAATAATATGTCGTCTTGGGTTAGATACTAGTTATATAATGTAATGAAGTCAAACCAGAACCGTACCCGAGTTTACTATGTTTTGTGATGAACATTCAAAATAAAATATGATAATTTGGAGAGATGAGCAAGATGAAAATGATCAAGTAAATACCTTTAGCAGGTCAAAGACCTTTTCGGCGACATACTTCTGTTGAAGTGTAGCACCTTTTTGCTGCACCTTGTCGGGATGAATGCAAAGTGTAGCTTTTCTGTATGCTTTTTTAACTGAGGCAGTGACAATCAAATCTGTCAACGAAACAGGCTGCCAACCACACCCTGGCCAAAGAACCTGTCATCCACAGGGCCCATGTTAAGATTGAGGGTAAAATGTGAATAGTTTCTTAGACATCTGTAAACTGCCTGTCCGGATCTGAAGTACTGCTATTTAACATATTTTTAGTTTAATGCGTGAAGCGGGGGAACATATTACGCACAAATTGTAAAGTTGACAGAAGAGCTCGCAGGTTGCCTTCTTTGCCAGCAGCCCATCGCCTGATTTCAACGTCTGCTGTCTCAGCAATCCTCTGAATCCAAACCAGATCATATGAAGACTAAGGTTAGATTATTTCTTCAACTCGCAACCAGATTTACTCAAGCAGAGAACCCAAATTCATAGTAGCGAAAATTCAATCAAGTGTAGAATCAAGCAAAAAAAGAGATGGTACATTACTACATAAAGGAATTCAAGATCTAATCATTACTTGGTCAGCTACACTAAACACCAAAAAGAAAAGGAATAAGAACGAATTTGACATAACACTTAACAGAAGAAATTATATGCTAGCAATAGTGCAACAGATAATGTATGTTCCCTTTTTTAAGAACTCACTTGTCTTTCTTCTTGCTCTCTTTGAGTTTGAAGGTCCCGCTGGTTCTTTTCAGCCAATGCTTGGGCCTGCAAAGAAAAATGAACACTTAATTCAAAAAGTCCCAAGAAATAGTAGATGAAGATTAGAATATCGTGAACAGTGAAGAAGCTCAGAAACCATTTTTCATCCGAGAACATGAACACATACCGCCCGCTCTTGAGTACGCTGATGGCGCTCCATTCTAGCTTTTCTTCTTTCATCAGGCTCCCCTTCTACCACCTTGAATTCCCCAGATGGGGCAGCTTCAGAAGCGAAATTATTCCAAGAGAAAACATCAGGAAGGAATAAACTATTAACAATTTTCAAAGTACTGAGATATAAGAAGTTTGTAAACCTCCAAATACAGAAAATAGATCATCAACAAGATTGGTGGCTGAAGAAGCTTTCTTTGTGGTAGAGGCTCCACTGGAATATGGAGGTGCCTTTGCAGCATCAGATCCTACCTTTCTGTGGAGCTGTTGATCAAAGAAAGGATCCTTAAATAAGAACATGAATAATGAATAAGAACCAAAGTAAGCAAAAAATACTGTATGAACAGAATGGCTTCGAGTAGAAGTACTTACAGTTGTGTTTGAGCTTGCCCTTGGTGCCCTACTTCCTCGGCCCATGCTGAAAAAGGATTCAAGATCATTACCAGTCTTCTGCTGATTCATCCTCGCAGCTGAAGCTGCCATTTCTCGAGCTTGTGCAGCTGCTCTCTCTCTAGCCTCAGCTGCAGCTCTCTCAACAGCAGCTCGTTCAGCTTGGTGCTTAGATTCAGCAGCGGCCCTTGACACAGCAGCTATCTTCTGCACTTCTTTCTCCCTCAATTCTGCTGCAAGAGCCCTTTCCCTACCTTCCACAGCTGCCTTATCTGCTCTCTCTTTTGCTTCTGCAGCAGCTCTTTCCCGAGCTTCAGTTTGAGCCCTATGTACTGCTGCCCTTTCAGCACGTTCTCGAGCTTCAGCATTTGCTTTCGCAACAGCAGCTCTTTCAGCTCTTAAACGCACTTCAGTAGCTGTTCTTTCACGTGCTTCTCTAGTTGCCCTCTCTACTGCTTGTCTAGCCTTCTCCATTTCAGTCTCTCTTAATCTCTCTTTCTCAAGTTGCCTTTGCTCTCTTTCTTCTTCTTTATGTTTCCTTTCTCGTTCTGAAGTCACCTGGGTTTCCCTAAATTCTCTAAATTGTGCCTGTCGCTCATCCTTTTCCACCCGCTCATGCTCCTTATTTCTAGCAGACCTTGCATGCTCTCTTTCACGCACTTCCTTAGCATGCCTAAACTTTGCCTCGGCTTTATCCATAGCTTCCTCAATAGCAGCAGCAGATTCAGCAGCAATAGAGAAGGAATCAGCATTCTTATTATGATAAGGGTTGACACTTTCTTGAAAATTGTTGTGTGGCCTCCCCGTAGATAATTTCGCAAGTTCACTGTACAATGAAGTTGGAAGACTGCTGGATTCATCCTTGGTCAGATTAGAACTTTGAGAACAATGAATATAACTTGACGGGGAAGAAACTTCACCACCTTTCCTTCTGAACCTTGATGAAGAGGATTTTGTTTCCAGCCTTGACGTTTGACGAGGAATGCAGGGAGGAGGTCGTGATGGGGGTGGAGCAGTTGAAGGTTGTGTAAAAAGAGATATATACGACACAGTGAACCAAACATCATCAATTTGTTGTCCTTGTCCCAATGTAGTAGGTGTATCAACCTGTGGGCTGGTTTCATGGGGTCGCAGAGAAGAAGCAGCTTGATCAGAAAATGTCTGAAAAACGGTAAGTACATTTGGCCTATCGAATGAGGGAGGTTCCTGAAAAGCATATACAGAAACTTTTTTCTTCATGTTTCTCTTTGGAAATCCAAAAGAAGAGTTACCCATAGGCTCTTTGGCAGTAGCAGATTCGGATGTTGATATAGAATTCCCATACTTCCCTCCATTATCCTTCACATGGGGGAATGAACGTGCATGTTTTCCAATATTACTAAGGAGATCTAGGTGATCAAATGTTCCACCATCAGGCGGAGCTTCAACTCGTGTGCTTCTTGATTTATTGAGCTTACCAATCTCTTCTAGTGGCCCGGACCTTCCAGATGATGAGTTTGGAGTTGAACTTGATTCAAGAACTATAAAAGGATCACCTAGGATATTCCCCTGCTTGTTAGAACCAGCATTTGGTACAGACCTCCACCTTGACTCTGGTACCGACCTGGGACAAAAAGGGAATAATGGCGCTTCATTTAAGATTAGTCAGAAACAAATCAAATGAGAAAGCTAAAGCATTTGAATTCTACTGCCGACAGCACAGGATTCATAATCAGAAACAGAAGTCATCAATATTTGCCAAGCTTAAGGCATTGTTCTTCACCAGATACTGAGAGTAATCAAAGAGTCAAATTTGCAGCTATGTTGTGCTGTTTAAAGAGAGAAAAACAGAAGTAATTTAATGAAGTGTTGGACAATGACACTTAGATGAAAATTGAAATGATATCTGTAGATAACATATCGAGTTATCAACCTTCAAATTCTTAATCAACTATTATCCATAAAGGGGTGTTTGGTCAGTTTGGTTACAGTTTAATTTCATTTTCTCTTAGTTCTCCCTTGAAACAGTATGATATTAGTTTGAGTTGTCAATTACTAAGGCATGAGTCACCATTAGGGCTTACAGAGAGAAACAGGGCAATTGCCAGCCCCTACTCCACCTGCAGAATGTGACCTTGATTTAGCTGCAGGGACCTACAACCATCTTTCATGTTACATTGCCTCAATGCCCATTTGTCACTTCATCAATATAGAGATAATTATGTTATTACAGACACCTCTCACCACAGCCAAATTAAATTCATTGTTCCCAGTTAATTGTCAACTATTTGGTTCATTATAAGAATGTGACCAATCACAAGGTGAGATGGTAATTTTAAAGAACTATAGCTATAGGTGACTTCAACAAAGGCCAGATATCAAGAGAGGATGAGAAATGCTCACATAGTGCTGTTTTTCCATTCAATAATGCAGAAGGGATCTAACATCTGAAATTTGATGTTCTGCTTCCTCGATCAATTAAATGAACAATTGTCTACTGCTCTATTCATAACATAGTTGGAAAAATGAAACTACAATTCCCAGATATTTAACCGAAATCCAAATACTAAAAGGATAAAGTATCTCTGATCCGACTTCCATCAATAACAAAATTCCATCAGCAAGGGGCCGGGCACCATGTAGAAAAAAATTCAACATGTAGGTATCACCTACCAAGTACCATCAAGCATTATTACCCATGAGATAGTGGAAAACAGGAAATCGATCCAAGAGTAATAACTAATGTATTAAGAATTTCTTTTGAAATTCACAATATATAAATGATTAACATCACAAGTAATATGCGACAAAAATTATAACCACATTTACTTCATCAACTACCATTCATATACTCTACTTGTTCCCACTTTAAAGCGTTGTACGTGTGGACAGTTTGTAAATCACTATGAACTACTTATTAGATCAATATGGCTCGTTGTCAACACAAAACTTGGCTAATGCAATTATATTAAACCAATCAAGATCAAGCTCAAATGCACTAGATTATTAGTCAAGTCAGGTAACTTGATGGACTGATCTAGTAAAAAAAACAGCTGAACTGGGCCATGGTGATAAATTAGTACTTTTTTCAAGCGATAAAATAACTTGGGATTTGATACAATTTCAGGTTCGATCTTCCTATGGTGAAACAACTCTGGGCTTGACCAAAACTCCATTAATCAAGTTCAACCTGAGCTCCGTATTTTAGGCACATTACTTTAGTTGAGCTCAAACCAATTGAGATTAAGAACCTGAAACTCAGCTCCAGTTTCAGATTGAATCATTAACATCACTAAATTCACAAATAACTACTATCAGAATATTAATTGATCTAACAGCAGATAGCCAGGAGCTCAAGTCAGTAACAGCAGTTCGCAAATAGCAATCAAACTGGATATAATCTAATGCCAAAAGAATAAAAGGAAAAATTAAAAAATAAAATAAAATAAATAACCTAGCTGCTGCGTCTGAATTTTCACTCCCAAATCCAGCCAAAAAATCATCAAATCCTTTTGAATTCATGCTGCTCTTAACACTAGTGGTCTTGTTCTTCTCAACAATCTTCCTGTTCCTCCCAATATTTCCCAACAAATCATCAAAATTACTGTTTCGATTCTGACTCCTCCCAATTGCAGTTGCAGGCGTCGACATCGATCCAAACACGTCGTCATAAAACTTCGTTGTTAATCCTCCAGTCTCGCTTCTCACCCCAGGTAATCCTTCAAATGCATCGTTATCATACGCCTGTTTATCATGCGCCGCATATGGCGAAAAATTAACTTTGTCGTTACTTTTCTTCGCTGTCGACTGGAAAACAGAATCGTAGTTCAAATCGCCCAGTCCTGACTGCTTTTGATTACCATTGGAGTTCGAACTCGGCGGGTACTTGCTCCAACCGCCGATGACGTTCTGGAACAACGGATCGCCGGCGCCTCTCCTATCGGCCAGTAAGGACCTCATGGGGTTTGCTTTTCCACTGGTCCCGAGCCCGAAATCACGGGACAGAACATCCAGATTATCCATCGATCAGGTTCGCCTCCGCATCGGCGGATCTAACAACAAAATCCTCCAGCAAGTAGCTGGATCCCCAATTCACCGGATTCGAACTCCCAATCGGTTAAATTCCGACTTGAACGGTAATGTGATCGACAAATGCATCGAATTAGCCGAAAGATTCCCACCTTTGCGCACAAGAAAACAGTGGACAGACATTCCAATTTGAGACTTCGGCGATGATAGAGACGATCATTTCGAAGGTGAAGGAAGACAGTGATGACAAAATGTAATTAGGGCTTGTATCGAATTTTCCTCAGGAACGATGAGATGGATTTATTTTATTTACAAAGCAACTGTTTCTGAGACTCAATTTATTAAAAAATAATGTAGCGGATCTTTTACAAGATCAATTCGGATTGGCTCTGGTTCGTTTAGAAAATCTGGTTCGAGGAACTAGATGTGGGACAATTCGGCATAAATTGATATCGATTCCGCAGAATTTGGTAACTTCAACACCATTAACAACCACTTATGAATCTTTTTTTGGTTTACACCCCTTATCTCAAGTTTTAGATCGAACTAATCCGTTGACACAAATAGTTCATGGGAAAAAGTTGAGTTATTTAGGTCCTGGAGGACTAACAGGACGAACCGCTAATTTTCAGATACGAGTGACTATGGTCGTATTTGCCCAATTGACACATCTGAGGGAACCAATGTTGGACTTATTGGATCCTTAGCAATTCATGCGAAGGTGGGTCCTTGGATGGGTCCTTGGAGATCTTTAGAAAGCCCGTTTTATGAAGTTTGGAGAGATCAACAGGGTTACGAATGCTTTATTTATCTCCGGGTGGAGATGAATACTATATCTTAGCGGCGGGAAATTTAATTAAAAATATTACTATTATTTATCAAAATAAATTTGATAATATCCCACGGACGAAGTACACGTCAACTGAATTTCAAAACGCAATGCACAGCCAAAAGAAGAAAACTACCTGCATATATAATTCAAAGTTCATGTTTATAAATTATATACTTGTATGTATACATATAGACTTATGATAAACACAAACTAACATAATTTTTTATTTTAAATTTTTTTTGTTTACCGAAGGCATGTTCAAATCATAGCCTTGTGCATCCTTAGCTGCGGGTTCGACTGGCTTTGAACAGAGACTGGTATTAGATTTTACCATAGTCTACAAGTCAGACGACGAGATTTGTGTAGTTTTAGTCCTTGCTCTTGGCATCACTGCCCCAGACAGTGTCCCAGGCGCCGCTAGGGGCAGCTTTGGGCGCATCCACGAAGTTTTGAGTTCCTCCGGTATTTGCTGGTCCGGGAAGGCCATCCACTCCAGGAGGAGGTACTTTCTTCGATTTTGTTCTGATTCCTAATATTCTCAAAACAAATCTGGCAAGTTCGCCGTATAACATTCCGGACCTATCGAATAGCTGCATAGGGAGCATTTGCAATTAGATGATGAAAGAGTAATGATTTCCGGCTAAACTACTCAGGCACTGTGTGATATAATAAGTAAAAACACATAATCCACCAGATATAATCAACATGGCTTCTTTCTAGTATAAATATAAGTAAACAATTTATTATTATTATTATTATTTGTTTGTTTTTATAAATCATGAAAACTTATGCTTACAAAGCCATTTTGATACCTAACAATGTTTTTCAATTATTGAAGAATCTTTATATCAAATAATGTGTAGTACGTTTCAAGAGAAAGAAAAAGGGGGACAAAAATCTCAATTTGTCACTATTTTACTCAACAAGAACAGACATTATTTCAAATACCCCCCAAAACTCTAAAAATGCATCCAAGAAATGATCAAGATGCAACCAGCACTGGATTATAGGATAATGGTACACGTGAAAAGAAGAGAGTACCTGAAGGAGGGCAGACATAAACAAGTGGAGTGCTTGCGTATTTTGGTCAATCAACATCGAAAATCGTCCAAAGAAATTCACCACACCTTGCATCTGTCATTGCCAAAAAGAATAAAATTGACGGATTAGGTATAAAATATGGCGGATCCCAACAACAATTAAGATCAATGCTTCACTGACTAATACTAATCAAGCTTGAAGAAAATACTAATATGAAAAAAAAAAAAAAAAAAGGTCATAACTCCGATCTTTCATGTTTACAAAAAAGAGTAGTTTCTTGTTCTAATGATTAGGAACTGGCTATGCAACCAATTATGATTTTCCCCTGACAAAAGTGCATCAAGCAAATTATTTCATCTTTGAGTTATGAATTAACTTTTGCATCCATCAATCTCCAGCAACCAAATTTATGTACAAAGTACAAAAAGACAAGTGATTCTAATGCTCTCAACAAAGTCAGGAAGAAGAGATGGAGTTAGCTTACCACTCTCATTAGTGAGACCCAAAAACCGGGTGGGGAAGGAGGTCCAAAAGGGTTATTAGGATCCTCGTTACCGTAGGGGCCACCCATGCCCATTCCATAGCCACCCATTGCACCTCCATAACCATTGCCATACATTCCGCCACCACCATACATGCCACCTCCATAAAGTCCACCATAGCCTCCTCTATACATGTTATTTCCATACAAACCGTTGCCATAGGACCCTGCTCCATATCCACCATACGAGCCATACATCCCCCCACCTCCATAGCCGGAGTTATAATTCAAACCAGAACCATATCCTGAATAAGAAACAAATCAAAAATCATTTGAATATTCTATACACTTGATGTGCTACAAATAACACAGGATGCAAATATTATACAACCCCATATTTTTATATTATGTTCAATCAGCATGACAATTTAAAACAATGCAAATGCTACAATTTATTAGAACAGAATCAATGCGCAGATATAATATGCATACACAGACAGAAGTTATAGTACTTGGAAAAGCCTGCTATGCAAGATGCAACAACATAAACATGCACAACCGATTTTTCTTCAATGAAAATAGCAAATTAGAAACAAGGCTGTGGCCGGCTCAAAGTAATGAAAGCACACGCACCTCCGTAGGTGCTGTTTCCATATGTCTGTTGTTCCCAAGGCCTAGAAGGTACAGGCCGAGCAAGTGTGTTCCTATTAACAGTTGTATTCCTATCAGAAGTTGAAACAACTTCACCAGGCTGTGCTGTCCCAGATGCCTCTACTACATCACTTGTGTTTCCAGCAGAGGGTGGTTTGAAAGGCGTAGGCCCAGAAGAAGAAGGCCCTGATCTTTCCCATGGTTTTGGTGGAGGGCCATCTCCTGCGCAGGGATTAACATTCGCTACATAATTACTACGGAATAAAGAACTATAAGAAATCTTCCACCATCTCCCTACTGCAGCTAAATTTATATGTCATCAAAGTAAATTCTGTTGCATCCAAAAACAAAATTATATCAATGGCGGACACTGGACACAAGAATCACACCTGAATCTGTCTAATGGTCCACTCGTTTAAGAAGGTATGTTTGCCATATCATTGCTGTATTCTTCTCTAAATTGTGCTAGAACTAAATTTGAGAGTTTTGTTAAACTAACTTGTAAACATACAACCTTAGTAATACCGAAATCGTAATTGTTACTAATATTGTTCTTTTGTGTAGTTAACGCAATTGAAACTACAATTCTGGACAAGGAATTAGAAACCTCGCATACAAATCTAACAGAACTGCATAAAATTACATTATGAAAAATCAACTGTCATGTCCAAACAGGTGACGAAGAAAGTAGAACGATTCCATCGACAATCAATCTACATAAACAAAGAACTCAACGCGGCAAACGCCCTTCGAAAAAAACGCATCAACCCCGACCAAAAGTTTCGAAAATAATCTCAGAAAATGAACTTATACCATCATCAAATCGATTCAATCCAATATAAGCTGCATATACCTGACGTTTGGGAGTTGCTCGCCATCGCGAGGGTTCTGCCGCCCTAAGACTGCGGGATCGAGGAGAGAGATTAAGAATATCTATATCGAAATTAGGTACTGATTTGTTTATATTAGCAAACTGCAGCTCCAACAGCTACAATTTTGGGGTCGGTTATTGGTCCAGCCCGGCCCGGACCATAAGTAACTTGGCCCGAACCTACTGTGGGGGTAGCTGGTGGTTCCCCAAAGATTTAGGATGTGTTCGTTTGAATTCTTTCTATAATTCTTATATTTTTACTATTTAATTTTTATATTTTCAATACAATAAAATAAATTATTTAATAAAAAATATATTAAATATTATTTTAAATTGAAAATTAAATTGAATTTTTTTTAAATTTCTGTTTCAGATTTTTCTAGAAACTCAAACCATTCCACGTGTGTAGTCTAAACAAACACCTCAACAAAAACTACGCTATTTATAAGGAAAGATTTCGAAAAAAGCTTACCAGAATATCAACACACATCGCTTCATCCACCGAAACCATAATTTTCTTTCGTCTTCAAAGAAGAATTCCAATTACAGTTCGTTTAGCCGTAAGTAATCGATTGAATTTTCAATTTCGAGGTGCTTTTTTCCGGTAGAGTTTTTGGTTGAGTTCGCGTTAATTTCTCTTATTTGATGTCGGCGACCGGCGGAGCAACCGTTCCTTCAATTGATTTCATTAAAACTATAATTGAGAACGATAATCCGCCGTTGGGAGTTATGAGGAGTCTTCTGTATAATCCTGGCTTGAGTGTCGTCTGGACTCCCCAAGAACAGGCCGTCTTGGACGAACTGCTTCTCAAGTCAGTTTATTATTATTATTATTATCGCTGTTATCGTTATTGTTTTTGTGGTGTTTATTTTTTACTAAAAATATTTTTTTATAATAGGTATAGGAAGCGTATGGATGACTTTGCAAATGGGTAATATATATATATATATTATACTTTTTTTTATAATATTAATAAGAGCATGTTAAAAAAAAAAAAAATGGTGGGTGAATAGTTTTTCTTTTCAATTGCGTATCTTTCTAAAATGTTTATTATTATTATTATAGTGTTGGATTCTATTGGTTTTGCATGGGCTTAATTACTGTGTTCATCAACTAAAATAATCAGTATTATACAGAAAACACATAGCAAAGTAATAAAATTTATAGCATGTGATGTATTGATTTTCATGACTATGAATCAAAGGTTGATTCGGTCAAATTAGCTTATCGTTGATTTAACCGAATCGGCATACCTTAGCACAAATAATCGACACATATTTACAATATATTACATTAAAAATTTAATATATGTTATATTATGTGGAAATATATATTGGTTATACGTATGAACTGACATGGTTGGATTAGCACGGGATTGGCACCCGATTTTTATAATGTGGATTCAATTAATATTGATCATGATTGGAGCTGCAAATATTAAGGTATTCTTTGTTTCTTTATTTTTTCTCTTGTTTAGAAATTTATGGATATTAGATTTGGTTTAGTTCTCATAGTTGCACGTAGGGTTTAGGGTTTAATTCTCATCATCGTATTTATGGATGTTTAATTTGATTTGATTTGATTTGATTTGTAGTGGCCTGTTTATTGTGAGGTTTTGGTTTTGGATTTGATTTTGAATAATAAAATTTTGAATTGAAATAATTGTTTGATGTGATATAAATATGTGTTATGTGATATTTTGACACTAAAATTAATCTGACAAGTAAACATGAATGTTGTTATTTAGTATTTTTACTTTTAGTTGTTTCTTATCTTAGGTATTAATTGAGAAGTATGTTTTGAATATTTTAATATATATATATATATATTTTAAAACAAAGTCTGTAATATATATTTTTGTATTTATATATTGTGTTCGTATGTACTTTATTATATTTTAATGTAGAAAAAAATGTATAGAAATTTGGTGTTGATGAATAATTTCATTTATTTATTATATATATATACATATATAGGTATGCCCCAATATATGATCTTCTCGAGTGTTATGCTCTAATTTCCAATTCACTGGAGAATAAAACAATTAGGGATGTCGCATTGCGTTGTAAATGGATGTCATACCAAAATCGGATGGAAGTGAGTTTTTTTTTTTTTTTTTTTTTTCTTATCTATTATGTTCACTTGTTTATATTTTATTTTATTTTTTTTTCATGCATAAAGTCTTAATTTTATTTATAAAAAATATAGAATTTAATGTAGAATATAATCATTGTTAGCTATGTATTGTCAAATATGAATTAATATAACTTTCTATACTATTCAAATTTAAAAGTAATAATAATTATTATTATATATATATTTCATGAATAAAGTTATTATATTTGTTTATTGTTGCAATTTTCAGGATATATGGTTTATGTGTCCATCAAATGGTTCATCTAACACTCAATTCGCAGAGAACGATGAAATGTCAGGTTTGTTTATTTGTTTTACCTAATTTCACTCCAACAATTATCGGCTTCGTTCACACAATATTTTTCGATGAAATATTTTTTAGTGCGGGGCATGAAAAATAGGTTAAAAATATGAAATATAGCATTATTTTAGGATATTTGATTTTAAATTTTTTAATGCCTTCTAGACTTTTATAACAGAGTATTTGAATTTTTTTTTTTTTTATATAAAATCTTTTGTATTTTGTATTATTATTTTTAAAAAATTGTAATTGAAAATTTGTGTTAAAAAAAAAAAAAAAAAAACAGAGCCATTGTTTATTTATATATTATAGCTTCAAAAGTCTTTGACATTGTAAAGGTTCATTTAAAAATAATTGATTATGAAAAAAAAAAAAAAAAATAGTAGAACATGATAGAAGAATGAAATGTGCATAAAAACTTCAATTATATAACTTTCGAAAATGAATTATTAAATTCATGTTTTAGAATATACTTATAATCTTATATCTATACTAATATAAGTTTTAGAGGATTCCTACAATATTAAAGAAATTTCATTTTGTTTATATTATCTTTTTCTATTCAATTGCATATATTATTTCACCATTTGAAACTTTATGGCATTATTTTAATTTTACCTATAACTATTGAATTAAATTATACAGTAAAAATGAAGAATGAGTATGGTTACTAGCCCTACTGGTGACTGACTAATTTGTGATCTCGAACAAGTTTTATTTTCTTTTTTATTATACCATAGTTGAAAATAATTTTTATTGATATTTTACAATTGGTATGTTGTGCTCATTAAATTATTGAATTTCAGAAATTAATGAACCTGCAAAACAGATTCTCGAGGGAAATTCACAATCATTAAATCAAATTTCAGCCAATCTCGCAGGTTATCAGGTATAATTTCATATATATATATATATATATATATACTTGGTTTCAAAATATATATTTCTGTTTTTAGATCAATTATAGATATAATTAAATATTTCGAATGATTGTGTTATCTAAAACCTTAATACAAAACAAAATGCATCTTTGATTCTACTTTTTCAACATGGCCCTTGCATATGAATAGTGTTCTTATATATATAGATATATATTGAATATAGAATTCGTTTTATATATATATATATATATTCCACATTTGAGAATAATTTTATTTGATTTTTTTAATTTTGCTTGTTTTATATATACAGATCGACAGGAACATGAATTTGTTTAGCAAAGTTCGAGAGAATATATATCATCTCTGGCATCAGTAAGTCTATTATACTTTAATTTTGAAACATTCATTTAAGAAAGTGAAACTACAATAATATTCATTGAAAAAAACATAAAATCATATACAATGATCATATGATAAGATTAAGGTCATGTGTGTATGTGTGTTTGTAGGTCTAATGATCCAAGATTCATGCAACGAATGCCAGATCTTGACTATGTGGACGATCAACTTTTTGCATTCCTTGATGGACCTCTATCGGTGTATAATCCATATTGATACCTACGGCGTTCAAACTATAATGGTGGATATATTTTGATTTTTTTTTTTTTTTTTCTTATGAAAATTAGCAGACTTTTTAGTTTTAGTTTTTTTTTTTTTTTTTTTTTTTTTTTTTTTTTTTTTTTTCACTTTTATGAGATTGTATGATTAAAAATTTGAGAAAAAAAAAAAAACCGAGAACAATTTTTTTTGTATTTGAAAATTTATTTTCGGTTAGTAAGTACACACGTAGTTCATACGTAAATATAAACAAATTGAATGAATGCATTTAATCCAACGAGGTGGAATATTGTTATGCAATGATTACATTACTATACATTAATATATATACATTTATATTTATATACATACATATATTAATATTAATATTCCTGCACAAACATAAATATATATATATATATATATATACATAGTGGTATCCCCATATATATTTATTATTTCTGTTTTTATTTGTTAAGATTAGATTAGTTTTGAGTTTGTTTTTTTTTTTGGTAAATAAATGTTAATGAAGAAATGTCTGATTTTCAATTTAGTATTTATTCAAGTTTCAAGATATATTATTGTATTTCATATTATTTTTGATAAAAAAATAATCACTAAGCTCTAGTAATTCATGTCTCAACGAATGAATACATGTCCACAATTGCAAGGTATTAGGTTCGGCTAGAAATTTAGCAAAGTGCCCACTTACCTTCAATCCGGTTTCTCAGGTTGAACAAAAAATGAAAATAAAAATAAAATAAAAAATTCAATTTTATTCTTATATGTATTTATTTTAATCTCTTTAATTTTAAAATAACAATTTCAGTTTCTTATCAATTATTTTATATAGTTCAAATTTAGGTACTATTAAAACAATTAATCTTTCCTATAGTAACTATAAAAAATAATATTATTTCTATTCGGCTCTAAAAGTCACGTCTATTTTTTTTTGCTGATATTTGAATATTTTGTTTTTGTACATGCATTTTATATTATATATAAAAAATAATATTTTAGATTTAATTATTAATTTTCTGTGGATATATAAATTTATATGATATGTATTGTGTTTGTCTGTATATTATTTTTTAAAAATAATATTTATTAAAAATCGTAATGAACAAATCCGACAATTAAAGACTAGAAAAAAACTCTCATGTACTTATTATTGTTGCGCCTAAACAAATTCAATAAAAATTGCTAATATAATTAAATAAATAAAAATATTGGGCTGGGCTAAAGGCCCATTAGCCCAAGAAGTAGAGCCCTAGGGTTTCAGTGCCCTCAAATAGCGTCAGTGTGTAGTAGAGGAGCTGCAGAACGGCGTCTACTGCATCTTCTTCTGCCGCGGGATTCTCCTTCTCCGGCGACTGCTTTCGATACAATGGTGAGATTTCAGATCATCAATAGTTGTAACGAGCTCTGTCGCATATTTTGTTGTTTGGCTGTATCTTATCTGGATTTCCTCCCCTTGGGTGCTTGTTTACTTTTGCTTTGAAGTCAATTCCGATGTTGATAGACGGAGGTTATTTGTATATGTTATATGAAGTTATCTGTAGGTTTACCGATTTAGGCTTTTGCTTCGATTCATTTTGGTTTATGTGGAAATTGGTTGATTCGTTGGCCTTTGTTTTCATGTGACAATATATGGGGCTGGATTGTGGTGGTTTTAGTAATCTGAATGTGCGATGAGCCGCAAAACTTGTGGCTTAAATTTTATTTATTTTCCTAATTATGTTTAGGCTTTTGATTATCAGATAGTCATTCTATGGGGTTGATACTGTTGGTATGATTTTTGGATGTCATGTTTGGGGATATATAATTGTTCGCCCTCTCGGGTTTTGTATATAATTTGACTTCCATTTTCTGACGGATGGATTCTGTTGCCTTAGCCGTACGTCAAAACCCAGAAGACAAAGGCTTACTTCAAGCGATTTCAAGTGAAGTTTAAGAGAAGGAGAGGTAAGCCATTAATTGATGTTCTGGGGTTTTTTTTTTTTTTTTTTTCACATTCAATCTATAATGACAATGAACGACTTTCCTGATTTTCAATGCAGAGGGAAAGACTGACTATAGGGCTAGGATTCGCCTGATCAATCAGGATAAGAACAAGTACAACACTCCGAAATACCGATTTGTTGTGCGATTTGTATCCTTACCTATCTCCAAAATACTGTGTCTTCAGTTTTTTTTTTTTTTTTTTTGCATCCCAATCTCTCATACTGACAATTCTTACTTTTAATTCCATTGACAGTTTTCTTGAGGTTCCAGTAATGGAATGGATGTTCCTAATGTCTCCCTTAGTTTCTTGCAAATACCTTCTCTATTTGTTGAGAATTATGAATTTTTAACTGTTATTTTTTAAGTCTGAATCATATCCATTCTCGTGTTATTACATTTTCACTGTATCTGTTGGCATTATCTGTGAATATAGCCGTGGGTATTTTGTTCCTTAACATATGATTACAGACCAACAAGGATATAATTGCCCAAATTGTATCTTCTAGCATTGCTGGTGACCATGTCCTATCTGCTGCTTACTCACATGAACTCCCTCGTTATGGCCTGAAAGTTGGCCTCACCAACTATGCTGCTGGTATCTTATATTGGCTTGCTAATTCTTAATTCATTTTTTTGTTATTTCAACCATGTTGATCTCATATTGTCTTGTGATTTAGCATATTGCACTGGACTTCTTCTGGCTCGTAGAGTTCTGCAGAAGCTTGATTTGGACAAAGAGTATGAAGGAAATACTGAGGTACCTTATTTGGTCATCATCCTATTGCTAACTTGAGTTGTTTGCCCCTTGTGGCACATCTCATTGTTGGATTATCATATGTTGGGAAGTATTTTTTAAGCTAAGGTTTTATGTAATGGTTTTCAGGCAACTGGTGAGGACTACTCTGTTGAACCCGAGGAAAGGAGGCCCTTCCGTGCCCTCCTTGATGTTGGCCTTTTGAGAACCACAACTGGAAACCGTGTTTTTGGTGCACTGAAGGTATATTATAGCTTTGTTACTGCTAAACCCATTTGATGTTGTAAACTTAAATATGCTTTTGGTACCCAATCTTGTTTTGCCTTTTGATACCCCCTAGTTCTTGTTATTGGTCCCTCCTATTTGGGTGTGGTTTTCAATTTTGTAATGTTAAACACTAGATTATATATTAAAACCATAATAAAATCTGAAAAACCAACTTTGTTTGGGTGTGGGTTTGAAATGTTCGAATTTGTTTGAACAGTGATCAATAGCTTTTAAATTTGTATTGGTTGGTGATATTGAATACGACATTGATGATCAGCTGAGGGGTATAGATTATTGCTTTTGTTAATTTGAAGAAACTTGAATAGAAGTCGAATGATGGAGTTTGTAATGATATATGATTGTTTTCAAACTCTTATATATTAGAGATTGCCAAATAAAGCTGATTTGTTGGAGGTAAATTGATTTAGCATCAATATATCTACAGGGAGCTTTGGATGGCGGACTTGACATCCCCCACAGCGAGAAGAGGTTTGCAGGATTTAGCAAGGATAGCAAACAGCTTGATGCTGAAGTGCACAGGAAGTACATTTACGGTGGTCATGTTGCCTCTTACATGAATGTTAGTTTTGTTTCACTGTTTCTTTTTCCCATTACCCGAGAGTTTTTTGCGTTGGTCCTTACCTAGAGTTTGATGGTTTCTTCAGACCTTGATGGAGGATGAGCCTGAGAAGTACCAATCTCACTTCAGTGAATACATTAAAAATGGTGTTGAGCCGGATAACATTGAGGCGATGTACAAGCAGGTTCATGCTGCCATTCGTGCAGATCCCTCGCAGAAGAAATCCGAGAAACCTGCTCCGAAGGAGCATAAGAGGTTAGATATATTTCTTTGAAAATACTTTTATAGTATTACATTAAAATTATATGTGCCTATTTATCCATGTATATCAGACTAGCTGAGCATAGGCTGGTTAATATGGTTTGATACTTAGCTTCTTGTGAAAATGCTGATGACATTACATGGCTACAAATCTGTATCAGATTCAACCTTAAGAAGCTAACTTACGAGGAGAGAAAGGCCCGTTTGATCCAGAGGTTGAATGCCCTGAATTCTGCTGCTGGTGGAAATGACGAGGATGACGATGATGATGAGGACGAGGATGATGAGTAAGAATCATAATTGGATATGAATTTGTGTCAATTTTGAGCTATAGCACTAGTTTTTTACTTAATGAAAACATCTGAGAGGCCATTATGATATGTGGTAATGTTTGGAATGGGGACAAGTTAGGTTGTGGATTTTATTTTTATGGTTTCGTTTGGAAGCTCAACTTCAAATTATATTTTGCCTTTTGCCGAGTATTGTTGACTTGTTATTTTGTTTCTCAGTTTGTTTTCGCACTTTCTTTAAAGAAAATATATGATTATTATTATTATTATTATTGTTTTTAGGTTTGTTGCGTTTGGTATATCACGCAATATTTTTATGTAACGTTTGACGTATTATATGATATGTATTAACATATGTATAAAGGATTTTATTAAGAACATGAACGTTTTTCTTATAATTACAACAATTGCTTGATGATCTTTAGGTTAGATTTGTATATTAAAATTGTCCTTTAGATTTTATAGTCGTTTTTTCCATGTAAATTTGGTAAATTATGTCTTTGATATATATTTACTATTTTTTTTAGGATAAATATAAAAAAAATAAATATATTTTGTAATTTTAGGGGTTTATAAATTGGTATTTATGTCAAATATCCTTAAACAAGGATCGGGGATTAAGATGCAAAATTTATGAAACCACCTGATGCAATTTTATGAAATTACATGTAGATTTTGTGTTTAGCTTAAATTTAATGGAAAATATCTTTTAAAATTAGGTTGTGAATTTGTGATTTGAAATTGAATATTGTTTGTAATTTTTATTCAAATAATGCTTTGAGTTGATATTTTTGTAAATAAATATATTTTTTTTTTGTGTGTTAAAAAGTATACTTAGTAAACAATATTAATTTTAATATGAAAAAGAAAAAACCCTTAACTCCAGCCATGAAATATTAATGGTAACAACAATAATATAACACATCTAAGAGTTCAGGAATGCAAGTGCACAACCATGTGCACAAATACACAATCTCACTTATTTAGGTTTAGTTTAAACAGGAGTTTTATTAAAGTTTTGAAATAATGCATAAACCTCTAAAAACGTATGCGTTAACAGAGAGTCCTGTTTCTTCGGTACCTGAGGAACAGACTCTTCCTGCATATAATCATCCACTCCTCCTCCTAACTTACACATAGATGACGACTCTAAACTACATTCTGGAACTCAATGCACTTCCATCATCTCCGAATCCAATTCCGAGCCCGAGTCCTGCCATCACATCACAGTACCACTTGTTTCAGTTCACTCCCTAGATTTCTATTATTCGACTCGATTCTCAACAATGCATTGTCAAAGATTCAACTAACCTGGCGAGAAATAATCGGGAAAGCTAACGTATGTAGGACATGATTTGCTCGATCTCAGTACGTTGGAGGATTTCACTGCACAGTCCCTAGGCTGCATCGCCATTTTCACAAGATTCGTCACATATATGAATGTTGATTTACTTTCTTTTCCACAAGCTATGCGTCATTTTGTCTGAATCATCTAATCATCGGTATATCATTAAATAGGGAAAACAGAATTTGTGGGATCTCTGACCTCAAATTTCTTATCGAAGCATAAATGTACTTCCTCCAGAGCACCGTTTTCACATTCCAACTTTGGGGTAAGATGGAATGCGTTTTGAATGGCTGAAATGATGCCTCCTGTCGGGTATTTTTCACTATTAGATGGTACATATCCAGCTTCAAGTAGAACCTCCTGCACAATGTAAGTGATAGTACATTACCAATGTGAACAAAAATCATTTTACATTGCACATAGTTCCGTTGAGTGTGACTTGTTTTGCTGATATAGTTTGCAAACTATTAGGTTCGACTAGGATTTTTTTATTCCAAATAGCAACCGTGGGTTATTATGTCATTCAAAAAAGCAAAAAACAGAATAATAAAAATCATTACACCACTACTTATGTCAACAACTACCTCAAAAGATTTTAAAATTACTCGTGCATTTATGCTTTAGTATCAAATTGATATATACAAGTAAGAAATTTTAACACAATCTTGTAAATTTAAACATGCTTGAAGTCGACAGCCAAGGAGCATTGAGCTTGAGCTTAAACAAGTGAAGCTCATTCCCCTCAAAGTATATACTCTGATAAAGTTCCTGATTTCGAATAATTTTTTAAGGATAATCCATCTCACACCTCCATGTTAGTCCCTTTAAAGACGCTAAGTTGAGTGAGAAGACAGATGACAAGTAAGAGAGATATCAAGTAGAATAGAAGTTAGAATCTCATGCAATCGCAGAACCAGAAGCTCATCACTGATTATTGACTTCTGTTTAGCACAAAATGTCCAAGCCCACTTCGACTCGAGTGACCAACTCAATTACATCAGGTAAAATGCAACTCAATGTCATAAGTAGTAACACAGAAATCCAGGATAAGTAAAAAAAAACAAAAAAAGTTAAAGAACATATCTCTACTAAGAAAAGTCATCTTACCGTGACATTGTATTTGAAATAAAGATTGAGTGCTGTCAGAAAGTAATTGTATTCATCTCCTGTAACGGAAGCAGAACAAGTACCGTGTTTTTCTGCAGAACATAAAAACAAAGAGCAGTTACAATACAAAAAAAAGCACAATGTAGTCATGGAGGATATGGAGTATGGAATGTATAAAATATATTTTTCGCAAGTGCATCAATTGACATCGCCATCAATATGAAACAGGAATCGAAGGAATGACAAATATGTTATCTGGATTAAATGAAAATGATAAAGCTAAAGCCAGATGGGAATGTCAGATAGAATCTTACCCCACTGTTTCCAGATGTTTCGTAATCCAAACATGACAAAAGCAGAAGGAGCGATAATAAGTCCCCACAATATTTAATGAATGCTGAAATAAAGCAGAGATTATGAACCTACCTCATGTTCCCAAAACAATCCTTTCCCACCATGGCAATTAGAAGAAGAGCTGCAGCTTAAAGACGGCCAGTATTTATTCAGGGCACCAAGCAATGTCGAAATCTGAAGGTTTCAGAATTATAAGAATAAAAGAGAGGTGGAGTCAATGCCAAGTAAAAATGAAGCCAACAGTGGAAAGAAAAGCTTTGACGGTAAGAGATTTGGTGAGTGATGGAGCTATGTCAATCACAAATAGCATAAACTTCAGATACTTTGTTGGCTATTAACCTACATGACTAAATACCCCAAATCAAACTTCTTTCCAAATGATTAGGCTCTGAAATAATGACGTAAATAAGCAGAAAATTCATTTGTACTTGCTAAATCGAAGCATTTCTCTGAAACCACTACAGGTTTCTAGGGGAGCAATTTTATCTGTCATTATAATACATATAGCAATGTAATACTGGGTAAGTAACTAAATCTTCACCAATACAGAAATAATATCAGTGTTTAGTAGTGAATCTATATCCAATCAACCCACCCATATACCAAATGGTATATGAAATAAACAATCTTTACAAATGTGATTGAAAGCAAGTTAAATTTTGGAAACCTATCATAACACAACTGATGCCTAATTCGCAGGATAGTAACAATTTTTAATGTAAACACTGGTATGTAACTGCAGATAAGTTCACAAAGTTCAAATGACATGTCAGTATGTTGAAATGATTCTACAACCAAAACAAAGATTACCTCTTTAATATCAAATTTTTTACCAGAACAACAGGAAGGCCAAGATCCATCATTATAATCTGCCCAAAGACCATCTGAAAGAAGGTAAAGGCATAAGTTAAATATGGCAAAGAAAAGTACATCAAAAGAATAATACAAAATTATAGATACTTTCTATGACAAATCTAACCCAAAAGGGATCATTCTAACTCCAAATCACCACAAATATATACCACCGACTACAATTTAAGAAAATAGTGAAGTTAGCTTCGTCTTACGAATCGTAAATCCTGTCGGCTTATCCGAACTGCACAAGCAAAAGAAAAACACAGATACGTTAGCAATTCTTATTTGATAACAGGACTACGAAAAAAGATAATATTCTTTGAACAGCAGGAACAGACGAGAATAGCCATAACTAAAGTACTGAACACTGTCTTTCATAAACAAAATCCCTTATTTTATAGCAATGTTTGAACATAATTAACAAATTACCGCAAAAACATTGAAATATATATATATAAATATATATATATATATATATATGCAATTATAACCATCAATTCAAACTCAACCATCCCCATATCTGCCCTAAAACTAACCATCACACATAACACTGCGCATTCTTTCTTCATAATTTGATCAACAAAGTATATATCCAAAAAAATATATGGTGTTCAGCTACAACAACAACGCGTACTTTATTTCACACACGCAACACAACCCAAAACTACGCCCAAATTACAGTATAAGGTCGCGACGGTTTAGGAAGGAAGCATAATTAGAAGGCCAAAGTTACCCTCTACAGCACCCATTGGAGCTACAGCAATGGCGAGTCTTGCTGCAATAGGTCCCCGGCCATTGAAGCGCTAGGTTGAAGTAGTCGAATTCTCTGGAATGCAGATTACCCCCGTCCACAACAGCACCAATCTCTTGGCCAAACACTCCAATCCAGACGGTTGCGAAGAGGAACACGGATCGAATTGCAACGGAGAGAGAAGCCATGGACGTCTCGGCCTAGCCCTGCGATGGGGATAACCCGTAGATTGTGCGGACTGGTGGTAGTTGCGTGCGCCAGTGCTCAACAGTTTTTTGAGTTTTTTTTTTTTTTTTTTTTTTTTTTTTTTGAATATTTTGTATTGACTTTTACGAAGATGTATTTACTGGGAATTGTGTTAAAAAAAATAAATAAAAAAAATTGAACAGACTCTTTATTTAACCATATTATTTATTTATTTATTTATTCATAGACCAGTTTAAATTTCAAAAAAATAAAATAAAATTAATCCAATGCCTCGCCCCAGCAAATCCGGATCCGTAGTTATCATTTAAATATTAACTTTATTTTAATTTTTTTCAAACTTTTAAAATTTCAAAAATTGTAAAAATATATAATATATAATAATAAATAAATAAATAAATTAGATGTTTGTTTGGGGGAGTAAATTTAATTTTCATTGTTCATTCTTTTTTTTTATATTATACTAAAAATTAATTTTATATTCAAAACATCACATCAACATCTATTTATATCACATCATACAATTATTCAAATTCAAAATTTTTACTATTCAAATCTCAATTCAAAATCCAAACCCCAAAAACACACCCTAAAATCTGTCTAAACATAGCCTTGATTTCAATTCACTTGTGGAAATGAATAAATTTGTTAGGTCACAAGTCAAATTAAAGTCAAATATTTTTAGTTGTATTAGACCACCTGCATTAAATAAAATTAATTGTGAATTTTTCTTTATTTTCATATTATATACTCCTCTCAATCACAATTGATACTACTTGAAACATTTCTATTATTATAAGAATTATTAAATCAAAATATATTTAATAAATATAAATCAAACTTAATTAACTACATAACATACAACATTATAAATAATTTAGGATCGACTCAAAACTATTTTATTTCTACCGTGTTTCCGAGAGAGTATAAATATATTTCATTCCAATCACATTCCCTCTTCTATTTGAATTTAAAATACATATATATTTATATTATATTAAAATTATTTATTTTCAAAATAAAAAATTAATAAAAATATATTAATATACATATTATTGTTTATTTTATCTAATATGAAAATATAAAAATAAATAATATATTATAAATATATACAAATAAAAAAACAAAAAATAATTTTTTTGAATTCCTTTCTTCAAAGACAAGTTCAAATTTTTTTTATTGCTAAAATGATGACATGAAAGGAGGGAGGGAGAGTTAGTTTGTTTAATAAAATTATTAAAAAAATATCTTTCATACAAAATATAAAGAATTATGCAAAATAATATAAAAATAGTGACTATATATAATATATTATTTTTAAAAAATTGTAGGAAAACAATCTGTGAATTTTTTCAATATGGAGAAATTACCAATGTAATCGGGTCTGATTTTATATTTAGCGTTCTATTTAGATTACATTTTTTAAAATTTCAATAATATTAATATCTAGTATAATATAAAAGTATTATATATGATCTTTGTATAAAAAATTTATAATTTAATATAATATTTTAAATTAATATTATTTATTTTAAAAATATAATGTCAATCAATATAAACTTTAAACAAAACACGATTATACAAATACTTAAGAAATGTATTTGTTTTTTTTTTAAAAAAAGTTTAAAAACGTGATTTGAGCTTGTAACAGTGATATCAAATTTAAAACTCTAAAGAAGAGGATTATCGGGTGCGCGGGCAGCGACTTCGAATTTCTAAAAAAATAACAAATTACGTCTTAAAAATATTTATATAAGTTTGTATTTTAAATATAAATCATCATTATTCTTAAATCAAAATTATACTCATTATGTTCAATTTGAAAATATGTCTACTTTTTATTTTATTTTTTTTTACAAAATATTATATAAAATATTGTTTAAATTAAATTTTTTATATTTAATAAAAATCAAATAAATTAACTGGTTTAATTGAAGTTTTTTAATATACACATATGATTTTCTTAAAAAAAATATAGAAAAAAATATAAACCTTGCAGAACAATATTTTGTTTTCAGAATAAATATTAAAATTTTAATATATATATATATATTTCAAAATTACCTCATTAAATATGAATTTTACTTTTTTAAAAATTTGTGTAAATTTGATTTAAAAAAAAAATAATTTGAATTTAATATTAAAAAAAAAAAAAAAAAGTATATTGTGCTAGAGAATTATGTTATAAAAAAAAATACCTATTTAAATAATAAAATTTGAAAACGTATTTAAACTAAAACCCGAAAAGATATGGAACAAACCAAAAAACGCAAACAAGGAGATATATGCTACTATAAAGAAGGAAGGGGGCAAAATTGACAGCCGATCAAAACTATCTTCCCGGAACGAATCCCTGTCGTCGAAAGGTTCGTTTTGGATTCAGTATTTTCGACGTTTTCCATGTAATTTTACATTGTATTGTTAATGATTGGACCATTGGACATGAATTTGTGCGTAGTAGATGTTGTGTGCGTAGTAGATGTTGTGTGCGTGCATATATCCATGGAGTTGAGGTTGGTTGGTTGTTTAATTTTATTTTTTTTTAAACCTCCGCTATAGAAAGCCTAATTCACAAACACATTGGTATACGTGAACCATAGAGATTGAATATGAAGTAGTGTCTGTAGCATGTTTGGATCTGCATTTTGTAGTTTACTTTCCATCAATCCGTGTTCGTGCCGATTTTGATTCACATGTGTACTATATAGTTGTGTTAGATACATAGAATGTTTGGTTCGTTTGTACAGGTTGCTTCTGTCTTATTTATTTTCAGTAAGATATTTTGGACTTTATCATAGGTTTTGGATCTTGAGAAGGACATTACTAATTGCGTTGCATCATAAAATCCTGGTGTGGGAATTGAAGAAGGGTAACTGGAAGAGCTTCTTGTAGGCGAACTTTTCTTTGGGGTTTATACGTCTATGACTTGTTTGAGATGCTTGGTCTTAGAAATAAGATTATAGAGCTATAAAATCTGAGTAGAATTTTAAATAATTGTGGAATTCAAGTACTACTTTAGGATTTTCCAAATTTTGTTTTCATATTTACATCTCCTGTAGATTTGGTTGTATATCTAATCAGTAGCTGAATTTATTATTTATCTGTCAAACACCATTCGCAAAAGGACCTAATTCCTCATTTATTTGTGGCAGAGTAAACTATTCCAACATTTTAAACACCACCTTGTCAAATGCATTTTGTAGGGATATTTGTGTTTCCTTTGTGAAGAAAGTAGAAGTCGAATATGATCTAGCTGCATCGATACCATATCAAGAATTTCTAAACATTGGAAAGAGGTATTGATCTTATACTTCTTCTTGCATGTCAATGCCGAGCATAAAGAAAATCTCAAAACATTGAACTAGCTAACTTAACACATGCACTGTTGTGATTTGATAGTATTACCATTCAACAATGAAATCTGTCTCCAGTAGTTTCACATGCTTGCAGCATACAACAATTCATTGTTTTGTTGCTCTTTTGTTTATTCATGATGGTGAATATTGATAATCTGAACCACCACTAAAGTTAGTTTCTGTTTATTTGTTTTTAGTAAATTACTGGAAGTACTGATCTATTTCCAATTCAGGCACTGATAGATGGATACAGATCACAGAAAATATGGAAGAGGTACCTCCATTGATATAAAGTCTGATTTTCTTCAAAAACTTTCTTCTTCTGTGTTTTCATTTACTTAAAACTCTTCTACATAAATATATAGCGTCGCTTTTCAACCTATACATGCTATTTTTATGAATTTGGATTCTGATAATGGTTAGAGCTGCTGATAAATAAGGCTGTTTATCGACTTGTCCATGATATAAATCCAGTTTTCTGATATCTATGCAGTTTATACTTTAGAGAATGAACTTCTTTTAAGGATTTGGTATGTATTGTAGGTAATATTCACTTTATGCTATCAAACCAACAATATTTGATATCTATGCAGTTTATATTTTTCAGAAAGAACTTTCTTTATGGTTTTGGTAGGTTTTGTCGGTAATATTCATTTTTTGTTATCAAAGCAACAATGTAGCTTATGTTTGATATCAGGAACAAGAGAACTTACAGGTGCTGTGGACCTTGTGAGTTACTACAAATTGTTTCCTCACCATGATTATTTCTGCAAGAGGTCACTTCCCACATCAATTTCGGACACATGCTACCTTTACAATGCTGTCGGAAATGCAGAAATTAGAAAAGGAGAAGGGATGCAGTTCAATGAGCTCATTCTAAATAAATCCACATCTCGGGAAACTAATAGATGCATACGGCCTTTTGAACTGGATATTCTTGGGGAAGCATTTCATCTGAGGGATGCAAACCCAGTTGATCTTCCCCCAGTGAGTTTTTTTTTTTTTTTTACCTGGCATCTTACTTTTACTCCTTGGAAAGTGATGTGTATTTCCGAAAATTTTTACAGTTGGAGAAAGGTATTCCAACTGCTGCTGCCAAACCAAAACATGATCAGCCTAAAGACAAGAAGAAGAAACATAAAAAGCACAAGGACCATTACAAAAACAAGGAAAAAGAGCGCACAAAACATAAACGTAAAATGAAAGATCGAAGCGAAGACAAAGACAGGGGTGCGAAAAGTGATCAAAATATCCATCATGCAAAGGTTTGAGATTTTTCAAGTTATGTTCTTGCTAATCTTAGTGGCGCATAAAGCAAATATATTGAATAGACACTGCTAAAATTGCAATGAAATGGCATCTATTATGATGTCACATGTATCGGGGTTAATCTTTATTGAAGTTTACCAACATCCAACTTCTATATTTCTATATAATGCCACTTTGAGAATTTCATTTATTAAGGTTTTACTATTCTAGTTTCAGATAGCAAATATCTTCCTGAACATCTCGATGTGCTTACAAGTGCTACATAATTTGATAATATGAATAGGTTTCGTTTTAAACTGCATTTGTGAATATATTTAATTTCAGAAGAGAAAACACATTGGAGATGACGGCAGCTGTGTCCAGAGGCCGAAGAAGAGTCGGGTATAAATAAAGGCAACTAGAATGTTTCTACAGGTTTTTTTTATCAATTCGTTTCTATGTTCATCGATGTACTACAGTGGTTTGATTGTTGTCATACTTTACCTATCCTTGTTGTTTCTTGGCAAGTATCAAAACCTTACATCTAACCCCATAATATGTGCAGCACCTGAGTTCCATGGCAGATGAAAATGGTGCAAATAGGTTGCACTCAAAAAGAGATGCTGCATTTTAGTTCAGTCATCAGATAATGAGGTTAAGAATGCAGTGATTCTTCAGAAGTAGGACCCCAAAGTATTTTTCAGAATTTCATCCAAACGCCTTTTTTATACATTTATTTTAAGCTTTCTTTATTCCGTAACTTTTATAGAGTATGGTTCGGAGTATGATTTTTTATAACAAAATATCACATTAATGTGTCTCAAATATCTTACAATATTTTTAAAATATGAAATAATTAAATATTCTTAATCTTTACTTCACACTTTATTCTATAAAATCACTCGTATCAAAGTCAAATATTGCTTGATATTTGAGAGAGGAGTACTATCTTAAAATTTTCCAAAAATTCCATAACTCCTTGTCTAAATGGAGCCACTGTTCTAAATCTTATAAAAATGTCAGTTACTATAATTGTAGTTTTGTGAGCGCTTTTTCTGTCTTGAAATAGAATAACATGACCAAACATGAACATTGAATCACACTGCAAGAATACAAAATCGTAACAGCGACTATATATATACGTTTATATATATATATATATATTATCTCTAACTCGCTATGTGTATATATATATGTGAAAGGTTATTCACACATTTCTCAGCTACTATGAATCAGCTTCTTCCGAGCAATGATTCGTTTCGCTTCCTCCTCAGTTGCCGGAACAACCTTCCTTATCTTGCTGCTGCCCCCATCAGTATCTGCTTTCGCTCCAACTGTGAAGGTGAAATGAAACCTATTTGAAACCTGCATATACCACAGAGACATTACCTAAATATTCAGTCTCTAGTTTCACGAAAGCTTTTTGATTCGATATGAAGGTAATTTAGGTGAGAGATGAAATAGAGATTCATCGGTATTTCGTTTTTAGATATGAAAAACATCGTTGTCAATAGACCGCTAATAGCAGCATAGAAACTTTTAGGAATGCATAGTATAATCTTTACTATTATAACGAAGTTTAAAATTTACTCAGATATAATACTCCATCCTTCCGTCCAGCTAAAAAATATACATATTTCTATTTTGAAACGTCCAATTATAAAGTAAACATTTCATTAAATACTTCACTTTTTTCCATAAATATCCTTACTTAACATCACGTCACACTACTTTTAACTATCCACTATAATTAAAATATTATTATTTCTTAGACACCGCGCTAAAAAGTAAATATATATTTTGTATGCGGACGGAGGGAGTATTATAGTATTTGTTATTTGGTAATCGAAGATTGTATAAAATTGAATTTTAGTATACTATAGCTACATCTTGCACTAGAAGGAGAAATAACATAATGCAATGTGACATACATACAATGGAAAAAAATAAATGAAAATGAAGAAGAAGATAAACAGAGGAAGAATATCTATCAGATTTTGAACCTAATTAAATTTGATTACCCATCTATTAAAGTAGACAGGAATCATTAGATTCCATTTAGTCCAACAGTATATGTTAATACAATATATATCGCACATATTTTGTGATTTCAACACAATAAGCAAATTATATAACACAACACGACATATAACTCACTCAGTAAATCGTAATACAATATATAACACATTTTGACAGCACATTAGATTAGTATAGATTTTTCTAATAAATTTGTATATATATTCTTAAATTTTTAAATAATGGTCATTCCCTTGTCTGCTGTAACATATTAATGGTTACATTTTAGAGGTTGATAGTTTCTTAATGTTATCTATAATGTTTAAATACCTCGCTAGATCTCCGTTCGGGGCTTGTAACACAAGCAACAACTTCTACATGTACTCGTGGTTTGTCCATATCATAGCGTTGTTCTGTGTACAGCACGCAAGATTTGAAGCGCAGGAAATCTCCGACATCCACCTGCATCGATCATGAAAGGGTTAGTTTAGCTCCCACTTGGAGGAGGAGATAAATAAACAGAGCTTTGTTATATAGTTGTTAACTGGTCTCAGGAAATCGACATGATCAGCTTCTAGAAATGAGGGGAGCACGCCTGCGAAAGTATAAGCAGTCGAAAAGGCTAATTCATACGCCCGGTGCACCAGAAACCCTCCGAAGATCCTGCCATGGATGTTCCTCTGCTGAGGCTGGCAGATTAATGAGTTCTCAAGACAGGTGTCTTTGAGAAGAATGCTGTCCCGATCCGCCAATGCAGGCATGTCGCAGAAGACTCGCCCCTCGGCTAACAATGATTCAACCCTATCGGTTGATTCATTCTCGACTTCAGGGTCGTTCTCTCGAAACTTCCTTTTTCTTGTATTGTTCCGGGCTTCGGCTGCTTGGTAAAGTGACTTCTCACGTTCAGTTTCAGGGGTTAGACGATTCACCGGAGCGGATTTGCCTGTCTTGTAATCGCGCGCGACGAAAATGAAATTTGCAGTCAAGGCAACTGAATCGTCCGAGGCCATCTCTGTGGAAAGGAAAACAATCTGATTTTTACAATGATTGATAGCCAATGTTAATCATCAATGTTGGTTTCAGGTCAATTTAGGAAGCACCTGTTGCAGGCTGAGTAACATCGAGCTGAATTTCGATCGATGATCGACCCACCCAGACTACGGCGCCGGTTACCTTCAGATCATTGTCCACACTTATAGGCTTCTTCAGCACCATTTTGTCGACAGATGCGGTCACCAGGTAGAGAGGTCGAGTAGTGCTGTCGTCATCGGAGCAGTGCTGGAACATAAATGGTGATGGAAATGTAAATTGCAATCAAGCTAAACAACGACAGACAGCAAAAACACCAATCCTGCAGGATGGAGATGGCAATTCAAGGAATGGTAAAACTAGGAGGAAAATTGGCCTATTAATGACGCGAATTTTCTGCTAACCATCATCTCATCGAATCAATTTTGAAATTTGAATCGTATAGGTGCATTACAGTTGCTGTTCAATTTGAAGCTAAATTGCAACAAATTTAGTCATGCGGTAAACGGAGAATCGGAACGTCGTCATAAACAATCTCAGAATTCTAACAACAATATTAGTCCAGATTGTACCTTAACTGAAATGGTGCCGGCCAAAGCATCGAGATCTTCGAGCAATTTCCCAATCCTGACCTCATTCCAAGCGTCCCTATACTGCTCCCTCAATATGCTGTCGCTGGAGAAATTGTAGAGAATAGCCATTCTGCTCTGCGCGGGAGTTCTCGTGAGCAGCTTAGTTTGAGGCGGCGCGTCGACTGGAGGGTCTAGAAGCCTCTCGAAGATGCTGGACTTGGTCTCCCAGAGCGCTATCGTCATTGGCGAATGGTACATTCCTGGCCATAGATTTAGCGGTTTTTTGGTCGATGAGGTGGTAATGGAATCGTTTTTCTTTGAGGAATTGTCGAATGGGGAGAATATGGAAATGGTTACGTTGCCATCGGCCATTGGAGAGGACTGTCAGCTGCAATCAGAAACCCTAATTTCAACTCTGAAGGTCACTAGATACTATAGATGGAAGTGGAGGAATTTCAAAGGCTTTTTTTATTGATCCCGCAGTTATTTTGGCTGAATTTATAGTACTCCCTCCCTCCAGCAATAAGGTGATGTTTGGTGATGTTTGTTTTTAACGTAAATTTTTTAATATTAATATTATATTAGATTGTTCATAAAAAAAAGATAAAAATATAGTGTAATATAAAAGTAATGATATTTGTATAATATATTATAAATTTATGTGAATTAGACAGTATAATTATTAAATTATAAAATAGTAACTATATTTCTCTATTTTCATTTATCTTAACCAAACATTTCCTAAAAATATTTAAGTTTTGTTTATTTTATCCATTTTAACTAATTTGGAACTATTTATTTATAAAAAAAATATTTTTCTCTCAGTAAAATATTATATCAAATACTAATTTTTTTTAATTTCAAATTTATTTTTTAACCAAATTTTCAAAGATTTTAATGTTTGAATTTTATATTTTTTTCAAAAAAAATAAAAATAATTTTTTTTTACTAAACATTTCATCTAACTTTATTTTAATACCAAATCTAAATTAATTTTTCTCAAATTCAAAAAAAAAAAAAAACAAAAAAATCACACTATTTCAGAAACCTCCAAAAAAAACAAAAAACCCACAATCTAAACAGAGCCAGATTATAACTTTTAAAAAATAAAATTATAAATTAAAGATATGGTGCGGTTTAAATGTGTAGCTAATTTTGAAGTCACGCGCGCGCGCGTGTCCGGGTGAAACCAATGAGAACAGGGACAACTTTTTAAAGGGAAAAAAAGGGGAAAAAAGAAAAGCAAGTTCCAATATTAGTCTGAAAAGGAAAACTTTGTAGAAAGAAACGAAACACAAAGACAGAGACCGATGGAGAAACGACCAAGTCAAGAAGGCGTATTTTAGTGTAGACTGTAGCGCAGCTTAGTGTATTCCACACGCTCTCATCCATCCCACGAAAATCTTCTCCGTTACAATGCAAGGTGCTGAAGTCTCTCTCATCACTCTGCACTCGATCAGTCCCCACTCGGACCACCAAAGTAATGGTAATGGTAATTCGAAACTCACTCGACTCGATTCGGCTTGTTTGAGCCGATGTTCAACAGTGATGTATGTGTATGATCCAATCAATGGCAGGAGAGAAGCATGTACCAACAGTAATTAATTGATTAATTATTGTTTAATAAGCGTACTGCATACGTAACATCTCAGTCCACTCTAGGTCGTCTCCTCGCCCTGCGCCCCTCTTCCTCTCCCCTCTGCGAGCCTTTAATTTTGCGAATTGTTGTTTATGGATTTTCGCTGCTGTATTTTGATGGAGTCCGTTGGGATTTGAATTTATCCCCTCTTTCGGTGTGTACTGAATTTGAACCTGATTGCGTGAAACCAACCCTAGTTTTTGTTCTTTTTCGAATACAAGTTTGGTTGTCGTCTGGAGAATTTCAGCTCTTAGTTATTTTTGTTCGGATTGGGAATGTGAACTTGCATACTTCGATTGTTTGATTATCTATGGTCCGTGGAGAAATTTGTAAGCTCCTATTTGCTGATTTTTGTAGATCTTTGAAATTTCTTTAGGGTTCTTCTGATAGTTTGGTTATCGTATTTATTTTCCCTTTGTTCTTGTTACTTTGTTTGAAAACTAATACTAGTGCGAAGTAGTAGAGCTTAAAATGATTTGGGAATCAGGAGTTTGCAAGGTTTTGAACCTGAATTTGTTAGAGTGACTCCTCTGATGTGTTAATTTAGATGAACTAAGTTCTCTGCGTCCTTACTTGTGGATGTTATTCAGTGACCTGTTTTTCGATATTCTAATTCAGGACTTTGTTTCAGGAATTGAGCTATGATGTTCATCCCTTGGCCATGATTTTGATTCATGCCAAATTCTCAGGCCTGTTTTGATCAATCCTTGTCGCAGTTGTGAGTATGGCTTCGGATTTACGTGCAATCCGAAACTTCGTTGGTGTCTTTGTATTGTTTCTGTTGATCGGGTCTTTCAGCGACGCCGATCAATCGGATATCGATTGCCTCAGAAAGATATACAGTTCCTTAAAGGATCCTTTGAAATCACTTTCATTATGGAATTTCAATAACAGTATGTTTTATAGTATTTGTCACATCTATATGTTAACTTGAGTTTGATTTAGTTTATAGTTTATAGTTCTAATTCCTTACTAATTTTATGCTTTAATCTTCAATAGCCACTCCTGGTTTTATCTGCAAGTTTCCGGGGATTGAATGTTGGCACGAAGACGAGGACAAGGTATTGAACATCCGGCTGAGTGATATGGGACTGCAGGGTGAGTTCCCGATGGGTCTTTCCGACTGTAAATCGATGACAGGCCTGGATCTTTCGAACAACAAAATCCGAGGGATCATTCCAAGCAACATCTCAGATTTAATCAAATATATCACAAACCTAGATCTTTCATCCAATCAGTTTTCCGGAGAGATTCCCCCGAGCATTGTGAATTGTACGTATCTGAATGAGCTTAAACTTAATGACAACCAGTTGACAGGAAAGATCCCTCCTGAAATCGGTCAGCTTGGCCGATTGAAGAAATTTTCTGTGGCGAAGAACCATCTAAATGGGACAATCCCACATTTTAGCAATGGCAGTTTTTCTGCTGACAGCTATTCGGGAAATCCTTTGCTGTGTGGCTATCCATTGCCTCCATGTCAGGGCTCGTCCAAGAAAGCCGCAGCTCCAGCTATTGTTGGAGCAGCTGTGGGTGGGGTGGTTGTTGGTGCTTTGGGTCTGGCTATTGGGATGTACATTTATTTACGGAAAATGAAGAAGTGGAAGAAGGAAGAGGATCCACTCGGGAACAAATGGGCAAGGAGTATCAAGGGCGCCAAGCGGATCAAGGTATGGTGAATTATTTGTTTGACATCTCGTATGCAAGAAATGGTGGCTTATAATTTTGTAGTTTTAAGGTTTTACAGTCGATTAAGGCATGAATACTTACTTGAAGATTTGATTGGTTTAAGTCGTTGACAGTGTAGATTTGTTTCGTGTATTTAGATTTTGGACCTATTTGAAAACTCAACGAGCTTACTTATATTAGATTGTTGCATTGTTTGGTTTTTCGATCAAGCTGAATATTTCTAGAGTCGAGCCTTGTTAAGCTGGAGTCTGAATCTCTTGTTAGCATATGCATGGAACAGAACTCGTATAATGATAATGTCGATTCGTTTATTTTGTTTTGGCCAGATTTCGATGTTTGAGAAAATCGCTACGAAAATGAGCTTGAAAGATCTCATGAAGGCGACCGACAGCTTTAGTAACGAGAACATAATCGGGTTGGGAAGAACTGGGACAATGTACAAAGCAGTGCTCGAGGACGGGACGACCCTCATGGTAAAACGGCTTCAGGACACTCAACACTCAGAGAAAGAATTCGTGTCTGAAATGGCGACTCTAGGAAGCGTCAAGCACAACAACCTCGTTCCGCTCATCGGATTTTGCATGACGAAAAAGGAAAGACTCCTAGTCTACAAGCACATGCCCAACGGTATCCTTCAATCCCTCGATTTCTTGTTATGTGCTTTTTTTATAACTCATCGACCGTTAATTCTGCGAATAGGTAATCTCCACGATAAGCTACACAACGCTACCGACAAGATCCTCGATTGGGCGACGCGGCTCAAAATTGCGACCCGAGCCGCCAAAGGGTTCGCGTGGCTCCACCATAGTTGCAATCCGCGAATCATCCACCGCAACATTAGCTCGAGCTGCATTTTGCTCGACTCCGACTACGAGCCGAAGATCTCCGACTTCGGGCTCGCCCGCCTCATGAATCCGATCGACACCCATTTGAGTACGTTCGTGAACGGCGAGTTCGGCGACCTGGGTTACGTGGCTCCCGAGTACACCCGGACTCTCGTCGCCACCCCGAAGGGCGACGTGTACAGCTTCGGAGTCGTGATACTCGAGTTAGTGACGCGGGAGAAGCCGACCTACGTCGGGAAGGCCCCCGAGGGGTTCAGGGGCAATTTGGTGGAGTGGATTTCGGGATTGTCCACCGAAGGTCGACTGAAGGATGCGGTCGATGAGGCCGTGGCCGGGAAGGGTTGCGACGGGGAGGTTTTCCAGGTGTTGAAGGTGGCGTGTAATTGCGTGCTGCCGGGACATAAGGAGAGGCCGACGATGTTCGAAGTTTATCAGCTGCTGAGGGCGATAGGGGATCGATATGATTTTACGACGGAGGAGGATGTGCTTGTGCTGCCGGAGGGTGGTGGCGCCGGAGATGAGCCGCCGCTGGAGCTGATCGTCGCCAGGGATGTACAGGAACACCATTGAAGGTATATATATATATATATATAAATATGTGTAGAGAGGGAGAGAGATTTTCGAATGGGCTTTTAACATATGGTGTATATGAATGTTGGTCTGTGTTGTGTTGTGAGATTGATAACTACAGGGTTATTTCTTGCTTTTAACATATGGTGTATATGAATGGGCTTTTAACATAGGGTTATGGTCTCTCCATTACATCCCCACAACGCCGAGTTATTTCTTGCTGAATTTATGATTTTTGTATATAAACAATATAGTGCACAATCATAATAACAAATGAATATATAAATTAAATTTGCTTATTTTGAAGAATTTTTTTTCCTATTTCTTTTTAATCTATTAAAATGTTCTTTTTATTATAAATAAACTTAACAAAAACAGATGGAGGTTTAAATTTATGATTCCACAATTGCAAGCTCACTTCCACACCATCACCAAGTTCATCCTTTAGTGATAAGTAATAGAAAGAGTATTTATACAAATATAAAATACAAAACATACTCACTTATTTCTCACCAAAGCCCTATTCACTAAACATTATTTTCCCCATCCATAAGTTTTACAACACAAACTTATGATTTATTCTCCGGCGGCCTCGCCGGGCACGCCGGCAAAGGACCGCCACAAAGTCCGGGATTTCCCGCATAGCTTTCCGCCGGAATGGCGCTGCTCACAAAATGCGGAACCGGTCCATTTAGCCGGTTATTCGCCACCGAGAATGTCTTTATCCGTTGAAGCAAACCGATCTCGGGAGGGATGTGTCCCGACAATTGGTTGTTATCAAGTTTAACTACGTTCAAAAAGCTACAATTCGCAAGGCTCCGCGGGATCTCTCCCGAAAAGTTATTCGACGAGAGATCAAGCGAAACGATATAAGGCATTATACTCGAGATGTTGCTCGGGATGATCCCCCGGAGACTGTTCCCCGAAAGATCGAGGCCCGTCATCGACCTACATTTGGAAACACCCGTCGGGAACTTACCACTTAACCCCATACTGCTCAGCTGGATGTTCAGCACCCTGTTCTCGTCCGGGTGCCAGCATTCAATCCCCACAAACTTGCAAATAAAACCGTTGGAACCTGTTGAAAAATCGAGCGTCAAATTTCCTCAGATTAAAAAAATGCGAATGATAATTGAATTTGATGAGTTAAACACAACAGTTTGTGAATATGCAATTCAAATAACGAGTACTCTCTGTCATTCAAATAAAACTTCTATTTTTTTTTTCTTCATGTAAAAAGAAAAAGCATATCCATAGAAGTATGAAAACATAATTGGATTAGAGATACCGTTGCTGAAATCCCATGATGCTAAATAGTTCGATGGATCTTTCAAAGAATGCCGGATCGATCTGAGGCATTCGACATCGTCTGATCGGGCGGTGATGAACAGCAACGGCAATATGAGGACACTAATGTAATTGAAGAGTGATCGAAAGACCGGAACCATGCTTAATAACAAGTATGAACAGCTCGAAACTGCACCGGGAGCTTTGTAGTTATAATCATGACACAAAGTCCAGAATCAGACGATCAGAGATTTTACAAATGATATATGTGTGTGTGTGTGTGAAGGGATGATCAGGGTATAATTGAATTCATCAAGATGAAATCAATAAAGGAAATTATAAAATACAACCATTGAGATATTCACGACTGGAAGTTGGAACCGAATCGAATTCTATGCCTTCTAATCTTTCTATGACTACTGCAAATGTTAAATTCATACTAACATCAACAAAGGGGGAAAGGGGAAAAGTTATACGGTTAAAGGAACCCTAGCAAATTTCAAAGATCTAAGAACACCAGCAGATAGGAGGTTCGGATCACTCGATGGAACTATAGTAGAATCAGGCAAATTGATAGTAAACTAAGCAGGATCATCATCAAATTGTACTTTCAAAACGGAATAAACCGCCAAAATTTACTAAACACAACGCGAGAATTTCACGAATAAGAGACTCACCTGCGTAGGGAGAAAATGAAGAGGAAGAAGACAACCGCGCTGCTCAATGGAGACGAGACGACCGATCGATCGAGCTCCCAAATTGTATACCAAATATATATCACTTTCTAATTTTTTCCTGCTACTCTACCATGACTGTTGAATTTCGTGTGGAATACGCTGGGGCGACGACGACTGACTTGCTAAATAAAATCGATCGGAGACCATTTCATGGATGAATCTGATACCGACCACGACCAGTGCTGCATTTACTGACTTCCCTTTCTCTCTCATTGGAATCAGTCAAGCTTGCTTTCTTCTGCCTTCTATTCAGTGCCTATGCCAATGTCGGACTGTCAGTACGACTGTATGGGTGCTTTTGTACGGCAGATTTGTCGACTTTGTCCCTCATCAAAACTTTTTATTTTTTTGAAAAATATTTATTTTTTATTTTTTTATTATATTAAAAATTAATTTATTTTTAAATATCGACTACTATTATATTACGTGGACACGGTAGCTATTAATGTACTATCCAGATAAAAGGATTGGGCTTTATTGGCCTATTTGTTGAGGCCTATTGAAAAATTTTAATTCCCAACTACTCTGGGCTAAATAGCGTCTTTCGGCCCAACTATTATATATATATATATGCAATTGTAGATGATAAATATTTTTCTGTTATTTAAATATGTGATCAAATATATAAGCATATGTTTTAATAAAATAAATAATAATTGTCACAGTGATGTATTTTTTAACTTAAAAAATGGCATTTTATATGATAATTTAAAATAAAAAATAAACATAAATTTAAACGACTATTAAAAAAAGGAATACATTAAGTAAACAAAAGTTTACATATTTATTTGAAATAGTAACATTCAGTATTTACATTTAAAAAAAAAAAAAAACAGTTAAACTCAATCCAAAATATAAATATATGGATCATAAAAATAAAAAATAAAAAAAGAAAAGAAAAAGACAATGAAACAAATTTCTATAAAGGGCGAAACCCAAACATAGTGCATCGCCGTATTCAACATTATTTAAGCATACAAAAATAGGCGGCAATAAATATTAAATAATTAATTAGTCAATTAATTAATATATTAAAAAAGAAAAAATCTGGAAATAGAAAGCTGGGGAGTGGCGGGAGCAAAAAGCAAAGGTCGTAGTGTGAGCGCATGTGGTGTCAGAGTGTAGCTGTCGGAATCATAAATACAACTTATCGTAGCTACGCACTTTCCTCTTTCCCCAATATTCCTCTCTTCTCCTCTCCTAGGGATTCGCTGAGCTCACCAATCTCCCAACCACCATGGTTTGATTCTTCAATTCCGCCGCCGCCGCTATCCCCTTCCTTTTCCGCCGCCGCCCCCCCTCCGATCCGGTAATTTCTGCTCTTCATTTCCGTCTCTTCTTTCTATTTTATGGACGCCTGTGGGTGTAGATCGGTTCGCTTTTTTTGAAGCTCGCTGGGTTTGAATTGCATCGGCCAATGCTCGGTTTTAGTTCCTCAGCGACCTTTTTACGGCTGCGTTGATCGGTTTGACTTGCTGTTCTGCGCATTAATCGGTGGTGGTGTTCTGTTTCGTGGTTAGAGATTTTTTTGATCTGAGTGTGTTTAGATGAAGTCGATCGCTTTAGGTTAATTATCAATTTGAATGCGCGCGTGTGTTTTTGGGGTTAGAGCTTGTTCTTTCTGGTTGTGTTCTTCTATTTGTGTTTATTTTCACGAATTTTCCCACGTTTTTAGGGTTTCATATAGCTTCCCCTTTTGAGGCTTGTTGTTGACTGAGTGTTTGGGAGGATGTTAGTTTCGTTGGGCATTGACTTATGTATTTAATCATTCCTTTGTATTTGTGTGATCTCAGAAGGCCTGTCCTGGTTCCCCGTCATTGCGCGCTGTACCTGTTTATGCTTTTGTTTGCTTCTGTCTGAAGTCAACTTATATTCCAATATCTGTGGAGATATTCCTGTGATTATGTTTGTCAACTGACCCAACTACAGTAACTCACAGATAGGTTATTTTTCCATGGAATAAATACTGTAGTTGAAACTACGTAGAGAAAAGGATTATATGGAAATTCTTGTTGACACTTTGCACTGCTCAGTTTAAGCTTCAATGCCGCTAACTTCCTTGAAGGAATATTCTGTCAGCGTACAAGCTTGATGCTCTGTGACTTTGTTTGTTTGTCGAATTTCTTTAATTGCATGGTAATTGTGGATTTTCTAACCAAATCTTTATCTGTGGTAATGATTTATGGAAGATGCAATTTAAACAAATCTTTTGAGTTTTGCTTTTGTTATTCCATAGTATGGAAAGGTAACAGCATTTTCTATTTATAGAAAATCCACCTAATGTTTTTAATGCAATAAAATATGAGAATATACTGGCTTTCTAGTCTCACTCTTGACCTTCATAAATCTTAGTTACATATGAAAGGTTATCTGTTTTTTAGAAATTATATGTTCTTTCAGTCTATTTGATGTAGTGAATAATCGGTGTTGCTTTATAATATGCTTTTTAAATCACTTGTCTTGTGCACGAAATATCCTCTTTTTTTGTTTGTTTTAAACTCCCTGCTATCATTTCTCTGTTTAGTGGTCTTGAGCGCTGATGTTTTGTTTACACTTGGTCCAGTATTCAATATCATGGAAGAAAATTTATCTGCTGCCACGCTAATGGACTCCACAGCCTCTAAGATACAACAACTTCAGAAGGCATTTGCTGAACTTGAAAGTCACCGGGCTGTCACTCTCAATATGAAATGGAAACAGCTTGAGGAACATTTTAATGGGCTTCAGAAATCTTTGAAGAGACGATTCACTGAACTGGAAGAGCAGGAAAAGGAATTTGAAAGCAAAATAGTTGAATCCAGAGAGATGTTGGAGAAGCGTAAAGCTGCTGTCTTTGCCAAGGAGCAAACTTCACTGGAAAAGCTCCAAGAGAAGCGGGATGCTGCTGTGTCAGCCATTTTGACTGCTATGAACAAGCCGATCTCTTCGAGTTTGGGTGTCAGTGGTTTTGAGAACAAATGTGAAGCACTAGTTTTAGAGGAAAAAACACCTGCTGCACTAGTTACTGCGAGCAATACAGATGGTGCCAAAATGATCGTTGAAAATACGAGCGTTCAGGTTAAAGCATATCCAGAGCTAGTGAAACTTTGCCAGGAGATGAATTCTGATGGGCTCCACAAATTTATATCAGACAACCGCAAGGACCTTGTCACACTGAGGGAGGAAATTCCTATTGCATTAAAAGCTGCATCTGATCCTGCTTCATTAGTTCTGGACTCACTTAAAGGTTTCTACGGCACAGACGTGCCCAATTCAGATGCTAAAAAAGACTCAAACCTATTGGGTATCCGCCGAACCTGCATCATGTTGATGGAATGCCTCAGTTGTTTATTCCAAAATTTGGACTCTGGCTCCCCTTCTGTTTTCGTCTCAGAAAATTCTAAGGATCGAGCTAAAGTTATTGCTGAAGAGTGGAAACCAAAGTTGGATTATCTTGACATTGATGCTAGCAATGGGAATTCCTTGGAGGCACATGCATTCCTGCAACTCCTGGCTAGTTTTGGCATCAATTCAGATTTTGATCAGGAGTTCTTGTCCAAGTTAATACCCATGGTTTCTCGCCGCCGACAGACAGCTGAGTTGTGCCGTTTTCTTGGCTTGTCAGACAAAATGCCAGGTTTGTTGCTCAAACCAACTTACCTTCTTAAGTACAATTATTTTTCCATCAGCAACTGATTGATGTTCTAATTTGCATCTGTCTAATTTGTTTGTATGAAAATATATCATGGGAGGATACATTATTTCTCCTGGTTGCTAACAGATTTGCTGGAGAACTTGGTTCAACATTTTAGATTTTTCTTACATATTCTGCATTTCTGCTATTGCCACACGGTAACAGATTTGCAGGAGATCTTGGTTCAACATGTTAGATTTTTCTTATACATATTCTGCATTTCTGCTATTGAACTCTGCACTGACCCTTCCTCTGTAAATAAGTTCATTATATTGTTGATACTATATCTTGTTTTCGAAATAAATCGATGTCTGCAATGATTTTGTCTGAGAAGGTCAATGATTTTGTTTCGAATACTTCTGAACTCTTTTGTATCAGGTGTTATTGATGTCTTGGTAAAGAATGGAAGACAGATTGATGCTGTCAATTTAGCATTTGCATTTGAGCTCACCAACCAATTCTCACCTGTTTCGTTGCTGACATCCTACTTGTCTGAAGCCAAAAAGGTGACATCTCCTGCCAAACCTGGAAATGCATCCCCGTCTGGGTTGACCCAGGTTCGTTTTCTCACTTCCGGGTGCATTCTCACACATCATTTTTTCACACCATACCTGTTTTGGAGTATTGAAAATTGTAGCCTTGGACTAATAGTATATGCATACTTTGTAGATTGGATTAAGCATCCAAATTTTTTATCCATCTTATATCAAACCATAACTTTTTCATCTAAATTAGTATCCGACAAGGTGTTGTTAACTTTTTTTTCTTCCAGAGCGATGTAAACGAGAAAGAACTGGCTGCCCTCAAGGCCGTGATTAAATGCGTCGAAGATCACAAGCTCGAAGCCCAGTTCCCTGTAGATCCGCTCCAGAAACAGGTTGTGGAAATTGAGAAAGCAAAGGCAGACAAGAAGCGCGCAACAGACGTCGGGAAGCCTCAATCCAAACGGCCGCGTGGTGCCAATGGCGTCGCAGCAGCTCACGCTCCTCGAGCAGCCCCCAACATCATCGCCAACGACAAGAACTTCTATGCCAGAATCCCCGAAAGGTACCCACAATACGTCTACGACAGGCCGCCCTATGCTTACCCTGCACCACCACCGCCGCCTCAGCACCACCACATCCCACCGCCGCCATATGTTCCGGCAGCCGCCGCGTACAGCTTCACTCCAGGTAACTTTTACCAGTATCAGACTGCTGCCGCCTATCTGCACTAATTCCAAATGAGAGATGATATGCTGAACCAAGATCAAGATGGTGATGGTGATGGTGATGGTGATGATCTGATTAACTCTACTAGTGTTGACCCCTTTATTAATTTTAATTTCCATGTCTGTTGTTTAATTAATGTTCAACTTTCCAGCAACTTTTTAATATTCCAAAATTATATTAAAAAAAAAAACTAAAAAAAAAAAGAAAAAAAAAAGTTGGGGGGTTATTAGTGATGATGTTAATTTCTAGTTGGATGTAAAAGTTGCTAATATCATCTCATATGGCTGATGGATGTACTCTGCTCTTCTAATGTTTATAATATTGCATTAGTGTTGTATGTATTTTTCTTGTGCCTGCCCTCCTTATTGTTAATTAGTTAGTTTTAAATTAGTTAGCTGTAAAGATATCTATTTTGTTATTCTTTATATAATTTGTATCCTTCTCATCTCAAAATATTTTTTTTTATTTTAAAAAATAATTATAAATTAATATTGAAATATTTTAATTTTTATTTAAATTACAAATATATTATTGCACAAATAATTATTTTATAAGTCAAATTAAAATATCAATTTTTTTTATATATTTTTATTAATTAATAAAATATTACTATTATTTTTTATTTTACTGTAAACGCTCGGTCCATTTTATAAGAAAAGTATCTGCTAACAGTAATAATATACTTCCTAGTATTTATTTTGTAAAATTAAAGAACATATATAAGATTTTGTATATAACAGCAAGAGAGATGATAGTGTGGGAGTAGGGTCAGGGTGGATAAGGGAGGGATAAGATATGAAGAGGCAGGCGACCAATCAAAAGCGTTGTGTGCATTCGGCGAGCATCCACAGCCACCAATCCACCTTGTTCATCATCCATATCATAAAACTCTTCCTCCAATTCCATAAACCTTTCAATCTATCTCACAATAATATTTGTATGTATTTTTTGGTTTATATAATTTAGGATCTTCTTCTTCACCCAGGCTGCTTTGCGATTTCCTCCGAAATGGCGACAACGCAGCAGCTCGCCAGCACCTTCACTCCTTCCTTCACCACACGGCTCCCCACTCCTAAAGGCATTTCCGGCGCCGCCTTCAGAGTCCTCCCTTCCCGCCGATCCTCCGCCGTCAGAGCCTCCATTGTGCCTGAGAAGGTAACCTACCTACCTCTGATTATTCATTCCATTCCACCTCACGCGTATTTGAATTTACACTTTTTTATTTTTTGGTGGTGGTGGTTGAGATGAAATTAATAATTGTAAAAAAGTTAGTATATAAATACAAATTCACTTCTATTTTTTCAAACACATATAGGATTGAAGATTTGTCAATATTCGTGTTGATAATTACAGATCGAAACTGACAAGTTTGAAGTTAGTCGATCAAGTTATGAATGTTTACCTATTGATCATATGATTCACACATACCTAATAGACTATTATTGGGTACCAAAAGTTGTAAAACCATATTTGAAATCGACCATGGATACATTTTTTAATAATATTCATTATATTTTATATAATGCGCAGCCGACGTTCCAAGTGGTGCAGCCATTCAACGGCGATCCATTCATCGGCAGTCTCGAAACTCCGGTGACCTCCAGCCCCTTGATCGCCTGGTACCTTTCCAATCTCCCTGCCTACCGCACCGCCGTCGACCCTCTCCTCCGCGGCGTCGAGGTCGGCCTCGCCCACGGCTACCTCCTCGTCGGCCCCTTCGTCATCACCGGCCCCCTCCGGGGAACTCCCTACGCCGGATCCGCCGGATCTCTCGGCGCCGCTGGCCTCGTCGTCATTCTCAGCGTCGTCCTCACCATGTACGGTATCGCCTCGTTCAATGAGGGCGAGCCGTCGACGGCGCCGTCCTTGACGCTGACGGGGCGAGAGAAGGAGCCGGACAAGCTGCAGACAGCCGACGGCTGGGCCAGATTCACCGGAGGATTCTTCTTCGGAGGAATCTCCGGCGTCATTTGGGCGTACTTCCTGCTTTACGTGTTGAACCTGCCGTACTTCGTGAAGTAAATTTAGGGTTAGGGTTTTGAATTTGGGGATTTTGTGAATTGTGTAATTTGGGGCCCACTCTTCACCTCTACTCTCTGTATTATACCGTAAAATTGTAATTTCGTGTTCAATGTAACTTATTTTAAAATATTAATACTATTTTAAAAAAATAATAACTTTAATTAATATATATATATATATATATATATAAACACAAAAAAACAGGTTGAGCTAACAATATTCCTGATAAAGCCAAGCATAATACAGCGTCTCCTTTTCGCTTTCCCTATTTGGTTCAGAAAAGTGAAAGCCGTCCACCGCCATAGCCATCGGCATGTCTGCGCACCTCTAGATTTCCTCCAAATCTCAGATTCATCAGCCATGGAAGAGTAAGTTCACAATCAAATTTCTCAATTCCTAAATTGAATTCACCTTTATTGAATTCGATTGACTGAATTTCATTTTCTCGCCGTGTTTTCCGCAGATCTGACAGTTACCCTAAGGAGCCCCGAATTTCCGGCGGCGGAAGCAGTACAACGAGCGTCCACGTGACCGCGCTGGATGGACTGGTGAACGTGAACTCTCTATTCACGATCGCGGTGTTCGTAGGCCTGTCACTGACAACGCCGGGGCAGCGCAGCCTGGAGAACCGGTCGGCGTGCGACGCCGGCGTGGATGTGGCGAAGAAGCTTCTGGTGTTCGAGGTGGTGTCGTTCAGCTTCTTCCTGTTCTCGTCGCTGGTGGCGCAGGGGCTGAAGCTGGCGATAAATCTGCTGAACAGTAAGGACGTGGACGAGATCTTCCGAGCGCACATAAATCTGAAGGTGCTCCGGCTGGGGATGTTGGGGTCGGCGGTCGGCTCCGTCATGGGGTGCCTCTTCCTCATGCTGTCGATGGTGAGCGTCATCGAGATCCGCCTCGGGATGCTTTCCTGCGGTAGCAAGTCCTCCGCCCACGCCGTGGCGGCGCTCGTCGTGCTTGTCACGTCGGCGCTGCTGGTTTACATTTCCACCGCCGTCTACGCCTTTCTGCACTGAATCGGACCGGTGGGAATGGGGATTAGATTGGCCGCCATTGTTGCGAGAGAATAGATTTTGTTGTAGGTGGCGTTGGTGAAAACATCCTTGCGTTGCTCTTGCTAGATTTTTTTTTTTGGTTTGGTTTTGGATCTGGTCGGTTTATGGCACCGTTAAGCAATGGGTTTACGACATTTATATAAAATGTTAAATGTTATAATTTGTCATTTGTCATTTTTTAAATATGCTTATATATTTTATATTTTATAATTTTTTTTATTTTAATATTAATTTATAATTATTTTAATTAATATATTTTTTAATTATTTGCTAATTATATTTTATTTAAATTTTAGTGACAAAAATTTAATATTTTGTTAGTTAATCTAAGGGTATGTTTTTTTATATAGTTTGAAAAGTTTTGATTTAATTTAGTATTAAAATAATGTATAATGAGATATTTTTATGAAAAAAAATAATAATAATACTTCATCCGTTTTACTGAAAAGTTGTCATTTTTTATTTTCGTCAGTCCCAATATAAGGTTATCATTTTCTAATTTAGGAATTGTACTGTTTACCTAACGTAATAAAAATATTTTCAATTTAAAATATATTACACAAATGCTATTATTTTTATAGTACACTATAGTATTTTTGTCTTTTTTTATTACAATCCAATATAATATTAATATTAAAAAATCTACGTGCATAGAGCAAACGTAACTATTTCACCGGGACGGAAGAAATAATTTTTTTTTAAAAAAAAAAACAAAATAATTCAAATAATAGAAATCTAAATTGAGGTTAAGAAACAAGCCATAAATATCTATGTAATTTGTACCTTATATAAAAATTAAAATATTTTGATATTAATATAATTATTTTTACTATATAACAAAAAAAAAAAAATTATTATATAGATAATTTTGGATAAATAAAAAAAAATAATCAAATTTGAGAATGAATGAATAAATATATTAGTTTGTTTTATTTTTATATATATTTTTTAAAAAGATTAATATTATATATATTTATTATTTTTATATTAAATATAAAAAAAATTTCACAACCTTAAACAAGCATAGAAGAAAAAAACATTCATCTTGGCATATATTTTTTTTATTTTTTTATACTTATTTTTCTAATAAAATACTTTATAATATTATTATTTTTTATTTATATCACTCTCATATTTTATGTTATTTTTAATTTTGAAATTATATATTTTAATTATATTTTAAAACTTATAATTTTAATTAAATTAATTAATATTTTAAATTTAATATATAATTATTTGTATTATATTATAATCAATTTTACTTATTCATTTATTAATTATATATTTCTTAAATTCAGTATCTAGTAAATTGTGACTTAAATTACGTATCTATAGTAAATTGCGATCCAAAACAAAGAGAGTAATTAGTAAATCAAGACATCAATTTCAATATGAATTATTATTTTTTATTTTTATAGTAAAAATATACAAAAATAATGAATTTTGTTTTTTAGAAAACTAAAAGAAAATAAACATAACTTTCAATAACAGATTTTATATTAAAAATTAATAAAAACCCTAAAAACATTCCCAAATTTCCTATAATTGAATTTGATTACGTGAATTGTGAAATGCCTGTTTTGACCTCTTATGATCATATTAACGAAGGATTAGTGTAATAAAAAAAATGCGGAATAATTAATTAATAAATAGCTTCAGATATTTGAGATTGAGAGAGGCTTTGGTGGGTTCCCGGAGACTGACAAGGGACTACTGCTGCCAACTGCGGCGGATTCAATCGCTTCGAAAACTGCACTCCTCTCCAAATTTCTTCATTCTTCGCTATTCGTCGTTGCGCTACCAGAAGTAAGTGATTTTTGTTTTGTTTTTGCAAGTTTTTAGGTTTCGATACACTAAAATTAAATGTAATTTGCGCGATCGAGAATTGTTTGGGGGTTTTTATGTATCTGCTTTATCTCGATTAATTTGATTTGAATCTAGGTGTGGAAGTGTTCTTGGAGTTGATATTTTTGCTCATTTTAGAATTTTAGGTTAGATTATTTTTATTTTTTTGTTCGTTCGTCATTAGGGTGTTTTTGTGTTTTTGGCATCAACGATGTATCCGATTTCACTTTAGATGTTCAATATACTGCTCTTAGAAATGTTTGTCGAGATAGAGATTAGACATTTAGAGTTGCCTAGCCTAGTTGTAGCATTGAGAAACTTTAAATTATGCAGCCTGAAAAGCAATAGAACTTCGCATATATGATAGGTTAGTCATTGTGATTTTTCAGATTGTAAATTCCTGGTTGTTACTCTGTATGTCGGAAAACATTATTGATATTTTCCTAACGAAAATGGCTTCAAACAAACTGCTGCATGATCTTAGAAATGAAGTGTATTCACATCTGAACGAATGTTCTATGTTGATCTTTTCAATATTGTGGCAAGCTTTTCTTGATCATGTCGACAGCCGAATATATATATATATATACGCACACGTTGAATCATATGTGATTTCACTTGCAGCGGATAATGCTGTAACTTTGTATTCTTATCAAATTACAGTGGTAGAACAAAATTCTGGCGAATTGGAAAGAGGGGAATGGACATCAAAGGATTTGGCAGAAGAGGAACTTGCGGAAGCTGCTAGCAGCTCGAGGCCAGCTGAAGAAGGGGGGATTCTTGAACCATATGTGGGCATGGAATTTGATTCAGAAGACGATGCCAGAAGATTTTACTCTGACTATGCCAAGAGGATCGGATTTGTAGTTCGTGTTATGCAGCGTCGTCGTTCTGAGATAGATGGTAGAACTCTAGCTCGCCGACTTGGATGCAACAAACAAGGTTTTTCTCCCAATACTAAAGGCAAGACTGGGCCAAGCAGAAAACCACGTCCTAGCGCACGGGAAGGCTGCAAGGCAACTATATTATTCAAGCTTGAGAAGTCCGGGAAGTGGACAGTCACGAGATTTGTCAAAGAGCATAATCATCCGCTTGTCGTGACACCTGATGAACGTACGAATGTGGTAAGCCTCTCTCAACTTTTTCCACCTAATGATGTTCTTTCTCATTTCATTATTTTATTAGTCTATTGGATTGTGTCCTATCAAAAACAAACGATAAAAAAATAAAAAATGTTTGTGTATACTTGAACTACCTGACTTAAACAGTCAGATCAAGAACTCCCCGATTACCCTATCGATATCTTATAGTTTAAAATTAATTTTCCGTTTAAAATTCTTTCCATTATGGCTAGCTTATAAACCTAAAGCAATAGGATCAAGAAAATTGGAATTAGGATTTATAAAGATTTAGCTCACAGACCTAATCGATGGTTGTTATTTTAGCTCTATGAGACAACTTAGATCACAGTTTTTATGGGTTAATATAGTTTATGAATAGAATAACATCTACATTTTCTGTCACATTTTGTTTTTCATTTCCATATACATTGTGTATACAAGATAGAAGTAACAATAGCTTCGCATGATATATTCACGGCTGCAGATCTGAGAGTATGCTAATTTTCTTAATTATTTTCTTTAGTTTAATACGTCGAATTCAATATGAAATATATTATTATTGAAAATAGTTTGCGCATAGATTTAAGAAAGCTACATACCTGTTCAAGTTTTTTATCTGATAAACAAAATACATAATCCATTCTTTCAATGGTGACGTCCTTAGCTTTCTAAACGCTAACGAATCTAGTTTGTGCTTGTCAATGGATTCATGCAGCATGACAAGGACAAGAAAATCCAAGAACTGGCGAGGGAGCTGCGCCGGCAGGAAGAACTTTGCGCAGCGTACCGAGAACGATTGATCAGTCTTTTGACGTGCATAGAAAGTCAATCAGAGGAACTGTCTTCCAAAGTTGTAGCTGTAGTTGAAAATGTGAAGAAAGCTGAAGCCGAAGCTCTGGATGAAGTGCTAATGTTGTCTGCGCCGTCGACCTAGGTATGTCCCATTCGGCTTTTGTTTCGCGAATGTTTGGGATTGTTAGTGTTATCAGAGCTTGTGCTTGCATTTGTGTTCCTAACCTACAAAATGTAGTATGTACATATAATGGTTTAAGCCTATTGATACTTTGATTAATTACGCAAAGTTCGAAACAGCTTCTAATTAATTGAACCAAGCCCAGCCGAGCTTTTCTGTCCGAGCTAGGCTTGTTAAGGTTTTGAGGTTTATTTCTATTGTTAAGAGATATATGTTCGAATTTTCGTTTAAATTTGACTTGTTAGTTTTTTTTTTTTTTTTTTAACAAAAGAGTCAAAATTTGTATTTGTGTTCAGCTTATAAACACTCAAGGAATTAAAATAAGTGAACAGTTAGTTTATTTTGACAGCGTATTTAAAATTTAGCATTGTGTTGAATAAGATATGAACTAACAACAAATAATCACATAAGTATATGATATATTTTTGGACACCACATATATAATTATAAACAAATATCACTTTTGTGTAATAAGAACATATGGAGTTATATATGCACAATTGAATTATAATTTATTTTTTCAAAAGTAAAAAAACACACACACAACTCTTTGTTTAAAATATATATATATATATATAACACAAAATAGCATAAATAAAAAGAAAACTAAAGTAAACAAATAATGTGATTAATAATTAGTCAATAAATACAGCCTAGGTGAAATTACCAAATTACCCAAACATCAGAAAATGAATTATAAAAATAAAACAGGATATTCATTTCCAGAACATAAGAAGAAGAAGAAAAAAAAAGTAAAAAGAAAGCCTGAGAGATTCACGTGGACGGCGCGGTGCGGTTTCGGATTTCGGAGAAGAGACGAATATAAGTTAAGAGCTGGTTAGGGCGGCAAATCCACCGCCTTTCATCATCTGCTTAAACTCGTCGAAGTTAACCTTGCCGTCGCCGTCGACGTCGACCTGCTTTATCATCCTCTTGCACTCCTCCAGCGTCCGCCCTTGCTTCATCCCCAGCGACGCCAGCACCGCCCTCAGCTCATCCACCGTGATGTAACCGTCGCCGTTCTGGTCGAACACGTTGAACGCCTCTCTCATGTCGCTATCGTCGTCGCTCCTCCCCTCGTCCTCCATCACCGCCGCGTACAGCATCGCGAACTCGTCCACGTCCACGTAGCCGTCACCGTTCGTGTCCACCTTGTCGATCATCTGGCTAAGCTCGTTCTCCGCGATGTGGATTCCGAGCTTATCCAGCGACTCGCTGAGCTCCGTGCGCGTGATCTTCCCGTCGCCGTTCTTATCGAACATCGCGAATACGCGGCGGAGCTCCGGTTGATCCATCGTAATCTGATCTGATCTGCGGAAATTCAACGCTAGCGATCGATATAGATCGAATCGGTGTTAATACAAAAAATTTTGAATGATGCAATGAGAAATCCGGAGGAAGGAGGAGAGAATCGAGGCGGCGATTAAACAACAGTAGGAATGCGAGGCTGATTTGATCCAACTGACAAAGCAGCAGGGCGGAGGATGGAGAAGAAAGGAAGGATTTGATTTTCCTAAAAAGTTAGCAGCTGTAGAGTGGAATTGAATTCATGGAAAGGAAAGGAGCGGCAGTCATTTGAATGGACGGACTCATGAAGAAGGAACCACAGAGCAAATTCCGGTAAGCCGCTCGCTAAATTTATACTATTACTATTACTACTATTTTTCTTCTTTTACTTGAATTAACTTAAATTGCATTACTTGATTGCCTACAAAGTTTTAATTAAATGGTAATAATAATAATAATAATGATAAAGATATTTACATTCCTAATCAATCTTTATGCTGCTATAAAATACTATAAATATATTTCTAATTATATGGTAATTGTATCTAGTAAAATAGGAAATAAATTACAGACAGTATAGAATAATAAAATATATAGCTTGAATAGTAATTTTGTTATAAATAATATACAGTATATTTTTAAAATTAATCAATAATTCAATATCAATTTTTTATATATATTAGTATCACATAAATTTATAATAGAAAATAATTGAAAACAAAAGACTAAACAAACACACCCAATATATATTTATAAAAATTATGATATTTAAATAATAAAAATTTATAAAAATTTGAATTAATATCTGAATAGTAAAAATTTGAATTAAAATAATGATATAATATAATTTTTTTTAATATAAAAAAATAAAAAATACTCTCTCTCGATAAATTATACATTTACTTTTGAATTAAATTATTACATTATATTAAAAGTAATAATGTAATATAAAATAAAGATATTTGTGAAAAAAAATAAAATATTTAATAAAATATTTACTTATAATTGAACATCCCAAATATGTATACTTTCTAACTGAATGTTAAGAATAATATTTAATATAATATTTTTTAAAAAAAAAAAATTGTATGAATAGTTTAAATTTGTCAAAATTCTTGGAACATACGCACCTGTTGATGAGTGAACAAAGCCATTATGACATTTAGTTAATGGCAAGACAAGAGCATAGATAGCGAAGAATTCCATTTTTAAAATTTGCAACAATCCCGCTAAATGGCTAATTTTGTAGTACTGCTCCAAAACAAGCTTTATTGTCCGGCAATCGGCATGAGCAACATAGGTTGCGCATTTTTCGGGGTGCCAAAAAATCCAATGCCTTTGCTTGACCTATTGTGTGATTTTCAATGTTTCTACCAAATCACATGGGAAAGACAATGAAATAGAAAACACAAATCCCATAGTTATGGAGAAGCATTTGATGCACTTGCTTGACGGTTGAAATGTAGATTTATTCACTTACGTGATTCCTTTTGTTAAATTGATTTCTCATAGTATTATTTTTAAAATACACAATATACACATTCAAATTGAGTTTGTTTGTATGATTTTGGATTGAATTTTACTGAGCCAAATGTTTTCTTAAAATAATAATCCAAACAAACACATAAAAGACATATTATAATGATAAATTAATTATCATTTATTCAAATAAATATAATAAAAGCATAAATTTAATGAAGAAGCAATATTAATTATTTAAAAAAAATGTGATCCAACCATATGTCCAAAATGACCACAAAACAATAAAGATCAAATGGACGAGTAATCGGAGAAATAATGTAATTAATTTAGCAAACGAAGAAATTGCCTCAAAACACCGGAAAAGTTAAGGGACAGAGTGCGTTTGCTACAAACAAAAACGTCGGATTCGTTCCGAATACAACACAATATTCAACAAAACGCGAAAAAATATATCGAAAACGAAATTTTCCAGTAGTAAAAGGGCCTGAAAAATCAGCGTTACGTCAGATTCAGGCGAGTGTTACCGGAAACTCAATCTCGCAAGTTTTGAAATAATTTTGCCTGGATCAATAGTGTTCTACGTAGATCCAGTCAAGAAGCTGAACTTGCTAACACTAAATTCACAAAACTACCTCATAGAAAATAAACCAAATAACAAAGACACTTAACCAAAAAAACAAATCGAAATCCAGTTCAATCAACATAGCAGCAGAAAATTAACCATACAAAATCGCACAAAACTTAGAGAAGCAATAAACTATTGCAGAGAAAAGCGATCTCACGATTCTATGGAGATAACCTGAGGCGGCAGTTGGAACTGGAGAAGAAGACCTATTGATAATTGGGGAATAAATAGAGAAATGAAATGGGCTAGGGCACAATTATATATGGGCCGAACTTCGGCCCATCACAAATATGTATATTATTAAAATAATTTAAAATTAATATATGTAAAACAATCAGATCTTCCCCAAAATTCTCTACCTCGAACCCTAATCGAGCGACAATGGCGATCGCCATATTCAACAAACTCGCCTCGCAGATTTCCCGAACTCCTTCTCTCTCACTGTCATCTCGCGCCGTAATCGCCCGTTTTTCCGCATCGTCGTCGTCGTCCTCGTCCACTACCGGCTCTGCAAAAGTTTCCGATCGAATCGTCAAACTATTCGCAATCGATCCGGACGGCCAGAAGCAGGAGGTATTGGGGCTGTCGGGGCAAACCTTGCTCAAGGCGTTGACGAACAAGGGGTTGATCGACCCCGCGTCGCACCGCCTGGAGGAGATCGACGCCTGCTCGGCGGAGTGCGAGGTTCACATCGCTCAGGAGTGGCTCGAGAAGCTTCCGCCGCCATCGTACGACGAGCAGTACGTGTTGAAGAGGAATTCGAGGAATCGAGAGTTGAACAAGCACGCCAGGCTCGGATGTCAGGTGGTGTTGTCGCAGGATATGCAGGGGATGGTGGTCGCGGTTCCCGAGCCGAAGCCATGGGACATTCCGTAAGGATCTGATTACTCAGGCAGCCATTGAACATCTGTGAGCATTTCTTTACATTTCTAATCTGAATAATGTGGATAATTGACCATGATGATGATGGTGGTGGATGCTATTTCTATGGCTGTTGGAGTGTCTTCTGTTTCCTAAGCCTTTGAAGATATTTGTGCTTTTGGATGAAAGTTTTCACAATCGAACTATTCATAGTTTCACATTTTGGTTGAAGTATAAAGCTATTCTGCAACAATTGATTCTTTGATTGTTTCAATTTGCATTCTTTTACTTCAATATTGCACTACTTTATATTTCTTTAATCATCCAATAGAATATGTGAAAAGGCTAAATGCAATTTTGTGGATTTCATTCATGATAAGTGCTTCCTTTTTTAACATTTTGTGTCTCGGCTCCGAATTTCGAGTGGGAAACACCCTTTAGAGACTTATCTTCAAGATCAATAGGATCATGAGTGCAAAATGGAGATAATATTTCAAGAAGAAATTGTATTTTACTAATGTTTATATATGTCTATGTATGTATGTGTATTCATGGCTTAGCTTGTTGATGAAACTGAAAGTAGCTATTTAGTGTACTTTAGCTGGCTTGCAATGCTTGTGTTTCTTGCTAGTTTATCAATAAGAAGTTGTGATGGCTAGTTCAAGTGTACGTGAATAAATCACCTATGATACTAAGGTCCTATTGTAAATTACTAGAAACCGGGATTGACTTTTTTATAAAATCCTACCATACGGATTAAAGTCAAACAAAGTGAAAATGATCGATCACATTCAATGTCGATTTGTTGTGTGGTTTTGGACATGAAAGTCGAGTTACATAGACATGCTGTAAGACCGTCGCCTAATTTTCAGTTCCAATTTCCCACGAACTTGTGAAATTTTCGGTACCTTTGGGTTTGGTGCTTAAAAGTAACATAATTTTTGCTTTTCTTGCTGATTAATGTTGCTAGTTCCATATGATTTCAAATTTGAGCCTCTGTTCATTCCTAATAGATTACACCTCTCTGCATAAAATTGCTTCGAATGATCAAGGTTAAAGATCATCCAGCTCAATTACATCATCACGGCACCCAATTACCACCGATTGCCCCCGCGGCCGTGATGACAACTTGCTATCTATATTATCCTCACATTTTGTCTCAACTAAATCCAAACACTCGGCTAAGGGTGCATTCAACATACCCGAGCAGCAAGCCCTTTTGTAGGTCTCATAGCCCGCGGCTTGTAGCCCTTCTGAGATCATATCTTTCAGTCCACCGGACAAACCTTCTCCAGAATCAATTCCCTTGAGAAACTGTTCCGAGTCCTCGGGGTTCCAGAAAACAACAACTGCACACGTTGCATCCACCATACGAACATCAAAGTCTTCTCTAGAGTCGTCGGATATAACATCTTTCAGGTCCCGAGCAGATGCTCCCCTTTGAAATCCCCACAAGAATACCAAACTCTCGACGCCAACTGTTCTCATACGGTCTTTCCAAATCCCTACGTTGTCAGTAGAATCTTTGGGACTAGTTTTTGCTTGGGGTGTAAACCTATTAGAAAATTGCCGGAGGGTATGAACAAGGTCTGGAGTGTCCAGACGGATTTTCAGTGTCGAACATAACTTAAGGAACAAACGGGACACTCTCAGAGCCTTATGCCCGTGAACATCTTCATCATCGCTCTTTCCTGAAAAACGAATAGTCTTCAAACAGTTGGAACATGAATATATATAGTGTGATAAATTTTCGAGCTCTTACCTCGATTAAGAATGTCCATTTCTACGGGCACAAAAAATCGACTGTCTAGTAATGCAGTGGCGGATTGCATATTGCTCATTTTCTCCAGCATCCCGACTTCCTCCATAAGGTGGTTGACATCGATTACCTGAGGGAACTCCGAGAGTAAAGAACTCATGAACTCATCAATGGTCATCGGTAGCGGAGCGAGGAACTTGGAATGTATGAAAGTGAAATCTGAAGAGTAAAAAGAATGCCACAGGCGGACGTATCAATATCGAAAAATATAAGTCACTTCGTTTCTAAATCAACAAATAAAGTTTAAGTAGAGATAGACCGGCAAGTGAGTTGTGCACAATGACGGGTTTCTGAGAAGTAGAAATCAAGTCTATCACCTCCCGAAAGCCATGGACAAGTCTTCGTTTCTCCTCCTCCATATCTTTTATTTCTTTCTGCATTATGATGCAAAAGGTTAACAGGCTTTCTGTTTCCTTTCGTTTCTTTTCTTCTCACTCCGAAACATTTCAAGATAATGATATAGCATGGTGATCAATTTCATACCTCTAACTGGTTCTTATCTTCTGCCGAACTTGTCAAAACAACTCGAACAGCCTGAACCCCGACTCCACTCGCTACTGGTAATGTTACAACGTCATCAAACTCTTTCAATGTCTGCATCTCACTCCAAACAATCAAATGGTTGAAAACACCACAGAAGAAGGCAGGAAATAATCTATCACAAAAATCATATAATATTACCTCCATAACAAGCGGCACTTGACGCTCACTGCAGACGTCAATGGTTAAGGAGGGCCGGGAACTGAAAACCTCATTTCCAGAGACTAAATTTCTCAAAGAACTTATCAGGGCATCAGCCACTGCAGATTTGAAGTAATAAGAATGTGTACAGGACAATAGCAGGTTGTAGGATAAGCTAATAATTTGCTCACCCTCTGTGGCATTACTTGGATCTTTACAAGCATTTCTCCAATTCCTAACACGAGACTTTATCCTTTCCATAAATAAAGTATCGGCAACTGAATAGACCAATGAAGAAGAAGGTCGGTCCGTGCAGCTACCAGGGGTTAAATGCCCGAATTGAACCTTGGCACCCGATTCCTGTGCTTTGGACAAGTAAGATATACCTGCCTTCATAAAAGACATACTCAAGCACCTGTCGTAAATTCTTCATAATATACATTTTGCTCATGCCAAGATAATAAATAAGAGGCTTTTGTAATTTCAACTTACCCTTTTACTAGCTTCTCAAATTTTTCATTGAACAATCTAATTTCTTATTGAAATGTTCCTTGATTATCATAAATATATCTTTCAACATCAGGGGGGGAAAATCCCTTCATAACTCAAGGTTAAAGTACTTTGCATAGAAATCAGTTAAAAAGAGCTTCTTTTTCAGAACTATGTTTTTTCTTTTTTTGTAATTATAGTTTTATTTGCGAACATTCCGACATTACTTTGAACTTTTAGTTAAACTAATCAGTAGGAATCAGATTAGATTTGTATCATATTGATACACCAACACACCTTCTGTCAATTCTTCATAATATACATTTTGCTCTTGTGCCGAGATAATAGGAGACTTTCGTAATTTCAACTTACCCTTTTAGTAGCTTCTCGGAAAGTTCATCAACAAATCCAATTTCTTATTGATATGTTCCTTACTTATCATAAATATATCTTCCAACATCAGGGAAAAAAAAAAAAAAACCTTCATCACTCTGTTAAAATTCCAACTATTACTTGAACATAGTTAAACTAATCAGTAAAAAACAAGATTAGCATTGTATCATATTGATACACCAGCAAGGAAACAACACCAACACAACCCAAAAAGGTCGAGTAATCACCCCATAGTCTGGATATATACTTTTACCGATTTTGAAAAAGCTAATCCCATATCGTAACTTCTACGTAATTAACATTTTATAATTATTTCATGGATAAGAGGCTCAACATATCAATGATTGTTCAAATATATCATCTGTTCAAATTCAATTTCCAACATCTTCATACTCACATATGACAGAAACCAACACCTAATGCCCTAAAACAATCACCAATCTTATATGTGATTTGCATCTTCCATTCATATCATAAAACTTAAACAAATACGTAAGAAGATTTCTTCCAAAAGTTATTTTCCTTTTTCGATTTCTATTGTTTATAACAGTAATGATGAAACTGAAGTCACATACATACCATTGTATATGCAGGCGTTGAAATCAAAACCTTCTCGAGCCATGGAGGTCAGATATGATGATTGGCATGAAAAACTGTAGGAAGGCATTCCAATCTTCAGCTCATCCCTAGGAAATAAGTGAAAATTATACCTGCGCAAAATTGCAGAATTGGAAAATTTGAATGCAAAGTAACAAATGATTCTCAGTCCGATGGAAGTGTAGGTAGACTAATACAGCGTGATTTAAAGCCATTACAGAGAAGAACATAAATTGAATCGAAGAGTGCGTACGGATGCGCAATGAGCTTGGAAGCTTTAACCGAGAAGGGGCAAACTGCGAACTGGAGAATCTGAAACCTTTCGGCTATGTTCTTGGCCTTCATATAAGCCGTCTCCACCGTATCAATGGGAAGAAGCTTCTGCCACGGCGCGGAGTGACCACCGGTGTTCTGCAGCGAAACCGCCACGTAATCGGAATTGAATATGCTGGATTTGATTTCGTCTAGAGCCTCGGAGAAGTTGGACTTCGTCACTTGCTTTACCGGCCATCGGTGACGGTGGAGGCCACGGCCATTGCCGCCGCCCCCGGCGGTTTGAGTGCAGAGAAATCGTTTGATCAGCATTTTTTTACGAAGGTGAAATACAAAACTCCGAGAGAACCTACTGATGTGATGAGCAGTTAAATTCCCGAAACAACGATAAAAACGTCGCAAATTTTTCAATCAGAAACCCTAATTTTGAAATCGCTTCTCTGTTCGAGAGGGACCGGGACGGGCTGCACTTTTCCATGTACTGTGGAATTTGTTATAATAGTGTATTCTTATGCTTCTTTTTAATTTTTTATTTTTAATACTAAAATAATAGTATGACGTTCTAAAATAGGTAAAAAATCAAAATGAGTACTATTGAAGATAAAATCTATCATTTTGGTTTTATTATAAAAAAGACATATAAATTTTAATCATTTTTTTATTTCTTACAAAATCAACTGTAAATCAACACATTATGACGTCCCATTTGATAATTGCAAAATAAAAATAATGCTCAATCAATATCTGTTGTCACATAGTGATACATTCATTCATTTGACCATAAAACACATGCTATGTTATGTCACGTTTTATTGCTTACAGCAATAAAAATATCAACATATTTTATCTTTTTATCTTATCTTATCTTATATATTAGCATAACCGAATAATATACATCAAATACGGCGACCTTCTAGCCAACGCGAGTAGAATGCCAATGCCTCCGCCGGTTTGTATTCCGGCACTGTGTGTCCCGATCCCTGCAAAATTTTCGACAATTTTTAACTCAACATTCATCATTTTAGTTAGTGTATATTAATGAAAGGAAAAAAAAACATTAATTTATGAATACCTTTACGGTAAGAAAGATGAGATTATTCTCGTATTCTTGCAAATACCTATGCACACAAAACATTAATCGATCAAAACATCATCCCAAGTGTCTTTCAAATCATCGCTATGGCAATGGTGATAATAACATACCCGGCGACTTGGTTGTTCGTTTTCCACGGCCTCCATCCGTCCACGGTTTTATAACCCATCGATCTTGTCCAAGCTTCGCTCCCGGTGTAAGGTACACACATGTCGTGATCACCACTAAAAGATAATAATAAGAGTTAGTATAATCGACACAAGCTCTGGTTACTATTTACCAGCAATATATTTTTTATTAAATGTTATATCTAAAATTCATATACATCACGTTAAATACTTACTTTTTAATATGTTATGAATGTTCGTTGTGATGAAGAATTGTAGAGCTAATGATGCTATAGTTACTTATTACTTAGCACAATTAACTTCTAGCCATTGATTTGATGAATGTTATCGACTACCTGAATATGATGGCACGATAGCCTCGCAAGGTGAGGTTCCGATGATACTTAATCATGCTGCCGGCGTCGTGATAATATGTAATCCGGGACGTGCATAGATCCCACGAACCAGATACATCTCCCTACAGTCGATGAAATTTTACGTCATATTCTTAAGAAATTGACTCGACTCTAAAGTTAGACAACATGAAAAAAATCATACACTTGCAGCGTGGATCGCTTTCCTAACGCCTTCATCATTCAGCCATGTGCTTGCAACTTCGTCGTTCTACACGTTGCATTCGATGTAAAACGAGCATTAGAGAACTTGAGATCGAAGAACTTAATCGAAACCATGCTTGATTATGTACAAGAAGTTTTTCGGGGGTTACTTACAGTGCACGGGACTGACTCGCTATTTAACAGCTCGGGCCAAGTTGGGACGTATCCGTCTCTTACGGGAGCTCGGAGTGGCCAAGCTCGGCCAAACATTCGTTTTCTAACTGGCAAAGGTCTATCCGTTTCGCCTAGCAATCGAAAGCTCGGGGGCAAATTCATGCTCGCGGTTTGGAGTTTAGTTCCCGGACCGTGGTAGCATGGCTCGAGGATGTTGTATATGTTCACATCCGCGATGAGCTGCAATGGCAATGATTATTGAATCGAGTTTCAATCTATCGAATTTGGATTCGCTTGTTGCGATGACAAATAAGTCGAAGGATGTATGAATAGTAGAAAATATAGCTTACTTGATCGACTTTACCAAGCATGCCTTGACAGTTTTCGCTCTTCGTGTTGTAGTAGTTGCCGTTGCATTCCTTCTGAGTTGTCTGCGAACAAATCCCGGTAGTTATAAGTTCTCGAAACTTTGGAATCGGATTTTAGCTACATTCTTCGACAAGATTGGATCGGAGAAACGAACCTCAAAAATTTCATCGGATATAAGACCCATGCCGTGGACAAACGGTACCAACGCGTTGCCATCGACAAACTCATCGGTGACTCCATTCCCTACCATATATCCCTGCAATCACAAGACTTCGTGTGTCACGCGGAACTCAAAGCTAAATCAAAGAACTTACGAAGAAGGATCTTCGATAAAAAATTGAACTTTGCAGGTGTGATGTAGCTGAATATAGAACATAGTGAGAATTCGATATCGCAGATCATCGCTCAGTACCTTAAAATTGAGAACTGGCTTGACAGCAGCGTCGATCCCTGAAAGATCAAAGCAACAGGATTAGTCCATGCCTCATTGAAAGAACGATCTTCGAATGTTATAGCGATTACCTTTGACAACTTCATAAGCCAGTGTGGGCACATACACGCCAGCGAATGACTCTCCGGATATAAAGAATGGATTAGACTGATATTCGTTGTAGAGCTCGAACCACTAGAAATGTCACGGCTAAAAAAGTTATACATAGTTCGAGTTGCACGCAGAGTAAAGTTTACAAGCGATTTACTTTACCTTCAGCAAAAATGTATGAGTATCCAAAGCAGTCAGATAGTCTCCAGTTTTGTAGTCAGATTCATTCCCCGAGTATGAAAAACCAACTCCCGACGGGGAGTCGAGATATATGATGCTCGACACCTGAAATGTCCCGAAAAAGATTTAGATCACAGGCTACAATGTGCAAGGAATTAAACAAGATCGATCAAAGGATCGAAGAATCGACCTACCTTGGACCAACTGTATGGATTTACATGGAGCGTCGGAAGAGGCTTTCCGGCCTTGAAATTGAAAGGACCTGTAGGAGAAAATAGTTTTGAACATAATGAGAAACCGAAGGAAAGTTCAGTTCAAATCGACAATAATCGTAATCATGTGGATTCAATCCATCCATCGTTGAAAAGCCCAAAGTTCATGTTACAAACAGATAAAACTTAGTTCGAAGCATGATGCTTAACAGATAGGAACTGTATGGTGATAAACATTATAATCAATGTGAAGAAGGAAGGAAATTGTAACTAAATCGATAAGTCTATGAATTCGACACGAGCGAAAAAGCATAGGTCCCGGACAAGGGTGTGGTACCATAGGTACAGAATCGAAAACTTAGTTTCGAAGCATTTGATGTTTGGCTAACATGAGGTGAAAAGTTTTACAGAGTACATCCTCAAAAACATAATGAAGAACATATAGGAACTGTATGCTAACATACATTATCAGTATCAATATCACAATAGGAGCAACAATTCATCAACGTTTAGACGATTCAATGAATTCGATACAAACAGAAAAGCTAATTTAAGGAAGCAAAAGCAATTGACAAAAGCAATTGATAAAGCATAGATTTAATAGAAGGTTTCAATCAAATTCGGTCGACAGAGAAGAACAATAGAATGCCAGATTGATGCCATTAACGATTTGGAAAGCTCGGAATCTAGAACGAGTATGTAAACAAGGTGCAAATATACCGTGCTCGTAAACAAATGCATCGAAGCTGGAGCAGCCAGGGCCGCCATTGAGCCACAGAACCACAGGATCCTTCGATGGATCCCTCTCCGATTCAACAAAGTAGTAATATAATTTCTTCCCATACGTCTCGTTAACCGTCACATACCTGCAAAGAGTTCGGATGTTTGTATGATTCTCCCAATCACAAAGGTTTTAGAGGCAACAAAATGGCGCTAAATAAGACATTGATTCATTTTTTAAATTCAAATTCCACCAAATCACGCAAATGCTACTGTTCTACGATGTCTATTTATGCCTAATTTCACTATCCACACTGTTTCATCCACACAAATTGCTCAAAAAAAATACATCAATAATTAAAACGGCCAAAACACTTACCCAGCATAGTGTTTGGACGGGAAACTGCCATTGAAGCCAGGGAGAGCAGTGATAAGAGCTTCCTGAGGAGCAGAACAAGCCAACTGAGGGAAACAGCTGATGAAGACGACGATAGCCGAGCAGAATAACAACATCAAATGATTGTCTCCTCTTCTTCCCATACTGTTATGGATAAGGCAGTAAATTATGATGTAGGGCTTAAATAGATAGAGGAGAGGATTGAAATTCCAGATTTTGCTTTTGACTTGGAACCTAATCTTTCTTCAATTTCGAAAAATTCCACCACCTGCTGCTAGGGTAAAAAAAACAAAAACAGAATTGATTGGCAACGAGCAGAGGATTGGGAGCTTGGCTTCGAAGCGAAGAAGAGCGCAATCAATCAACAATGGCGGAAATGCATTCTTCACCTGCCCACTCATCAGGAAGGAATACTTTGGTATATATACTGATTTTTCTGTTTGGATCATTTTTGGAAATTTACAAAATTTATTACCCATTGATTATACAGGCGCGTGGCGTTCAGGCGCCCTCAGTCTCCTGCTATCCTGGGGATTCTCGGACATTATTGGTCAACTCCCAATTTTTTCATTTCCAATTTTATTTAAGGAATGTAATTTTGGTATTTTGTGATATCTTTTGAAATTAAGGTAAAAAAGGAATATACTTTAAATATTAATAGATATATTAGGAATAGGAATATTTTATTTGAGTTTTTTACTGTCTTATTTTTTAATATATCGCAAATATGCAATCGGATCCCATTTTAATCTAATAACTAAACAATTTTAAATTTTCAAATAAGAAAGTAAATATCGTATACTTTTTTAAAATATATTTTATAGATTATCAATATTTTTTTAACGTTATATTAAATGTGAGGCTGATTTGGCACCACTTTACAATAATTGAAATATACATTGGTCTCATCAAATAATAATAATAATAATAATAATAATAATAATAATAATAATAATACATTGGTCTTATCAAATGATTTAATTAGTAGGACGATAAACATAAAATTCTAATAATAATAAATAAAATTGAATGAAACTAAAACGAAAAACACACACTACTCCCTTTTATAATAAGCAGATTTATTTATTCATAAATTTATAGCATTTATTTTAATAATAAATAATTAATTTAATACTATTTTCTATTAATTCTTCAATAGTCTTTCTATAATATTTTTTTACTTATCCAACCAATCGAGTTATATCATTTAGGTTTGTATATTTGTTCTGATATTATTTAAATACAAATATTTATGAAATACTATAATTATACTGTACGCCTGACTGTTAGGTCCCCACACCCACTCCCATATATACTGACATCAGTTCATCATGTGATAAAGTGGAAAGTAACAACAATAATACGTTATTGATTTGTTCATGCGTTTGCTTTTTAAATAGTGGTGGAGTATATTAATTTATTAGAACCGTCATATCTTATACTCCCTCCGTCCCAAAGTATAGTCTTAATTGCGTTCGATGCGATATTTAAAAAATATTGATATTATATTGATAGTGGGTAAATAGTAGAGATGGAGAAATTTACCGAATATACCGAAATACCGATTTATCGTACAGTATCGTATCGAAAAATACCGAAAATTTCGGTACGGTATCGATATAAATTTTTGAAAAATTCGGTATTTCGGTATAATATTGTACCGATATTATTTTTATTAAATAATAATTATTAATATTTTTTTTAAAATCATAACAAAAAATACGTGGACTATTGAAAATTTATTTATTTTTTCATAATATTTTTGTGGGGGAGAATAGTGATATTTATTAATTTTTTTAATTATTTTGAAATTTAAAATTATATTTTCAGTATAATCGGTTATATATCGGTATCTACCGAAATCAAAATTTTTGGTATAATATTGTACAGAAATTAAAATTTTCAATATAAACGGTATATACCGGTACCGTACCGAAAATTTCGGTATACCGAAATTCGGTATATTAAAACTTTCGTATAGTACCAGTATGATTTTATATGCATATTACTATTATTATAGTCATATTTAATATTAAATATTAGCAAATATTTATTTTTTCTTATAAGGTACCACGTAAATAAATGTATGTAACTTATTTATATTTCAAAAAATTTCAAAGCTCTAAAATTTTCATCTACACAAAGTTCAAACAGTTTGGTCGTCACATTTTTTTATTAATATAATTGTTGATAAATATTAATCAAAATAAAATATATACATACATGAAAATTGTATAAATAATTTATTATTTCATAAAAAATTAATAATTTAATTTAAAATATTATTTTACATATTATTGATACAATTACCTTAAACTAAAATATTTAAAAAAAAAAAAAAAAAACCACACACATATATGGTTGCAATTTCGATATAAGTTTGGCATGATATCTTAAACATTTCATTTCAAATATTCTTTAAAAATTCATATCTTATGCACTTAAGATTTTTTTTTTTTTTTTTTTTGCTTTCTCCAATAAATAAACAAATGCAATTTATACTTTGGATTTGTTTGTTAGTGTTTTGTCTTTCTTTTAAGGTTTTTTTTTTTTTTTTTTTTAAGTGTGATATCTAAAGATTGTATCGTTACATAGAAATAGTAATATTTTATTAAATGTTATTTTTTTGTGAAATGATCAAATATATATTAAAAATCATATTAAAAAATAAAAATAAAAATAAGCTAATAAAAATAAAAATAAACGAAGAAACATTCATCCCAAATATATTTGTAGTTTTTATTTAAAATTGTCTGATTTAAATAATTTATTTTCATTTATGATATATGTAGTCCCACTTAACTACACATTTATCATAATTCTTATTTTTATTTAAATAAATATTATCTCATATTTATCTGTGGATCTAACTAAAACTATTGGAGTAGTATCTTGGATATTTTCACTATACAAATTTATTCACGAGATAATACTTATTTACTAAAAAATATCTTTTGAGACCATGCAATTGGAATTGGGAAAATATTTATTTAGTTATATTTTTACTCTATTTTCACTATTGATTTATAATTTGTTACTTATCTAAAAGGGTGTGTTTATTTGGTGAGAATATTGAATTTTTAATTTATTTTTTTATGTAGTATAGAAATCAAATATAAAAATAATAAATGTGGATAGTGTATTAATATTTTAAAAAAAACATTTGAGAAGTAAGAAAAACAAAGCCAAAAAAATTATGTTATTATTTCATTATTTTTGTGAGTGCATGCGTGCGTGTGTAAAAAAAACAGAAAACATGATTGTCAAACTCTATTGGATTGGATTTATACTATTCATCCAATTTTTTTCCCCCAAAAAATATCAAATCAGACACCTATTTTTTATTTTTCATATTATACTAAAAATTAATTTTACATTCAAAACATCACATCAACACTTATTTATATCACATCATACAACTATTCAAATTCAAAATTTTTACTGTTCAAATCTCAATTCAAAATCCAAAACCCCAAACAAACACACCCTAAAAGCAAAGTCACAAGCATGCCACAACACTGTAAGGCTTAGGCATATATTTCATCAATGGAAGATGCTCATTTTAAATATGTTTATCGTTTTTTGAATATATTGTATATGTCGACCTTATTAAATTGAAATAAAGTATTTTCCAATAAAGTATTTTCCTCTGCCCATTCAGCCGAGCTTTGTTAGGGCGGAGACAGTTCGTATATTTACCAATATTTGATACATGAACCAAACAAATACTCAAAAGTGCAAATCATATCCGAAACGAATATTTTGATTAACCAAAAATATTTGTAAATAACTCAAACAGAACCAAAATTAAAAAAAAAATAATAATAATAATAATTAAATAGAAAATATTTACAAATACTTAAAATATCCGAATAGAAACCGAAATGAATATAATTATTAATACAAATTTTAAAATATAATAATATTAATATATAAATATATTCGGGATTAACCAAATCGAAAAAATATGAAAAACTAAAATTGAACCGAATAAATATCAAATATGCAATATTTGTATTCAACTGAATTTGCTTAGTTAACCGAAAATTTAATTCGATTCAATTCAGCGGTTCAATTCGATACTTCTGCCCAGCCATAAGCCATGCCATCCCCAACTCATGAATGGAAAGAAGTTGCAATATGCAAAGGGCTTAATACACATTACACATTCAAAACACGAATGAGCTTATTATTTAAAATCAAAATCAACAATATTCATTTCGTATGTTTCCCACAAAAAAATACACTAATCGATATTTTTTCCTTTCACAAAATATCACATCAAAATACCATTTAAATCAAAACTCGAATTTCAAATCAAAACCAAACAAAATCCTTTACATACTCCCTATACAATATGGCACCTTTGTAAGTTTGTCTTCATGAGATGCCTCCATGAACAATTATGAACTTTAAGCACACCATTGTTGTTTCATAATGTAACATTATTTATCCAACAATGCTATATATTGAAATTATGTACTAATGACATCAATATTGCTTCATATATAAATCAAGATCACAGAGTAATAACAATGGTCCATAAAGCTAATGTGAAAAAATGATCCATTCTGTTTGAAGTTAGGTGAGGAAATATCTCAAACCTCAAACAAAATCAATTCATAACTATACTTGCAGAACACCAAAAATATAATTTATTGAATTTACTTGCAGAACACCAAAATCAAAACCCCAAAGCATACCAAAAACACCATGGAATCAGAACACCATAGCTCAGGAAAAGATGGAGATGAAACGACAGAGTACGAAACACAATAATAATGATATTGGAAATAACTAGAAAAAGGATGGTTCATCGATTAAGAAAGTCTCAAAACCAAAACCGTCGCATGTGATTCAAAACAGAAATAATACCAAAATTCAAACGAGCAGCAAGAAATTGTCGAAATGAAAGCGTAAACAGTACGAACCATTTTAACGGTAGGATTTCTGGAACCTGGCGCGGGCACCACGTCCTCCGAACTTCTTCGGCTCACAGCGCCTGGGATCTGCCACCAGTAAAGTCCTATCGTACCTCACGAGGATATCCTTAATCTCCTTCTTCGACTGCTCGTCAACGTACTTCTGATAGAAGGCGACGAGAGCTTTCGCAATAGACTGACGAATAGCATAAATCTGAGAGGTGTGGCCACCGCCCTTCACGCGGATTCTCATGTCCACGCCGGCGAAGCGGTGGCGGCCAACGAGGAGGATCGGCTCGAACGCCTTGTACCGAAGAATCTCCGGCTGAACGAGCTCGATCGGAACTCCGTTAATCTTTATCAGCCCTCGGCCGCGCTTGCAGTGAGTCACAGCCACCGCCGTCTTCTTGCGCCCAAAGCATTGGACGGATTCGGGTGCCGGCTTCGCCATGGTGGTTCTCTCGAGGAAGCTTTGTCTATTAGGGTTCAATGCTGAGAGGCGCTGTCTTCGTATTATCTTTAGCTTTATTTGGGAATTAGGGTTTTCTTTCTTTGGGCCCTACCACTTATTGGGCCCTTAAATCAATTGCAGCTTATTAGCCCAATAAGACCAACAGACGCTAAACTTAATAATGCAAAATTTAGAGTGCGTTTGTTCGGTGGTTTGTATTTTGAAATAGCTGATATTTTAAACTATAAATTATTTTTACTCTAATATAAAAAATAAAAATAATTTGATTTAATATTTTTGAACAATTTTTTTTTTTTTTTTAATAAATACTAGTATTAGAAAATTCTAAATAATTAAAATGCGAAAACCGGTGTTGTGGCGGTTCACATTTTCCCACGTTTTGTCTGCACGCTTTCTTTCCCGCTCTCAGTTGACCCAAAGAAGAACAAGGTCGATGTGCGGAAGAGCGCGGTGCACTCTCCGGCCGGACGACTTCACTCGGGCATGCCGTCTCGATGCCCGCTCCGTCCGCCACCTGCATATGGACCAGTAACTCTGTTTTCAAGTTTTTGAGTTTCAGGAATTTTTATGTTAGGTCAATCGCTTGATTTGAAGCGGAAAACGGTTGTTTTCTTATTTAGGTTTCGGCCGTCGTATAACGTTGCGCCGGGGTTCAACGTTCCGGTGGTTCGGAGAGACGAAGAAGGAGGAGATGGCAACGGCGTCGTTCTTCACTGCATGAAATGGGGGCTTGTTCCCAGCTTCACTAAGAAATCTGAGAAGCCCGACCATTTTAGAATGGTAATGAGTAGTTAAACTAGTTGTGTTTCTTTCCACCCCGAAACGTGATTATAGTTTTAACCCTAACTTTCTAGTTGATGCTCATAATCATTCAGTTTACACTTTCAGAAGAATGCTTTGTACTTACTGACTGAAATTGGATTGGAAAAGGATGCTTACAGGTTGAAGATTAAGACATTGTTGAATTCGTAAAAACATTGTAAACTTTTTGGTGGCGAGAGATCAATTTATCCTTTCTCAAGTACATTTATATTTTTGTTGTTTTCGCTGTTGATATTGTTTTAATGATGCTATGTCAACTGGGATGAAACTTTTGCCAATAAAAATTACTTTTATATTACACTTATGTTTAACTTTCTGACCCTGTGGAAATTTGCTTATCTCATCTCAATTATGGTTCCAGTTGGCGCTTGCACTTGATATTGTTTTAATGATACTATGTTTGGCAGTTTAATGCTCGATCTGAATCATTACGAGAGAAGGCTTCTTTCCGCCGACTACTTCCTAAGAATAGATGTTTGGTATCTGTTGAAGGGTATGCATTGTGCAATTGCTTGCATTAGTCATTCTCTTTAAGTATTTCCACTTGTGTTTCCTTAAATGGCATTCTATCTTGATTTTCTTCCCTCCTGCAATCAACCACTGTACAGGAAGTTAGAAGTTTTCTTTTGTTTCCATATAGTGTTTGGGTATTTGGAGGAACAACAGAGGGTTTTCCATGAATTGTTGGCCATTTTCATTTTCTTCCCTATAATTTATAATGCTTCTTCTATTGGGAAACTACGTTTTGATAATTGCCCTTTTAGTTTCTTTGACCTACCTGCTCCAGTGTTGTATGACTTGTAAATTATGTTTGCTGAGTTATCACCATACCCGTAATTTAATTGTAAATAGTTTGAGTTATCAGTCTAGTAAATGAAAATTTTAAGATGTTATACTTACATCATTTATACGCTCAGATTTTATGAATGGAAAAAAGATGGGTCTAGAAAGCAACCTTACTACATACACTTTAAGGATGGTCGTCCCATGGTTTTTGCTGCACTATTTGATTGCTGGAAGAATTCAGAAGGTGATCCGTTCAATTACATTTTTAACTAACCAGAATCCATCATGTTATCAATTTTTCCTTGATGATGTCCTTATGTTTGCCAAATCATTTGTCACCACTTCCATTAAAATGTTGCTTATATCTGTACATTTTTAATGTGAACTCATTTCATTCCTGGAGACTTGATGGTTGCTATAAGAAATTTGTTTGCTCTTCCATAATTGCCCTTCAATTGCAAATTCTTGTACTGAAGTTGCTTGTTTTCAACATATTTACCATTTGATTGACTCATGCAGGGGAAACTATGTACACATTCACAATTATCACAACTTCGTCATCATCATCATCTTTGGAATGGCTCCATGGTCTGTATTTACCTAACAGTTCGAGCACAAAATCTAAATGCTGCTGTTTATGTAGATTGAAACTATGTCATATTTGATAAATTATGACTTGTAATAGACAGGATGCCTGTTGTCTTGGGCAACAAAGAATCAATAGACTACTGGCTGAATGATTCATCCTCATCCAATCATGACAAACTTTTAAAACCATATGAAGATACAGATTTGGTAAGGACCTCATTTTATGTTTGGGGAATATGCTTGAGATCTAATTTGTGAGATTTCACATTACACTACTGTGGCAGGCCTGGTACCCGGTGACAACAGCTATGGGTAAGCTTTCTTTTGATGGGCCAGAGTGCATCAAGGAGGTAAATATTATATATATATATATTTTTTTTATTTTTTATTTTTTATCTAAGTATTTAGTTGTGTTTTTTGTTTTTTGTTTTTAGGGTTTCAATGTTTTTGAGGTGAAAATAGTGTTTCGGTTTAATGTTGGAGTGAAAATGTTTGTTTAAAATATTGCAAAATAGGTTTGAAGCACAAATGAACTAACCCCAAGTTATTGAATATAAATAATCGACTGCTAAAGTGGTTTTCAACTAATTTGGAAAATAAAAAAGAATCCTGTCCAACTGTTTTGACAATGTGAATCTGTCGAAAATAATTGTAGTGTGAAAACTAAAAGTTGGTTGGATTGTCCGCCATCGTGAACATATATATATATATATATTTACACACATGTTTGCTAAAATATATTTTGTCCCTATTTCTGGAATAAGATCAAACTCGATGGAGTTCTTTCCTTCATTATAACACGTGATGTAATTCTGTTCTTTGATTTCATCCTAAACATTGGGAGTTACTGCGATGCTCCAGTTAAGGCCAAAGTTTGCACTTCTGTCAACAGGTACAAGTGCGAAAAGAAGAAACAAAATCAATATCTCAATTCTTCTCTCGGAAAGAATCCTGCGCACCACAGCAGCCAAAGCATGAAATAACAACAAAGGACGAGCCTGTTGAAGCTAACGAACCAACAAGGATCAAAGAGGAAGATGAAGGCCAATTTACTCTTGAGGACATCGGAATAAAGGATGAACTTATCGAAAACATTAATCAGGATTCTGTGAAACAGGAATGTGGGACACAAGAGGTTCATGCTTCTCTATCTCCCCATAAATCAGACAAACGCGGTCGTGGAGAATTTTCTGGTGATCAAGGGAAGCAACATGGTAATGAAACCGAAAAGCATCGGGTTTCGAAAAGAAGCAAGGGTGCAAATGATAAACAGCCGACGCTATTCTCGTACTTCGGTAGAAGGTAATCGGATAGCTTCTTCCCTTATATGATTTTTGTTGTGTGGGCATGAGCATATTTTAGAATACAACGTTGCATTTTGAAAATGAAAGCATCTATGCCTCTTCTGTGGTAATTAATGTTTGTGTGCATAAGCTAAGTTACTTAGTTCAGGTGTGTAAAACTTTTAAGATTTTGAGCTGTATTATATGTGTCACGTGGGATTTTATTTTGTTTTATTTTTTAGTAACATAGTTGTTCTATTTAATAATAATGAAATAATATATATATTATATAATAAAATGAGCACACTATTGAAATATATTTGTGATTATTCTTCCTTTTTTTTTTTTTGGCCTTGATATATGTATCTAAGAATTCTTATTAAGGGCTTCTTTTGATCTGCACGTAATGTTGTTTTGTTAGCAAAACGTAATGTGCTTTTGTAGGTTATTATTTTAATATTAATATATGATTATTTAATAATGACTATATTTCAAACTTGTGTATTTCTTCGAGTTGCCTATTGGCCCATTCGCTATAGCGCAATTTCTAAAATTGGATATTTAGCAAGAACCGAAAAAATGATGAAATATAATATTTCTTCGGGCCAAGCAAAAAGTATTCATTTATTTTTGGTGCGGAGTTTAAGAGATAATAGTATTTTAATTATAGTGAATGGTAAAAGTAGTGTAATGATATTTTTGTCCGTATAAAACTAATGATGTAATATAAAGTACGAGTATTTGTGGAAAAAATGAGGTATTTAGTAAAATGATAGTTCGTTTCAAAATAGAAATATGTATACTTTCTAGACAAAGGAAGGGTGTGTTCGTTTGCAAGATTTTGCAAAATTTTTACTATTCATTCAATTTTTTCTCCAAAAAAACATCAAATCAAACACCTATTTTTTTATTTTTTATATTATATTAAAAATTAATTTTACATTTAAAATATCACATCAACTTCTATTTATATCACATTATACAACTATTCAAATTCAAAATTTTTACTATTCAAATCCCAACTCAAAATTCAAACTCCCAAACAAACACCCAGACAAACGCACCGGCAAGTATAACATAAAATGTTAAGTTTATTTATATAGCATGAAATGATATATATATATATATATTTAATGTTATTTTGAGTAATATTGGCATAGAAACACATTCACAATATACAAAAAAAAAAAATGACGTTGGTGCTGAGGTCCCGGGAGCTGACAAAATAGTTTTAACACAAGGGAAATATATAAGGGCGCAGCAATGGCAAGTACCAGCAGTACCCCTCCACAAGACGGCGGTCGGCGGCCAATTCCGCCACCAGTTTCCTCAGCACTCGGAAGGCTTTGGCGGTGACCACCCACTGCACCGCCCGCCGGCCGCCCATCCAGAACCCTCTCCGCCGCTGGCCCAGCCGGATCGACCGCCGCCGCCGCGTACGTCCGGCGATAAACCCCATATAATTAATTAATTTGTAATGTATTGAATTTGTAGGGTTTGTGTTTTGTGTTTGGGGATGGAATTTATAGAAGAAGAGCGTGGGGATGGATGGGATTAGAATGAAATGAGTAAAGTGATTATTATTAGAGTGAATCATTATTCATTAATGCCGATATTTAATTATTTGTTACTGCCATCATTGCATCAACTGGGATGGGATGGAGGGACTTCTACTTTTTGCTTTTTATTTATTTATAAAGCAATTAAAAAATAAAATGTTGTAATATGTAAATGCATTCCTTTTTTAGGGGGTCATTTTATTTCATTTATTTTGAAAAGGCACTTATGGAGTCTAAATGAATTTGGAGAGAATAAATAAAAATAAAACTAACACGGCTGCGAACAATTGATTTGTATAAGTATATTTTTTTTTTTTATTATTATTATTATTATTTTGTAAAAAACAATAATTTATTATGTTATGTAAAATTATATAACACGCTATCGGAATATATATTTTATATTATATTATTATGTTTAGTCAAAATGCGTTGCTGTTTTATTGTAAGTTTTTTTAGTTAATAGTGATTAAATAAGAAAGTGAATGAATATATATATATATGTTTTATTTTAAGTTAATAGTGATTAGCTATTACTGTTATTTTTTAGTCATTAAATATTTTGGTGATTAAATAGTAGTAAGAATAAGAATAAGAATAATGTGTTAATAATTAAAGTAACAATGATAACGTAACAATAACAAAAACAATTAATTAAGCAGCCGCACGCATGATTAATTAAGAAATCCTCTGGCCCAAAATGTTAATTTTAAATTTTAAATTTTTTATTTTTTAATTTGAAAATTTATATTATATTGCCATATTAGTTGGTAAAACAATTCTTGCCTTTTGGGCAAAAAATATTTGTTAATTTAAAGCAAGACTAATAATAATAATAATAATAATAATAATAATAATAATAATGTAAGGATTTTTTATATGTAAAAAAAATGGGCATAAAAAAGTATAATTTTTAGCACAATATATTATAAACACAATTATTAAGTAAAAAATTAATAGACTTTTGTCATAACTTTGAGATGGATTTAAATAGTACTAATAATAAAATATTCTCATCTCAGGTTCTTAAGACTTTTACGTTGTATTTGGATTACTTTACATTTTGAAAGTTTCTAATAAAATATATATTTGATGTAATGTTTAAACAAAAACAACAATATTCCATGTATTAATGTATCAATTTTGTTATTTTGAGTTGTCCCTAATTAATATATCTATCTTTTAATTTGATAATGTAATCTTCTCACAAACAATAAAATACTTTAATTTATATATATATATATAATTACCATAATGTCACACTTTTATTTGACTATCCCCCATGCACTTAAAAAATTAATTTTTTCTATAGAAAATATTAGCATATATATTTTAATTTATGTGTAAAACGTTAATAGACACATTGACGTGGAATATGAGTATTATATTTGATACTTTTTTTAAAAAAATAATAATAAAAATGTATCTTAATAGAGTAGCGTAAAAAAATAAAATAAAATAAAAGACAAGTAAATAAGCTCTAAAAAAAAACATGTTTAATTTAGTAATATTGAAGACTCTTATCCAAAATCTTGAAACAACATTGATACTACACTCCATTAATCCCTAAAAATCAGACATCTTCTTTTTTTTTTCAATAGTGTCCTAATTAAGAATCCTAAAAGATTCCATGCGAGATTCTTGACAGAACTTATATTTTATTTTTATTTTTTTAAAAAAATAATAAAAATAATATTGATTACCATCGACGACAAATGCATTTGTAGCGATATGGGGCATTGAAAGGGTCGTCACCATCCACAGGGACGAGCTCGGCCACGCATCTGTATTTGCATCCACGACATTCGTTGTAAGTGCACGCCGGCGCCACTGATCCGATCAATAATCTCTTCGAATAATCCTAAGAATATATATTTTTGTAATAACGACAACTAATTAGAGCTATATATATATATGTTTCCAAAAAAAAAAAAACAACAGTTTTAGGATTTCGAAAACTTAGAATGAAACCTTATTGTTGAAACTTTTGGGAGAATCGTTGAGTGACATGCGAACATTAAATCCTGATGATATAAAAGGAAGTAATAATAATAATTTGTAATTAATTATAAGTATGGATGAGTATATAAAATTGAAGAAATTGTAATAAATTTTGTATTAGAAATAATTGCAAAAAATGAAGAAAGGAAAGATGAAATTAAGACAGATACCTTGAACTACTGATGCACAAATTAGTAAGTGAAAGAGAAGCAATTTAATAAATGGATACTTTAAGAATTTCTCCATTTCAAAAATGAACCAAAGGGAACAACTATGACATATATATATATATTTTCTCCGTCCCAATACAATAGTTCTGTTTACCATTTTTATCCGTCCCAAAACAATAATTTCATCCTCATAAATAACTATACCATTGTAAAATTATCATTACTTTTACATTATTATTATTACACAATTTCCACTACTTTTTACACTAATACACTCACAAGGACAAAAAAGTCTTTTTATTCGTATTTTTTACCCACTATTAATATAATATCAATATTTCTTAAATCTCGTGTCAAACACAACCCAAACTATAGTTTTGGAACGGAAGGAGTATAAAATATGTGCATGCAAGTATCGAAAAATGTTATGTTGGATTTGGTTGTGTTTTCTATACCTTCTTTTTACTTAATATTTACAGAAATTTAATTTTTCTCAAAAATAATAAAAAAAAAATATTTATTTTTTCATTTAATATATATTATATATAGTTTTTTTTATGTAAAATATCAAATTAATTATATATTTATATTACATCAAATAAATTTATATATATACTTTTTTTTAAAAAAAAAACATATTAAAATGTCAAACACGTCAAAATACAAAAAAACAAATATGTACTTCTCTGTCTTTTTAATATAATATTTTGTAAAAAATAATATTATAATTTATATATATATTTTTAAAAAATTATTATTAATAAATAATATAATTTTTTTTAAAAAAAAAAATTTGTTTAAACATAACCATTTGCATGTGGCATTTACCTATTATGATAACACGTACAATACAAAGATTAATAAAAAAAGAAAATCAAATTTTACTAAAATAAAAAATGATATATGAACAAAATAATAAAATTTTGATATATATACATATGTCAAAATATAAATAAGCTCATGATGTAAATAAAATTTATTTTTCATTTTTACCTTATATATATATATATATATATATATATATAGGATCATGCATGTGCCTTAAAATTGCACTACCCGTGCCTTGCTACCTAGGCCTATATATAAGGACAACTCGGGATATTTCGTATCCTTTTATAGGATTCTGTATCTTTAAATTGAATCCACCATTGAAAATGCCAAAAAACACACTACAGAGAAAAAAAAAAATAATAATAAATAAAAAATAAAAAATAATAATAAAAAAATAAATTTACATTATATACATTGATTAGCTCTAATCAGTACATTATAACGGTATCTAGATTTAATTTTTATTTATTGAAAAAATATTCACTATGTACTTTAGCGCTGTATTAACATGCAATATGCGTTTCTATCATAATATAGTAACATATTGGATTATTGTACCATCTTTTATCTAAATTTAAATTTATATTATAATTCACAAATAATATTAGACCTACAAAATAAGATTTAAGAAATTAATACTTATTTTGTAATATAATACTTATATTAAATAAAATAAATCATTTCAAATCTACGCTCCTGTAACATAATAAATTAATAAACCTAGCCATATAAAATGAAGTGTAGTTAATAATTGTAAATTTATATTTTAAAATACTTTAAGACCATAATAATTAATTTTAAATGTTTTAAATCATAGCTAGTAAATAAGATCTACAAGGGCATCACGTCAGTATTATTGAAGATTGAAATGTCATTGCATAATATTTGGTGAATTTTAATTTAAATTGTATTTTATTGTGTAAATATTTTTTATGGTAATCTCTAGGGGTGAAAATATGACTTATCATTGGAGAAGCCATTCTAAATTTCTTAGGTCTTTGGTGTGATGTTTGCGAGTGAAAAATACTCTATTTGTATCTTTCCGATTAAATAAAAAAAATAAAAAAAAAATAACTAAATGAAATTCGATTTTTGTTTAAAATACAAATAAAATACCCCTTTAGCTAGTTTTCCATATTTATTTATTTTATATATATTGGATTAAATATAAAACAATGTATGGTTGTATTTATATACTTTTGAGATTTAATAAATAAATAAGAATTAAAAATTGAAAAAAAATAAGTATTTAGATGTGATATGAGTATATATAAATATATATATATATAAAATAATTAAAAAAAGGACACTTACACACTATCGATTAATAGTAATTTTTTAAGAAAAAACATCATAGAAAATGAATATAAATATTTTATTTTTATAAAATATCAAATCAAAAACTATTCAAAATTTTACTTATTTTAAAATTTGGCAAAATTGTTTGTACCAACGTATTATTTTAAAAATCAGCATCATTCTTTGTCGTGATTTCAAAATTTCATAAATCACCCATGTGTTTTAAAAAAAGAATTGCACAAAATATATATATTTTTTAGGAATTTCTATGCAATATTTTTAAATATAACGGAAGAGAGTCTCATTCAATTTCTAAATTACTAGAGTGAATTATGCGGACTTTTCAAATCCGAATTATAAATAATTTTGTCAATTTTAAAATTATATAAAATAAAATTAAGGGTAGCTATTGAATATAGGGGTGAAGAGTGAAGACCATTCTATATATGGTTTAATTAATGAAACAATGTAGAGTAGGTAACGGCTAAATTGTCCCCATTATTGCAGCATTGTTGACATTCATTCATTTTCTTCACGCCCTCAATACTCACTCAATTCAATTCCCATTTATTTTTATTTATTTAATACTTATTTGTTACAAATTTCTTGATTTTAATAATATATATATATATATATGTCTAGTGTGGGTTCAAACCACCGTCGCCTCAGGTCACTTGCAACATATGGTTCGTCTAGCGTGATTTTTCCGTCAAATTTGATTTGCAGGATATTAGGTTCGGTCGGAAGTTTACTCAGTGTGCACTCTTTAGTAGCGGCTATGGATTCCCACATAATAATAATAATAATAATAATAATAATAATAATAATAATAATAAAACAACAACAACGAGGAATGGGCAAAATGACCATAGTAGTACACCTTTTTGCTAAAAATTGAATCATTTTTATTTAGGGTGTGTTCGTTTGGGGGTTTGGATTTTGAGTTGGGATTTGAATAATAAAAATTTTAAATTTGAATAGTTGTATGATATGATATAAATAAGTGTTGATGTAATGTTTTGAATGTAAAATTTATTTTTAGTATAATATAAAAAATAAAAAATAGGTGTTTAATTTGATGTTTTTTGGGGGGAAAAAATGGGATGAATAGTAAAATTTTGTAAAACTCTTACAACCGAACACACCCTTAATTTATCATTGGTGTCAACGGTGTGTGTTAGAGAGAGATAAGAAAATGGACATATATAAATATATATATTTATTTATTTAAATAAATGGCTAAAAATAAAAGCAACCATTTCATTTCGTAAGGGCTGCAAATTGTGGTCCATTTGGGATCATCCATCAATTCAATTTTCTTTGTGTCAAAATCATCCAAGCCTCATAGAGGTTTGTTCATTTGTGTGTGTGTTTGTTTATTTTATTTTATTATTTTATTGCAAATACATACGTTTATATTGTTTCATTTATAATTTCCAAATTTATTTTTGTAATTTTTTTAACTTTTTTTTTTTTTTAAAATTATGGCATTTAAAACTTATTATTTTTTTATTTAAAATATTATATTAAAATAATTAGGCTATATTCAAAATATTTACTTCCTTAGTTGGAAACAATTATACTATCTCCGTCCCATAAAACCGGTATCATTTGTCTTTTGTGTCATTTTACTTCACAACTGTCATTGAGATATTTTTGTCATGATTTGTACTACGTATTTATATAATAATTAATATTTAAAGATCAATGCACAAAAAACTCGTGATACTCTTATGGGACAGAGGTAGTATAATTTTTGTTGGGCACAAATATTAATAAATAATAATATAAATTAAAGTATAGTAAATAAAAAAATAAAATGAAAATATTGTAAAAGTTTTATTAGGGTGTGTTCGTTTGTAGGTTTTTAACAAAATCCTACTATTCATCCAAAATTTTCCCCCCAAAAATATCAAATCAAACACCTATTTTTTATTTTTTATATTATACTAAAAATCAATTTTACATTCAAAACATCACATCATCACCTATTTATATCACATCATATAACTATTCAAATTCAAAATTTTTACTATTCAAATCTCAGCTCAAAATCCAGACCCCCAAACAAACACACCCTAATGGATTGATAAAAATGTGGTGGGATAAAAAATAGGGACAAAATTACTAAATATATAATATACATAAGTTTAATGGACATAAGAAAATACTGACATAATTTTGACGGATGGAAAGAAATAGATTAAACAAATATTTTATATTCAAATTTTATAAATAAATACAACTATTTATTTTAAAATAAGATATCAAATAATTAGTTTACATTTAAAAAATGAATTATTGTGTTGGCGACATATCAATTTTGTGAATGTTATGTTTGTAAGTAATGTGAAATGTCAATTTTGCTAGTTTCTATCACCAAAATTATAAAAAGATAATACAAAAAAAAATAAAAATCACAATAGTTAATATTCTAAAATTTAGCATCACCACATAAAAAAAATAAAAAATAAAAATGAAATGTATCACTCTTTAGGGGTTTGTTTGGTTACTTTCATAAACTATTGTTTTACCATTCAATCTACAATTATTAAAAATAAGTACATTATTTATTTTTATAAAATTTTTAATTTAAATACTATTAAATAAAAATTTAAAATTCAAATAAAAAGCAAGAATCCCAAAAACTACGTGCACCATTATCGCACCCATTAAAAATGTTGTTGGACTACAAATTCAATAATTAATTAGATCACATGGTGCAATTAATTCCAACCGTCCGATTAGTGCCTTCCGCTCTACGCCGTGTCCACGTGTACCCAATCACAAATTTCCGGAAAAGCTAATATATATACATAAGAATATTTTTAAAAGAATATGAAATATATTTGTGTTCATATTATTATTTTACTTGTTTAGCCTTTATTTTTGAATATATTTTTTATTATTCCAGGTATTAAAAAGAATCTTATACTAAATTATAATTTTTGTAAATGAATATAAATATGATATATATTATATTGTATTAATATAATATATTTTTTAATAACATTAATTAACAATCGCTCTAAAATGTATTGAATAAACACGCTTATTATTGTTGTTACTAAAATGCGGAATAATTAATAACCTAAAAAATTAAACCATAATTTTACCGTCAAATTATTGATAGACGTGCCAATTATATCAAAATTCTAAAATGTAAATTAAGAAATGGAAAAAGGAAAAAATAATTAAGGGCCCACAACAAAATGGAAAGGGCTGGGATCCGAACGCCAGATAGATCTGAACCGTTTATATTGAAGATATACGGTGTAGATCTATCCGGTGCGGGAAGTCAAAGAATGATTGTCAGTAGATTAATGTGAAGAACATTGGCCTTCAATTACGCAGCGAGTGTGTGAGTCCACACCGCCATTGAAAAGCTTTAGCATTTGTTTTTTGTTTATTTTTTTGTTCTTATTCACGCAGATTCACACATTTGAGGAAGCTCAAACGCCGGAATCGAATTTCACCGATGGCGGAGGAGGGTGGGGAGGAGTACCTGTTCAAGATAGTGATTATCGGCGATTCAGCGGTGGGGAAATCGAATCTGCTGTCGCGATTTGCTCGGGATGAGTTCGACCACAACTCCAAGGCGACAATCGGTGTGGAGTTCCAGACGCAGGTCGTGGAGGTCGACGGGAAGGAGGTGAAGGCGCAGGTGTGGGATACCGCCGGCCAGGAGCGATTCCGCGCGGTAACCTCTGCTTATTACCGCGGCGCGGTGGGGGCGCTGGTGGTTTACGATATCAGCAGGAAGACGACCTTCGAAAGCATCAAGCGATGGCTCGACGAGCTTAACAGTAAGTGTTGGAGTTTAGATCCGATTTCTGTTTTCTCAGAGTATTGAAGCTTCTATGTGGTGTTGTACTTGTTTTTTGGAATTGTTAATCTATGTTGGTAATGCTGATTGGTTTGGTTTAGCTTTAGGTTAATTCTCGGAATGATGAGTAGAAATGCTCCATTTTGCTGCTCTGCATTGCATTCATCATCATCATTTCCAATCATTATCATCTATGTTGTCCTGCTAACCTGTGGACGTGAGTTTAGTAAAATGTAAAGCTGAGGAATTTTGAATATAGGGTTGTGCAAGTTTGTAGTTTGGAAATTACCAACCGAAGTCGAATTCTAACTCGATTTGTTAATTTCTCTATACTTGCATTTGCTTTAGTGTACTGTGCTCCTTCATAATGTAGTTTCACGCAACCTTATTTTCGCAATATATAATCGTGTTTATCACTTCGTACAAAGATTATGGAAACAAATGCCTTTTTGATCTTCTTTCTTATATGTTAGGGCTATTGCTAGAAGATTTACCCCAAAATTTATTGACTTTTGGTGTTATTATACTACTCACTGATGACACATCATGGTTTCATCCAAGAAAAGGGTTTCAATGGAAGTTTTCGATATAAGTAGAGTGTAAATGATGCATGAACTTGTGAAACAGCATATGAGAGAGACAACTTTAAGATACAGAAAGTGTGAGATTGATAAGAAAATTTTAAGATAACTGATTCATCGAGCAATGCTTAGGTTCACATTAAGGTAAAAGGCATGGTTAGGCTTGTTTTTGTGATACTTTTTTAATCGTGTTTGATCATTTTATCAATGATTTATGTACTTATTTTACTCTAATATAGGATGCATCGAATAAACGATAGTGTTCAATATGGTGGATGAACTAAACCAGATAGTTATATGAGTGAAATAAAACAGCTTCAAATTTTGCTGTTAAAGAAATTCAATCCCATTTCCTATCAACTTTATTGACTGATCTATCTATATGTTTTTCCATAAACTGAACACACAGCCCATTGCGACACTACAGTCGCAAGAATGCTCGTGGGGAACAAATGCGACTTAGAGGACATCAGGCAGGTGAGCGTGGAGGAGGGCAAAACGCTGGCGGAAGAAGAAGGGCTGTTCTTCATCGAGACATCTGCCCTCGACTCCACTAATGTGAACAAGGCATTCGAGATTGTTATACGTGAGATCTACGAGAAGGTTAGCCGGAAAATCCTCAACTCCGATTCTTACAAGGCTGAGTTATCTGTCGATAGGGTGAACCTGGCGAAGGAGGTCGACCTTTCAAAGCAGAATTCGGGCGCGCTCTCGTGCTGTTCGAGGTAATTCTTTGATGTCTGTTTTGTTTTGTTTTGTTGATGGTTAAGGCTTTGGGAGATTTTTATCTGCTTGTATTTATTGTTGTCTTGTGGCCAGCTTTTTAAAGTTTTGCTGGTTGTTTGTGTGTTGTTTATTTTGGGCAATAAACCTGGGAACCATGTAATAGTTTTATTGCAGCCGTATTAATTTATTACTTACATATATGTATTTGAAGGTTTTCTCTAGTATTGGTATGACAATGATTCTATGGCATTTGGAATGCGAATTAGATTTTATAGTTCTAGATATATGAAATTATAACACTTTTTTATTTTTTTTAAATAATTCAATCTATATGATCAATTTGTTCTGCAAAATTCTTTGATAGCACTATCATCAAACTATTTGAAAAAATATATAGATTCCAGATCAACTTTGGCCAGTCTGGAAGCATAGACCAAAACTAACTTGTCACCCACGCATGCCGCGTGTACGTAAATACAAAAAGTAAATTTTAATTTTTTAGACATTAATCAAAACAAAATGGCAGTGTTTTGAATTTTAAATAGCAAAGTTCTCCCCCAACTATTTTAATAAATTGTTACCAAGTGTAAAAATTTAATAAACCAGATTCGCTAATTATAATCATTCAATATATTTATGTATGTAATACTATATTATAACTCTCACGAAATATTATATATATATATATATATGATGATCAAAAGTGTAAAATTATAAACCAGCTACTAATAGCTTTTTTGAAAAAATGATCACGCCTTTTCTAGAAAAATTTTAAAATCAAAATTTACAAAAACAGAAATAAAATTGCTTATTATGCGAGAGCATAATGATGATTGCTACCTACACAAAAAAGCATGGATAAATTAATACAATAAAAAAAATCAAACCTGGTACTGTAATTGGGATGATGATGATGATTTATATAATATAGATGATTCTTTTTCTCCTTCAATATTCATGGCTTCCTCAAGGCTGAGGCAGCTCCCATGACTACTGCCAATATGATCCCTACTCCTGCCCCAACCGAGGCACCTACAGCTGCTGCTGACACAGAACTTGACTTACCAGCAGCTGCCGCATCCCGAATTGCCGCACGTTCCCTCGCTAGTTCGAAGAATATCCGATCTCTGGTAAGCTCCTGTGGAGTGAAAATGGGAGTTTTTACAATACAACTTCTTGGGAGTTTTGATCAAATTTACAGGCCATAGTATTCAGCTACAACATTATTATTGAAAAAGCATGCCACAAAAATAATTTTATGGGAAGAATCATTTAAACTCAAAAGCTTCTATTTTGCAAGAACTCGTAGTAAATGGTTTAAATTATAAGGTCGAGAAGATGAGACAAACCTGTAATGCAGCGTCCTCATTGCTGCGGAGAACACGGTGAATAAGCTGGCAGAGAGATGTTACACCCTCTACAGGTAGAACGGCTGGTTTCTTTTGGAAAGGTTTTCGAACGAGCTTAATTGGATCAAATACAAGCTTCCAGCCATCCTTTGTGCGTTCAGTGATGATGTTTGCTGCACGCCATGACGGAGAATCACCTACAGCACTAGGCATAACATAGGGGCACGAATTGATGACCTCAGTTAAGCTAGGGGATGCTTGATATGCCTGAAGCACGGCATTAATAGCTGCCTTTTGTTGGTGCGCGCTGACAGAGAATTTATTTGTTACGGCAAGGACCCAAGGGATGCCTAGAGATTTGGCCTCGTCTATGAGTAGTGACAGAGCTGGGGGTTGGAGTGAGTTTGACTGGCCATAACGAGGTATCCGGTGGGACAAGTTGTGCACAAGAACCACTAGGTCGATTTTCTGGCTTAGATCACGGATTCCTTTCCACAACTCATCCCTGAAGTTAGAGACTTCCATGTTCAGATTCTGCATCGGATGGAAACAGAAGATGGGATAGGGTCAAGAAAACAACAAAAGAAACAATCTGGACAAGTTGCAAAAAAAAAAAATGCAGGTAAGGAGATAGAAAATCATTCTAACCGAGACTTCACCAAACATTGCTAATATTGGAACTACAATGAAACAAAAAAAGATAATGGCATCCATTCTAAAAGTTTGAGATTTTGAAGTGTAGATATATTCATCGGGGTCTACCCACAAGCATGGTAGAACAATGTTATAGGGCCGGCGGGCCTTTTGCTAATGTAAAACTTAAATTTCGAAATATTTTGATAACATCAAGATTAGGTTTAACTTTAAGCTGAAAAGCCAACTGATCGACAAAAATAACACTTAATGGAACAAGCTCAATGAATGAAAGTACAAAAATACCTGCAAATTTACTCCTGTGGAATCTGAATAGAGCAAACCACCAGCAATACCTTCTCGAACATCAACATCCATGGGAAATGTCTCAACACTCAAGGTTCTAGAACTTCCTGCTTGATCCAGAACTGCCTTAAGCAGTGAGGTTTTACCAGCACCCTGCATATACATAAACTTTTTATATTCGGGACAAAGCAAAGGCCTTGAAGGCATACACAACGGAGTTATATATTACCTCAAGGCCAATCAGCCGCACCCTGCGGAGTCGAATGTGAACTTCTTTGGCAACAGTTGAAAAATCTGTTGTACAGAACACGACAAAATCATTTAGGCCATCACGACGGATAAATCTTTCCTCCGTTTCAGAAGACTTGTTCTGCTTCAGCTTCAGATCAACAGAGTTTGGGTCAATAGAAAGAAATGCTGGCATCATTCTATCCTCTGTTATCTGATGTTTTGGTGACTGTTTCAATGGAGCTCCGATTTGTATCCGCATATTCTGCATCTCTGGTTGCAATTCATGCTGTTGAGAATATGCCGGAGGCGAAGGAAAAGATTCCACAGTAGTTGAGCACCTTCCAGAGTTCAATTATGGGTTAAAAAGAGCACAAAGTGTACCAATACATGTTGAGCAGATACCCTGATTCTCACTTACAAGGCAGGAATGCATAAGATTTTTTACAAAAACAATTACAACTAAAGGAAAAAGATTCACATCACCGGTCAAGAAAATATGTATGCATTAGTTAAAACCAATCAGTTTTAGGAATTACATATATAGAGCTAAATGATAAACTCTAATCACTCAAGTAAATGCAACAAAGGGTGTGTGAGTGAATGGTATATTTAGATGGCATGCAAAAACAAAGTCATCAGGAGTAAGATGCTAAGGTTCATATAGAGAACAGAAAAAAAAAGAGTCAAATTGCATGGCAACGTCAAAGAAAATAAGATGACCATTGGGACACTAAAAAGCTAGAAGGCCAAGAAAATACCATTTTCCATTCACTCGAGCTTGAACTAATGTGCACAGATGCAATCCAAAACCAGAAATGTCTACTTTCAGCGGATCACCATTCTTCTCATCAAGAGTACCATTCCAACCAAGAGGAACTAAAGAAGTAGCTGCACGAATAATGGGAGTGTCAACAATATGCCCAAGTTCAACTGTACCACCAACAGAAATTCCTAGCCATTTCTGTAAATGTGGAAATTGCAGCTCTTGCTCCCCTCCCAAGAATGAAAATTCATTTTCATTCATATAGAGTTCGTAGATTCTGAAAGAAATAACAGGAAGCTGATAGCCATTAAGATTCAAATTTTTCATTAGAGAAAACTATTTCAATATGATTGATTTTGCTCATTATGAGCAACAATTGCAAAACTAAATTCAAGCGAATGACAGAATTATTTATCAAATGTCATATTATGACCATAATTATTTATCAAATGTCATATTATGACCATTCTCATCAACAGAATTAGTTCACTTTTGCCACAACAAAAACCATCAGGAATGACAGTAAATTAAATTCCCAATGTCAACAGAAAATAAGGCAAAATGCATTCATGGAATAGCAACAAGTAGATTGTAAGAACTAAGAAGCATCACATTGACATGGAATACTTGAAATAAAATTAAAAGGAAATCAAACACTAGAAATGCAAAGTTTACCTTTGAAACCGGGACCTGTAGGATCTCATTGAATGTGACTGAAAACGCTCCTTTACTTCGGCAAGTACAGATTTGACCTGAAAGTAATTATATAAGTGCAATTCCAAAAGTTACAAGTAACTACATTCTGAGCAGAACGGAGAAGGAGATGGTAAGAAGTAGCAGCAAAATAAGGGAAGAATAGTTAGTCATCTTACTGAAGTCAATTTTGAATATTCTGAACCAGAGAGCGATTCTACAGCTGAATTCCCCAGAAGATAAAGCTGTTGAATAAATACAAGAAAAATTGATGAGAAATCAAATATAGAGAGAGACCTTTCCTACAAGAGGAATAGGTTTTCATAGATATGAAGGTGAATCAGGATCCTAGTTTTCCACAAAAAGTGCAACTCATTAAAGAGCATAACCACATGTGCATATCAGCATAGGCGTTAAGTAACCAATTTTATTAATCATGTGGATAAGCAGCCATTGCACACAATAATGTCAGACAAATAGATTAAGATAGTATCAATGATCTTACATGCCCAAAAGGTACATAAGATGGTAACGAAGGTATTCTACGCCATGTCCTCCTGTCCCCACTGCTGCTGGTTCCTGGTGATTTTCCATTTTTAACTCCAGAAGACACAGCTTCATTCTTTTCTGTTAAAGGGTGTAAAGAAATTCCATCAGAGCCTTCCTCTATTTCAAGAGACTGTGGAGCTGTAACTATATCATCAATTGATGTGGCCGTAGCATCAACAACAGGAGATCTTTCAATTGGATCAACTTTTGCCCCCCTAAACCTATAGATCTGATTTCTGAGACCATCAATGGGTACAAGTCTTGAAAGTCTCCAAAAGGAATTCTGCACAGGACCTAAACCTAAAACCAACTGCTCCCCTTCAATTTCTTTTGATTTTTCTACCTTCTGCTTATCCAACCGTTTACCATACTTTAACATTGGTTGTGAAGGTTCAACATTGGCTGGCCCCAATGGATTCTGATCATTATAATGATGAAAATATGCTGGAGATAATATTCGTGGCACCAAATCCTCAGGAATGCAATATGTTCTGAAATAATGTTGCCATCCTTTTCCATTGACATAGCTGAAAGAAACATGTACAAAACCTTGATAATCTGAATTAGACAATGAAAGACAGACACTTGTATGATACAAGGCATACTCTCTGAGGGCAGCATTTCCAACTGGAGGCTGGGAGAATGTGATACACTTCACTGGGACTCTATCAGCTTCCTTGGAAGTAAAAGATATAACTCTCAAAATTGCAAGGGTTGCCAAGACTGCTACCTGAAGACTTTACTATTATTATTGACAAAAACTGAAGATTCTTACACGTGATAACATTCTAATGCATTTTGTGATCTAATTCATGATATGATTACAGCAAACTTAATTTAATATAATCACCAACCTAGAATGATACGATGAGTGATTACTATTCACGCATTAATAAGTGCTCTTAGCAGTAGAAAGTTGAGAGATCAATATTTAACATAATTATGCCAATTCAACAATTATTATCATCAAGATTATTGCATTCGCCTCATGAGTCACTAGAGCTAAAGCAAATCATTAAAAAAGAAAATGATTAATTTTAATTGAGGAAAAAAAAAACATACTGCTCCACCAAGTGAATGTCCACATAACACCAGCTTTCTTCTCTTTTTCTGGGCAAGTCTGTACAACTCTAATGCAGGTATTCCTTTTGCACGTGCCATAAATCCCTAGAGACAGTTTATTTACAATCATTCACAACAGAGAAACATGCATGTTCAACTGTAGATTAAAGAAATGCATCCTCCAAAGAAAATGGATATCATTGGTTACATTCAAAAACAGTGCCACCATTACCCGATGAACTGCAGGCTTAGGTGTAAATTTTGTTTGGTTAGAGCTATGTTCCGAATGTCCTGAGCCATTCTCTCCATTGTCCGTTAGTCCACCAAGCTTTGTGGGCTTGTTCCCACTATCGTCTGCCATTGGATTATCGTGGAATATGGCACCTTGAAATATATTTGCATCAGCCATGACATCCCTTTGTAACAAATAGGGGTAAAACAAGTAAAATACAATTTAAAGAATATTCTCGAGAAAATAAACATATGACAGAAGTATTAATGCCACACTTACCTGTACTGCTTAGTCCCAATGAAGGAAGCGAACAGTGTATCTCCAGCTTCAGCTAATAAATACCTAAGAAGTAAGAATCACACTGAAGATAAGCCATACAATGCCACTGCGACATTTAGATCCTATATAAGATACAGGACAGATAAAAAAAGGCAAATAAAGCAACTGTGAAAATGAAGACAGCTTAATCCAAATCCTAACCAAGATCACAAAATTATAAATTACATGATCGCATTGATAGCGTGCTTCCTCAGAAAATTTAAGCAGATTATTTACCCACTCTCCCTAAACTATATCTTATTCCTAAAACAAAACCAAATCAAAATGGAAAAACAATTAAAACTACATGAGACATAAGCTTCAATGCTACATCAAAACAGATTAATCTTCGGAAATGATCACAGCTGAGCACTGTAAATGCCATATTCTCTATGATGCACATTATCCAATACCAACCGTTTACAATCCTATGTTCTACCATAAAGAAAATAATAGTCATGTTTGATTATATAATTTACAGGACATTGATGGAAACAAGCCATGACATCTAACAAGATCCCACATCAGGTGTCCGAATTCTTGGTCAACATTGTGTCAAAATAATGAAAATAGCTAGCCAAAAAAATAAATTGGTTACTTGTGCTTTTTACCTGTTTTTTAATATTCAATCTCCTAATTTACCTCCAAAAACATCATATTGTCCCACATTGGAAAATAGTGGGAACTCCCTCTTGGATGCAAGGGTGAAAGACTGCTCCACTTAATATCAATTGATTTAAATTTGAAACCCATAACCCTTCTTAATATGGTAGCAAAGTCATATGTCAGTATTGGGTATTGATCCTATTTAGGATTTCAAGATGATATTATCTCGAGGGAGAAAGTGTTGAATATTGTTGGCCCATATAAAAAATTGTGGGAACTCCTTTTTGAATACAAGGGTAAAAAGACTACTCCACTTAATATCAATTGGTATTTAATTGAAACATATCTAACACCATTTCCATTCAAAACATAGCATCCAACTACTATTTTCACCACAAAAACAACAAAACCAAAAGGCACAAACAGTAAAAAGAAAAACAATAAACAGTCCAAAGCATTCCATGTCTTTACTGAAAGCATAACAAGATATGGTAGTGCTTCATTCAAACACCTGTGAGGAACATGATCGGAAGATGGTTGTACACGCTCTATAGAGACTAATTGCCCTCCAAAGTCAGCCTTGAATTTGTTCACCGCACGAACCACTTCTGCCGCAGGTCTCTATGATGGAAAAACATATCGAGTCCATAAGTTTAGAATATTACTTATAATCGTGTATGAAAACTAACATGAAGAACAAGGTTGAGTACCACTCCGCAAACCCAGAAACTAACACAAGGGTGCCTACAACATATCTACATAACCTACATTTAAACTACATTTTATCTCATTCAATAAGTTCAAGTGCCTTTTCCAACAGTAGCATTTCTTACAGATACTACCTCACAGTAGCATGTGGACTATCCAAATCTCATCAGATGAAACATGATTTTCTCAAGTTATTTCCTCCAGCTATCCCACAGACACAGATTCTACTAACATCGTCAACAGGCTGCTATATATGGCAGGGAACGCAGAGCACAATCTATTAACAAATAACATCAAGACTAAGACAACCAGGAAAATTGGAAGCAACTGCGCAGCTTAATCGATTGAGAAGTAACTGCTCGAACAAGTCATAAGAAGCACGACGCTTTCACTAGCAATGGTGGCACGATAAGAAAGCAAACATTGCGAATAACAACAATAGTAACCGCTCATAAACATACTAAAACATTCCACCGCCAACCATCAAACACAATTACAAGACAAAACGCCAACCACACCTTATAGACACACTCGGAGAGGACCATGCAGCAGATGATTTCCTGCAGATCGGAGACAGACTCTGCCTTGACGGCGTAACAGAGGTCCTGCAGCTGCTTTTTGCGGCGGTCTAACTCCTCCTGAATCTTCTTCTGCTGCTCGCGGCGGCCGTTGGGCCATGGCCACTTGACGACAATCCGCCAAGGCGGCGGCCACGCAACATTGAGGATTTTGGTGCGTTGGTCTCTGATCCATGTCTCCACTCGCCGCTGCAGCGCCTCCATTCACAATCACCCATGCAAAGCGGAGCAGAGCAGAGCCCTAATTGGATCGCCGATTTGGGAGGCGGTTGGATCTGGTTCTGGTGGCGCAAGGATGATTTGATTTTGGGCCTATGTCGATGGGATGGGAAGCATGTGGATTGTGGCCGGGTGGGAGGTATATTCCATGTGCATATTACATCATTATATACGTCTTCAACATAAATTTCCATAATTATAAAATGATTATTTTATTATTATTAGTAGTATTTTTGGAATTTGTGTTTGTTTAGTTGTGCCATGAATCATGATAACTTGAAGTAGTAATTGTAAATATACCGTTTGTTATTTTAATTTCTACATAATTTTTAATGTGAAAAAATAAAAATTAAAAAAAATATATTAATATATTATTGATTTTATATATTTTTATATTATAAAATAATTGTAAAAAATATTTTTGTTGAATTATAAATATATATATCAAATAATTTTAATCAAAAAGTGAAAATAATAATAAATATGAACTAAAATATAATTATATTGAAAATATGATCGTGAATATGACTTAGACCATGGTTGTGTTGAGAACATGGACAAACACGGCCATGTTCAGTCCGGTAAATAATTTTGAGATTAAAATTGATAAATTTTTATTGAAGTGAGACTAATTTTTTTTTTTTAATATGAACAAAATTGATAATTATTATATTAAATAAGATAAAATATGATTTTTACTTTATTAATAATAAAATGAATACAGTCGTGGGCTATGACTATGAGCCGGACCACATAGGTTGGGTCAAGCTTCTCGGCAGACTAGACCACAATAGTTTTAACGAACTTTTAAATATGTAAGAGAGTTCACTCAATCATTATATAATTAAAAAATAATACAAAACAAAGTAAACAAAATATATTACCAACTAATACATTTTATAAAAAACTATGTACAATAAATATTATTGATTTTACTTTGAAATTACAAAAAAAATAAAATAAAAAATCATAAAATATTACTATTACTACTTTAAAGATTAAAAATAGATGCTTTATATCATTGTTAACAAAAACAAACTAGATAGCATGATTATATTTAAATATGCTTTTAAAAAATAGTAAAAAATTATTTAATATAGTAATATTTTATGGAAAATAATATGCATTTTATTTTATTACTTATTTATTTTTTTGTTTGAGTTACTGTCAACAAATAATAGCAAAAGTGATTTGATAATGCATATAAATAGAATGTATATTTTTTTTGTAATGACAATTTATCAAATTCAAAATTAGGAAATATTCCTAATCTGTGACATGATTTTAATTTGCAAAATGAGAATTGGATTTAATAGAAAAATGGAAGATAAATAATTCATTTTGCTGATAATTACAAAATTTTAATTTAGTCCAACAAATTTCTGTATTTGTAAAAGTGATTTACATAATCATAACCTGTGCAAATAAGGTAATTAAACAAAGGAAATTATTTTAAGAGAAAATTGCGGACTGTTTGCTTTTAAAAAATGCGCATGCAAATCGTAAGGCTTAACGACAAGTTTTTCATTTCAAATGATTTGGACAACCAAACGGAGCCTTAGTTAATTCACCTTTATTAGTGGCCCGTCAAATGCACCATCTTTAGTTTTCGAGCTCTGCTTTCCATCGACAATGGCGTCTTCGTCTTCCTCCGGAGTTCTTCTGCCGGTTCTGCTTCTTTTGGCGACGCTTTCGCTGATTTTACCGTCGCGTTCGGACACGTGTGCATCTCAGAGCCTTAGCAGCCACCGTCCGTACGCCTTCTGTAACGACCTTCCCGTCCTGAACTCCTATCTCCACTGGACCTACGACGAGAGCCATTCAACGCTTTATCTAGCCTTCGTCGCCGCTCCGGCGAAGCCTGACGGCTGGATTTCATGGGCGATTAACCCGACGGGGACCGGCATGGCAGGTTCGCAGGCGCTCATCGCCTTCAAGGATTCCGGCGGTCGGATGACGGTGAAGACGTACAATATCTCGTCCTACAGTGAGCTGAAGGAGTCGAGAGTGTGGTATGAGGTGAAGGACTCGTCGGCTGAGTTTTCCGGTGGATTGATGAAGATTTTCGCTACTTTAGTGTTGCCTGAGAAGGGGAAAACGACGGTGAACCATGTCTGGCAGGTTGGCCCCTCCGTCAGTCGCGGATTTCCTGATAAGCACGATTTTCTGCCTCCGAATTTGATTTCTAAAGGCGTTCTAGATTTTTCGAAAGGGCAGAGCACCGGCAACGCCGCCGGCGACTCCAGAACCAAAAAGAGGAATGTGAGTTTCTTCTCTTAACACTAATCTTTCAGTTAAATAACAAACAGAGAAGGAATCTGTGCACACAATATCACAAACACAGATCTGATTGACATATCTAGGGTTTCGCGGTAACGAATCAAAATCTGTGGATTTACGAATTTCAAAACACTTTGTTGATAATCCTTGCAGATTCATGGAGTGCTAAACGTTGTGAGCTGGGGAATCATGTTCCCGATCGGCATAATCATCGCAAGGTACTTGAGGACATTCCCCTCCGCCGATCCACTCTGGTTCTACCTCCACGTATCCTGCCAAGTTTCTGCATACGCCATAGGCGTTGCAGGCTGGGGAACTGGCCTCAAGCTCGGCAGCGAATCCAAAGGCATTACCTACACTTACCATCGCAACATCGGAATTGCTCTCTTCGCCATAGCCACTCTGCAGGTAAAATCATCTCAACCACAACTCTGCCTCAATCCATTTGATATTTCAATCACACGATTATAGCGATTAAGATTTGGAAATTTGCCTAGCATGCGAATCCAATGCTTATTGCAACGATGAACATAGTTTGAGCGATAATGTTAGTTTCAATTTGTGACAAAAATCTCTTCTGATGAACACAATTTGGGCTATAATTTTGCTCTAAAATTCGATATTCGAATCATCATCTGTATCAATCATAACTATAAATATCTATATTCCATCATATCTACAGCTCCCCTGATCTGGCCTTTTCAATACAGGTATTTGCATTGCTATTAAGGCCAAAAAAGGACCACAAGTTTCGACTCTACTGGAACATCTACCACCACGGAATCGGATACGCCATCGCCATTCTTGGCATAATCAATGTGTTCAAAGGTTTGGACATTCTAAAACCCGAACAAAAATGGAGAAATGCGTACATTGTTGTGATCGCTGTGCTGGGAGGGGTCGCCCTCCTCCTCGAGGCCATCACATGGGTCGTTGTTCTAAGGAGGAAGAAGTCGGGAAAGACTACAAAAACATACGATGGATTTGATAACAGCCTCGTAAGGTAAGAAAGAACCTCTGGCACCGTAATCTTATTACCGTAGATTTACTTTGCTCGGCCCGCGCTTTGAATTATGCCTTCGTTTCGTGTACAAATAGTTTGTACGATTAGTATATATAAATTATACGAACACGCGGATATGTTATGCCCCCTGATTCATTATGTTCATGTTGTGCTCGGTTTTTATGTCGATCTTTTTGGTGATTTTTTTTTTTTTTTTTTTTTTGTCTAAATAGAACAAAATATATATTTATTTGGAATTTAAGGTTTTTATTTTTATATTTCACTGTGCAATTTTGGAATTCTTTATTAAAAACAAAGATATTTAAGTTTTTGTTGTAACATATTATATTCAAACTACTATTAAAAAATAAAATCAAAGTAGAGAATAGACCCTAGGCAATTGAAATCGAACCACATGCTTTTGTTCTTTCTTTGCAATTTAAGTATTGAGTAATGTCATGTGCCCCTCAAGTGCCCATTATTTTTTTATTTTTAAATAAACATATTTTTGGCGAATTAATAGAAATGTGCAATTAATATAATAAACATATTTTTGGCGAATTAATAGAAATGTGCAATTAATATAATAAACATATTTTTGGCGAATTAATAGAAATGTGCAATTAATATAAATGATTAGTCATGATTTTGTCTAGTTCAAAATTTTAATGGTTATTATTAAGAGTCGTGTTTGACGCAATTCAGATTCTGTCATTAACGAGGATCATGAAAAAAAACTAAATAAATATGTTATTGTAAAAAAAAAAAAAAAAATAGCAATTAAATTGACGGTCCATATATAATTATATATTTTGTTAAATAAAATTATATAATTATATCATTTCTATTTTTTACCATTAATTACTAATAAAATTAATTATATATTGTGTTGTATTTGACAATGACATATTAATATAATATAAATATAGCATATTAAAGAACAATAAAATCAATAATAAAAAAAATAATATTATCTATAATTTATTTAACACAATTTATAGTCAAATATAACACAAATATGCATTTTTAATTTAATACCACAATACATATTGTGTTAAATAGGAGATTTGTGCTAATTCTAATTTAATCCCATCAGCATAGTTTCAATTTGTAAGATTTATAATAACAAAATATTATATTAAAATATTATTTATTTTTTAAAAACTCAAACACAAACTCCACTTTTATAAAATATATAAAGTGGATAAATTTGTGTAAAACAAAATAGATTTATTTATACCACTTTGATTTTATTTTATTTTTTTATTTACGACGTGGAAACCCGCAGTTGCTTCCCGAAAGTACGCATTGAGTAAACATGGAACGGTACATAATATCCTACCAACACCTTGATTTTGTGCAGTAACATATGGATTTACTTTGTATATTAATTTTATTTTAAATTTTAAATAAAATATTTTAATGAAATGAACTGCTCCTTATATAAAATATCCCAAAAATAAGAAAATTATACTATAAATTAAATAGTAAAAAAAAGGAGGGTGAAATGAAAAATATACATGGGTTATAAATTAAATAGTAAAAAAGGAGGTGGAAATGAAAAATATAGATGGGTTGCATTATGATCTCATAATTTATCGTTTTAAATATTTTCTAAATTTAAATAATATTTGGCATTTATTTTAATTATATTTCAAATTTTCATTTTTTGTTTTCATAAATTTAATTTATATTTACAATATATATACTTCATCCGTCATATAAATATAGTTTTAATTGAGTTGGACACGTGATTTAAGGAATACTGATATTATATTAGTAGTTGGTAAAAAATACGGATAAAATTTTTTTTTACCCTTGTGAGTATATTAGTTTAAAAAGTTGTAGCAATTGTGTAATAAAAATGAAAAAGTATGAGTAATTTTATGGTGATATGATTATTTATGAAAACAAAACTATTATTTTAGAATGAACAAAAATAGTAAATAAGACTGAGATGGAGAGAGTATTATGTTTGAATATACAATGGCTTTGTTCACTTTATGTTTTTTTGATAAAAAAAAAAAAAAAATGTATTTTTTAAAAACATATATTTTTGAATATTTCAATATATATTTTATATTGATATTAAAATACATATCATATCATAATTAAAATATTAATAAAATAATATTTCATTTCAAATATCAATTGTTGTTTTTTTTTTAAAAAAAAAAATGTATAGGAGTAATAATTTTATGTAAATATCACGTTCAAACCACAAATTTAATAAAAAAATCAAATTCTTAAGAAACACATTACGTATCGACAGCAAAATTTAGAGTGCAGCGTCTAAAAAAAATTGAGTAGTTGGGTAGGGGGAATCCCACGTTTAAAGAAATTCTATTGCAAGTGCTCTATGCTTTTGGAGAAGTCGTGTTTGTGGAATTCCAAAGAAAACGTGTTTGTGGAACTCCAAAGAAAACGTGTTTCCATCACTCGGTTGTTCTTTTGACGACTTTAGGTTTTATTCTTCCCCACAAAAATTTCTCGACGAATCTACCTCGTGGTTCCTTTTAATTAAATAAATAACGCACTTTGGTTAAATAAATAATTAATTAAAATTCACTCTTATGCATATCTCGTTTGATTTATTATGTACATTTAGACTGGGCTTTAAATAAGTATTTTTAAAATTTAAAAGTATTGGAAATAAAAATGAAGCTTTGTTTATTGTATTTTAGTGTTTTTAAAAATAATAAAAAGTAATTATTTAAAAATACATATTTTATTTTAAATAGAATTATATATAATATATTAAATAAAAAAAAAAAATGTACTCTATCCATCCTAGGTAATTTGGGCATGATATTGTAGACACGAGAATTTAGATAAAATTTGATTAATAAGTAATTAAAAAGTGTATTAGTAAAAATAATTATTGTATAATAAAAATAATTATAAATTAAGATAATTAAATACTTGAATTTAGATTTAAAAAATATAAAATATAAAGTTTAAAATGTAATTAAAGTGTATAATTATATTTTCAAATAAGGAAATGACAAGTTACGTGGGAAGGACGAAAATAGAAAATAAGAACAAATTATGTGGGACGAAAAAAATATTATGTTATATCTTTAAAGTAAGTTAAATTATTGTAGGTGAATATTAAAAATAATTCGAAAGAAAAAAACATTTTTTTTTTAATCTAAAAAATTTCAATATACGGCGAATCTTTTGCGAATTTTGACCGCGATTTGCATTGCAGGAAATCCATTTTTTATGCTTACATATTCACGAAAATCCGTGCAGGAGTTTTTTGGGACGCCCACTCTGTCTCGATGGACGGCTATGCGGCATTCGTACGTCCGGTCACGAGTTCGCTGCTGCCTGCCGGGGCAGACGTCGACAATAATCCTTTCGCAGGTTCATCTATGGAATCCTTGTTACGAGTTCTCTTTTTTTTTTTTTCTAAATTATAACGCTTGTTGGACTTCTCGCGATGACGCGGCTCCGTCTGCGTCCTTGCGCGAATCCTCGTTCGCAATATACGGGTGGACGACAGGTCTGTGAACGGCAGACAAGGTCGTCGTTCGCAATTTTTGGCCGTTACGTGCATCGCAGGAAATCCATTTTTTATGCCTACATATTCACGAAAATCCGTGCAGGAGTTTTTTGGGACACCCACTCTGTGTCGATGGACGGCTGTGCGGCATTCGTACGTCGGGTCACGAGTTCCCTGCTGCCTGCCGGGGGAGACGTCGACAATGATCCTTTCGCAGTTCACCTATAGAATCCTTGTTATGAGTTCTCTTTTTTTCTAAACGATAAAGCTTGTTGGACTTCTCACGATGACACGGCTTCATCGGCGTCCCTGCGCGAATACTCGTTCGCAATATACGGGTGGACGACGGGTCCGTGAACGGCAGACAAGGTCGTCGTTCGCAATTTTTGGCCCCGTTGTGCATCATAGGAAATCCATTTTTGATGCCTACATATTCACAAAAATCTGTGCAAGAGTTTTTTGGGACGCCCACTCTGTCTCGATGGACGGCTGTGCGGCATTTGTACGTCGGGACATGAGTTCGCTGTTGCCTGCCGGGGCAGACGTCGATAATGATCCATTCGCAGGTTCACCTACGGAATCCTTGTTACGAGTTTTCTTTTTAACGCTTGTTGGACTTCTCGCGATGACGCGGCTCCATCGGCGTCCCTGCGCGAATCCTCGTTGGCACTATACGGCTGGACAACGGGTTCGTGAACGGCGGACAAGGTCGTCGTTCTCGATTTTTGGGCCCATTGTGCATCGCAGGAAATTCATTTTTTATACCTACATATTCATGAAAATCCGTGCAGAAGTTTTTTGGGATGCCCACTCTGTATCGATGGACGGCTGTGCGGCATTTGTACGTCGGGTCACGAGTTCGCTGCTGCCTGCCGGGGCAGACGTCGACAATAATCATTTTGCCGGTTCACCTATAGAATCCTTGTTACGAGTTCTTTTTTTTTTCTAAACGATAACGCTTGTTGGACTTCTCACGATGACGCGGCTCCGTCAGCGTCTCTACGCGAATCCTCGTTCGCAATATACGGCTGGACGACGGGTCCGTGAACAGCAGACAAAGTCATCGTTCGCAATTTTGGCCGTGACGTGCATCGCAGAAAATCCATTTTTTATGCCTACATATTCACGAAAATCCGTGCAGAATTTTTTTGGAAAGCACACTCTGTCTCGATGGACGGTTGTGCGTCATTCGTACGTCGAGTCACGAGTTCGCTGCAGCCTGCCGGAGCTCGACAATGATCCTTTCACCGGTTCACCTATGGAATCCTTGTCATGAGTTCTCTTTTTTTTAAACGATAACGCTCGTTGGACTTTTCGCGACGACGCGGCTCCGTCGGCGTCCCTGCACGAATCCTCGTTCGCAATATACGGCTGGACGACGGGTTCGTGAACGGCGGACAAGGTCGTCGTTCGCAATTTTCAGCCGCGACGTGCATCGCAGAAAATCCATTTTTGATGCCTACATATTCACGAAAATCCGTGCAGGAGTTTTTTGGGACGTGCACTCTGTCTCGATGGACGGTTGTGCGGCATTCGTACGTCAGGTCACGAGTTCGCTGTTGTCTGCCGGGGTAGCCGTCGACAAGGATCCTTTCGTAGGTTCACCTATAGAATCCTTGTCACGAGTTTTCTTTTTTTCTAAACGATAACGCTTGTTGGACTTCTCGCGACGACGCGGCTC